CCCCAACCCCAACCCCAACCCCAACCCCAACCCCAACCCCAACCCCAACCCCAACCCCAACCCCAACCCCAACCCCAACCCCAACCCCAACCCCCTATAAAATTATCTATTGAATATTAAAAATTGAAATCAGTCATTCTTATTTTTTATAAAATAAGCTACTGCTAATTTACAGTCAAATTTATTAATATTTAATAATAATTATTCTCTAATTTTTAAAATTGTAAAATTTTGAAAAAAGTTAAAAGCTTATTCAAGTTTAAATTAAGTAATTTTTTCAAAAAAAAAAATAGTATATTAAAATTTTTATTTTTTATATAACAAAAATATTTTATTCATTAATATCTATACTGTATAGATAAAAAGAGTAAATAAAATATAATTCTTTATTAAAATTATACTTTGCATTAATTTGCTCATATTTACCCAATAATGCAGCTGAAAATATAGTATGCTTCTTTTGGTGCAACCTTTTTAAATATTATTAATAAATTTAAAATTTAAATTATGAAGGAATATTTAGAATGAAAATTATTGTTTTATAAATGCTTATATAATAAATATTAAATTTAATTTGTTTAAATTTTATGTTTATTTTTGTTTTAAAATATTATAATAATCAATATTATTTAAATTTATAAATTATTTTCTTTAATTGAGAATTACTTAGAATATTAATAGAAATAAATCTATATGAAAATATGTAAACAAACATTTTAAAACTTAAATAAATTTAAATTTATCACGCTAATTTTATTTAAATAACATATTATACATTCTCACACAACATTAACTTCATTTATAGGTAGTTTATTAAGTTATGCTTCATACATTTTCTTCTACTTTTCTATTATAACTCCTTTGTAATATGTTAATAATTAAATGACATTTTAACAAGTTTATCTTGTATTAAATTAATTTAAGACTTTTGATGAATTTTTCATGTATTCATTGGTTTCATCCTAAAATTTTTTATATTTTGTGTCATTAAGAAATTTTTATTAATCAAATTTTTATTTGTCAAACTATTGATCAAATATGTCACTATATTAATTTCTAAGAGCATTTAATTCATATAAGCTTGCTAATTATTCTCTATAATCAGTACCTTTTCTATTTAAGTACAAAAAGGAAATCGTTAAAATTATTGTTAAAATATAATAAACTATCATAGCTGGATGGCAGTAAACAACAATCAGAGCTAAAGAAATTAACATAATCCACACATATGCTATTATAACACCCAATATTAATAAAAAATATATAAATGAATAAATACAATTTATCCATTAGCAGGAGCAATTTTCAGTTTTTGTTATCTTTGTGCCATCTGAAAGCGTTTATGTTGTTTATTCTTGTGAACATAAATTTTTGCACCCGCAATATGCAAATAAAAGAATCAAGAAAGTAGGAAAAACAGCTAAAACTGCGAAAGGATAGTACATTAGGTCTTCAAATGATTAAGCTTTAAAACACTCTAATAAGACAATTAAGCAAATAAAATTAATTAATGAAAAAACAACTCCAGTAATATATATTGCAAATGATCCAAACGTGTAAATACCATATCTCAAATTTGCACACTCTTCATACACAATAGCTGTGAGAGGAGATATTGAAATCACAAAAATGAAGTCATAAAATAAATTGATATAATCAATGTAGGAGATATCAAACCTCTGAGAGTTAGAAATATATTTATTCTCACATAAAAACCAAAATTGGGATGTAGTTTTTTTGATAAAGAATATCTTATAGCAAATTATAAAAAATGAGCAAAAGTAAACCCAAAAATCTGCTTAGTTGATGATATCTAGAATACCTGGATTTTATGCTTTTGTACAGTAGTAGTTAGAATGTGATACAGGTTTTGAAGTAGCCTTGAAATAATAATCATCACCTTCTTAAACATAATCATATGAAGGTCTATTAGCGTAAAAGCCAATTGAAACGAACATATAAATTAAGAGCATAAATTGTAGTAAAACCTTTATGCCAAAAAAGAAGAGATAATAATTTGATATTTTTGTTGGTTTAATAGCTTCAGTCACTTTATAAATCATATTGGTTATCTTTGCTTCTTTTTACCCTTAGTCAATAAGATTTGTGTTTTCAACAGGATTAGCAGCCAGAATATTCATTGTAGTGGGTAATTACATCATAGGAATATCATTTTCATTTGGCAAGTTAATTTGAGTGACATTTTAACCGTTATTAAGAATAGAAGACTAAGCACGCTAAAGGCTTGGCATAGTATAGTTTTAAGAATTTTATTGCTATGGTTGCATTGCAAGTACTTACACACAAGTAAAAAGCCTCTGCTCATGCTAACCAGTCTAAGGATTTGTAATGTATCCAACTATTGGAGGGTCTATCTGACTCATTAGAAATTTCAGATTACTTAAAAAATATAAGAATCCCACGAAACCAAACCCTATAAATATATATAATCCCATCTATGAACCCCCCCCCCTAACTTTTAATTATTCTCACAGCTATTTTCTAAAGTATTAATTTCTCTAAGCATTTCTAAATTTAGATATATATATTTATGATTAATATCACTAGATTTAAATGAGATACTTTTAATTAATTTAGTGTAAACATAATAAATTCAATATTACACATTAAATAATTTGAACGATCTAGATATATATATATATCTTTAAAAAATTCTTTTATATCATTAAATATTATCAGAAGAAAAATGATGACTAAATGTAAATATTATATTAATCAAATTAATTAATTTAATATTACAATTTTATTTATTATATATGCAATATTACGCTTAATACAAAATGAATTATTTCATGATATTGCATTTTGAATGATAATTATCTGAGTATTAATGTTGGCGGTTTTTATAATTATTTATACAAATTATCAAATAAAATATTTCTCTTTTATATAAAAATTTATTACAGGTATAAATGTATAAAATGGCTTTAAGCTAGGATATCAAAAGATAACTTTGAAATAGATCTCTCCATTTGATTTTAGATATTATAAGATAATCATTTTAATACTATAATATGAATTTTGGGTCTAAATACTTATATAGTTTACTTTTATAGAAGTCTAGTAATAGCAGTTTCTATATTTGCCTAATTTCCTTCAATCAAATTTAATCTAAGTAGGAAAAAAAGTATTAACAACACCAAATTAATACTTTTATTTGATTATCTTTAAAAGTCATTAAATATTTTTTTTTCAATCCATAAGTGATAACTATTTCTTTTTTAGATTCAAGTGAACCCTTGCTTAAATAAAATTTTATCACAGATTTTAAGCTTTAGTGGTTGTGGAAATGTAATAATTTTCTTGAGTTTATTATTAATATAACTATTCCATATTATAAAATTTATTTAATTAGATAAATGTAATCAGCATACTTTATATATATATATAATTATTATATCATAGTCTAAATGCTTATTTTCTTTTTTAAATCAGAATTTATTAGAGAAACCGTGGGTACGCATGAATAAGGATTATCAAAAAAAAAATCTTTTTAAAAATTTTTTATAGACCATCCCAAAAAATAAAAAATAAAAAATGTGAAAATATAGCCCTCTAAGTAAAATGGTTGAAGGAGAAAAATTCGAATGCTAGGTTTTGATCTCGAACTTATAACAATAAACTATTGTACATTTTCTATTATTTAAATTTATAGTCAGAGATTTTTTTTTAACTAAGAATTGCTTAGAATTAATATATAAATCAATATGAAAAAATATAAGCAAACACTTTAATATATAAATAAATTTAAATTTATAACGCTAATATTTATTTAAATAACATATTATGCATGCTCACACAACTTTGATTTCATTTAAAGGGAGATTATTACTTTATGCTTCATACATTCTCTTCTATTTTTCTATTATAACCCCTTTGTAAAAATTTTATAATTAATTGATATTTTAACAAGTTTATCTTGTATTAAATTAATGTAAGACTTCTAAAGGATTATTTATGTATTAATTTGTTAGAGCTTAAAGGGTGCTATAATTTTTATTATTAAAAAACTTCTATTGATCAAATTTTTATTTACCAAATTATTGATCAAAAATGTCTCTATATTAATTTCTAAGAGCATTTAATTCATATAAGCTTGATAATTATTTTCTGTAATCAGCTCCTTTTCTATTTTAGCACAAAAACCAAATTGTTAAAATTATTGTTAAAAGATAATAAACTATCATGGCGGGATGGCAGTTTAAAATTATGAGAAAAAAAGAAATCATTATAATATAAAAATAAAATGATGAAAATCCTATTATTCCTATCACGCTTAAAATTGCTAAAAATATCAGCTTGTATTCAATTTTTTTAGTTTTTGTTATCTATGTGCCATCTGAAGATGTATATTCTTGTTCCTAGAATAATTACAATTAGTATAATAGTATAATAATCAGAATACCAGGAAGAAGAAATACAATTCCAAAAGGATATATCATTAATTTATCAAGTGTTTTAGCTTTAAAACACTCTAAAAAGATAATTAAGCAAATAAAATTAAATAATGAAAAAGCTACTCCAGCTAAATATGCTGGAACTGCTCCAAATAAATAATTATCAAACTTCAAATTTGCACATTCTTCATACACAACAGCTGTGAGAGGAGATATTGAAATTACAAAGATGAAGTCATAAAATAAATTGATATAATCAATGTAAGAGACATCAAATTTCTGAGAGTTAGAAATATATTTTTACTTATATAAAAACCAAAGTTAGGATGTAGTTTTTTTGATAAAGAATATCTTATAACAAATTATAAAAAATGAGCAAAAGTAAACCAAAAAATCTACTTAGTTGATGATAAAAAGAATATCTGGATTTTATGCTTTTGTGCAAGGATAATTAGAATGTGATACAGGTTTTGAAGTAGCCTTGAAATAATAATCATCACCTTCTTAAACATAAGCATATGAAGGTCTATTAGCGTAAAAGCCAATTGAAATGAACATGTAAATCAAGAATTTATATTGTAGTAAAACCTTTAAGCCAAAAAAGAAGAGATAATAATTTGATATTTATGTTGGCTTAATAGTTTCCGTCACTTTGTAAATCATACTGTTTATCTTTGCTTCTTTTTACTCTTACTCAACATGATTTGTGTTTTCAACAGGATCAGCATTCAAAATATTGATTGTAGTGGGTACCTACATCATAGGAATATGACTTTCATTTGGCAAGTTAATTTGAGTTACATTTTAACCGTTATTAAGAATAGAAGACTAAGCACGCTAAAGACTTGGCATAGTATAATTTTATGAATTTGATTACTATGGTTGCATTACAAGTACTTACAGACAAGTAAAAATCATTTGCTCATGCTAACCAGTCTAAGGATTTTTAATATATCCAACAATTGGAGGTTCTATCTGACTCATTAAAAATCTCTAATTGCTTATAAAATTTAAGAATTATGTTTTATATTTTAAATTAAATTAAATATACTTTATAATTTGTTTGGTTTTTTAAATAAATAAATAATTTTTGGCTCTTATATTAATTTCTTTACTTTTTTTTAAGTTTACTATCTTTTTATTCTTCTCAAATTTTAATTTTTAGCTTTTTATATTTGAGATAAATAGTTATGTGATTTTAAATACCAAAGCTTTATTTTTTTTTTGTATAAATAAAAGATTTTTATTGATACCTTTATAAATAAGCATTATTTTTAGAAATCAAAGAGCAAAAAATAAGAATCACAAAAATTTGAGTAAGTAATTATAATCAAAATCAGCTTTTAGTTTACGAAAAAAAAAAAAACAAGCAAACAAATTAAATTTTTTAGCGGGAGAAAATTAGAAAAGTAGAAAGTATTTTTTACCTCATAATCTTTGTTTTTTATTCATATAATTTTTAATGTATTTTTAAATATTTCAAGTAAGCAGTAATAATTTTGAGCAAACATAAATCATTTTTACTCTAAAATTATTTTTAACTTATAATTATTTTCTAAATTCTATTTTTCTATTTTACAACAAATTTAGAAAAATGATTGTGATTAAATTCATTTCACTTAATGAAATGATATCTATTGTTTATCATATTCATACTATTTTTAGAAAAATTTAAATATTTAAAGTCATGTTTAAAAATTTATAATAAATATAAAAAACTTTTCTTTAAAACTATTATAACAATAATTTTATCAATTATTTTCTAAAGTTTTCATTTCTTTATAAAATACTAAATTTAAATATAAAATTGTGATTAAATTCATTAATCTAAAAAGGAGAGGTTTTTAATTTAGTATAAACATAAGAAATATTATATTACATTTTAAATTACCTTGGACGATCAAGATTCTTCTTTCAAAAATTCTTTTATATTTTTAAATATTATTTAAAAAAATCCTAATTAATAACTAAATATAAATATTTTATTCATCTAATTTATTTATTTAATCTAATACAACAGTTTTATTCATTATATTTGCAATATTTCTCATTAAAAAAATAAATTCTTTCAGGGAATATTTGAATGAAATATTATCCAACTTTTAATTTGGTTGTTTTTATTATATGATAGAAATAAAAAGAAAGATTTCCCCTTTCTCTATAAATTAATAATAAGGATAAAGATATAAATGTGGCATTAAGCTAGGATATCAAAAGATAACTATTAAATATGTCTCTTTCTAGATTTAATCAAATAAGATAAACATTTTAATGCTATCATATTAATTTGAGTTTAAATACTTATTTAATTTACTTTTTTAATAGAAGGCTTGTTTATAGTAGTTTCTATATTTGCCTAATTTCCTTCAACCTAATTTAATCTAAAAATCAAAAAAGTATAAATAATACACCAAATTAATAGTTTTTTTGATAGTATTTGAAAACCAATAATTTTTTTCAATCCATATATAATAACTATTTCTTATTTTAATTCAATTTATCACCTAAATTACTAAAACTTTATATTTTGTTTAATTGTGAGTAAATGATTGAAGCATGTAGGAGATAAATTATTAACATAGCACGTTCAGATTTTAAGCTCTAGTAGTTGCGGAAACCCAATAATTTAATTCTTTGGCTTACTATAAAATATAAACATTCCATATTTAAAACTCTGTTAGTTAGATAAATGATATCAACAGAATAATATTTATATATAAAATTATGATTTAATTGTTTAAATTTTTCTTTCTTTTTTAAACTAGAGTATATAGATAGAGCTTTGTTTGAAAATAAAGTATAATATAGTAGTTTCTCATTAATTAAGGGCAAACTCAAATCAAAATTTTCGTAAAAATTTATTCCTTTTTAAAAAAATGTGAAAGTATGTTATAGCCCTCCATGTAAAATGCTTGGAGGAGTGAAATTGGTATATTAGGTATCGATTTCAAATCTATTGTCTCTAAAATACTCCGATTTTAAAATTTTTAATATTTAAATTTAAAATTATCGATTTTCTTCAATTAAGAGTTGCTTAGAATTAATAGAAATAACTCAATATGAAAACATGTAAAAAACGCTTTAAAATTTAAATTTATAATGCTTATATATATTTAAACCACGTATTATGTGTTGTCACACAACTTAAACTTCGTTTATAGGTGGCTTATTATATTATGCTTGATACATTCTATGTTATTTTTCTAAAATAACCCCTTAGTAAAAAGTTTAGTATTATTTGATATTTTTACAAGTTTATCTGGCATTATATTAATATAAGACTACAGATGGTCTATCAATGTATTGGTTAGTTTGAGCCTAAAAGGTGCTGTATTTTGAATTTTTAACACAATTTTATTGATCAAATCTTTAGTTGTCAAATTATTCATTAAATCTGTTTGTATATTAATTTCTAAGAGCATTTAGTGAATATAAGCTTGCTAATTATTATCTATAATCCGTTCCTTTTCTATTTTTGTACAAAAATGCGAATGTTAAAATAATTGTTAAAATATAGTAAAGTATCATAGCGGGATGGCAGAAAGCAAAAATGAGCGCAAATGAAATTACTACCATGCACCCAAAAAATGCTATTACAAATAATATTCCTATAATAGGGAAAATTACTAACAACTTCTTATAGCTATCATCTACAATTGATGTTTCCTATCTACCGTCTGAATATGTAGTTGTTACTTCATAGTAGTTTACCGGTGCACTTAAAATATGACTTCCGCATAATGCCATAGCAAGAATAGCAGTAGCAGGAAGAACAATCAAAATTAAGATAGGATAGTACATTAGCTTATCAAATGTTTCAGCTTTACAACACTCTAATAAGATGATTAAGCAAAGAAAACTAAACAATGAGAAAACAATTCCGGCCGCATATGTTTGAACTGCTCCAAAGGTGTAAATACCATACCTCAAATTTGCACATTCTTCATATACAATAGCTGTGAGAGGAGATATTGAAATCACAAAGACGTAGTCAAAAAATAAATTGATATAATCAATATAAGAGATATCAAACTTTTGAGAGTTTGAAATATATTTTTATTTCCATAAATACTTAAATTAGGATGTAGTTTTTGTGATAAAGAATATCTTATAGGCGACTATAAAAAATGAGCAAAAGTAAACCCAAAAATCTGCTTAGTTGATGATGTGAAGAACATCTCGATTTTAGGCTTCTGTGCATTAGTAATTAGAATCTGAAACAGGTTTTGAAGTAGCCTTGAAATAATACTAACCACCTTCTTTTACATAAGCATATTTAGGTCTTACTGCATAAAAGCCAATAGAAATGATCATATAAAGCACGAACATAAATTGTAGTAAAACCTTTATGCCAAAAAAGAAGAGATAAGTATTTGATATTTCTGTTGGTTTAATAGATTCAGTCACTTAATGAATCATACTTATTATCTTTCTTTCTTCTTACTTTTACCTTTCAAGATTTTGATTTTAAACAGGATTAGCAGTAGGGATATTAATTGTTGCGGGTATCTACATCATAGGAATTGCATTTTCAGTAGGTATTTCCATTCCATTTTAACCGTTATAAATAGTAGAAGACTAAGCATGCTAAAGAGTTGGCGCAGTATAAATTTATGAATTCGAATACTATGGTTGCATCACAGGTACTTACATATAAGTTAACAATTTTTGCTCATACTATCCAGTCTAAGGATTGTAAACTTATCCGATGAATGAAGGGCCTATCTGACTCATTAGAAATTTCAGATTTCTTAAAAAATTTAAGAATTTTTGTTTATATTTTAGATAAAATAAAATATGTAATTTATTATTTGTTTGGTTTTTTATAGAGTTTATGGCCTTATATGTATTTCTTATCCTCTTTCTAAGCGTATTATATTTTTTTAGTCTCTAATTAGTTTATTTTTTTGAGAATTTAATCAAATAGTTAAGCCATTTATTTTGATTACTTTTTAAAAAATGTGTAAGTTTAATTTTTTTAGGTTTTAAAAAAAGGTTTATATTCAAATTTTTATAAAAAAGCATCGTTTTTTTTAATTCAAAACAAAAATCAAAAACAATTATTTCAAAATTTGAGTGAATAAAATCACAATCAGCTTTTAAATTTTGTAATAAGTAAGAAAGATATTTAATTAATTTTATAGTTAGAAAATATTTGAAAAACAAAAAGTATCTTTTCGCTCATAATATTTGTTTCATACTCATATAATTTTAAGTATTTTTTAAATATTTTAAGAAACCTTTAAGAATTTTTAACAAATATAAAATAATTTTTCTCTAAAACAATTTTAACTTATATTTATTCTAACAATTATAATCTAAAATATATATTTCTCTAAGTTACAACCAAGAAATTTAAATATTAGATTATGATTAATTTGATTTCTGTAATAAAGAAATGATATCTATCTATTCATACAATTTTTTTGAGGAAAATTGAAATGTTTAAAGCCACCTTTTAGAATTTATAATAAATATAAAACACATTTTTCTAAAATTAATTTTAACTTCTAATTATTCTAACAATTACTTTCTAAAGTATTCATTTATATTTGTTACATTAAATTTAAATATAATATTGTGATTTATATCACTTCTCTTAAAAGGAGATGCTTCTAATTTAGTGTAAACGTAAGAAATTCAATCTTACATATTATTCAATTAATTTGAACGATTAAGATAATTCTTTCAAAAATTCTTATATATCTTTAAATATTAGAAGAAAAAATCCTAATTACTTTATTTAAATATTGTATTATTCAAATTCATTAATTTAATCTTATTGATTTTATTCATTACATATCCAAATTTTCTCTTTCTACAAAATAAATTCTTTGACTTTTAGGATATTGCATTTTGAATGAAATTTACCCAAGTATTAAATTTTGTGTTTTTATAATTATTGATAGAAATTATCAGAACAATTATTCTCTTTTCTTATAAAAGTATTAAAGTTATAAAAGTGAAAATAAGCTGGGATATCTAAAGATAACTTTAAAAATGTTCTTTATATTTTAGTCTAACAAGAAAATAATTTTAATGCCATCATATGAATTTGGATTAAAATACTTATTTACTCTGCTTGAATTATTAGAGTGATTTCTATATTTACCTAACTTTCAAATTTAATCTAAGGAGGAAAAAAAGAAAAAAATATTAATTAATCAAATTAATAGACTGATTTGATTATGTTTAGAAATCAATTATATCTTTCTTTTTTTTCTCAATCCATAAATAATAGTTATTTCTTTTTTTGATTGAACTTATCACCTACATTTAAATTTCCATGAATTTTTTACTTTAAAATCTTTGAGCTGTCTAACATCTATTTATTTATTAAATTTTTTGTAAGATTACTTCTTTTTTTTAAATGTACAGAATTACCACACATGCATTCACACACAAAAGGAGCCAAAACACTTCATTTATTGATTTTAAAATTTATTTTATTAGTATAAATTATTATAAAAGTCTAATTAAAATAAAATCATATTTTTTAATAGTACCTACTTTATAATTTTAATATTTAAGACATGCAAAAAATACAAGATAATCGCAATTTATAATATTCCATAGTATCAGATTAAAAAATATTATATTATATATACTCCACAATTAATATTTTTGAGTCCTTATTAATAAATAGTACTATTTTTTATAAAGAAAATATAAAAATATTTGGTTAATTTTAAATAAATATATGTTTCTCCATTAATTTTAAATTTTATTATTGTAATTGATTATTCTATTTATTTAATTGAGGTTTGAGCATGACTTAAAATAATTAGAATAATTATTAATTAGGATTTTTTTGTTTTTAATTGATTTGAAAAAGATATTTTAAATAGATAGAATTTGAATAAAATCATTTGAGATTCTTAATAATTTATAAGTATAATTAAATTTATTTTTTTATTAGGTTTGATTTTATGAATTTTAGTAAAAGCTGATTAATTAATAAAACTTTATCTTATATTTTATTTATATTTTATTGTAAATATTTCATTCAAGTAAATAGCCTAATAAAAACCTAAAAGAGCACCTCCAGATTTTAATCTTTTAAACGCGGAATTTCAATAATTTAACTATTGGATTTTCTACTTATAATAACTTTTTCAGGTTTTAAGATTCCACTAATTAGATAATGTATTTACATAAAAACTATGATATTGCAGTCTAAATATATATTTTTTTTTTAAATAAGTAAATATTATATATTATTTTATTTTAATATAAAGCATTGAATTTAATTTATTATGCAATAAAATTTTATATAAATTCATTAAATTAATTCAATAAAATAATATAGTTCTCTTAATGATAATTTACTTTAACAATTAATTTTTAAAAATATTTAGAATTACTTCAAGTTATTAAAATCAACCAAGACTTCTAATTTTCAATTATTAATTAAAATGTGCAATAAAATAATTAAATCCTTACTATTATTAGCTTTAATTTATTGTCTTTGAAATTATAATGTTTGCTTCTTTTATTAACTTATTTTACATAAATAATTTTTATCTAAATATTTAACTATTTATTTGTTTATTTTTAAACAAAAGTTACTTGAAATTTTTTTTACAAATTTTTGTCTTTCCTAATTATTCTTAAAAAATCATTGATTTTAGAATAAAATAACTTTATTTTTACTTCAAATATTTAAATAAAAATATAAATTATCAGCCATTTATTTAATTTATTTAATGATCTGATTAAATAAATGTGATCATACTAGATAGAATATTTATTTTAGAAATCTTGTTAAAAATTTAATTTCAAATACTGAAATTATAACATCATATTTTCTTATAACAAGCAATAAATTTTAAATTTATTAAACAAATGTCATATTAAAAATTAATTTAATAAAAGTTAAATAAATAAATTAATAATATTTTGAAGTATTTATAATAATAAATTGTATTAATTTTCATTTGAGAGTTAACACTAAAAATATATTCATTTTTTATTTTTATTGTTATTAAAACCAAATTATACTTCAAAAATAAAACCTCAAATTTCAGATTTAAAATTTGATCATGCTATTAAACTGTTCTTTGACCAAAAAAATCTTTATCTATATAGTTATTAAATATTTTGTGTTAAATTTATGGAATCAGGTGTTGAAAAGTCAAATTTTTATACTTTTTAATATGAACGAATTTTAGAATAAAGTTGATTTTTCAATAAGGAGAGTATAATTTGAAAATAATTTATTTATTTTTGACCTTCCTTAAAGATATCTAAAAATTATTTCATCTTTTTCTAATAATATAATAGCTAAAAATATCCTTATTTACTTTTTAAATATTTTTAAAATTTGATATTTCTTTTTGAAATTTTACATTTATTATTAAACTAAATACTTTTATTTTTGCTAATTTGCTAAAAAAAATATTTTTAGTCTAATTAATTAGTGCAGAAATAAACAAAAAATTATTATTATATTTTATAAAATTTTGATAAAAAATAAATTTGATGAATATAAAATGAATTGCCAAGAATTAATATTTTCATAAAAATATACTTTATTAAATCACATATCAGGAAAAATAGTTAAAACAACATAAAATAGATAACTTTCTTCGTTTTTTAAAATCATCAAAAAAAAAATTAATAAATTTAGATTATTAAATATATAACAAATCTGAATAACATACAATTTACAACTTGATTTAAATAAGTATAATTAACTTAAAATACCATATTACAACAAATAAATGAATTTAATTTATCGAATATTTATTTGTTTAAGCTTAGTAAAGCTCTCTCATTAGTAAGTATGCCCTTTCGACTTCAACTTAGGATATTCATCAAGAAATTGCTAAGGAACAAGCTCTGAAAATGTTGTTTTAGGTGGTGAATTATTCTACTTTAAAGATTAAGATTAATTTTCTAATCTTATGGTTAATTATGGAAGCTCTGGATTATTTGGAGTATGGAATTTAACTGACGCTAGTCTCCTCTATTCCACTACTTATTATTAAGATTAAAATATTGAATTTCATTCAATCTTTGTTGATTAGTAAGTCAATTTTTCTGATCCAACTATATCTTAGACTTTTGTTTACATTGTTGATTAAAGATTGAACGTATATTAGTAAAGCCTTTATTAGGATTAAGGTAAGCTCATCCTTTAAGGCTCATCTATGGTAAATAACTTCCCTATATAAATTAAATTATGTTACAATATTAGAAAAAACATCCTCTTCTACCCTTAAGATAATTATGTAAGCTTTTTATTTTCCTTAAACAATTAAACCATCATAAACAAGCTTTAAATGAAACATTAATGATCTATATTTTTTTAAAATATTATTTATAGCTAAAACAATTTTATACATTATTATTAAATAAATATTTATAAGAAAGAAAAAAAATTATTATTAATTAATAGGTCTACTAAAGAAAAAATAATTATGATTTTTAAGTAGAAATAGACTCTTAAGGAATTCAATGCGAAAGTGATTTTAATTAAGAATTTATTTTTATTCTTTCTTCTTAAAGCTTTATTTACGTGATAAATCAGAATTCTTTTTAAATAGAAAAGTAATTTTAATTTAATTAAGGGAAGATCAGTTATTTACAATTTAATTAAAATTATTGGTTGACTTTCATAAGTTAAAATAAAAGCAATTACTTAATTTACTTATTAGATTAAAATGTGAATCCTGTTCTATTATTTTCTACTCCTAATTAAATTAACGATTATGGATTTCTAAAGAATAATACTTTAATTGCTTGCGGGACAAACTCATTAATTTAATTTGGCAATTATTCAGTTAATCCTTTAGCTTAAGGAATCGATACTACTGACTATGATTACAAAAATATTTAGCCTGATCTTGATATAAGTTAACTTAATTATACTAATTTAGTTATTGGAGACGATTACACAGTATTTTATGGGAGCCAATCAGTTATAACTATAGTAATAAATACAAATCTAGTTGTATAGCTTCACAAATATTTAGGAGCTTCGTAATATTTTATATTTATTTTAATATAATTTTCTTTTGTAATAAAATTAAATTTAATGAAAATTATTTTATTTATTTCAGGTTGCTAGTTGGATTGATTCCTAAAGCTGTTATTGAGGGTTCATTGCTAAAAACTTTATCATCAAGCGGTCTTTTATTTTTGGAGATGTCAAATGGATAATTAAAAAAGCACACAAGTTGTTTTAGGGCTTTATCTGTTTATGAAGAAAAAATAGTTGGATTATATTTTGATGATGAATTGCTTAGAGTATATGCCCTTGAAAACTAAGGAAAATTAGGATATTTTGGTTACCCTAAAGGAGAATACCTGACTCAGTACTATAATCTTTCACAAAATAGCGCATGGAATTATAATAAAGTAAATGAGAAAATTAAATTTATTAATTTCTAATTTATTAATATGAAAATATTTGAAGTTCAAATATGATTAATTATGAGATAAAAAATTTGGTTTGGCTTTTTTAATTTTGAATGCAAATTTCTTAATTGGAAAAGTTTATTTTAACTTTAAGTAACAAATATACACATATTTTAATATACTTATAAATATATTATACAAATTTTATATGAAATAATTTTGAGATAAGTTATTAGAAAATATAAGTTTCATTTACTTAATGAAATTTCTTATTTATATTTTCTAATAATGATCTATTTTTAAACCAATATTTATTTAATATTATATTCTAAATAATTTATTTATTTTTTATTATTTATTAAATAGAAAGCAGATTAAATATACATTTGGGGTACTGGAGGTCCTTCTAATTTTGTTGTTGTAACTTCATATCTTAATGGAACATATTTGGGATAGCTTTAATTTAATGATAACTTTACTGTTAACAATGTCTACTATGATAATTATTTAGAAATTATAATCGTGGTTGATCCGACTTAAAGCATATAGGCCTTTAGCCTTTAAAATTTTTTAAAGGTTTATGAATAATCAATCGAAAACAATAATATTTAAATCTTTTAAAGTTAATTGGGTGTGATTATTATTTACTAATCTATTATTTAAATATTATCCAAAGGATAAACTAATTAATATCTTTCTATTAATAATTTGAACTTAAAAGAATTTATATTCGAATAAACTTACTTTGACTCTATCTCAAACTCTTTAATTATGGCAAAAACAGATAAAACAATATAAGTACTTTTTACTATTTTAATTGATAAATTTATTTCATGGTTTTTGTAATTTTCAATTATTTTTTGTAAAAAAAAATATATATTTAGGTATTCAGCATAGATAGTTAATTTAATGCAATTAGCTAAAATTTGTCAATTTTAATGTAGAATAATTAAATAATCTCAAATATTTGCTATGGAAATCAATACCTAATTATTTTAATGAATCTTCCTAATCAAGTAGTTGTTATAAATAAACAAACAAATAAATAAAGTATCATCAATAATTTAACTATAATTCCAAGCCAATGCTTACTTCTGCTTAATGAGGATCTTCTTTTAGTTATTTCTAATATAAGTGATCTGTTGTTTATGAATGTCTCGTCTTTAAACATTTTAAAAAATGATGTTTTAGATGAGTTAAGTAGTGTTTCTTTAATTGAAATAGATTTTTAAGAAAATTTATTAATAATATTGCTTTCTAGTTCAAAGATTATTAGCTATGATTACATCTAACTAAAATAAGTAAATTATAATTAATTATTTATTAAAATATTTAAAATTTTATTTGAAAAGGTTTGCGATTGGACACCAGTAAATGCTATTACTGTTTCTACATTCTAGATAAACACAAATTATAAAATGATTGTTTATGGCTCGGGTATTTTAATATATTTTACTGATTACTCTTAGAAGAAATTAATAAGTGAAATTCAATTATCAGAAGGAGCTTAAGGAGGGGTTGTTGATTTATAAACAAACAGCTATTTTGTTTACACAAATAAAATTTATTAATTTGATCTTTAAACAAATAATTTAATCCAAGTTTCTATATTTTAGGTAATTCTTTTATTTAGTTTACATTTTTACATTTTAAAAATAAAATACTAGCATGATGATATAATTACATAATTAGAAATAATTTATGAATGGAACATAATAATAACATCTTCATTTGATAACACTATGGCAGTATGGAGTTACCCTGAATTATAATTTATGCAAAGATTATACCACGATCCAGTAGATTGTGTAAAAGTAAATAATTTTGAAGTAGAATTAGAAAGAAACAGAGTATTCTCAGGTTGTAGGTATGGAAGTGTTTACATCTGGAAGAAGTATGCTTTAAATAATACTTTTTATTTAGGAAATGATTTGTAATATATCTTAACAAATTGGAATGTAACGTCAATTATAGTTGATAACTCGAATGATTACTTATTTTTGATTGGAGTAATTTAAATTCATCTTAAACTTTTATTGCTTTTAAATCTGTTTTAAACAAATTTTAAATATTTTTTATACTAATAAAGTGGTACTGGTATCCATTAATAATCTAACTAAGTACAGTAGAGTAATCAATTAATGTTATTGCAATGTTATAAGGTATAAATGCTGTATACGACAAGCTTAATTAGTGCTTAATACTTTCTGATTAAGATGGAAATGTTTGGAATTATAATATTACTTCAAGAACTTATATTTTCAATAAATAAAATGCAATTCATCAAGTATTTTTATTTTTAATCATGCAATCATTTAATTTTTATTTTTCAAGGGTTGGGTAAATTAATTAGTTATTGATCCAGCAAATTAAATTTTTGCAAGTATGGGTGATGATTGCTCGATTTAAATATGGCCTTATAACTCTGATAAGAGCTAAATACCTTTATTTTTTTTTAGGAATACAGCAAAAATACAATCTGGAAAATTGGATTTAGTATATTTTTAAACTTTTATAATTTATTATTTAAAAACTTTACTATTTAAAGAATAACTAGATATTGATTATTTCAGATGCCAATTATAATATTCTATTGCTCAAATATCCTTTGCTATATGTTATTAAATCCTTTGATTCACACACTGCTTAGATAAACTCGTTTATAATTAATTGGAATTAATTTCTAGTAAATTTAATTATTTTTAAATTATAGATAAATATTTATTTTGTTTTACAATTAGATTTTATCTTTTTCAAATGATAAAACTGTAAAATTTTGGGAATATGAGCTTGGAATTGAAGAAAAGTACTTTTAAATTATATAAAGAGCTACTTCAGTAATGAGTTATGCCTATGATGAAACAGAAAACACAATATACTATGTTAGATCTGAAGGAAATGTATAAAAGTGGTCGATCATGAGTGAGTAGACAGAAAATGGGTTTAATTTGTAATATAATGATAGATATAATAATACTATATTTTTAATCAACGATGAAGTTTTTATTTTAGCTACTACAAAATAATTAAAGTTAATAATGAAATAAACTTTAGAAGTACTTGAAAGTATACAAGTGGAATGCTCTCATAGTATAAATATATATGATATTATTATTTGTGGTTATCATTCTAAGTTGACCTCTTTTAAGCTAATCTAAACTAATATAAATAACAATTATAGCTTCTAATTAAAATATTTGTATTAATAAAATTTGGATTATCCATTGTATAAACTACAGAATGGAATTAAATCTAAAACTGAATTCCTAATTATTCTTGTAAACCATTCTATTTCTTTCATAGAAAGCTCTACAGGTTTAGTAACTAAATCATTTCCTCTTATTCACAAATAAGTTATTGTAGAATTAATAATATTTAGCTAACAAATTATATTTAGCTATTCCTTTGATGGCTAATTAGTGTAATATGACATATAATAAAATAAAGTTTTAATTTATAGAATAATTTAGTTAAATTATCCAATACTTTAAGTGGTAATAAACGCAGATTATATTTTAGTGAATCTAAAAAAGTCAAACTTCTGTTAAATCTATAAAAATGACAATTCGACAGTTTTTACATTACTATCTCTTATTTAAGCAGCTTCTCGCTGGCAAACAAATTAATAAATAATTCTCTCTCCAGAAAATTAGACTATTCTTGTGAGTTCTGATTTCTACTACATTTCTTTTGATTATAAATCATTTAAATAGCTTTATTATTATCAAAGCAATATTTTTGTAGAAAGCACATTTATGAAAAGAAAAGTTACATTAATTTAATAGAATTAATTCTTTATTTAATAAGGATAATCTTTTATAGTCATAGCATCTAGTGATTTGTCTTAGTAAAATATGATAGTTGTCTAAAAAATATTAAACAGAAACTCATTTTATGAAAATATAAATATAAAATTAGATTAAATAAATGATTCATATGTAGTTACAGTTCTTTCATTTAACCTTCAAGGATTTAATTATTTAATGACTGATACTCAAGGATAAATGTCATGCTAACAAAATTTGTAAGATGCTAATTTTTTTGACATCTACAAGAGAGTTCGCGATTATTTGAATTTGAGGAATAACTTATAAACTGATTATAGTTTATAAATGTCTCATTTATTTAATTTAAATATGACTAAGTCATTTACATTTTATGGATTCCCTTAAATAAATTCTAATTTCTAAATGCTTGTACAATTAACAGTCTAAGGAGATAATTAAAAGTAATTGATTAATGGATATTTCTATTTCAATTAATTATTGCAATCATAAAATATAGCAAGCTTAAAATTAAATCATTTAATAATTGAACTTAAAGATGATGATAATAATGAGTAACTTTCAAGTATTAAATTAAAATAAGTTGAATTTATTTCAAGCTATATAATTTTTAACAATTAATCATTTAATATGAGTAATTTACAGCTTTTTCACATGAAAAATATAACCATAAACCAATAAAATATATCTTTTTGTTAAAGTGCTTTTATTATTACTAATACTCAATCAATAATTATTGAAGATAGTATTATTAACAAAAATACCTTAAATACAACTTCATTTTTTAATTTCAACAATTCAATTACTAACAACCAATCTTCATAGTTCATTTTTAGCAGAAATTAAATATTAAATAATAAGTTAAATTAAAGCTCAATTTTTTTATTTGAATTTATAAGTGATGTTGTTTTTCAGAGTAACCAAATCGAAGACAACTTTAGTGAGGAAAGCTCTTATTTAATATAATCATTAATTACTACTAAAATAATTATTTCAAATATGTATTTTAATAACAATATAAATTTAGCAATAATAAATAATTAGAAAATATTAAAGACTATTCAAAATTCTTTGATGTTTACTATTGAGGTTGAGAATAATTATTTAGAAATATCAAAAAGTATTATAAACTAAAATAGATATTTAGCTACAGATAGTTATATGATTTATTCTAATTCATCACAAATTTTACTATAAGATACATAAATAAATAAATTGATTAGTAACTCTATGATTAGTTTAATAACCTTATTATCTTAGAATTTGTAATTAAACTAATTAAGTGCTTCAGAAAGTCAATCATAAATTTAACCTTTTTTCTCTATTAGTTTGAGCAAAGTTTGGATATAGTAGTCTTCATTTGACTCAAATAGCCTTCTTAATCAATTTCTAGGAGGAGGTGTTTTTTACTTTATATCTTCTTAAGTAAATATTTCAAACAGTACATTTTCTAAGAATTCAGCCTAAAGTAATTATTATTATTTTTTTATTATTTTATGAAATATATAATTATCTATTTAGATGGAGGATCTCTTTATTTTATTGACTAATGTGATGGCTTAATTTCTAATACTACTTTTATTAGCAATTATGCTAGGGAAAATGGAGGAGTGCTTATTCTGAATAACTCTGATATTCAAATATAAAAGACAATCTTTTAATTTAATAAAGCTTTGATAGGAGGAGTTGTAAGGTATTTAACATTTTAACCAAAGTTTTTGTAAAAAAGTAGTAAAAACAAAGTTTTAGATTCATGCGGAACTACTTTTGAAAATGTTTGTTTATAAAATTAAGGTTAGTTTTATGGAAATAATTTTGGTTCTTATCCATAAACTATTAAAATAAATAATATAACAGTAGAAAATAATGGAGTATATACGTTTTAAAATGTGCAAAGTGGAACTTAAGGCCAAATTTTAGAAATTTAATTGTTTGATGAAGAAGGAGATATAGTAAAAGTATAAAATAGTGATAGTTTGCCATCTAGTATAGCTTAAGAGTTTTAATATTATTAAGTTGCTCTATATGAACTATATTAAGTAAACTAATTGCAAGATATTTCTTTAAGAAATTTAAAGTTAGACGGCACTACATTAAAATAATTTTAAACTGATAAATTCCTTTTAAACTAATATTCATCATCAGGTAATAGATTTAAACAATAAAAATGTTAAAAATATACTTATTGCTATTTTTAAATCACTTATATTATTATCAAACAAATTTTAACAAAATAATTAATTATTATTGAATTAAAAGCTATCACAATAAAATATACAAATTATATTAATAATTTAATAGAAAGAAAATTTTTTCTAAAAATTAAATATTAAAAAATTTATTGAATAATCTGAAAAAACATAAAAATAATTTTAAAAAAATTAGGATAACTTGGAAAAAAAGGAGAAGCTGTTTTATTTATCTATGGATTTGAGCTTTTATCAAACTAGAGTTTAAGATTTACTGATTCTATAGTTATTTTTATCAATTACATATTTAGATAGTGCTAGGTAGGTGAGATAATATAGCCTGCTTGCACTAATTGCTCTTTAGCAAATTGTTACACCTGTTAAAATGGGACTTACTCTATTTAAGATCCTACATAAAATTCAAATAATTTACAATGTAAACCATGCGATTATAAATCTTGTGATTCTTGTGAGGGAAATAAAATATCTTTAAAGAAAGGATTTTGGAGATTAAATAAATACGATGACAATATCATTCCTTGTGGTAAGTCAATAGATTTATGTACCGGTTAAGAGGATACTAATTATTGCTCTGAAGGGTAATTTTGAAATTTAAACATAGATTTATATACAAATATTTCTTATCTAAATATAAAGATAAATAGGTCCTTTATGTTAGACTTGTGATTATTTAGGATAATTTTGGAATAGCTCATATGCTTAAAATAATTTAGATAATAAATGTTTTAAGTGTGGTTCCGAATCATAATATATAGCTGCATAGTTCTTTCTTAGCATTATAACATTATTATATTTGACATATATTTTTTATGAGACAAAGGTAAATCTAAATTTGATGGCTAAAGCTCTAATTTTAGATAGAATAGGACTAATAAGACTAGGAACTTCAGGATAAATAGGTGAAAAATCTTTTTACAGTAGAATTATGATTAGATATCTATAAATATTTCTAAGTATCTCTACTTTGAGTCCTCATTCTATTTTTAATGTTTAGATCACTTCAATATTCTCACCTGTAAGCTCAAATTAAAATTTACTTGACTGTATGTTAAGTAAATTTAGTAATACAGTCCCAGTTTATTATTATAAAGTGCTATTTTTTGTGGCGATTCCTTTCATCATAATTCCTTTAGGATATATATTTTATAATTTAATCATATTTATTTTAAGTTACTTTACCAACCAAACTAGAACTTCTTATAATTATGAATACAAAGTAAATTTTATTATTTAATATTTTTCATAATTTTAACACTATTTATTAAACATAAAAGAAAGATGCATCTATAATATGTTTTATATTTCTTTTCTTCTTTTTGTAGCAGAGTACATTTGAATCTTTAGTTTAACCATTTACATGTAAGCAAATAGGAAGTTAGTATTTAATAAGCTATTACTTGTTAGAAAAATGCTATTCTTCAGATCATATATTTTTAATTGGAGTGGTTATTCTACCAGCAATTTTTTTATGGATAATTTTAATTCCAGGTATATTAATGTGGAAAATTTGGAGCAAATCTTAGTAGCAGGATAATTTTTCATAAGAATTTTATTTAACAAAAAAAGTATAAATTAATTAAAACAATAATAATCTATTAAAAATTTATTTTAATAAAAGTATGGATTTCTTTTTTATGGCTATAAAAGAAATTTTTATTTATGGGAGTTTTTGTCTATGAATTTAAGACTAATATTAGTGTTTCTTGTATAATATTTTGATGAAGATATTCTCAGCAGAGCTTCTTTAATGTTGGTTTTCCTTTACTTGTATCTTATGCTTTTGCAAAAACATAAAGTAATTTAAGTTTCTTAATCAGAACTAAGATTTATTAATTTTATTTTAAAGCCTTATTAAAAGAGTAATTACTTTAAGATAGACATGCTATTTTCTTAAATATGTTGTCTCCTTACAATAATAAGCATTTTATTAAATGTCTTACAATCAGATATATTTTTATATTTTGGATAGATAATAATCTATATTCTTTAGCTGGTTGCTTTCTTGAGAATTTTTTTAATGTATTTAGATGCTTAAATTAGATTAAATTACCATAACTTAAAAAAAAAAAAGTTAGTATAATGCTTCAAAGCCATTTTATTAAGAGACTGTTTAATAAATAGGATTTTCAAGAGTATTTTAAAAAGATATTTATTATATTTCTATTTATTAATATTTCATACTGAGGATAATTCATTTAAAAAATTCAATAATTTCTAATTACTAAGACTTTGGCTTCAAGATTTTATTCAAAAAAAAAAGAAAAATATTTAGGCTTCTTTGATTTAGAGTTTGAAAACTTAAGAAAATTATTTAAAAGATTTTTCTCCACAAAGTAACTCTTTAAGAAAGACTCTACTTAATAATAGATCACCTAAAAATTTTCTACTAATATAAAACTCTACTTAATCGTGCCTTAAAGATAACTCTCCATAAAGATAAAGCACATATAAAAATTAAAAATAAACCTTTTAAATAAATGATATCAAAAGTAGTAATATTAACTTTACACCATTAAATTCCCTTAATACTAAAAAGTTAGGACAAAAAATGTCCTAAAAGCTAATTTAAATGCAGCAATTAGATTTTGAGTCTTAAATTAGCGAATCTTATTCAGAATTTGGTAGGCAAGATTCAATACAAAATTAAGATTTATATTATTTTAAAGTTAAAAGTAATAATTTTATTTATTTAAATTTTATTAAAACATAAAATTATTTTAACTGAAAAATTTAGAAAATTCAAGAAATATTACTTAATTTAATAATTAAGAATTTATTCAGACAAATAAAAATGACTTGGAATTAGAATCGATATTTTTAAGTGTATAAGCTACATAAAGACAACAAACAATCGTCAATGCTAATCAAGTAAATATTTTTGAGCTTTTATTTTTTAATTTATTTTTTTTTAAGTGTGAAATAGTTGACAAAAACCAAATAAACAAATTGAATGACTGAATTTTATAAATTCATTCATATTTTTATATTTGATTTTTATAAATTTGTAAAATGTAGCTATTAATACTGTAATTTTTATTTAAATCATTTAATAATAATTATTATGGCTGTTTTTAAATTAAAAAATATTTTTTTATAATCATTTTTTAAAACTTTATATGTATTCGCAAATTAAATATTTTTATGATATTTTTAAAGAAAAAAATTATTTTTTCTCAATCTAATTTGGATTATATTTTTCTTGAAAGAAACAATAAATTTTGTATTTATTAAACAAATGGCAAATTATATTAATATAATGGAAGTTAAATGAATAAATTGATGATTCTTTGAAGTTTTTATAATAATAAATTGGATTAATTGTTAGTTGATAGTTAATATATTAGTAAAAATATTCTTATTTATAAATATTTTAAAAAATTTCTTATAGAAACTTACTTTACATTTTTTTTAAACTGAAAATTATAATCTTTGTTAACTTACCAAAAAAATATTTTTATTATTAATATTTTTTGGGTTAAACATTTAAACGAACAAGGAATTAGTGAAAATATAAACAATAATTGTTATTTTATATTATCAAATTTGATAAAAAGTAAATTTGATGAAACTCATATGAATTGAGAGGAATTAAAATTTTCATAAAAAAAACTTAAATAATCAACCAGAAAATATATTTAAATAACATAAAGTCAATTTATTTCATTGTTTGAAAATTATCAAAAAAATTTAATAAATTACAATTAATAAGTATCAAACAAAAAACCTTAAAACACATACAATTTATAACTTGATTTAAATAAGTATAATCAAATAAAAATATCATTTTACAACAAATAAATGCATTTAATTTATCAAATATTTATTTGTTTAAGCTTAGTAAAGCTCTCTCATTAGTAAATATGCCCTTTCGACTTTAACCTAGGATATTCATCAAGAAATTGCTTAGGAACAAGCTCTGAAAATGTTATTTTAGGTGGTGAATTATTCTACTTTAAATATTAAGATTAATTTTCTAATCTTATGGTTAGTTATGGAAGCTCTGGATTATTTGGGATATGGAATTTAACTGACGCTAGTCTCCTCTATTCCACTACTTATTATTAAGATTAAAATATTGAATTTCATTCAATCTTTGTTGATTAGTAAGCCAATTTATCTGATCCAACTATATCTTAAACTTTTGTATATGTTGTTGATTAAAGATTGAATGTATATTAGTAAAGCCTTTATTAGGATTAAGGTAAGCTCATCCTAAAAGGCTCATCTATAGCAAATAATTTACCTATTTCAATAAAATTATGTTATAATATTAGAAATAACATCCTCTTCTACCCTTAAAATAATTATGTAAGTTTTTTATTTTCCTTAAACAATGAAAATATCAAAATAAGCTTTAAATTAAACATTATTAAATGATCCTTGTTTTTAAAAAATATTATTTACAGCTAAAACAATTTTATACACCACCAATATTTAAATTTATATGAAAGAAAAATAATTATTATTTATTTATAGGTCTACTAAAGAAAAAATAATTAAGATTTTTAAGTAGAAATAGACTCTGAAGGAATTCAATGCGAAAGTGATTTTAATTAAGAATTTATTTTTATTCTTTCTTCTTAAAACTTTATTTACATGATAAATCAGAATTCTTTTTAAATAGAAAAGTAATTTTAATTTCATTATAAGAAAATTAACTATTTATAATTTAATTAAAATTATTGGTTGACTTTTGTAAGTTAAAATAAAAGCAATTACTCAATTTACTAATTAGATTCAAATTTTAATTCTGTTTTACTATTTTCTACTCCTAATTAAATTAATGACTATGGATTTCTTAAGAATAATACTTTAATTGCTTGTGGGGCTAACTCATTAATTTAATTTGGCAATTATTCAGTAAATCCTTAAACTTAAGGAATCGATACTACTGATTATGATTACAAAAATATTTAGCCTGATTTTGATATAAGTTAACTAAATTACACTAATTTAGTTATTGGAGATGATTACTCAGTATTTTATGGGAGCCAATCAGTTATAACTGTAGTAATAAATACAAATCTAGTTGTAAAACTTCATAAATACTTAGGAACTTCGTAATATTCTTTATTTATTTTGATATTATTATTCTTTTGTAATAAAATTAAATTTAATGAAAATTATTTTATAATTTTAGGTTGCTAGTTGGACTTATTCCAAAAGCTATTATTGAGGGTTCATTACTAAAAACTTTATCATCAAGCGGTCTTTTATTTTTGGAGATGTCAAATGGATAATTAAAAAAAAACACAAGTTGTTTTAGGGCTTTATCTGTTTATGAAGAAAAAATAGTTGGATTATATTTTGATGATGAATTGCTTAGAGTATACGCCCTTGAAAACTAAGGAAAATTAGGATATTTCGGTTACCCTAAAGGAGAGTACCTGACTCAGTATTATAATCTTTCATAAAATAGCGCATGGAATTATAATAAAGTAAAAGATAAAATTAAATTTATTATATTCTAGTTTATTAATATGAAAATATTTTTGAAGTTCAAATATGATTATTTATGAGATAAAAAATTTTGTTTAGCTTTTTTTATTTTGAATTGTGAATTTCATTATTGGAAAAATTTATCTTAACAATAAGTGCTAAATATACGCATATTTTAATATACTTAAATTAAAGTATTATATTAATTTTAAATCAAATAATTTAGCGATAAGATATTATAAAATAAAATAAAATATTTTATTTAATTAATGGAATTTCTTATTTTTAATTTTTAACAATATTCTATTCTTAAACAGATATTTAAAATTATATTTTTTATTCTAAATAATTTGATTATTTATTAAATAGAAAGCCGATTAAATATATATTTGGGGTATTGGAGGTCGTTCGAATTTTGTTGTTGTAACTTCATATCTTAATGGAACATATTTGGGATAGCTTTAATTTAATGATAACTTTACTGTTAACAATGTCTACTATGATAATAATTTAGAAATTATAATCGTAGTTGATCCGACTTAAAGCATATAGGCTTTTAATTAAAAAAATTTTTTAAAGATTTATGAATAATCAATCAAAAACAGAAATATTTAAATCTTTTAAAGTTATTTGGGTGAGATTATTATTTATTAATCTGCGATATAATTATTAACCAAAGGATAAGCTAATAAATACCTATTGATAAATAATTTGAACTAATAAGAATTTATATTTGAATAAACTTACTTTGACTCTATCTCCAACTCTTTAATCATGGCAAAAACAGATTAATCAATCTAAGTATTTTTACTATTTTAATCAATAAATTTTATTTATGGTTTTTTTATTTTTCAATTATTTTTTGTAAAAATTTATTTAGTTACTCAACATTGACAGTTAATTAAATGCTATTAGCTAAAATTTGTCAATTTTAATGGAGAATAATTAAATAATATCAAATATTTGCTATGGAAATCAATACTTAATTATTTTAATGAATCTTCCTAATCAAGTAGTTGTTATAAATAAACAAACAAATAAATAAAGTATCATCAATAATTTAACTATAATTCCAAGCCAATGCTTACTTCTGCTTAATGAAGAACTCCTTTTAGTGATTTCAAATATAAGTGAACTGCTATTCATGAATGTTTCATCTTTAAACATTTTAAAAAATGATGTTTTAGATGAATTAAGTAGTGTTTGTTAAATTGAAATAGACTTATAAGAAAATTTATTAATAATATTGCTTTCGAGCTCTCATATCATTAGTTATGATTACATATAACTAAAATAAGTAAATTATAATAATTTATAAAAGTATTTAAAATTTTATTCGAATAGGTTTGTGATTGGACACCAGTTAATGCTATTACTGTTTCTACATTCTAAATAAACACAAATTATAAAATGATTGTTTATGGCTCAGGTATTTTAATATATTTTACTGATTACTCTTAGAAGAAGCTAATAAATGAAATTATATTATCTGAAGCAGCTTAAGGAGGGGTTATTGATTTATAAACAAATAGCCATTTTGTTTACACTAATAAAATTTATTAATTTGATCTTGAAACAAATAATTTAATCAAAGTTTCTAAATTTGAAGTAATTCTTTTTATTTATTTAGTTTGTATTTTTATATTTTAAAAATAAAATACTAGCATGATGATATAATTACGTAATTAGAAATAATTTATGAATGGAACATAATAATAACATCTTCATTTGATAACACTATGGCAGTATGGAGTTACCCTGAATTATAATTTATGCAAAGGTTATACCATGATCCAGTAGATTGTGTAAAAGTAAATAATTTTTAAGTAGAATTAGAAAGAAACAGAGTATTCTCAGGTTGTAGGTATGGAAGTGTTTACATCTGGAAGAAGAATGCTTTAAATAATACTTTTTATTTAGGAAATGATTTGTAATATATCTTAACAAATTGGAACGTAACCTCAATTGTAGTTGATAACTAGAATGATTACTTATTTTTGATTGGAGTAATTTAAATTTATGTTAATCTTTTATTGCTTTTAAACCTATTTTAAACTAATTTTAAATCTTTTTATACTAATAAAGTGGTATTGGTATCCATTAATAATCTAACTAAGTACAGTAGAGTAATCAATTAATGTTATTGCAATGTTATAAGGTATAAATGCTGTATACGACAAGCTTAATTAGTGCTTAATACTTTCTGATTAAGATGGAAATGTTTGGAATTATAATATTACTTCAAGAACTTATATTTTCAATAAATAAAATGCAATTCATCAAGTATTTTTATTTTTAATGATGCAATCATTTAATTTTTATTTTCAAGGGTTGGGTTAATTAATTAGTTATTGATCCAGCAAATTAAATGTTTGCAAGTATGGGTGATGATTGCACAATTTAAATATGGCCTTATGACTCTGACGCAAGCTAAATACCTTTATTTTTTTTTAGGAATACAGCAAAGATACAGTCTGGAAAATTGGATTTAGTATATTTTTAATTTTTAATAATTTAATATTTAAAAGCTTTACTATTTAAAGGATAATTAGATATTGATTATTTCAGATACCTATAATAAAATTATATTGCTCAAATATCCTTTATTGTATGTGATTAAATCTTTTGATTCACACACAGCTTAGATAAACTAGTTTATAATTAATTGGAATTAATTTCTAGTAAATTTAATTATTTTTAAATATAGATAGATATTTATTTATTTTATTTTACAATTAGATTTTATCTTTTTCAAATGATAAAACTGTAAAATTTTGGGAATATGAGCTTGGAATTGAAGAAAAGTACTTTTAAATTATATAAAGAGCTACTTCAGTAATGAGCTATGCCTATGATGAAATAGAAAACACAATATACTATGTTAGATCTGAAGGAAATGTATAAAAGTGGTCAATCACGAGTGAATAGACAGAAAACGGATTTAATCTTTAATATAATGATAGATATAATAATACAATATTTTTAATCAACAATGATGTTTTTATTTTAGCTACTACCAAATAATTAAAGTTAGTAATGAAAAAAAATTTAGAAGTACTTTAAAGTATTCAAGTGGAATGCTCTCATAGTATAAGTATATATGATATTATAATTTGTGGTTATCATTGTAAGTTGACCTCTTTTAAGCTAATCTAAACTAATATAAATAACAATTATAGTTACTAATTAAAATATTTGTATTAATAAAATTTGGATTATCCATTATATAAACTATAGAATGGAATTAAATCTACAACTGAATTCCTAATTATTCTTGTAAACCATTCTATTTTTTTCATAGAAAGCTCTACAGGTTAAGTAACTAAATCATTTCCTCTTATTCATAAATAAGTTATTTTAGAATTAATAGAATTTAGTTAACAAATTATATTTAGCTATTCATTAGATGGATAATTAGCCTAATATGAAATACAATAAAATTAGGTTTTAATTTAAAGAATAATTTAGTTAAATTATCCAATACTTTAAGTGGTAATAAACGCAGATTATATTTTAGTGAATCTAAAAAAGTCAAACTTCTGTTAAATCTATAAAAATGACAATTCCATAGTTTTTACACTACTAGCTCTTATTTAAACTTCTTCTCGCTGGTAAACTAATTAATAAATAATTCTCTCTCCAGAAAATTAGACTATTCTTGTGAGTTCTGATTTCTATTACATTTCTTTTGATTACAAATCATTTAAATAACTTTACTATTATCAAAGCAATATTTTTGTAGAGAGCACATTTATGAAAAGAAAAGTTACATTAATTTAATAGAATTAATTCTTTATTTAATAAGGATAATCTTTTATAGTCATAGCATCTAGTGATTTGTCTTAGTAAAATATGATAGTTGTCTAAAAAATATTAAACAGAAACTCATTTTATGAAAATATAAACATAAAAGTGGATTAAATAAATGATTCATATGTAGTTACAGTTCTTTCATTTAACCTTCAAGGATTTAATTATTTAATGACTGATACTCAAGGATAAATGTCATGCTAGCAAAATTTGTAAGATGCTAATTTTTTTGACATCTACTAGAGAGTTCGCGATTATTTGAATTTAAGGAATAACTTATAAACTGATTATAGTTTATAAATGTCTCATTTATTTAATTTAAATATGACTAAGTCATTTACATTTTATGGATTCCCTTAAATAAATTCTAATTTCTAAATGCTTGTACAATTAACAGTCTAAGGAGATAATTAAAAGTAATTGATTAATGGAAATTTCTATTTCAATTAATTATTGCAATCATAAAATATTGCAAGCTTAAAATTAAATAATTTAATAATTGAACTTAAAGATGATGATAATAATGAGTAACTTTCTAGTATAAAATTACAATAAGTAGAATTTTTTTCAAGTCAATTAATATTTAACAATTAATCATTTAGTATGAGCAATTTACAGCTATTCCGCATGAAAAATATAACCATAAACCAATAAAATATATCTTTTTGTTAAAGTGCTTTTATTATTTCTAATACTCAATCAGTAGTTATCGAAGATAGTATTATTAATAAAAATATCTTAAATACAACTTCATTATTTAATTTCAATAATTCAATTACTAACAACCAAACTTCATAGTTCATTTTTAGCAGTAATCAAATATTAAGTAATAAGTTAAATTAAAGCTCAATTTTTTTATTTGAATTTATAACCGATATTATATTTCAGAGTAACCAAATTGAAAATAACTTTAGTGAGGAAAGCTCTTATTTAATTTAATCATTAATAGCTACTAATATAATTATTTCAAATTTTAATTTTAATAATAATATTAATTTAGTAATAATAAATAATTAGAAGATATTGAAAACTATTCAAAATTCTTTGATGTTTATTATTGAGGTTGAGAATAATTATTTGGAAATATCAAAAAGTATTATAAACTAAAATAAATATTTAGCTAGAGATAGTTATTTGATTTATTCTAATTCATCATAAATTTTACTATATGATACATAAATAAATAAATTGGTTAGTAACTCTATGATTAGTTTAATAACCTTATTATCTTAGAATTTGTAATTAAACTATTTAAGTGCTATAGAAAACCAATCATAAGTTTAACCTTTTTTCTCTATAAGTTAGAGCAATGTTTTAATATAGTAGTCATCTTTTGACTCAAATAGACTTCTTAATCCATCTCTAGGAGGAGGTGTTTTTTATTTTATATCTTCTTAAGTAAATATTTCAAACAGTACATTTTCTAAGAATTCAGCCTAAAGTAATTATTATTATTATTTTATTATTTTAAGTAATATATTTTTCTTTATTTAGATGGAGGATCTCTTTATTTTATTGACTAATGCGTTGGTTTAATTTCTAATACTACTTTTATTAGCAATTATGCTAGGGAAAATGGAGGAGTACTTATTCTAAATAACTCTGATATTCAAATATAAAAGACAATCTTTTAATTTAATAAAGCTTTGATAGGAGGAGTTGTAAGATATTTAACATTTTAACCAAAGTTTTTGTAAAAAAGTAGTAAAAACAAAATTTTAGATACATGCGGAACTATTTTTGAAAATGTTTGTTAATAAAATTAAGGTTTGTTTTATGGAAATAATTTTGGTTCTTATCCATAAACTATTAAAATAAATAATATAACAATAGAAAATAATGGAGTATATACGTTTGAAAATGTACAAAGTGGAACTTAAGGCCAAATTTTAGAAATTTAATTGTTTGATGAAGAAGGAAGTTTAGTAAAATTATAAAATAATGATATTTTGCCATCAAGTATAACTTAAGAGTTTTAATATTATTAAGTTGCTTTGTATGAACTATATTAAGTAAATTAATAACAAGATATTTCTTAAAGAGATTTAAAGTTAGATGGTACAACATTAAAATAATTTTAAACTGATAAATTTCTATTAAACTAATACTCAGCATCAGGTAATAAATTTAAGCAATAAAAAGTTTTTAATAAATATACTTTTACTGAATTTAAAATTATTTCTTTTTGATTAAACTAATTTAACCATTTATTATTGAATTAATAGCTTTCAAAATAAAATATACAAATTAAATTGATTCTTTAATTGAAAGAAAAATTTTTATTAAAGATTTTAGTTTATTTATTAATAATTTAGTACTTAGAAAAAATTTTTAAAACTGTTGTTTAAGAGATTTAAAATAATTATCGCTATATATCTTAATAATTAGTTATTAATTTAAAAAAATAATTAAATAATTTTTACAAATAATTATATAAAGAAAACATTATTACCATCTCACATTACAAAAATAGAAAGATTCAAAGAAATAGACATTATACATTTAGCATTTTTTGATTATTTTTATATACTTGAGAACAAACAGAGTATTTGATCTATTTATTGATAAAAGTTTCTCAAAAATATGTTTTTATTTTTAAAAAATTTAAACATTAAAATATTTATTTAATCATCTGAAAGAACATAAAAATAATAAAATAAAAATATTAGGATAAATTGGGAAAAAAGGCGAAGCTGTTTTATTTATTTATGGCTTTGAGCTTTTATCAAATAAAAGTTTAAGATTTACTGATCCTTTGATTATTTTTATCAACTACATATTTAGATAGTGCTAGGTAGGTGAGATAGTTTAGCCTGCCTGCACTAATTGCTCTTTAGTAAATTGTTACACTTGTTAAAATGGGACTTACTCTATTTAAGATACTACATAAAATTCAAATAATTTACAATGTAAACCATGCGATTATAAATCTTGTGATTATTGTGAGGGAAATAAAATATCTTTAAAGAAAGGATTTTGGAGATTAAATTAATAAGATGACAATATTATTCCATGTGGTAAGTCTTAAGATTTATGTAATGGTTAAGAGGATACTAATTATTGCTCTGAAGGGTAATTTTGAAATTAAAACAAAGATTTATTTTCAATTATTTCTGATCTAAATATAAAGATAAATAGGTCCATTATGTTAGACTTGTGATTATTTAGGATAGTTTTGGAATAGCTCATATGCTGAAAATAATTTAGATAATAAATGCTTTAAGTGTGGTTCCGAATCATAATATATAGCTGCATAGTTCTTTCTAAGCATTATAACATTATTATATTTGACATATATTTTTTATGAGACAAAAGTAAATCTAAATTTGATGGCTAAAGCTCTAATTTTAGATAGAATAGGATTAATAAGACTAGGAACTTCAGGATAAATAGGTGAAAAATCTTTTTACAGTAGAATTATGATTAGATATCTATAAATATTTCTAAGTATCTCTACTTTGAGTCCTCATTCTATTTTTAATGTTTAGATTACTTCAATATTCTCACCTGTAAGCTCAAATTAAAATTTACTTGATTGTATGTTAAGTAAATTTAGTAACACAGTTCCAGTTTATTACTACAAAGTGCTATTTTTTGTGACGATCCCTTTCATCATAATTCCTTTAGGATTTATATTTTATAATTTTATCATATTTATTTTAAGTTACTTTACCAACCAAACTAGAATTTCTTATAATTATGAATACAAAGTAAATTTTATAATTTAATATTTTTCATAATTTTAACGCTATTTATTTAACATAAAAGAAAGATGCATCTATAATATGTTTTATATTTCTTTTCTTTTTCTTGTAGCAGAGTACATTTGAATCTTTAGTTTAACCATTTACATGTACACAAATAGGAAGTTAGTATTTAATAAGCTACTACTTGTTAGAAAAATGCTATACTTCAAATCATATACTTTTAATAGGAGTGGTTATTCTACCAGCAGTTTTTTTATGGGTAATTTTGATTCCAGGCATATTAATGTGGAAAATTTGGAGCAAATCTTAGTTGCAGGATAATTTTTCATAAGAATTTTATTTAACAAAAAAAGTATTAATTAATTATAACATTTACAATCATTTAAAAATTTATTTTAATAAAAGTATGGATTTCTTTTTTATGGCTATAAAAGAAATTTTTATTTATGGGAATTTTTATCTATGAATTTAAGACTAATATTAGTGTTTCTTGTGTAATATTTTGATGAAGATATTCTCAGCAGAGCCTCTTTAATGTTGGTTTTCCTTTACTTGTATCTTATGCTTTTGCAAAAACATAAAGTAATTTAAGTTTCTTAATAAGATTTATTAATTTTATTTTAAAGCCTTATTAAAAGAGCAATTACTTTAAGATAGACATGCTATTTTCTTAAATATGTTGTCTCCTTACAATAATAAGCATTTTATTAAATGTCTTACAATCAGATATATTTTTATATTTTGGATAGATAATAATCTATATTCTTTAGCTGGTTGCTTTCTTGAGAATTTTTTTAATGTATTTAGATGCTTAAATTAGATTAAACTACCATCGCTTAAAAGAAAAAAAAATAATAAAATGCTTCAAAGCCATTTTATTAAGAGACTGTTTAATAAATAGGATTTTCAAGAGTATTTTAAAAAGATATTTATTATATTTCTATTTATTAACATTTCATACTGAGGTTAACTCTTTTAAAAAATTCAATAATTTCTAATTACTAAGACTTTGGCTTCAAGATTTTATTCAAAAAAAAAAGAAAAATATTTAGGCTTCTTTGATTTAGAGTTTGAAAACTTAAGAAAATTTTTATAAAGACTTTTCTCCATAAAGTAGCTCTTTAAGAAAGACTCTACTTAATAATAGATCACCTAAAAATTTTTTACAAACATAAAATCTTACTTAATCATGCTTCAAAGAAAACTCTCCATTAAGATTCAGCATAAATAATAATTAAAAAGAAACCTTCTAAATAAGAGATATCAAAAGTAGCAATATGAATTTTACACAATTAAATTCCCTTAACACTAAAAAGTTAGAACAAAAAATTTCCTAAAAGCTAATTTAAATGTAGAAATTAGATTTTGAGTCTTAAATTAGTGAATCTTATTCAGAATTTGATAGGCAAGACTCAATAAAAAATTAAGATTTATATTATCTTAAAGTTAAAAGTAATAATTTTATTTATTTAAAGTTTATTAAGACATAAAATTACTTTAACTGAAAAATTTAGAAAATTCAAGAAACATTCCTTAGTTTAATACTTCAGAACGTATTAAGACAAATAAAAATGACTTGGAATTAGAATAGATATTTTTAAGTGTATAAGCTACTTAAAGAAAATAAAGAGTTTTCACCTCTCATCAAGTAAATATTTTTGAGCTTTTATTTTTTAATTTATTTTTTTAAGGATGAAATAGTTGAGAACTATCCAATTACCAAATTAAATAACTGAAGTTAAACATGCATTTTTATATATTTATTGTTTATAATTTTGTAAAATATAACTACATTTTTTAATACTGCAATTTTTATTTAAATAATTTAATTTTAATTATTATAACTATTTGAAAATTAAAAAATATGTAAAACATATTAATATTTATGACCGAAAAAAATTTTTAGGGCATTTATACCAATACAGTAAATGTATTTATTTTGAATTTTTAATCTGATTTAGTTAACTACAAATTTACTATTTCATCTTATGTTTTTTGTCACTTTTTAAAGATTACTTAACTACCATCAGTTTTGATATTTATGTTTAATTAAAATATTAATGATTATAAAGTGCTATAAAGATAGATTTAATTAGAAAGTTGAATCAGTTTTTAAGATTGGGTGATTCAAAATTTACATAAAAAAACAAAACTTTCAATTATAAATTTCTTTTTTGATCTCTTTAAGATAGAATAGTCGATTTAGATAATAGTAAAAAATAATAAAAAGCAAAATCTAATAAAATGAGTAGTTCAGAATTAGATAGTAGCCAATAAATAGGACACCCAATTAAAAAAAAGGTTTGTAGAGATGAAGATAAAAATAAAAATGATACAGATATCAAAGAGGAATATCAAGATTAGGATATTTCAGATGATGAGGGCGAGGATTTAGATTCTAATTCTTAAAAAAAACAGAATTCTACAAATAAATCATTAGATGGATAACAAATTGGAAATGAAAGAAGTACAGAATAATCAAATGGGATTAAAAAATTAGAGATAAAATCAACTTATACCTATCATATGAATAACCCTAATCATATAATAACAAATGAACCTAATGATGTTGAATGGGAGTGTTTTGATTGCAATAAAAAATATAAAAGTTATCCAGCTTTCTATACTCATAATAAAATAAAGCATAATGGTAATCCTCCTGAAAGATATAAAATTCCTCGTCCCCTAGATAGTATTTCAAAAGATAGAGGTAGACCTAAGGTGAATAATTTATTAATAGGTTTAGTATATTTTGAAAAATAGTCGTTTTAAAAAAAATATTTGTTATAAATTTCATAATTATGTAATAAGCATATTATTAAATTATTGAAAGGTGTATTCTATTAAATAAAATTTGGTTTATTAGCATAAAAAAATGCTTTAAGTACCATGAAAAGATTGTACTTAACAAAATCTTATTTTAAATTTAAATAGGCTGATACTAGCACTAAATAAAAATTTACAGATAAAGACCAAAAACAGCATAATCTTGAGGATTAGATCTATGAATTCTTAGCAAAAGCAGGAGCAAATGTAAAAATTATTTCAAGTAAAAAGAATTTAAAACAAATTTATAAATAGGATGACTAAGATAACAAAATAATTAGATAATACTTAAATGAACCTGTCAATTATATTGAAGCTATGCCCTCATTTAATTTGTAGGACTCTAACATACAAGATAATATTTAACAGATAAAGAAAGAAATAGTGTAAATAAAATATGAATATTAATAAAAAGTAAAATATATTTTAAATTTAAAAGAAAGCTAATAGATTTAGTTATGCAATATGATGATTTCTAGTATATTGATCCCATGGAACTAAGTGATCCTTAAGAAAGTGAAATAAATCTGTTTAATTTAAAATATTTGATACAGCATTACAAATAAAATAATTTGATTAACGACTTTTCTTTAATTTCAATATTCATTTCATGGATAGGAAAAGAATTAAGATAAGATTCTTATTAAGAAATTTGTTTAATTTTAATTGCATATTTTACATAATATTAAAATGAATTAAAAAAATTGGCAAAAATTGCCCCTGATACTAGAAGAGATCTCTTAGAAAAGATTCACAAATTTAGAGAATATAGATATTTCTTATTAGCTCAGTAATTTAAGCTATTTAATGACTAAACTATATTCGATTTCATTGGACTTTTTAAGATTTGGATAGTATTTTGGATAGAATAAATTTATGGTGATGGAATTAAAGTAAATACATTTAGTAATAAGCAAGAAGCTCCTATTATTTTGGGCTCTGATGAAGATGAAGATAACTTTGATGAAGATGATGATAATGACAATGAAGAAGATGCAGCTGAAGAGAATGAAGATGAAGATGACGATACTAATCGAAAAATTTCAAAATAAAAATCTAATTAGAATAAAAAATAAAATAACAGTTAAAAAAAAAATTAACAAAGTAAAAATAATAATAATGAATTAGAAAATCCTGAAAATTAATTAAAACAAAAAAATATCTAAAAAGAACACATAGAAAGAAATGAAACAAATTTGGGAATGACTAAAGTCTAGGTTGAAGAAGAGGCATGAAAATTTGATTGTTATTAATTCAATAATTTCAAAATTAAAAAAACTAAAAGATTTATTTAAAATTAATTTGTAATTTTCACCATGAACTATAAATTTTTTATTTTTAATGTAACTTGATATTATTTAGTAATGCAAAATTTAAAACTAACTTAAAATTTTTTTTTTTTAATTATTCAAATATTTCACTAAATAAGATTAAAATGATATATTTATTTTATTTTTAAAAGGCTAAGCAATAATGAGTTAATAAAATAATAAATTTTCATCACTTAGGTAGAATTAAAACATTAAGCTATTCTTATTTTAAAATAGTTAGAGACACTTTTTATTTAATTAATAAAAAATTAAAAAAAAAATATTCATAAAATATTCAATTTTAAAAAGAGTAATTAAATAATTAAAATTATTTAAAACTAATTTAAAATTATTTATTTTTAATATAAATTTATCAAATTAATGCAAATTCAAAATTTTTTAAAAGCAAAAAGATATTTTATTTTGAATTTTTGATGAAAAAAAAAGATTAAATAAGATTTCTTAATTATTAAATTAAAATATTTTTTTACTTTTATCTATTTTTAAAACTTTAGCAAAATGCTTTTAATCATTATCCATTAGTAAAATTTATTAATAATTTATAATAATAATAAATAATTAAAAATATAAATAATATTTATCAAATAATTTGTTTTCATTACTTAAATTGATTAATATTGATGATAATTCAAAATTAATTTTATAATAATTGCATAAAAAAGCTAATCTTTTAATAAAATTAATTTAATTATAAAGTAAAAAAAAAAATAATTAAAATAGTTTGCAATTATACACTTATTTAATAGAGAAAGTTAACTATTATTAGTATAATTAGTACATGAATGGCTATATGAAGAGTTAGTTAATTAATTATTTAATCTTAAATTCAATTGTAGTTAAAATACAAAATTCAAAAAAATTGTATTTATTTAGAAATTTTTTATTTTAGAAGATATATTACTTAATTAATATCTGGTTTATAACTAACAAGTACTTATCAGCTTTTTATAGATAAGACTAGGAAAAGAAAATAAAAAATAATACATCAATTGAAATTTTAGTTAAGGAGAAGTTATATTTATTTAGATTAAAGCAAGGTTATTAATGGGAAATGCTTGTTCCTGCGATGATGACGTTGTTCATGATCAAAATTTGAATAAACCTGTTTAATATAATTAAAATAAAAATTTTCAAGAATTATATGAAAGAGGAGTTGATTCAGATTTTGAGCAAGATTAAGATTTATAAGCAACTGCAAAGACTTTAGGAAAAAAAGCATCTATATAAAAACTGCATGCTACTCCTGGTTAAGTTTCTGTAAGAAACTCATAAATATTTAATGGTACAAATAATAGTTTCATAGAAAAAACAGCAGCCAATAATGATAATACTGCAATCTAGAAGGCAAATTTTTTAAATGGAGTTAAAATTATAAAACATAGTTCAACTATCCCTCCTGAAGTTAAGAAACACATAAGATTGGATCTTTAATTATTAGATAAATTACCAGATTTTAGTAATGAATATACTCGTCATGTGTTAGATAGATTAGGAGGTTTTAAGTATGACGATGAGGATCCTTTAGATATTACAAATTTACCTTATTATGGACCTGTTTTACTTGATAATTACGCGTAAATATTTCAAAAGATTTTTGATTTTTTTGTAGCTTTAAGTGTACTTTAAGTGAAATGAGTTTTTCTTTGTAATGAATTAGAAAGAAAATAGAATTAAAGAATTTAATATAAAATGAATGAAGCATATTAAATAATCAAGAAACAACTTTTTAATATAAAATTAATTTTGAAAAAGATTTTTCTCATTGAATGATAATATTTTTTATTTTACTTTTAGATGCTACTATGGACAATGGAAAAATGGAATGAAATGGGGAAGAGGAAAATAAGTATGGAGCGATGGTTCTATGTATGAAGGTTACTGGTCTAATGATATGGCTAGTGGAAGAGGTAGACTTATTCATGGAGATGGTGACGTTTACGAAGGCTAATGGTAAGAAGATAAAGCTGATGGTGATGGAGTTTACATTCATAGAGATGGCGCTAGTTATACTGGATAATGGGTATAAGATAAGTAGCATGGTATTGGTATTGAAAAGTGGATTGACGGAGCTAGTTACGAAGGATAATATTTTTAAGGTATGAAACATGGAGAGGGTATCTTTTTGTGGGCAGATGGTAGTCAATACCATGGATCTTTTAAATAAAATAATATTCATGGAAAGGGTTAATACAAGTAAGTATTTTATATAATTTTTTGTGAATTTTTAATCAGTAAAAAATCTTTTTTTAAATTAATTATTATATTCAAATCTATAAAATTTTAGGTGGAAAGATAAGAGATAATATACTGGAGAGTGGAAAGACAATAAAATGCATGGACTAGGCTAATTTACATGGCCAGATGGTAGGAAATATTATGGAGAGTATAAAGATGACAAGTAAAATTTTATATTTGATGAATTAATGTATATTTTAAAATCTAATTTTCAATCAGAAAACATGGGTATGGAGAATTTACTTGGCCTGATGGAAGAATGTACAAAGGTTACTGGGAAAATGGAAAATAGCATGGTAGAGGAACCTATAGAGGAACAAGCGGAGTTGAAAGGGAAGGTGAGTGGTTCGAAGGAAGAAAAATAAAATGGATTGATGAATGATTATTTTAAAGAACTCAAAAATATATTTAAAGCCATTAAAAAAATGAAGCTTGCGATAGGAAAGTTTTAAAAATCTAAAAAAATAAGAAAGGAAGGAAGTAAGAAATGAATGAACAAAAAACTAATAAATATAGAGATCTATAAACCACTCTCTCAAAATTTATTTAAAATTTTGATAATTTATCATTCAATCTAATTAATTTCTGCATTCGTTTTAGGTCTGTAAAAAATGAGATAGATTGAAAAATAAATAATTAGTTACCTATAAATTTTTAAATACAAAAATATAAATTTAAGGAATTTATTAATGATTTTTTTGATTACTCTAAATTAATCAAACTAACAAAAAAAAACAAAAAATACAAATTAAAAAAACAGATCAAACAAACAAAGTTTTTTCTTAATTACCTCAAATAAACATACTGAAAAAATTTCGTAAGTGCTGTTTTTTAAAACATACAATTATAAATAAAATAATAAAAATAATAAGTTAATTTAATTAAATTTAGTTAAGTTTTTCCAAATTTTTAATATCTTTACTCTATTCTTATCATGTACATATTGTATCTGTTTTTTGTTACTTGCTCCTTTTTTCTTTTATCTAAGTTAATTTACGCTATTTCTTTCAACTTTCTTATCATAAACATCTAAATAAGTAAATATATTAAACTTAATTTTTCTTGATTATATCATAATTTATTTTATTTTCATCCTATTTAGAAAGATAATTTACCTTACATATTTTTTAATAAAGAGTTAAAAAACTAAAAAAATCTTACATTGTGCTATAACTGAGTAGTTATTCTATGCTAAATGATTACAAATTTAAAGTTAAAAAAATAAATAATTTTTTAACTAATTGACAAATAGTTGTTTTTACATATTGAAAAAAATATTATTAGTATGATCAGTGGATTACATTAGCTACTTAAGTATTAAGTTAAAAATTTTTCAATTAATAATACACAATTATTGAAGAAGATTTTAGATAATTAATTAATAGTGAAAAAAAATACATAAATCTATTATCTAAAAAATCATAGGTATAATAAGAAGAGCATAGCATAACAAATAAGAGACTAGATTATAGAATTTTAGCAGCTCAAATGATGAATTTATACAAAATCTTGCAAATAGCTTTCCTTCTTTCATTTATCTCTTGCGAAAGTACTTAAATTTTTTTACTTTTTTGTTATTTCAAGTCAATCATAATAATTATGATTAAAACTTTCAAAAGATAGTACAATTTTATTAGTAAAAGAGTTATATATAGGATTATAATACTAAAATGCTATCATTTAAGAAATTAACTTACTAAAAAATATTTTTTTAGGTGATAAGTTAAATTCAAATACATTCTTTTTATGTAAAATCAAAAAATGATAAAAGAAAAATCATATAACTCTAATAAGCCAAACTTTTATTTTGCTATATTTATATTTTTAGCAAGTAATTTTTAAATATTTATTGATACTTGTAAACAAAAAAGAACAACAAATAGAAGGTCCTAACCAATCTCAATAATAAACCAGTTTAAATATTTCTTCAGATCAATAAGTTGATAAAAATTTTTAGACAAGCAGAAACGATTTATTAAATAACATCAGTAGTACTATCAGAATAACACAACAGAGTTAGGCAAATAATATATCTACATTAAATGGATTTTCTGTTTCTAATTAATCTACAGTTCAACTCGCTTAAGGTGAAATTATAGACAATTTTTATTATTCTGAAACCCTTTAATGCTTCTTTGTTATTACTGAATAACAAAACTTTATTTACTTCAATCCTAACGCAACTGACATTTCATAAAGATAGCAATTGATTTTTAATGTTTCTCAAAGAAAAGACGACAAAAAATTTATTAGAAAATTTTACTATAGTGAAACTTATAAATATATGATAGTTCTATTTGATAACTAGCCTACATATATGTTTAATAACTTTAATTAAAATCTTTTCAGTGGTAGCAGCTCTCTTTCATCGCTAATAGAAGTTTACATGTTTTCAGTAAACTCTGAAAACATGATTAAAGTACAATTTTAGATTCAGGTAAGTGAAATATTAACAGGAGCAACTCTTATGTCTCCTATCATAGACTTTAGTGTATCGAGTGATGATATCAAATTTATGTATTTAACAAATCAAAACATTCAAGTGTATGAAACGAACATCTTGGGCAATATTTAATTTTATCCTACTTTCAATTTACAAAACACTAACTCCTAGAATCCTTTTTCAAATGGATTTTCAAAGCTTTACTTCTCTTAAAATTTAATTATCATTATGAATAATTTGCAAGGCCTTATTTGTTATCGTATAGATACTAAACTATGGTATGCTGGAATTATCACTTACACTAATCCTACATTTCAATTTATTTATCTAAGCAAAACATTTTTCATATTTTTTGGAACGAATATTCAATAAGGTAGCTTAACAACATTTTAACTTGTGCTCTAGGATACTCCAGTCAATAAGGCTCTAAACAGCACTAATATTTCATTATTTAGTTCGATCCCTTTATTTATTACCATCAGTTAAAATTTCATGCTCGCTGTTTTGTAAAGCAGTACGGTAGCAATTTATTAAATTGTCGACAATAACTCAAGCTTAAGTTAATTCAATTTTGTTCTCTCTTAAACTCTTTAAATATAGCAGAATATAATTTAGCTGCAAATGACATCATATGCTCTCATTATCTTGAACTATAAATAGTTATCTATTTTTTCAAGAATAGATATCTCTACTCCAGTCTAGACCAACTATGTTAGCTTATATGCTTCATAGAATGTTTGGTAGACATCTAGTAATGCCCAGTAAGCGTCTTTCTGCGCTTTTTATAATAATATTGTCTATATATTATCATCATCTAGTATATTTATTAGCTCCTAAAACTAAGCTGTTAGCACAATACCAGTTGCAAATAGTAATCCAATCATTCTATTTGGAGTATTTGCATATCCTCTTTCTTACTATTACTTAGACTCAAAGTTAAATTTGGTAACTATTTTAAATTTAATTATACCATAAATTCATAAATTAAATTAATAATTATTTTCGAGCTTTTATGTTATAATACGCATTATTAATACTGAAATATAATTTCAATTAACATAAAACCCCACAAAAAAATACAAAAATAGTCACAATCAAAATTGTAAACGTAAAATATGATAAAATAAACATGATTTAACACCACAAGCAATATGAATTTTTGATAACCTTTGAATAAATGTATAGAAAAGCATTTAATTTACTATAATACATAAAATCTCATTTAAAATTACTCTATTTTAAAATTATTTTTGGCAAAATTTTTGTTTAAGAAAGATCTGTAAAATATTTTTCATAATGAAAGTCCTGATGATTAATACTTATGACTGCGCATAATGAATTTTTAATTTTTAGTAAAATATAATTTTGATTTTTATTATTTGAAAAATAAGAAAGGAGATTTTATTTGTTTCTATTTTTCTTGTTTCAATAATAAAAAAATCAAAAATCAATATGCATTATATGAAATAAAATTTAAAAGCTTATTCTTTTTTATTTGTTTATTAAAAAATTTACAGATTTAAATTTATTAATTAATGTTTAATTAAAAATAGTAAATAAACTCAATGAACGTGACTTCAAATAACTAGATTAGTATTAAGAATTTGAATACAGTGTTCTAAACGATAGATTAAGTTATTTAGACGTTTTAAAACATAATTTTTATAAAGGGAAGTTTCATACAACCTTCAACAATAAGTAACATTATGATAATATAATTAGATAACACATTTAAGTAAACTTAACTAAGTGTTCCTAATTCCCTAATAACTTTGAATTGCACGTCAATTTTATATAGCAGTCTGACTTAATCTACATATTTTACTACAAATACATAGATATATTTAATATCATAAAATATATTAACGCCAACAAATTTGATAGCATCGTTAATATATGATTTCTCAAATATTATTGTTGGTTTTAATAATTTTATTCAGCAGATATCAGTATCATAGTCTTTTATCTATGTCATACTTAATTATGGTATAATATTTTATGAATTAAATATTTAAAATAATAGCGTTAGATAAATAAATATCCCTTTCAACATAGGAAATATCTTCCCATTTAATAACTTTTTAGTATTAACCAATCCTTCTCAAATAGTAATATTTGATATAGTTTCTAATAATGTTGTTTTATTTAAATCAATAAATTAAAATAACAATAAATAAATAACTTGTGCAGATTCTTATCAATCTTCTCAAAGTAGCTATTCAGTAGTTTAATCAAGCGTTGCTCTTTTGTATAATTTTCAAAATTATTAACCAAATCTAATATTAAAATTAGTAAATAATAATTCTCCTCCTCCATATTAATTAGGTTCTTAACTCACTTTCTAATATTATATGACTAGTCTTTAAAGCTAAATACTAAAATTGAGTTATATTTAATAAGATCAAGGTTTAGTATAAACAAACCTTCCATTTGTTATAAATTAAGTAGGAAATACAATAGTTTAGACATCTGACCTTTTACTGAATACTATTGGAGGCAATGTTGTTGAGTACTATACCACAAAGACAACAAATCTAAGAATAGAAAGTGCTGTCTTAATATTTGGTTTCATTTAAAAAGTTTCATCTCTTTTACTACCTAGCACTGTATAATCATTATAGTCAATAGGGTAGATTACAAATGATGGATATATTGTTTTAAATGGACTCTAATCTGCATTTAAAATATTATCCCTTCCTTAATCTGAATAATCAATAATAATGAACTCAATTATTCGTGTGCATTATCTTGTTTAAATCTAAGAAACCCTCTAATTTGATGAGCTTAATCTTTTAGCATTCACTACTAGTTCAAAGAATGTTTAGCTTAGTTTCAATATGAAAAATAATTATTATTAATTTATTTTAAAAAATATTTATACTTCAGAGGTAAGTGAAAATCTGAATTGGGAAATTGTAAATAATTCCTTTGGATTGATTATACAAGGCGCTCCAAGTAATATTTAAAAATATTTATCTTACTTTATGATAAAGCCAGTCAAATAGTCTACAGTTCCAAGTTAGGAAACAATAAATATTTTATTTAGTGATTTCTTAAATTCAAGCAAAAATATTACTTTAAAATTGTAAGATTTCTTAAATAATAATTTGCAACTTTTTAAGTAAGTGGAAGGACTGAAATTAAATTAAAGTTTGCAAACAGTTTTTAATCAAATTTATGATTACAGCAATTTAAAAATTGACAATATTGACTTTTCTATTCCAGATGCAGTATTCTAAGACTCAGACATACCAAAAAATTCCCATTTATCATAGCAAAGCATTCTACAGTATTAAGAAAAGAATAAAGAAAATATAATTTATTATTATTATCACACAACTTAAAAAGGTGATTTGGACTTAAATTAAATATAGGTAGGATAAAACAGTATAGATTATCTATCTTCTTATAATGGAGTTGCAATTAGCTAAAATAACTTCATGATTGATACAAACAATTTTCGCGAAAAGGGATTACTTACTAATAAAATAGAATATCATAGAATAATAATTTGTGCTTAAAATGAAATTAATTAAATATGTGATGATATTGAATTCACTCTTGGAATATCTAATACATTAGATATTTTGCTAATTGTATTGACACCGATTGGCGGCGCATTAGCTTTCTACTGGATATATCAAAGATATTATGTTATTAAATTTTTCTACAATATGAATAAAATAACATTCTCAGATGAAAAAGTTTATTCAAATAATCATTATCACAAATAGATTCCTATAATTACTGACTAATTTGAAATAGCAAAGGAACTTTGGAGCATCTATAAAGTTATTCGTATAGATAGAATTGAATAGAGAGTATATTAATAGAAACTGAATTTTTATGATGATGAAGAAAATATAACTGCCAAAATGTTTGAATAAAACATAAGAAAAACTTCAGATATAGCTACAACATAACAAGGTTCTGGTCAGAACAACTAAAATGGTATTGAGATAAATTAAATCAATATCGAAAACAATCTAGGTTCGAAAGTTAATTCAAGTAAGAAAATAGAATTATCATAAAATTCAATAATTGGAATAAAAGGAGAAAGACCTCAAAACTAGAAAAATAAATAGCTTTAGTCACAGTCTTCTCACGAATACGGCCTAAATATGCATGGAATGCATCCAGGTGGAATTAGTACAGGAAGATAAACTAGTTCAAATAACTTAAAATAAGCTCATAATAATGAAGAAAACGATGTTAGCAAAAATGCTACAACTCCTGATAATTCAATCATAAGAACTCAATTAAATTAAGAATTAAAGGATTGTTCATTCAGCAATGCAGCTCCTATTAATTAAGAATAAATAGCTAATCCAGAAGTTGAAAATAATGATTAATTTAGCAGATAAAATCCTAATCTAATCACTCTAAATTCTGAATAAAACTCACCAACTGTAAGATCATAATTTTACAGACATAATAACCACAATCACTCAATAATTAGGGAAAATAATATTGATCAAATGAATATGTCCTTCTTCCAAAGTTAACTTGAGAAAAGTGATAGTGGAGGTTCATAGTCTAATCCGTACTAATCCTACTAAGAATTTATTTACAAAAATAAAAAAATTTAGCTAGTTTAGGCTAATGGCAATATTATCACAAATTAATTAAAAGAACCATTGGCTGAAAGCTAAGGCTACTTATCTTTTACAAAATATTAAGGTCCTCTTTTATCCTCTTATCAAGCTAGCTAATTGTAAGTTAAAATAGAGTAGCAAAAAATAGAAGATGATAGAAATCAACTTATATTTTAAAAATGTTTTTAAGAAAATAATATTTAATTTAATAAAACAAATTCTTTTATTGTCAGAGATTTGATAAATAATTCAAGAGTTTTTAACTAAAAAGTGTATGATCTGTGGAAAAACATGCAAGTAGTAAATCCAGTACAGTTAAATGATACTCCTGAAAACCCATAATTATTGGATAACTACGATTCTCCTAGATCGAACAGGTAAACTTATAAAAAAAATGCTTCAAGTAGAAGTATACTCAAAAAAATTTAGTTGTAATAACAAAAAAAGAATTTAGTAATACTTTCTAAAAATGTTAATGAATAAGTTGAAAAAATTAAAGGCTCGTTTTCAAAATTAATTAGAGATTAACTTGACTTAAAGGATTAAGTTAATAAAAGACTATAAAATCTAAAAGAAGAAAACATAATTGATGATTTTTCAGGTATAAATGAAGATATTTTACTAAATGATATCAAAAAAACACTCACAGGCTACTTATAGACTAAAATACAATAAAGATTGAACGTTTCTAAGTTCAAATTTCTTCTCAACTAAGTTTAAACAATAACAAATCGCAAAGACGCACTATCCAGATATTTATTTGTTGAGTGTGCAAGACATATATTATCCATAGATTCTATAAGTAAATATATTTATGACTATCTAAAGAAACTAGCTTTGTTATACAATAACTCAAATGATTGGTATAAGTCATATCTATTTATCATCGGCCATAATTAAGATAATTAAATCTACCCATTTCCTTCTATTGTTGTTAAAGTAATTATAATATAAATATTGTTTTAAATTTAATTTTATTATTTTTAATAATAGGATGATATGGTTTAACAGGCATTTTTTGATTTGGGAGTTCGTTTTTCTGGTAAAGAAGCTTAATACAAAGAAAAAATAAAAATTGTAGGCTAAGCATTAGTTGCTGATGCTTTGGATTTAAATAAATTTTCAAATAATTGTGGAGAAAGTCTATATTTAAGTCCAGATGATTAAATATTATCTATTAGAGCAATTAATATTCCTGAGAAATCAATAGGAGGTAAAATGAGATAATTTAAGAATTTCGTATCTTGGATGATAGGGAATTTTGATAAATAATAACTTTTAAATAATATGTATATACCCGAATGGATGAGCTGTGATATTACATACAACACAGTGCATATAAAAGGAAATCCTAATAATAGTTAAGTTGGTAGGTATTTAATCATCATTAGTGGAAAAAGAAAACACATTTTACGTTCTTTTATCCTGAAAGTTTTGAAATCAAATTCTTATAATTAATCTCATAATACTTAATCTAATTAAATTAGAATGCCATTTGAAAGTGATGGAAATCTATTTAATAATAGTTTAGGAAAAAACTAAATTGAAGTATAATCACCATATATAGGTATTAAATAAGATGAAATAAAATAATAATAAATCGAATAATAATAGTTATAATAATAATAGCCATAACCATAACCATTAAGATTAAAAAGTAAAAGCAAAGGTAAATAAAAAGAAGGCAAAGCAAATTCTGATCAAAGTATATCAGGAAATAAATATTTACCAAAAACAAAAAGCCTATTTTAGAAATCAACTTTACCTCTTAAAAGCTCTAGCTATATAAATTCTCCAAAAAGCTATAAGAGTACAATTTAAGTAAAAGGTGAAGCAGAATAGCCGCGCTTAAGAGGATTTTCTGAGTATGTAGAAACAAATAAATATTAAATTCATCATTAAGATAAAATTGCTAGACCTAAATCATCTTAGCTTATCGAGGACCTCAAAAACAATCAAAATAATTTAAAGCCTGTTTCTGAAGAAGAAAATAATAATGAATCTTCTATAAAAAGCTCTTTTATAAGCGAAAATAGGAATATTTTCAACTAAATTCCTCCTCATTTAGACCATGTTATTGAACCTAGATTTTTCCCAAACAGCAAAGATATATCAGTAAATATGTTTGATGCAAGCTCTAACGATTTATAAACACAAAGAGGGTAGTCATAAGAAGATAGTATGACAAACTGATATTTTATAAAAGTTTATTTGTAAATGTCAAACAAGTTTATATTTATTAATTTATTTTTACAAAAATTTAGTAATTAATAATTTTTTAATAAACATAAATAATAGTTTTACATTATCTGTCTTGAAATTAATTGCTTTAAAGCTATTAATTATTCTTCTATTATTATTATCCTTATTTTTTATAAATTTCAATATATTTGTTTTTAATTATTCATAAGTAAAAAAAAATATTTTATAAACCTTTTATTAATTTCCACCCAAATTACTTAAATTAAATTTTTTATTTAAGGAATCTACTTAAATTAAATTTTTCATAGAGAAAATACTTTTTAAATATGAATATTTAAAAAATATCAGTCATCCCATATATCAACCATGACCTCCCTCGCCTTTCCTTTTTTTTTGTTGATTTATTATTGAAGGAAATATATTTGGTTTTTCTAATAAAATTGTAAAAATGCAAAAAATTATATTAATTTATATTGAATTAATTTATTATAAATTAGTAACTATTTTTTATTTATTAACAGAAAAAAATTTTTGTTTTATTTAGCATTTAATTCATTTATTTAAGAAATTGGTTATTTATTGTTAGTTGATGAATCAAACTTCAATAAAAATAATAAGCAATTAATTAGCTAAAAAGTATAAAAATTCTAGTTAAAAAGTAGAATCAAAAATTAATTAAGCAAAACGCTGTTATATGAACGAAGGATAAAATAAATATTCTAAGCAAGCCACAAAAACATTTTAGTCACAGTATAAAAATGGAATAAGTGGTATTTTAGAAGATTCAGCAAAGCTTATAAAATAAGTAAGTTAATTTCAATTAGCTTGGCTATATCCTTTTATATTTATAGGGTTTGTACAGGAAAAGCTTTTTACACATGGATAGATTCTTTAACAAAAATTACAAAAAAATTAATATAAATGAAATAGATTTGTTAAAATTTTGTAGGAGAATGCTTTATTGCATCTTTAAGATACTTGATTAATATAAACTTGATGGATAAATAGCTGTTAAAAAGTAATCAGTTTAACTTTTGAGCAGAGGATACTATTTCATAGGATTATGGAAAAAAATATTGATGAATATTTTAAATATTAATAAGAGCTATGAATAATTTAGCGATAATAGCTTCGACTCCTAAGACTCGGACTAAATTTTATTCAAAAATGAAGAACAAGATTCTTAAAATATGCCTAGCCTTAACTCTAGTCCTATAAACTTCATGATAGCTAGTAAAAATGACTAAATAACTGAGACTGAAGATGTTGAAAGTCTTACTTAATTGCTTAATCTATCAAATGATATAATAAATTATTAGGAGATTAAAAAAATCCCAAAGAAATATAACAGTAACTTCATAAAATTATCAAAAAATAGACATTTATTTTTATAATAGTTTTAGTATAAATTGAAGAGTTCTTGCTGAACTTTCTACAATTAATTTCTAAGACAATCTTATATTACACAGAGTAATTAATTTAAACTATTTAAAAAAATAATATTTCAACATATTCAAAAGGGCAAAAGACTCTAAAATGGTTTTAAGTTTATATTAATTAACTGAAAACTTAATTAATATGCCTGAGCTTCAAAGATCAACAGTAAAATTTAGCTTAAATCAAAAAAATTAATTTAAAACTATATTTTTTATTAAAAAAAGAAATATAAATTTCTTGATATATCTTTTCAAATAAAGATGAACTATGCTTCTTTACTTTTTTAATAAGAATAGTAAAATTTTTATTACATTTTATTATAATAAATAATTTAAGATTTACAACATTTACTTTATTTTTTTTTATTATAATAAAAGATTTGAAAGCAGCAAGTTGGAAGCCTAAAAAGCTTATTAAATAGCCAGCAATATGGTTAACCTTTAACTAAATAAAGATTTGTAGTAGAAAAAATTAATAGATGGAAAGAGTGATCCTTTGTAGTTAAGAAAAAGTATTGCTAGATAAGAAGAAAATGTAAATAAAATAATTTTAAATTGTATTAAATTGAAATTATTAAAAAAGGTAAAATTCTTAATAACATCATTAGTACTACTAGGATAAATAAATGAGTAAATGTAAAATATTGAGAAATTTTCTGAAACAATTCATTTAATAAACTGGCTGGTAAAAGTATTTTTACCTCATAATTCTGACATGAGGCATATAAAATAGCATTTTATTGATCAATTCAATTAAAAAGTAAAAGAAAATTTGTATTATAAAAAAATAACTTTTTTAATTAAAATTTAATAAAGTACAGCGACTATCTATTATAGACTGGAGAAGTAACCAAGATATTAAAGCAAGTATATAACAGTGAAAGAAACATACTCCTAAATTAACATAAAGATCAATAAATAGAATTAGAGAAAGGAGAAGCTTCAAATAGATCTTTTTAAGAAAAAATTAATAACCACATTTATGAAAAGTATAAACACAAAGAGTTAAATGCATCTTAATTTATAGTATCTTATAGCAAATCAAAAGAAATGTAAAAAGATGAAAAAAAGCAATATTAACTAATGGCTAAATAAAGAGATAGCATCTTTGTTGCTAGTGAAATGAATTCTCAGATAAACTATTTCGACTAAGAATAATCTACAGCATACATTTCTAAAAAAGATAGCGTGTTGCAAGCACAGACAGCAGAAGATGATATGAGTGCTTCTATTTAAAAAAGTAAAATGTAAGAACTATATTTCTTGTCAAATAGCTTTGAGCCATCATTGCACAACAAAAATTCATAAATACATGATCATATTTATATTGATGATGAAATGATGCTTACTTCTTCAATTTAAATACAACAAAATAGCTCTTCTTTTAAAGCTTACCAAAATAGCTTACTTACAAAATCTAATAAAGTGTCAGGAAATATAAAAAATCAAATCAGACCAAAATCGAGCTATTTAAAATAAACTATTGCAAAACCTAAATTGCTACTAAAAAGTAGATATTTCCCTGATGATAACACTGAAAAAGAAAACAAAAAATAAAAATTTGCAACAGAATAAGTAATTTTTATCCAAATACTTTTTTTAAATAAACTTAAATTAATATAGAATGAGAAATTCACTGATATCTATGAGATGTTTGGAATTAAAAGACCAAAACATGTGAGTGACTAATTAAATGATCTTGATTCTTATACAGGATAATTGATATCAGAAAAAATATCTCAAGTTGAGCAATTTAATCCACTATCTAAAGTAATTACTTAGTGTAGCTAAGAGCTAAAGGATTCATAATTTGATTAAAAAGAGTTTGGTCATTGTAGAAGGTTAATAGATAATAAAGTAATAAAATTTAAATAAAATTATTTTAAAATATAACTAGATATTTTAAAAATTTTATAAGCACCCATTTCAATTTTTGCAATAATAAAATTTTTTTTTAATAATTTAAAAATTAAATAAAATAATTCAAATTGTTAACTCAAAAAAAGTAATTAAGATAAAAGAAACCAATAAAAAATATTTTAAAAATATAAATTCATTTTGTTTTTTTTTCAATGTTTATAATTTATTATATTTTTAAAACAGAATTATGACTTGTTTTATTACTATTTTTCTTTGAAAAAAGTTTGTATTTTTTAGTACTATTTTATATATTTTTAATTAAAGAGAATTTTTGGAAATGGAACTACTCTAGAAAGTGATAAAGGTGAAAATAAAAAAGATGTTCATATTTTAGATGCAAAGAATAAAATTGATTTAGAGGTTAAATAGGAAGCTTACTTAGTAACTAATCATATAGAGGCCTTTAAATCAATAGAAGAACTTAAAGATTTTCGTAAGCAATAAGTATAAGAAAGGTTGTATTAACAAAGTTTAAGAAGTCAAAAGATTAACTTAAAAAATAGACTTCTTAAGCATTCAAACACTTTAGGTTTCTTGAATGTGTATCAATAGTAGTAATAAAATTAAAATTAACATCATAACTTGAAAATGCATGTGGCAACAATTCATGAAATTAGCAGAGACAAATTTTTAGCTACATAGGATTCATCAGAAGAACAAGATGCAAAGTAGTAAGATATGAAATAGATTTTATAAAATAATGAAAAGAACATTAAAGAGTTCTTAAATTAAGCAGAAAATGTTAGCAGTTTAAGCATAATATAACTGAAGAAATTAGCTAAATAGCAAGTTAAGCAAGAATCTTAGTTAATTGATTAGGATCCAAAACCTAAAATTCCTACCCACATTATACCTATAAAGTAAGATACTAATAGAGAGGCACTATTGTAATCAACTAATTAAATCAATCTGATTTTTGATTTTTTATATTTTTTAATCTAACTAGGAAAAGTTGTAAAGGATATCATCAAAATCTAGTTTCAAGACATAATTAGCTGGCATTAAGCACTATGCATTTGAATTTAGTGAATGAAGCTAAATATGCCTCTAACTTAGCAGATATCATATAAATCAAAATGAAAATCAGTAAAATGGACTCAAACAAATCTACGAGTAACAGGAGCATAAGGAAATCAATAATAGCAAACTTAAGCAATCTTACATAATTTTAAAAACTTACAAAATTTGAACAAAACAAAAATATTTCTCATTCTTGAATCATTCCTTCATATTAATTCTTATAAAATATTTATGAATAAAAATTTATTATTTGTTGAATAAATTTAATTTAATAAATTATTTGTTTTTTCATTACTTAAAAAATATTCAAATCATGACAATAAAAGAAAAATTTGAAGAAAATTTTAATTTATTTTCATTCATTTAAATAATACATAAATAAAATATTTTGGGGTAATTCTTGTTTTTCTAAAAGTTTTTACAAATATCATTTTTATAAAATAAACAATATACAAATATCACAATTTCAATATTATAAAATCAATATGTTAATGAAAAATTAAGAGGTTTTGATTCCACTAAAAACTTTATTGGAATATTTTTAAAAATAAATCACTACAGAAATTGCCTGTACCCAAATCCTATATTTTTGCTAGCTACCCCACTTCACATTTCAGAAAATTTAGCAAAATTAAAAAATTTTTGATTCTATTTTTAAAATCTTTAGTAAATATATTAAATTTTTATACATTTAAAATAAATATTTATCTACAATAAAGACTAAATGCAAATTAGTATTTAAAAAAAAGGTTTAATAATTTGTCAATTAATTACTTTTAATTAATACTACTACTGGCTGGAAACTCTATTTTATTAATTAATAAAATAGAAAAGCAATTTACTAAAATAGTTATTTACCATTAATTTATTTAATTCTAGAAGATTTAATTTTTTGATTTATTTTTGTAAATTACAATCAATATATTAAGTTAATCTATATTTTTTATATCAAAATTATAAAAACAATATTAATAAAACATTAGTTTAATGGAAAGTGAAGAAATAAATAGGGACGGAAGTTTAAGTATTGAAAGCAATCAAGAATGTATTCAAAGATAGAATGATATAAGAGATTAAAATATTAGTATGAGTGATGATTAAAGCGAAGACCCATAAATAGATATAAATTCGAGTTTTAGAGACTAGCAAATGAGCATTGAATCTACATAAAATTAAACCAAAAAAAATAGTTTAATAGAGGAGAGCTCGCTTCAATCCTTATCTTAAATAAAGAGAAAAATTCATAAAAATGATGAGTAAAAAGGACAAAAAAGAGGAAGAAAACCAAAATTGCAATTAAAAAAGACATATTATGATTTTAAAACAACTAACTTAACTAATTTAAGTGATCTTTAGTCTTAATTCTAATTTGAGACAAACATCATGAAACCTATTTCGAATTTAAAAGTATTTTTTTTAGCTGGTGATATTCTTGCTGAATTAAAAGAAGCTAGTCATTAAATGGGGATAGATCTTTTTTTTGAATAGAGAAATGCTTTATTTATGGAAAATTTGAAACATGGAACATCATTTGAAGTTTCAACTAATCGTCCTTTAAAAAATTTTTAATCTGTCATTTATTAAATGGAGAATTCTTAAGACTAAAAGCTATATGAATTTTCTTAATTTTTAAAGAAACACCAAGAACTAGTTTATATGATTAGCTCTTAGATTTAGGACCTCTAAAATTATTATTAATTCAATCCAGAGGATATGCAATTTATCATAGACTAAAGATAAAAAATAATTTAATAGTAAAGGAAATAGTTATTAGAATAGATATTTAATTAAGATCAATTTAGTATAATTGCAACAGTGAGTCTAGCTTTGAGTAATCAGACAACTACAATATCTAATATTTGTTTATCAAAGTCAATGATGGCTCTGATAGGATGTGGAGATGAATAGCTCTGTGATATAATAAAACTAGGATTTTTCAAATTAATTAGTTAAAAGTCAAGGAAATAGTTTATGTTATGCAATGTTTAAGCATAATAAGCTTTAAATTCAGCTTTTAAATTAGATTTTGATGATTTAGAGTTAACAACTTTTGATTTAATAAAAATAATATGTAAAGGTTAATTTTAAACTATTCCTGTAAAATACCCTGAAAACCTAAAATTTGATAAGCACCCACTTCTAAATATGGAAACATTCTATGTAATTTAATTCGATATTACACCATGGCATATAGAGTAGGTATTAAAATTAAGAAGAGAATATAAACAAAAGGCACCTTAAAACGAAAATTTTCCTTACAATTATAACTATAGTGGATTTGTAGAATTTGATATTTTCGAATACACTATTTAAAGTTAAATTTTCCTTGAAAAATATTATTAGAAAGAGCTAGATAGAATTTAGTAATAAAACTAAAAGAAATAAGAAGAATAGTATTAAGAATAAATTAATTATAATAAACAGCAATGTGGTTATAGATACTTATGAAAGAAACTAACTACTAAAATAAATTAAACTTAAAGCTATTTATCAAAATACAAAATATTATTTTAAAAACCATAAAATTATTATTTTAAATTATTTTGTATTCTTTTTATATTAATTGTATTTTCATTAAAAAAAACAATTTTATAAGTTTATAATATGCATAGAATTAATTTTTTAAGATTAATAGATTTCTAAAGATTTAAGTATAGATTAGTACAAAAATAAAAGACGATACATTAAATTATTGATTTTTATACATAAATATATAATAATAATATAGGAAATTTTTCTTTTATTTTTAACTGAATTTTTATAAATATGAGTGCCGAAGTAAATACTAAAATGTTCATAAATATATAATTTTTAAACTCACTAACCTCTCTAGTTTTTTTGCTTGAAGATCAATAATATAATTTCTTTGTCCAGTCAAAATTTAAATACTTTAAATATAAATTTTATTTTTTTAGTAGATGAAAAATATTAATCAAAAGAATAAATATACTCTAAAATTAAGCTCAAGGAGGTTAATTTCTTCCAAGCTTTAATTTAATAAGCTAGAGTATTTATACTTTATTATGTTATCTATTTACTAATAAAAATTAATCAAAATTTATAAAAAAATATAAAAAATAAAATAAAACTTACTTTTAGAAACCTATTATCAGAGTCAATATTGAAAGATTTTCACATTATGCAATACCCATTTGTAAATTTTATAAGCAGGCTACACCTTTGTTGTTAAACCTAAAAAAATATAAACAGGATAATAAGAAATAATTATTTTCTTATAAATTTTAAACAATTTAATTTATTATTTGATTTTTTTACAAGCTTCAAATTAAAATACTTATTTACCAAATAACTAATTTTAAATTTTAGAGATTTTTAAATTGAGCTAAACTTTATCCTATAAATGATATTCCTTAGTCTTCAATATCGTTGTTTGAGCTAAAAAATTTTTAAAATTGTTGAAAACAAATTTTATTTTAAAATAAACTCTTAAAATTTATAGAACCAAACGTAAAAGAGTTTATTTTAAAATAAAGATTAAATTTGAAAATAATAAGTAGTATAATTTACTTAAATATTAAAGCTAAGTTCGTTAGCTTAGTACATTTAGATATTCCTAAAACTATGTCATATGCATCTTAATTATGAATACTGTTATTACTTAAAAAAAATATTTGTAAGACTAAAAATAAGTATTGAATGAGTAATATATTTATATTTACTGCATTTTCAAAGTTAGATGTTAAATATTTCTATTTTTTGCTATACTTGATCCTAAATATTCACCTTTATCTTTTAGACATACATTCCTATAAAATAATTTTATAAAATAGAGTTAGAACATTATTAGCTTTAAATTATCTTTATTTTATTTTAAAAAAACCAAAAAATAGAAATTTTGAACTTACCTCAAATTCAAATTAAGGAATTAGAGATTCAAACATTCATGAATTCCATTCATAATAAGCTGTAAAGTTTAGAAATTTAGCTAATTTTAACTATCCAAATTAAAAAATATTAAAAACTAATTTTTTGTTTTAATTAATCTTAATAAAAAAATAAAAAGAAAACCTTAAATTCAAAGTTAAATTTTTAAGTTATTAGCATTTTTTAATAGCATTTTAAATTATTAGAGCATGCTCTTCATATAATCTTTGGCTAATTTAATAAAATTTAATTGTTTATTTATATCCAAAATAGTTTTAAAAACTTAATTTCCAAAAAAAATTAAGTTAAAAATAATAAATTAAATATCTACTAACTTACCTAAAATTTAAATCCAATATTTCATGATAAATCAAATAAGAATTAGTAAACTTTATAAAAAAAATAATAAATTTCAAATATTAAAAAGTAAATAAAAACATACACTTTCTAAGCTAGTATATTGTTTTTTATTCATAAGGTTTTTTATTCTATTTAAAAAAGATTAAAATATTTTAAGCATTTTAAATAAATGTTTATTAATGAAATATTTTAAATATATTATCTGAAATTATTTTAATTTACATCTTTGATTTTATTTATCCCATCTTTTTTTTCTTTTAGCTAATTTAATAAATATTTATTATCTATCCCAATCTTTAAAAAAAATTTCTTCTTCTTCTTTTTTTAATTAATTTTTATAGTTTTTTCTAATAATTTCATTAATTAAACCAATTTAAAGCAAATAATCAATTTTAAAAATTAATTTTATATATACAAAAAGTTATTAATAATTTTATTCTTATTTCCTTATTTTTACAAAACTAATTAAGCCATTTTACCCAATAAATTACTGAATTAAAAAAATTAATCTTTTCAAAAAAATCTATTATTAATTTTATTTTTTTGGATAAAAAAATAATTGTCTTAATTTGTTGTAATAAAAAATTTAATTTATTTTTTATTATTTTTCAAATTTATAAACTAAAAAATTGATATTTTAATACAAAATGGATAAATAACTATAAAAACTTCATATTATTTTAAGATTCTTATTATCATAAGTATATGTTAAACTATAAAATGAGTTAAATTTTATATTTATTTATTAATTTTTATTACATCATAAAATGTAAAAGTAAATTATGATAAGTTTGATAATATTTTAGTTCATTATAATAAATAAGATAAATCCAAGTTTGCTTATTAACCTATGGAATTTAAATTATCAGAAATCACCTCTTTTTAGTCTTAAAATTAATCTATTTTAAAGAATAAGTATATAGAAAATAAAATTATAAAAGTTTTACTTTAAAAATTAATTTTGTGATTGAGTTACCAAATAAAAAAATGTCTATAATTTTTAAAATATGAATAATAAAATAAAAAGTAAAAATATTTTTAAGCTTTAATTTGGAATGATTAAATTATATTGAATATATTAAACAAATTATCAGCATAGAAATTTTTAATTTTTAAATCACTAAAAATCTGAAATTTTATATTAAAAATAAATAAAAAAATATCATTTTATTTTGAACTATTATAATTGATAATTTGTTTACTAACAAATATTATATATTTTTATATTTAATGGATATATTTATTTTTATAACTAGATTATTGTATTTACTAGTCTCTCAATATTCTATTTCAAATATGAATTTAATCAGAAACCACCTCTTAATCTAAGGACCAAGTGAAGTGTAGATTCCTTTTGAATGTTATAGTCAGAAAGGGTTCTTCCGTCTTCGAGTTATTTACCAGCAAAAATAAGTCTTTATTAATCAGGAGGGATACCTTCCTTATCTTGGATCTTAGCCTTGACGTTTTCAATAGTATCAGAAGCTTCAACATCTAAAGTAATGGTCTTACCAGTCAAAGTCTTAACGAATATTTACATACCACCTCTTAATCTCAAAACTAAATGAAGAGTTGATTCCTTTTGGATGTTGTAGTCAGAAAGGGTTCTTCCGTCTTCGAGTTACTTACCAGCAAAGATAAGTCTTTATTGATCAGGGGGAATACCTTCCTTATCTTGAATCTTAGCCTTCACATTTTCGATGGTATCTGAGGCTTCAACGTCTAAGGTAATAGTCTTACCAGTCAAAGTCTTAACAAAAATTTACATACCACCTCTTAATCTCAAAACTAAGTGAAGGGTTGATTCTTTTTGGATATTGTAGTCAGAAAGGGTTCTTCCGTCTTCGAGTTATTTACCAGCGAAAATAAGTCTTTATTGATCAGGAGGAATACCTTCCTTATCTTGAATCTTAGCCTTTACGTTTTCAATAGTATCAGAAGCTTCAACATCGAGAGTGATAGTTTTACCTGTTAAAGTCTTAACAAAGATTTGCATACCACCTCTTAATCTCAAAACTAAGTGAAGAGTTGATTCCTTTTGGATGTTGTAGTCAGAAAGAGTTCTGCCATCTTCTAGTTATTTACCAGCGAAGATAAGTCTTTATTGATCAGGAGGAATACCTTCCTTATCTTGAATCTTAGCTTTCACATTCTCGATGGTATCTGAGGCTTCAACGTCTAAGGTAATAGTCTTACCAGTCAAAGTCTTAACAAAAATTTACATACCACCTCTTAATCTCAAAACTAAGTGAAGAGTTGATTCTTTTTGGATGTTGTAGTCAGAAAGGGTTCTTCCGTCTTCAAGTTATTTACCAGCGAAAATAAGTCTTTGTTGATCAGGAGGAATACCTTCCTTGTCTTGAATCTTAGCTTTGACATTTTCGATAGTGTCAGAAGCTTCAACATCGAGAGTAATAGTTTTTCCTGTTAAAGTCTTAACAAAAATTTACATTTGAAGTTTTTTAAAGTTGTTTTTTTGTATGAGTTGTTTTTTTAATTATTGTTTTGATTTTGTTTTTAGAATTCAATCAAACCCCTATTTAAAATATGAGAGGAACAGATCTGTTTAAATCTGATTAATTACCTCTTATGTAATATTTTTTCTATTTTTTTTTTAATAGAAAATTTACAAAATACAATATTTTTTGTATCAGACATTTTAATAAAATTATATCTATATCTGTTTATTATTTTTTGATATAGATTATGTTTTTCTAATCCAAAAACAATAATGTGATTATTGTTACAAATTTTTCTATATCATTTAATTTCCTAAAAATTTGTTATCTTTTAAGAAAAAAACATATTAGTAAAAAGTAAATATATTATATACTAAAAAAAATATTTATCATAAAATAATTTTAAATTAAATTATTATTATTGTATTAGAGATGATAAAATTAACATTTGTTTTTAAATCAAAACAAATAAAATTTTTTTCATTTATCAAAAATAAAAGGCACCAATTCCATGAATTTAACCTTGGTCTCCTGACTATCTACAAGCAGGAATACTAACTATTATACTGTCTCATATATATCAAATCATTGTTATTATCTTTTAACCATATTGAATGAAATTCAAATTTCAATTGAACTAAAAAATAAATCAAAAGTTTTTATTTGTCAAACATTATTTTTTAATAAAACAGTCATCAAGAATATAATCAGAATAAAAAGATTTTGTAAAACAAAACCAAAATATCAGAAGGAATGAATTTGAAAGAACAAAAAAGTAAAAATAACTTGATTAAATTATTTATTTAGATCAACTAAAAAGATTACGTACAATATCTTTTTCAATGATAAAGAAGTTAAAAAATGTATTATGGAGCAGCCAAAAATTCATAGAATTTTAAATATTGTTTAATGAAAAAGGTCTCCCAACAAATTTTATTTTTATTTTGAAACAATATTTAAAAAGTTTAAATAAATTTGATGATAAAATAGAATAGAAATACTCACACATATAAATGCACTCAAGATACATCTTAAATTTAATTTTTATAATATTTATATATTTATATTTTTATTATTATATTCAATATTTTAAATTAATAATTATTATTTTTATAATTATGTGATATGGAATAATGGAAAAGAGGGATAAATGAATAATTTATTCTATTTAATTTTTTTTAGTATTTTAATTTAATTTAATATAATATAAAAGTGGAAACAAAATCAGTGAATGATAATATTAGATAGTATAATGCAAGTATCTTAAATCTAAAAGATTAATTATCTTAAATATATTTTTCTTTTAATGATAGATAAGTCTGTGAAAAAACCATAAATAAATATTAAATTTAAAGTTCTCCTTATCAAAATATAATATATATTTAACCTTAAAATATTTAGTTTGAAAGTGAATTTAAAAATAAGTAAATCTAAGAAAGATTAATAATTATATAAGCTTATACTACTTTCTCAAAAATGCCCTATTAATGAATTGAAAAATTTAAAAAAGGATTAAATACAGCAATTTTTAGTTAAAAAAATATTTTTTTAAATATTTATATTAAACAATAAACAAACAATCTTAGCTTATATAATATGTTAATTAATATTAGTAATTTATACTATTATTGGTTTTATAAAAAGAAAGGATAAATCATTTATTTTGATATAAATAGATAAATTAAATGTATTTATCAGGTAATTCAAGTAAGAAATTATAAGAAAAAGAAATGTAATGTTTTTACAAATTAATGACTCCTATCAAACAACATTAAATGGCTATATTTAGATATCTTGAATATATTACTAATTACTTTCCTTCAAAATAACTTGATAATTTATCAAATTTTTTGATTTTTGTTTCAAATAAAAATATTAATTAATTAGATAGAATTTTATATTTTTGCTAAGGTATTTATTTAAAAAATTATATATTTAAAATAAAATTAAATACATTTATCCTCTTTCAAATTTAGTTTTTGTAATAGAGAAAATTGAATATTTTGACAAAATATATATTTTTATAGTTGGATCAGTTTTAAGAAAATTATATATTTATTTAGATTTGGCATAATATTTGTAATTTATTATGGTGATAAATAGTTTAATAAAAAATTTTAAAGTGAATTACTATAACTATGAAAAATATAGATTTTTATATTATTATTTTAATTAATATTTTTCAAATGTAAGGTGCATAAGCTCTAGTACAAATAGCACAAGTGTTAGCAATTTGATTATTAGTAATCTTAGCAGAGAGATAGATGTAACCACCTTCACCAAATTTAGGACCCCATGAGTTTTTTACCTTCCAAGCTTCTTTGACAGAATCATAACCAACAAGCAGAACTCCGTGATTGATCTTCGTACCACAGTTTGAGAAGATTCCGTTTGTATAGAATTAGAGGTTAGAAGAATCAATACCAACAGTAACGGGAGCTTTTTGAATAGCATTTACTAGGTCAGAACATTACTTAATAGCTGTGAAACCAGAAATAGTATAAGGATTGCTCTTACCTTAAAGTCTGCATTTACCATTTTTGGCTTCATATGAATACTCTTCTTCTGTAGTTAAACCTGTTTCTTTTACATAATTTAAGGCAATATCTCTTAAGCCGCCACCACAACCCTTATTTTAAGTGTTGCAATCAATCAATTATTGTTAAGATAAATTAGGGAGGACATTTTTGTAGACGAAGTTAGCACCCTCAACACCACCAGTTGTAGCAAATGACCAACAGCCACCACAACCTCCTTAATTTTTAACAGGAGTAACTGCACCTTTTTCAACCCAATCAATAACAATATCTTCATTATGTTAAATTGGTTATAAAGAGTCGATTTCTTCATCAATGTTTTCAGCAGGATTCAAGTAGAGTTCTGCGAATTCTGTATGAGTAAGATCCATAAATTTAGTAACACCCATAGTTGGATCTTTTTTAGTGAATTCCAAATTATCAAAGAAGACATTCATTCTGTAAACTTCTTCATCATCATCTTAATCAGCATATTTCTTGTTATAAGTTTACTTGAAACTCTTCCACATTTTAATTTGGTCTTCAGTAAATTCTACTCTAGAGGATTTGTGGATAAGTAAAAATGAAGTTAAACCTAATAAGGTTAAACCCAAAGTAGCAGCGATAAGCAATTAAGTCTTCATTATTTTATTTTATTTTATTTTATTTAATATTTTCAAAAATTTATATTATCAGGTTTTTATTTAAAGCTAAGTATTTGAATTTTGTTCTAAATTAATTTTGAAAAAAGATAAAAAGTAAACTTTTTTATTATGTATTATTCAACTTCAAGTCTAATATTTCAATATTTTTATTTATTTCTATGCATGCTGGTTACATATTATTTTATTAATAGTAAAAGTCAATTAATTAATAAAAGCAAAATAAATAGTTTAAATTAGCTAAAGTGGAGCCAAAAATATCTATTAATTAGTAAATATTTTTCTATCAAATTATTGAAATTCTTTTATAATAATTGTAATATAATTTAATTGATCATTCACTAGACTTTTTATTGAGAAAGTCAATATTATTTACATCTAAAAAGCTTGAAATGAATTAAATATCATTTTTAAAAAAGTTTTCAAAAAAATATTGCTCAATAAATTAAGTGTTTCACATAAATGTGAATATAATTTATTACTAGAGTTTTTTATTAAGATGGTAAATTTTTATAACATAAATAAGGTAATTTCCATAGTATATAGTGAGTGAATATTCTAATTTTTTTATCAACTCTGTTTTATGAAAAATTTCTTCAATCAAAAAATTATTTCAAAAATTTAATAAAATTAAAAGCTATTTATAATTATATGATTATCTTAAGAGTTTTTAAAAATCATTCCTCAAAAAAAGAAGCTTTTCTAAATTTAAATAAATAAATAAAATAAATTTTGGATAATAAAGCAAATTAAATATTGCTAATCTGTAGAATCAATTTTAAAATATTTAAATAAAATTTTTTGAAAAAAAAAAAAATTTTAACTAAACTAAATTATTTTATTAAATTTGTAAATACATTTATTTTATAATTTTTTTTAATAAAATTAATTTTTTTCTAATAAGGATAAAATTTTAAAATCAACAAATAATATAAGCAATAATATAGCACTTATACAAATAATAGGAGCGTAAAGTTAGTTTTTAAATGAAGATATAATATATATTTAATTCATTTTAATATATAAGAAATAATTAAATATAATATGATTATGAACTAGCCTACCTTAGTATTTGCTTTTGATTAGCACTTTTTAATGGTGCTTCTCAAGTTTAGTAGAAAGATTAAGATAGTATGAAATGAAAATATTTTTAATTTTAAGGAGAAAAATCAATTTAGAAGTATTTTAAGATTAAGATTTTTAATCTAAAAAATTAAATTTATTCATTAGGTTAATTCTGATAAAATCTTTTTGAAAAATTGAATAAAAACATAAAAATAAAAAATATAAATATATGCATATACTTTTAATCGAAAATTTGCAAATTACTTGTGTTTAAATTAGGATATTTTAGATTGTTGATTTAATCATAGAGTATTTATTTTGAAATTAATAATTGGAAAATATAGAACATTATATTAGAATATATAAATAATTTATCTTAAAACTTATAATGCGAAATGTTAGTTTTATGTTTACAAAGTGTGATAAATAAATAATTTATTTGAATATTTTTTATTATATACAAGAGAATTGTAATTGAAATAATTAATTTAGTATATTATTTAATAGTTTTACTTAAAATATTTTTAAGTTATTTTGGTTATTATTCAACATTTTAGTTCATTTTGTTACAAATCTTATTAGTTGTTATTTAAATTATTAGATGTTTATTCTTGATTTTTATCATTTTTAGGAGAAATTTCATTTAAGGTAGCTATTTAATTTGTTGTAATTTGAGGAATTGTTTACAATTCTGTTGAAGTAAAAATATGATTTTTAGTTTAATTATCCTTTTGAGATTGCTTTTCTAGCTGACCACTCTTTATTCTTATTAAGATAGGCAAAAGGATTACAATAAAGAAGCTTACAACATATCCCGCAAAGGACATAATTACTCCCAAGTTGAGTCTGGTTAAAATAGCAATTAAAGCGCAACCACAAAATACCACATTAGAAAGGAGGAAAGAAAATCTTGTTGGTTACTTTCCTTTGCTCAAGAAAGTACTAAAAAAGTTACTTCTTGAACCAAATACAATAATAGGATAGACGCCAATAATATAGATACAAAGACCAAATCTTACGATTATGTTAAAGACATCAGTATCTGAAAAGTATTCAAGGATTGTATCACCTGGATTTCCATTTCTATTTAATAATTAAAATAAATTTAGACATAAAATAATTATTTAAAAATAGAAAATTAAATTTATTCATTCTTTAATTTATATTTTTATCTCTTTTTTGGAGTTGATCCAATATCCAAATATATTAATTATTTATTTATTGGTGGGGGATTAAAGATTAAATTTAAGGTAAAATATGTGCTTACATAGGGGATTTTCCAGAAATAGCTAGAACACCGAAGAGGGATATAAGTATGTAAGTAACAAATGTGATCACATAGCACACAAATGTATCTCTTTCATTTTTTGTTTAGTCTTTATTGTCTCTCAGAATAGGAATAATCAAGCAATGAATTTAGAAACTAAGAATGAAAATGCCTATTAGGTTGTATATTTTAGGAGTAAATAAAGGAGTATCTTACAAATCGATTCCGTTAGTAATGTTGGATCCAAATTTGACAATAGCAAATAAGACAATAACACCTACTGAAAGAAGGCCATATTAAGTAATCTTCATGATGAATGAGAGATCTCTCTTAGCAAGAACAAGGAAAAAGAAGCTAATTGTTGCAATGCCACACCATTCATATGAGAATTTACTAAAGGTGGCTTCATCTCTCTAGGCTACATCTACATTAAAAGCACCTTCAAGGAAATATTTTACAAGAGGGAAAAAGAATGAATTGAATAGCAAAAAATATATTATGGAAACCAAGAATAATAATATAGAATTAGCAACAGTGTAAACTCCCTTCCAAGTTTTACCGAGAAGTCTTTCTATAGTATCGTAAAGATCTCTTTCATGTGGCTGGCAATATTTTACACACCAGATGCAGGTTTTATATAAAAAGGCACCTACAACAAACATACAAATAAACGAAGTAATAATTCCATTTTCTTTAAAAATGGCAGGAAATACAACAATAGAAGAACCCATCATAGTATTAGCAGCAGCTATCCAACTTCTCCATGAAGGGTTAGTACCTTTTATAGCTTTTGGTATCTAGGTGCCATTATCTGAAGGGCAAACTTAAGAGCTGTTACCTTCGATGTTTTGGTTCGATCTTGATTCTTAATCATTTTAAAAAGATACAGGATTGTATTGGTTAGAATTAACTTATTCTGGAGTTTATTTAGAGTTATTTTAAGTTATGGTTAGAACCTAATTTGTATTGATTAGGGGGTCAGAATTACTGTTTTTAAGCTGAATATCCATGCAAATAGGGTGGACCTGATTGATTTTATCACCCTGCATTTCAATGTCTTAATTACTGTTCTAGTTTTTAATTGGAGCCATTTTAGTATTCAGACAAATGTGTAATTTTTATTATATAAATTGTTTTTATTTAATTAATTAATTATTGATTTCAGAGTTCTGCTAAAAGTCTAATTTAATAGTACCTAATTTACATAAGTGTAGATAGTTTTAATTTTAAGTAGAATATAAATCTTTTCTCCTCCAAATGTGTTAAATATATAAATAAAAATGTTTTGATTTAAAATAATATTCAAGAAATAGCATGAATTCTATCCATATTGATTAAAATAATAGTATTTTATGGCCATTTTTATTGTTTGGTTCTATTGATTTTTAGATCCCAGATTGTTCGATTTTATATAGTTAAGTTAATTTTTTTTGTTTGATGTCTCCTAAAGTTAAGATGTTTTTAATGTGTATGCATAGGTGTACCCTACGAATTTTTATTTTAGATCTTATTTATGGAAATTGCGAAATATTTTTGAAATTTAGTTTGAAATGTATATTATAATGCATCATTAAAAGTGAAGCGTAGCATATATTAACCCAGATAAAAATTTATTAATACTTACTTTTGTCAATTTGATGTCAGTCTGATACAGTAATAATTATTTTCAATATATTTTTGCAAGAATTTGGGATTAACTCAGTCAAGATTTGCATTAAACAGATTAACAGAAAAGATACACATTACTAAGCACCTTATAAATAAACAAAATCAAAATCTCAAATTTACTTAACTTTGACCACCGATTTTAACTCCTAGGATAAACACTTTCAGTAACAAATATTAAAAAACAGGGAATTCAATTTAAAATTTTATAGATTTCCTTGAGGAAAGTATGCTCTGCTTTAAAATAGTTATTGAAATCTATCATTATTCTCTTATGGAAAAAATCTAGAATTTTAATCAAAAAAAAATGTATTTGTTAAATTTATATTGATTTTGATAATATGTACTTTAATTATATATTGCAAACAGCAATGCAATCATAAGTCATGGTTAGATTTATACTTTTAATCAAAATATATCAATCTTGTCTAATTAATCTATGCTTGCTTAATTTAATTAATTAGCTATCAATTGATTTTGTTTGTGATAGGCTTGTAAAAGAATTAGATCACTTTGATATGTAAAGTTAATTAAATTCTTATAAAGATTATATGCAAATTTATTACGTATGCTCTCAAACTACTTGATATTACTCAATAAAAGCATGCAACATCTTTAATTTACTCATAATAACATCTCTTATTAATACTAATTTTTAAAAATGATCTTTCAATGAGCAAATATCAAACTTTTCTACCATTTTTCCATAAAATTTGTCCCTTTTTTAAAACAAAATTAATGCACATAGTATCCTCTACTCATATAATATCTAAAAAATACGCATAAAAATACATTTTCTATATATTCTAAAGAAATTCTAATAACTTATTCTTACTTAATTATAATATGGTTAGTTAATTAAATGACAATAGGATATTTCCATAATAAAATAAAGTAAAAAGAATAAAAAATCAAAAAGTTTACTTATAATGAATTAAATGTAGAAAATATCTACTATTATATTTTAAATCAATATAATATCTCTATAAGAATACTATACTTTTAGTCTATATTTTCTTGATCAAACAATAGATAATCTTTATAGAGTCATAATTCAAAAAAAATATAATTTTTCTTTATTTGATTACATATTTATCTAATTATTCATTTAATGATTAATTTTAATGTAAACCAATACAAGCAAATTTTTTTTTTAGTATGTAAATTTAAGGATGTAAGTCTTGCAATCACTCAAAAAAATCAGATTTTATTAAAATTAAAAAGTCCATCATTAATTTAAATTAAAAAATTTGTCTATTAAAATTTGATAAATTAAGAATTTTCTGTTTGATTCTAACCCTACTTAACTAACAATCAGATACTAAATAACTAGCTTCTAACCCACTTAAGTTAATCTTTAGAGTCCTTAACTTTTTCTTTAAAGTACCTCTCCTATTGATGTATCTTTTGTTTTAAAATTTATCTCTTTTTAAATTTACCCTTACAAAATATCTATTTTATTTTTCTACTTAAAATTTTTTAGTTGTTTATTTTATAAAGAATATAATTTTTTTAAAATAAATATTAACATTGATTTCATCTTTCTTACTCAATAAAATAAAAAAGCGCTCGATGTAGGGATCGAACCTACGACCTTGCGGTTAACAGCCGCATGCTCTAACCAGCTGAGCTAATCGAGCTTCAAAGTTTTTAATTTAAGACTTTAGTTTTATTTATAAGTGATCATTTATTAATAATTTTTTTCTTTTTAAAGATGATATTCTAATTTATTTAAAATATCTTCTTATTAAAACTAATAGAATCTATATAATATATTTTCTTTTTTAAATAAGTTCATATTTTAGTTAAAAAATTTTCTTTAAAACAATTTAAGTAAAAAATTAAAATAATTTTTATATTTATAAAAGAAAAGTATTACGAAAGGAAGTACATTAAATTTATAATTTAAGTTTATATTTACATCAAAATAATATAATAATTGAAAATTTTCATAATTTGTTTTCTTAGTTTTGGGAGTTATTATCTTTTAGGCCTGGTTCTGTTTCTACCTTCTTTATGGATTGAATTTTTGCATTTTAAGCAACTTTAATTCTGATGAGTATTGGTATTAAAATTACTGTAAAGAAACTAACTGTATAACCTGATAATGACATGACGAGATCTAAATTTAGTGAGAATAAACCAGCTAATAATGAAGATCCGCAAAAGGCTACGTTAGAAAGAAGATGCATTTTATAAGATGGTTCTTAAGGAACTTAATTTGTATTTGAAGATTCTTTGAAAATAATAGAAAAGAAACTAACTCTAGAAGAATAAACGTTGATTGGATAAATTCCAAATAAATAAACGCACAACCCTAATCTTATGCAAATATTTAGAGGGTCACTATCACTGTAATACTCAAGAATGGTATCTCCTGGATATCCTTTTCTAAAAAAAAATTGTTTAGATGAAAATAAAATTAAATAAAAATTACTATGGCTTTTTCCCAGAAATAGCAAACACACCAAAGAATGCAATGAGACAATAAACAGTAAATGAAATTATATAAATTATTGAAAGGTCTCTATTTGTTTTTGATTAATCTTTATTATCTTTCAAGACAGGAACAATGACAGAGTGAATTTACAAACTCAGTATAAATATTCCAACAATATCTAACACATTGCTTGTGAACAAAGGAGTGTTTTCAAGGTTGATTTCTGACATTTCTTATTGTCCAAATCTGACAAATACATAAATAACAACGAATACGACTGTAACTAGACCAAATTGAGTGATTTTCATAATACCAGATAGATCTCTTTTTGCTAATAAAGCGAACATAAAAAATGTCGTAATGATAGAGAGCCATTAAAATGAAAATTTTGAGTAAGTCGACTCTTCTCTTTCAGCGACAGATAAACCGAATCCGTCTTCTAATAAGACTTTAAGACAAGGATATAGGAAAGAAACTAAGAGCAAGAAACAAATAATTTATATCAAGAAAAGGAAAATAGAATTACAAACATTAAAAACAAGTTTCCATTTATATCCTAGAATTCTTTCAATAGTTTAGCAAATTTTTTATTCTGAAGGAAGTCTGTAAGTGATATAAAACGAACATGTTTTATAGAGAAAAACAACCAAAACAATCATAGTTATCAAGCAAGTAAGAATTCCATTCTTTTAAAGTATTACTGGTAAAACTACGATTGTGGAGCCCATCATTGAGTTAACACCAGCAATCCAACTTCTCCAAGATGGAGTTTTTCCCTTAAAGTTAGATATTTCTTTAACATTTTACTTCTCGATATTATCTGTGTCATCAATATCTTTCAAGCTCTCAGGATGGACTTTATTATATTAGTTAGTCTAAACATTTTCTTATTAGCTTTCTTAGAATCCCAAATTAGCCAGTGTTGGCAGATCTACTTATTTGCTGTTTTCGGAAACCGGCATAGTTTTTTAAAGCAAGAGGAGTTTTAATGTAAATGCAATAGATGCAAAATATTTTTAAATTATTTGAAATTAATTTAAATTATAAAAATAAATGTAGATTGATTTTAAATTTACTATTTCAGACTATCATGCATATGTTTTTATAGTACTATTGGAATAAATGAGCTTTTTTAAAAGTAATTATTAAGTTAATAAAGTAATTACATAAGATGAAAAAATATTTACATTCTTTAATTTATTAAAATGCTAAATTAAACCTTAACCATTTATTGAGGTAATATAGAAAAAGAGTGTTTTCATTACGATTTTGAAGTTTATAAATAGTAACAGACACTTCTACAGTTTTCCTAGTATTTATGGTTTTACTAGTTGTTCTTTATCAGTTAATATTTAACTGAATATAGTCTAAACATACTCGATTAATAATAAGTAAAATTACTAATTAAATAATTTCTCAGTATTGGGTCCAATCAAGTAAAAAGTCTAAGTTGTAAAGCAGTTTCAATCAAAAATTACCATAACTGATATGTCATTAATAAACTGATATTTATGTATAAAATATTTAAGTGATTTTCATAGAATTTAAATAAATGGTTAAGAAACTTATAATAAAGTTTTAATAGTGATAGTGATCATATTACAGCTGAATGTGATTTTCTTAGATCCATTCTAAAATTAGCTCTTAATTATACATAAAGTAATATATTTAAAATAATATTTTAAAATATTAAAATTTGTAAAAAATTAGACACTTTTCAATAATCAGATCAGTTTAATAAAAACTTTTAGTGAGGATTTTTTTTTTTCAATTGTAAATGTATTTTTGATAAGTTACTAATTAGTGATAAACGATTTGTATATGGCTTACTAGATTTTTATATTTCTACTTATTTATAGTACAATTTATAGTAATTAGTTTAATTTTAGAGTATAACTAAAATTAATCAATATCAACTGAATCATTTATTTAAATATATTACTTATTATTTTTTTGAAAATGTTCTACTGTCCTAGTATTATTTTCTAAATAATTAATTTTCTTCACTTTGTTTTTGATAACATATTTTTTTAAAATTATCCATATCTATTAATTTTTTCTCTTTTATTTAATTTAATAAAGGAGAGAATTTGATCATGAATTAATAAATAATACTAAATTAAATGAATATAAATATTGATAGAATTTCATTTCATTTAGTTTACTTTGTTATTAAGTCATTTAATTGTTATAAAGTTAACAGATTACGAAAACGTTGAAAAATAAAATTACTTTTTGAAATGTAATATATAACCTAATTACTAAGTATGTTTATAATTTTTTTAAGATTGAATTTTTAAAAGTATTTAATATGGAAAAATATTTGAGTAAAGAATTTAGAAAGATCAGATTTTTGTTATTTTTTTAGTAATTGTTAAGATATCAATTTTTTTCTAGCCGATTAGAATAAATTTATAAGAGAAGATCTAAATGAAGGTCTATATCTAGTTATTCATAGCTAGGAGTTGGTAAACGTCGATAATCGTTATTTTGAATGTCTTTTAAAGTGTCTGCTGGATATTTAATCAATTTAGTCATGTTTTCAAAAATTTAGCGCTCATTTAAGATATCAGTAAATATTTTTGGAAAACTTTCATGCACTCTTACAGTTGACGTAAAAGATTTATCAACGTTATAGTTTTAAGCTTGTTTTGAGTCATCAAGCAGAACAAGACTATTAACAAAAAACTTTACTTCTTCTATCTTATCTTCTGAAGTAATATTAGCTCCTTCTTAGGCGTAAAGCATCTTTATAAATACTTTACACCTATTATTTTCATTTGCCATTAACATTGCTTACTAAATTTCTTATATCATTTTTTATTCAGCGACTTTTTTAAGTCCAAATCTATGAATGAATTATTCATAAGTAACTACATGTAATGGGTTTAGTGCATTGTTATTTTTAACTAACTTTATCAAGTCACTATAAACCATTGATAAGGTTTTGTTTATTTAAGGAAGATATTTATTTTTCTTCAAATCAGGTCGACATTTTTTGAATTACCTGCTAATTTCGATTAAGAGATTGTTTGCTGCTTCAGTATGAATGGAAGTTGTCTTTATATTATTACGAGTAAGTTAACTAAATGGTATAATATTCAGAGATTTTGTTGGATTTTAAGAGTTAGTGTTAATTTATAAGTTTGTTTCTTGCTTAACTATATTTTTTTTCTATCTCTTTTTAGCATCTGGCTCATCCTTATCAATATCTTTTAAAGATGGAATCCTGAACTCAGAGCTGCATTGACTATCATCTTCACCTGCATTTTCTTTGTATCTTTCTTGAGAGGTATCAGGCATACTAGTGATGGAATTTAATTGATTGCTTTGTTAATGATAAGGCTAAACAGAGCTACTGAAGCTAGTCCTCTTCATATTACTCACATTGATAGATGTATCTTACTATCCTCTTTACTGACTATTTTTCCTCCCTTAATTTTAATTAACACTTGGCTAACTTGTATATACTTCTTTATTTTGCTATGTAAGCGATTAATGATTTGAATATCTTTTCTTAAATTAATCATGTTATTGAGGTATTTATTTGATTTCACTCACACTTCTTGTTGATTTGTAATTCCTCATGTCGAGTTCACTTAACGCCGTTATCTAGCGTTAGCTATTTTAACTTCCACTGTATGCCGAAATCATACTTACTTTTCTGTTTAATTTTGACTAATCTTAATTGTCTATAATTTGTTTAGTTTCTTCTGAATCAAAAGGTTGTTATTAAAGTGTTGTATTCATCAGTTAAGTTCTAGAAGTCTGATCTATTATCAGGTCTGAATCCATAGACTCAAAGCTCAGCTCTTCTACCTTAATCATCATAATATTTTAAAGCTTTTGATTTTAATTTAAAAAAAAGATAAACCTTATCTTATTTTTCAATTAAAATAAAAAAAACCATGAATCAAATTTATTTTTAAGCTAATTCTCACGTTAAAAAAACAAAGAATATCATTTTAAAGAAACTTTAAAGGAAAAAATCTTTAAATAATGCAATATTTGATAAAAATTAAATACCTTTTTATAATCTTCAGACAAATGAAGAAGTTTTGACATTTATAGCTGATTTTAATCTTTTATAATTTATAGTTAGTTTTCAAGGTCAGTTTTTTATCTATTCATTTCTAATTCAGTTTATTGATGACGCATAAACTTGTCCTTTACATTCCTGACAAGTTTTTCCTAGATCTATATCTTTTATTCAATCAATTTTTTACACTCATACAAACCTTCTGTGGAAATATGTTCTTTTTTAATAGCAGTTTCTATTATATTTTTAAGCTCCATTGAAATATGTGTTCCCTTCAAACTATCTAACTCAATTTCAGTTTCAGATGGTATTCTTATCTGAATTTCTTTCACTGTTTAAACGGCAACACATTTTTTATTAAATTATTCAAAAAAGCTATTATTCAAATCTTTATCCCAATATTCTTCTCCAACTCTATTATTAATTAATAATTAGGTATTAATTATATAATTTTATTTATAAATTAATATAAAATAGTTACTTAATATCCATAATATCACCAGTGTATTCAGTTTATTATCCACAAGAACAAAGCTCGTGAACTTCAGTTTATGTGAATATTGGAAATGTGACAGCTTTACATTAAATAGCAGAATCTACAGAATCAAATTATTTATTTTTTTTATTAGTCATTTCTGTTATAAGCACTTTTTCAGTATTTACTTCTTTTTCCACTAAATTAAAAATGGAAAAATCTGTTTACGTCGAATTAGTTTTTATGTAATCTTAGTCATCCAAATTAAATCCTATTTTCAAATCTGTTTAATCTGATTCATTATCAACCTCTTGTATTATATTTTGCAGCTAATTTTCTACAGGATCTATGATATATTCTTTTAAGATCTCATCCATATCCTATTTATTATGTAACACAATTTAATGATTTTTATAATTTCAGTTAGATTTTTAGAATAATAAAGGCATTTTAATTAAGTTAATGATAATTATATCATCGAAATATATTTTTTAATTAATAGATTTTTATTTTTTTAATAGAGATTGGTTATTACTAACTACAAACTCATTAAATTAAAAATAAAATATAAATTAAAAATTTATGAATGGTTTGATATTTATTGCGTCAAATTTATTTAAATTGTTAAGTATTTTTGCTAAAATAATGCTATAAAAAAAATAAATATTTTTGATGATATTTTTCTTTTCAAATCAAAATTTTTTTTTTGAAGTAATGTTAAATTAATTAAATAAATTATGTGGATAGAATTAAAGCTTAAAATTTCCAATTTTTGATGCTTTTTTATTAGTGGTTGCTAAGAGATTAATTTAAAATAATATAAGATTACTATATGCTACTGTATTTCGTTTTGATCGACATGCATCTTTATTTGTTGTGCAATTTCTTTAATGCTTTTTTAGGCAGAAATTCTTTTGTTTTTTGTTAATTCAAAATATTTCCTTTAATATTCTAGTGCTTCTCTCCATGTCAATTCTTCGTGAGACATTAAATATTTAAGATGTTCTCTAATTGAACTGTTAAGTTCGTCTTGAAGATAATTAATAGAGTTTTATGACATTTTATATAGCTTTTCAAGTTTTCTGTCTTTCTTCCTTAAATACCTGTTTTCTTATATTTGTTTTTCTATAAAATTGTCTCTGTCAGCTATTTGGGTTTATTGTTTGCTAATAATTTTGAGGTCTTCATTGATTGTTTTTTAATACTTTTAGTGTAGTTCTTAAATATTTTTTGATAAGTCTTTCTCTATTTAGGACTTTTACTTCTCTAAAAAAATGAATAAGTTAGTCATTAATTCCATAGTACTATCCCAAATTTCCTAAAGAACTAATGCTCTTTCCTTACAATCTATAGAAATTTGTCGAATCAATTCTTCTAAGCAGCTGCTATAAATATTTTACCTGAGAATAAAAATATCATCTTTTGTCAAAGGGTCTTTAGAAAGAAGCTCTTTAATTTTAATTTCTAAGTAATTCTTGATTTGGAGAGCATCTTGTCTTTTTCCTAACTACCCTCTTATGCTATTTATTATTAACAAAAAACGTTTTCACATAATTAAATTTAAAGAAAACATGAAATTATAAATAATTTTAATGAATCATTATTAATTTCAATTATCTCTTTTTGTAAAAATCAAAAAACTAATCCATTATAATTTTCTCTTTTACTTCTACTTTTTTCTTAAATCATATTTAAATATCCCACCGCCAAATATACAAAGAAGTTCCTTTAAATAAATGAATTATTTACAATTAGTTATGACTGACTATATTTTTAGCAGGTGGTTATGGCAATTAATCTAAAAATGTTGTAGAATGATTTCTTCTTTATGTCAAAAACCCAGATGAAACTTATTATATACTCCCTTGTAATATCCTTTAATCATCAATTATTTTAAGACTTTTTTAATTATTTGCAGGAGCTACATATGAAGAACTAGTGTAGCTATTTGTTTAAAAGCTATATTTTTTTCTTGGTGTTAATGGCTTGGATGTTTAGTTATAGAAAGATTAAGATGGCTGAAAATTCATACTGTAAATATCATTTATTTCAGCTGCTGAATTAGGCAGTATTATATTAGGTTTACTTTACAAATTATTTGAACTCAAAGGTACAGTTAATGAACTCCCGCTTTAGCTTCCAAGCAAAGGTGAAGATCTAAGCGAAGTATCACCGTTCTTTTATACATTAAGAAAAGTTTTATATGCATAAGAATCTATTTTGGCGTATATATTTGTTTGGTAGTTTTTTTATAAAGTTTATTTTTTATGCAATTATTCCTCATCAATTATTTTACTAACAAATTATAAAGTAGCTGAGCTATCTCCATCGATACTACTCCCATTATTCGTAATTTTAATTTGCATTAATTTCTTTTTTTACTTTTGCAGCCTTTGGTCATTTAAGAAAATTTTATTGTTTATTTGGTTTTTATCGCTCTCGTGTTGAAATCGCATCTTTTGGATGCTCTTAAATTCTTCTTTTTTTAACTATTGTAAACTATCTTAAGAACTTAAGTTAGTAATCACATCTGAAAGGCTCTTGTTGGAACTCACATTATGAGAATTTTGCTGCGAAATCTATGTTGGTACTTGCAGATTATTTGGTAGAATCTTTTTTCTAGGACTTTGAAGCATCTTAAGTCGAACCTATCTTGCTTTTGATTTAAGAAGCTGTATAAAATGCTAGCAACTCTCTAGTAGAAAGAGTTTGTGTTAGAGTAATTAATTATTGAAAAAATAATTTAGATAAGAGCGGAAGAAAATTAAATTGTAGTTTCTATTCACTTAATTGTTTATGTTTAATTGAAATTAAAAGATTCTTTCTTCAAATGGTTATAAATTAAGATTCCACTCTAATTTTATAATAATCACAATTCATCTCAATATACTTTTCATTCATAAATCTTAGATTAATTCCCTAAAAATTTGAGCAATAATCAGTATCTCTGTTTTTTTATACTGAGGCACTCTATAATTTCTGGTAATTAATTGTTTTTTTATCCACTGTCTCTTTCAATAAATTTTTATTTCTTGCATACATATATAAATTAAAAGCATAATTTTTTATACATATCTGATAAAACGAATATTCAAAAAGTGTATATGTTTTAAAATTATTAACTTACTTATGTCTATTTCTAAAATTGTTTTTATAAATTTTCATTTTCAAGTAAATGTGTAAGTTAATATTTATGATTTTTAATAGCGTATATAACTATTACTAAAATGATCTTCATAAGTAAAATAAATTTTTAAATAAGAATATTTTTTACTTATATATCTATTTATAAATTAAAAAAAATATCGAATTCAATTCAATTATTCTAATTATAATTAAAATAAAATAGTAATTTCTTTTATTTGAATACTTTTTTAAAATAAATTATTTTGTAAGAAACACTTGTTTGTTTTCTTTTTTTGTTTGTTAATAAAGATCCTGTAAATTCAAATTTTAGTATAGTGCATTAATTAAAATTGACAAATAGAAAAGAAATACAATAATTTTGTTAAAAGTAAATTATTAAACAAAAAAAATTACAGCTATAAATTAATTAATTTTTTCTTTACATTAAAAATCAGAGGTAAATAAAAGCTTGTTATAAATAACTATTTTTTAAATTTAAAATTTTGAATTAAACTTTCACAAATTATTTCAATCAGTTTTTAACTCTTTTCTTAATTCAGGTTCTTCAATATTATCTGAGCTTCTACTTCTGATTTTGTCGCTCTTTGCTTATGTTTACTGTTTTTATGCTTTCAAGAACTATTTCAAGCACTGTCTTACAGCAGCTTCTTAGAAAGAGTTTTCTAATCCCTATTAGAATTTTCAAATATTTTATAAAAATTTTCAAAAAATAAAACAAATAACTTACATTATAAAAAAGATTTGGTGAGAAGAATTTATCAAGTTCAATAACACCAACATACTTAAACAGATTACTTTGATTTTTAGATTTATTAATTATTTTTTCAATAAAATAAGAACCAAAGTGATTAGATTCTGCTCTTCCAATCAACCTCTCATCTTGATACAATAAAATTCCTTGATGTTACTCAGCTGAAGTGTTTTTGCGTGTAGTTGTACCTTCTACATAATAAAATTTAAAATAAAAAAATATTAAAATAATAAAATATTAAGCTTACCCTTAGTTTCAGTATTAGATTAGTCTTATTCTTAAGTGGTTTAAGCTGCTTGTGGTTAAGTTGATGCTGATTGATCAAGGTTATAATTAGTTTATTCATAAATGGTTACTTTTCCAGAATCTCTAACCATAGGGAAATTATCGATATTTAATTCTTTTAAGAATCTCATTCCTTTTTATTTAGTTAGAATATTCTGATATGATAAAAATTCATATCTTTGTCCATTAATACAAAAGTGCATATTTTCTGGTGTTTTTACATATAAATGTTGAAGATAACTCTTTAAACTGTAATCAATCAATTTTTCAACATGTTCTTTTTTTTCTTTGAAGAAATTTTTCTTTTTAGCAACTATGTCAGGTTTATTGGGGCTATATTAAAATTCATACCCTTCTCTACCAGTAAGAGGAATGCGTTTTAAATCAAAGATATAAATATAATTTCCTTTATCGTGCTTAAAGAGCTATTCTTCGTTCATTAAATGAGCAATATTGTTCAAAATAATTCTTTTATTTTAATCACCACTCTCAGTCAAATAAACCTTCTTTTTCATGTCAATACTAAACAAAAATATAATGCATTCTTACAAATTTGGATTTATCTTTCCACTAGAACTAATTAAACCTAATTTTTATATCAAATAATTTTTAATCTAAAAAATATTAGAAAAATAGATGGTATTTCTTATCATCATAATTAATATTTACCTACGTTTAAGATATTATAAGTCTTATTTTTTGAAATGAAAAGGACATTTTGACCTAATCTTAAGCCAGCTAATTTGATGTTATTTCCATATTAAGCTTTTGATTACAATTGAATTTCATCTTAAATTAATTCCTTGTGAGCTTTATTGTATTAGATAACTTTGTAACTATCAAATTTATACATAATATCTACAAAATCATTGTGAGGGAAACCTTCACTGTCATCATAAATTTATAAGAATAAGTTATGATTATCAATAACATTCTTATCAATAGGTTAATTCAAGAGGAATCCATTACACTTGCTTTGATTATTGTTATTCAATCCTTAATTAGCATCCTAAAGATTTTAAGAGCTTCCAGTTTTATTTTATTAATTAGCTGCTTAAGCTTAAGTATTAATATAAGTTTCCCTCTTCTTTTAGCACATCAAATTTATTTGGATAGTACTAGCAAATCTATAAATTAATTTATTATTTAATTATTAGTTGTCCATATATAAATAAAAAAATAATATTTTATTATTTAAACTTTTTTCTAGATTAATTTAAAAAAACAAAAACTTCTTTTAATTAATCTATGATAAACTAAATTTATAATTTGATTTTTAATTTAATAAAATTTATTTTAATTAATAAATTTAATAATTTGGTTATTGAAATTTATTTGAATAGCATTTTATTTGAATAAAAAGCTAAATGTTATATTTTTTAAATAAATAAAATTGAAGGAAATTTACTGGGATTTAGCGTTGTGGACTAGTAAACCAAAAGCAGAGAATGGCCAACCAATAAGATTTGCTATCGAATTTAAGAAAGACATAGAAATATATGGCTATCTAATAGTTAAAATAGAGTCTTCTTGTAATTGTTAGTGTTAGTGCTGATGACCTTATGATGCCATTTCTTTTTTAAGTGCTTTGTTTATTTCTTATTGTCTCAGCTTTTCTTCACTTTCCAAAACAGAATCATCCTTGGAATCAACATCAAACTAATCTAATTTTGCTCCACTTCCAGATCTTTTTTCATCATTTTCTTCTTTAATACTGGCATCTTAATCTTCCTCCTATTCCTCATCTATATCATTTTCATCTTTCATATTAAATAATAATTATTAAACAATCTTTTATTTAATTGAAAATTACCTTTTTTAACAATTTTTCCATCTGTTTCTGTATCCATTTCATTTTCATTCTTTTCAATTATTTGGCTTTCCTAATTTTCTTTTACATCATCGTAAATCTTTTCATTACTAGCTTCAACTTTCTTTTCAGATTCAGCTTATTAATTCAAATTTTTATCTACTTATTCATCACCTTATTAATTTGAATTTGCTTAATCATCATTGGTGTTTTCTTGTTTATCTTCATCAATCATTTATTATTCTGTTCCACTATTTTACTTACTTTATTTTGAATTTTAATCATTTTCCTTTAACTTAGGCTTATCTACTTCTGTCTCATTTCCTCCATCTTCGCCTCTATTTTCATTTTCAAAAACTTCTGGATGCTTCAATTAAATATCTTCTCTATCAACATCTATTCTAATGTTATCTTCATCATCAATTTAATTATTTTTCAAAGCTTGCTCTAACTACTTTTGTTTTTCTATTTGCTAATCTGTTAAATTATAAACCACTTCACATGTATTGCAAGTTTTTTTATTTTCCTTTTAAATTAATGTTAAATTAAAACCTTTGGACTAAATAAATTTTATTTACTTATGAATTACTGTGGTTTTTGTTTTCCTCAACATAATTAAGCTAAAGTACTAAAGTTTAATCTGAATGGAAATTATTATCTTCCTTCAATAAACCTCCAAATATAATGATTTAATCCTATTTATAAATTAGACTGAGCTAAATGTTTTTTATACTTTCTGAATTTACTTAGTAAACTGAGCTTGAAAGAGAAATAATAGGTTTAAGTGGGCATCTATGCTTTTTGTGAGGAACTTCGATCCAAATATTATCTTCAATATCATAAGCCCAAATATCATCTAATTTAGTTTCTTATCTTTCGCCTGCTATAATAAATATATATCTGTCTTTAAAAACACACATTGAGTGTGAAGCTCTAACACAAGGCTTTTTGTCTTCATTTTAAGAAATTACTGTTAAAATCTCTACAGTTTCTGACTTACCATCACCAAGCATATTAAACTAATAATTTTAAATAAAAAATTAATTTAAAAAAAAATACATTGAATCTATCTTTATAAAATTTAGCAAGATATCGATTTAAAATCTAATTATAAACTTTAACAATATTTCATGTTAAATTAAGTTAGGATAAATAATCGAATTAAATAATAATTTTCTATTTAAACTTAACATATGAATTTAAATTACTTTCAATTTGTAAAAGTCGTTGTAGAAAACATCGTCTTTGCCAACAGATTTACCTTGTCCACCAAAAACATAAACAAATCCATTAACATTAGTCATAGAAAAACTATCACGAGCTTCAATTTAAAATCCGTGTTTATTGGTAACTTCTCTCCAGGCATTAGTTTAGGTATCGAATATATACATGTCGTCATAGACAACAAGTTCTTCTGCTTCTTTACCATTTGTGCCGCCAAAAACAATCATGTATCTATTAAAAAAATAAAGCAACTAAGAAAAAGCTATTTATAAATTTATTTCGATATTTTCAATATCTATTTTGCTATTAGACAAGATCTACTTGTTATTTATTATTAATAAAATAATAAATCTGAAAAGCAGCTTTTGCGAAAATTAAAATCACTTAAAGAATAAATAAAAAATATCTTTTTATCTCATAAATATTTTACCTGTCTTCGAGAGAGCAAGCTTGATGGCTTTCTCTCACTAATGGCAATGTGCCAGTTGCATCAATTTTTTTCCATTCATGCTTTTTTGTATCGAAAACAGCAATATCATTCTTGACCCTTTCATCTGCAGTTTTACCACCAAATAAATAAATTTTTCCTTAAATAAGACAAAGAGAGTGGGAATCTCTATGCTCTGGTGCAGAAGAAGCATTACACATAACTTTTTCCCATTCGTAAGTTTCGCAATCGAGACGATATATTTATTCTCTAGCTACTTATGGATAGATATCATCAATATATCCCCCAATTAAATACATGTATTGTCCTACTACTACTGTTTAATGACCCCAACGCTCTAGAGGATAATTAGGGGCAGTTTTTGATTTAGATTCTAGATGCTTTTCAGATTATACTTCTCCTTCTTCTAATTCATCATTTTATAATTTTTATTTCTTTTTTGTCTTATTTAACCATTTATTATTGGTAAAGGGGTTCTTAAGATCTAATAATTAAGTATCTCTTTCGCTACGACTTAATTCTTCCCTATATTAAATAATATTGTAATTTTTTCTCTATTAATAAGCAGATTAAATTCTCATTTTTAAACTCTTACTTTGAGTCAGGGCTCAGCATCTATCTTATTTTGTCACTTAATTATTGTTATTACTTGGGTTTTCTAACTTCAAAAATTATTTTTTTGATCTTTATTTATTTATGAGTATGCAAAATCTTTTAATTTAATTAATTATAACAATTAGGCAAAGTTTTAAATAATGTCAAAACCAGCAGCCCTCCAAATTATTTACAAAATCTACAATTAATTCATTTTTATTTTGTGTATAATATATATATAAATAAATAAGTAAATAATCGTATACAGTAATTAATATATTTAAAGACATTAAAATCCTTTTTTTTACATCTAAAAACTTACATAAATTTTAAAAACACTATGACCATTATTTTATTTTAAATATTTTTTAATTAAATACTCTTAATACAATCATTATTGAAATTATTTTTTCTTTTCTTATTTTTAAAAGTTTCTTTATTTTTTTTTTTGTTAAAGAAAACTTTTAAAAGAAAAGATAGATTACATTATTATAACAATAAATTTTTTATTTTTTAACTATTTTGCTAAATGAATTAAAAAAATTTAATTTTAAAGAATATCAAGAATAATTTTTTGTTTTATGATGAGTATATTAGGTTTCAGATATTAATTTAAAAATATTTTTTGAATGAATATAAAGATATTTTATTTTATTTGTTTTAGTAATAGAAAACCTTTATCTTTTTATAAAATTATCAATCTTTTTTTACAATATTTTATATGAATGTTTACTTTTAAATTTACCTTCTGTGAGCATCTAACTTTAAAAAATATGACTGTTAATAATTTCTCGATTTTTCTTTTAAATCAAAACCCAAAACAATAAGTTATATTTGTTATAGCTTTTACATATTTTAATCATAAAAATCGATAAAAACATTTTTTTCTTCTATTAAACTGTAATTTAAATTTATTTTTTATATCGATATTTATTGAATATATTTATTTTAGTAAAGAGTGTTTAATAAAAAATTGATAGATACTAAATAAAGATATAGGAGGTAAAGAATAATCTGGATTGTATTAAATATAGATATTTGTTGGATATACATAATTAATATTAATTAAGATCAGAATTAAAATTTCATTCACTTCTACACTTTTATAAATACAAAAATATCTCAAATAGCATGAATTTGTTAAAGAAAATTCCTACTTTTGTTGGTTTAGGCACTATTGGCTACTATTCTTATGAATGGGGCTCTAGATATTTTTATCATAGCATAAATGAAAACGAATTAGATTTTATTAAGAGATACGGAAACTGTTATGGTCTAGTAAGCGGAGGCTCATAAGGATTAGGAAAGGAATATGCAAATGAATTAGCCAAAAGAGGTATCAATCTTGTATTAGTTGCCAGAGGTTAAGAATCTCTCGAAAAAGCAAAATAAGAGATCAAAGAAAAGCATCCTTAAATTGATGTTAAAACCATTTCTTTTGATTTTTCCACATCAAATCCTTCTGATTACTAAAAACTTGCATCTCAATTGAAAGATTTAGATATTGGAATATTGGTTAATAATGTTGGTGTCTTTTAGCATGGCCCTTTACATGAAGCTAATTCTAAAGATTTAAAAAATTTATTAGTAGTTAACACTTACCCTGTAACATATTTAACATAAACTTTCCTTCCATCTTTATAAAAAAGGTAAATTATTTTATAAATTTATATCTAAATAAATTAAAAACTTAAGGTTTACACTTTAAATTCATATATTTTTTATATTTTTATGATTAGAAATAAAAAGTCATTAGTAATTAATGTTGCAAGTGAAGCAGGAGAATTTGTGCATAAAGAATTCCCTGTTTACAGTGCTAGTAAAAGTTATGACATATAGTTATCTAAGTGCCTTCAATAGTTTTACAAAGGTAGCAACATTGATGTTTCTCTTTTCCTTCCTGGACCAACTTACACTCCACTTGTTTAGAAAATAGATACTGATTTTAATAAAACACCTTATGGTAAAGCATATTGTGCAGATCCTTCCCAAGCTGCAAAGGACAGTTTTAGAAAAATAGGATATTAAAGTTCTATCTTCGGTGATTAGAAGCATGAATATTTTCATTTTATGCATAGATATTTTAGATCTCTCTCTGAATACATTTATCCCTAAACAAAGTGATAAGTTGCTTATAAATTCATTTAAAATACATACTAATTAAGCTATATATCTAATTTAAATCTAATATATTTTCGAATTTTGTTTATAAATCAATCTCTAAATAATATTTTTATTTTTTCTAAAAATTCATCAAATATTTGTGATAATTTCAAAAAACTAAATAATTAATAAATGATATAAAACTAAAAAACTATGTTATATTTTTTAAATTATTTATTAAAAAAATAGTTTATTAAATTAAATTTGTTAGAATTAATAAAATAAAAAACAATAAATTCTTTATTCAAAATTATACATTGAATTTTATTGAATTTTGGAGTTTAAATTGTAATTTTTGATAAAGATTTAAAATAAATTTTATGAAAATTATTAATAGAAATAAATATTTAATTTTTAGTAATAATATTGAGGAAATAAAATTGTTTTTTTTAACAATCAGTTAACTTAATTCATCAAATTAATTTTAAAATAATTTAAATGAGAAAGAAATGCAAATAATTTTGAATAATATTTTATTTTGATAACAATATTTTGATTATTAAATAAATTATTAAAGTATTTAATTAATTTAAAGGAATCACTCCTTTAGTTTTTTATCACTTTTAGAGAGTACCTATTTAACTTTTTAATCTATTTCTGCTATTTTATTTATTATACTTTATGATTAAGAAACTTATGACATTTTAAATTAGTTATCAGTTAGAGTATTAGCTTAATTTTTATCTAAATCATGCTAAGCTATATAAACTCTGATTTCATTTATATATGGATTTTGTTATACGTTTATAGCGTGCTAACTATTTTGTTTTTATGGATGCCTTTAAGAAAACTATTAAGATTCTAGTTAAGATTCATCTATTTCTTCTTCTTTGATTATGCTTAAACGTTAGAGTTAATCTGATCTCAATTAGCTAATGTCAATATTTTAAACTTAAATATTTTAATCTTATTGATAAACAGGATAAGGTGGAGCTAAATCAGATAATTTAAGTTCTTCAGTGTTTAATGGGTCTTCTTTTTTAATTGTACTTGATCTAAATACATTTTATGAAGTGGCTAGACTTGTAAGTGAAGAGGTATTCATTTTTTCATTGCTTTACTAATCACTTCCAAATTAATCTACAATAAAGGCATATCTGGTTGGAGGAGGAGTAAAGCTAATATAATTTAATAGTTTTTAAATTAAATAAGTAAAAATTTTCCATATATTAACAAAAATAATATGATTAAAAATAATTTAAATTTATTTAATTATAAAACGTAATACCTTTCAGTTAAATATGTTGTGTAGTTTGTTGTTCCTTAGTTTATAGTAGTTTATGGGTTTTCAAATTAGAATGACTTTTTTTGAATTGAGGTTGGAGCTAAATAATTTGTGTCAAGAGTGTTAGGAATAGTGAAGTTAGGGGTATTAATGTTTTCTTGCTTGAATTGATAATTCAAGTTTTATGCCTCAATTGCTGGGGCATTAAAAAATTTTGTATTATCTTTTGGTGATTTACTATTAGAAAGTCCTTGATAATTCTAAAAAAATGAAGAGGAATCATTATTTGAAAAAGGTTTATTGTTATTATTCTTTTTAATTTCTTCAAATTCTTTTTTTATGTCTAATATCTATTATTATACTTTAAGTATTTTGTTTATATCTTCATCTTCTTCTGTTTTCATTCTTCCTATTTCATATTCTAATCTTTCACTCTTTATATTGCTACCTATTCAAAATAAAATGTGGGTTTAAAAAAAAACATAATTAGCATCAATTTAAATTGTATTTATAAAATTAAAACTCCTTCCTTTTTATAGTGTTAAATATTTACTTTGTTATTAATTCGTTGATGTCTTGAAAGTATTTTAAAGATCTTGCTTTTGAATAATATGCCTTGTCGTAATTTTGTATTTAAATTCCTAATGAGTGGTAAATAATTGAAATATTTTAACTAATGGAAATGAAAATTTACTTAATTAATTAAAGAAGGGTTGCCTCTTTTGTATTTATTTAATGTTTACTCTAAATCTGCATAGGTCATTGTATAATCTTAAGGAGACACTCCCAAATTGGCAAAGAATGATTAGCTGTTAAAACTAAAACGGTAAATTATTATATTTAATATATACACGACACTATGAATTTTACTTATCATATGATTTGAAGTTACTACTGCTATATTAAAGACTGCTTAGGTGGCTACTACTTTAATGGTTATTAGTTCGGATGAACCCATTTTCAATTATTGATGTCATTTGCGTAAATTTAAAAATCAATATCAATCTAAATATATTTGAATGTGTGTATGGATTGATAATAATGTAATGTAATAGAAGAGCAATCAATATTTTTAATTTATCATAATCCTAAAATTTTAAATTCTTGTGAAATTTCTACTGAATGAAATGAAACAAAAAGTTAATTAAATTCTTTTTTTGAAGTTCGTTGAATTATTTTATTATTTTATTTATGAAGTAAAGCAAAGATATTAAATAAATAAATATCCTTTTATCACTTAATTCAATTCTTGAAAAATAAAATTATACAGTATTAAAGTTGATTGTTTTATGTAGAATAAATTTTATTCATGCTTTCTTTGCTAAAAGGATTTACATTAAATACAATTAGTAATAATTTAAATGTATTTTGTATGAGAAAAATAATAATTTAAAAAATGTGACACTTTTATAATTTTAGAAAATAAATATAATTGATTATTTTGCTTCTACCAAAATCAATAAATAATTAAAATATCTTGAAATGTATTTATTAAAATTGTTCTACCCAAAATAGTACTTAATTTAAATATCTTATAAAAATATCAAGAATTTTTCTCTGCTATTTTTAATATTGTTAAAGTATTATATAATTTGTAAGAATTGTTTCTTACTTATATCTAGAGAAACTTGTTTTCTGAATTAATTTTAGGTTTTTTTTTGAATAAGACGCATTTAATTAACAAAAATTAGCAAAATTGATGCTGTCTTAAGAATATGACCACAGATGTTTCTTAACTTTTTCTTAATTTACCTTAAAAAAAAAAAATAGTAGTGATGGCATAATTTTATTTATATAATTACAGTTTATATTAGCCTTTACTTAATTAAACTAATGAAACTAAAAGTTTGAAGATATAATAGAGTAAATAATTCGACTTTTTCGAACAAATTCCATTTTTATAATCTTAATATAACAATTACTAAATTTAGATAAGTTTGAAGGTTAAAGTAAATATTTTAGCATGCAGATTTTATGATTTTATTTATAAACAAGGATCAATCTAGTGATGGTGTAGTCTTATTTGTAATTGATTTAATTTTATTTATATTAGCATTTACTTTTTTAATTTACTGAATGTTTAATTCTAGAGATATAATAGAAAAAATATGGAAATATTTAGGAAAGGGTATTAATTATTGAATTAAACCATAGTGAATAAGAAAATAAAATAAGTATGGAGATGACAGTAAATTTTGAAGTGTGTATTTTATTTTAAAAAGGATAAGAGATAACACAGTAAAAAAATGGATTAAAAATTAACTAAAGCTATGCTTATGGAACAGATTATTAATGTAAAATAGTGTGAAATATGGATTTATGATATAATATTTTTGATCTAGAAATGAAGATAATCCGTAAAATGTGTACGAATGTCATGTAAATAGGAATAATATATGTTAATTGCGCAAATATGGTACATTCGAGATAATCTATCAGTATTTTCATCAACTAGTTCTTTTATAAATATATATCTAAAATGAAACAAAATAAAAATATATTTGAAATTATTTAGTAGTTAATCTTTTAAATTATCAATCATTCTATTTATTTATTTATTGTAACAAAATAATCTTCAATAAAATCAAGAAAAAAATATTGTTTAAATCTGTTTGGAATTATTTCCTATAATAAATAATTATACTAAATTAACCAAAAAAATTTTATTAACAAATAAAAATAATACAAGATATTCCATTTTCAAACTTTTAAAAAGCACTTCAAACTCAAAATAAAATGGCTCCTCCTCCTCAACCTGGTCAAAAGAGAAACCCCCTCAAGGCTATTATTTCTGGTAAGCATTCATTTTTAAAAAATCTATATGCATAACAACTAAAAATCCAATTTTATAACTAAATTAAAGGTGGTATTACTGGTGGTATTGAAATCTGTATTACTTATCCTACTGAATTCGTCAAGACTAAGATGCAACTCTATCCCCATCTTGCTAAGAAGGGTGCTATCTAATGTGCTAAGGACACTATTCACTAATACGGTGTTGTTGGTAAAATTAATCCCCTTTTGCTGGATTCATTTTACTTATTTCATTCTAATCAAAAGGTTTATACAAGGGTCTCTCTGCTTTATTGACTTTTTCCATCCCCAAAACTGCAGTCAGATTCGGTTCCAATGAAGCTTTAAAAAACAATGTTTTCAAGGTAATATATAAGCTTTCTTTAAGGCAAAGACCCAAATTATTACATAGGTTTTAGACATATTTTCCAAGTCAACTAAAGAAGCATTTATAGTTTAGGAAACAGTAAAAAAAAAACAACTCTAATTTTATTAAAATAGGAAAAAAATAGAGTTAATACATTCATGGCTGGTTTGGGAGCTGGTGTCTGTGAAGCTATTGTCGTCGTTACCCCTGCTGAAACCTTAAAGGTTAAATTGATCCACGACAAGCTCTTAGAATAACCCAAGTACAAAGGTATGATCGATGGTATCAAAACTATTGCTTCCCAACAAGGTCTTTCAGGCCTTTACAAAGGTTTAACTCCTACTATCATTAAGCAAGGTTCAAACCAAGGTATCCGTTTCTTAGTTTATGAAGACTCAAAGAAACTTCTCAAGGTGATTTGAATTAAAATATTAAAATGAAATTTTCTTTTAGCAAAATAAATTTTGTTCATCTATTTAATAGTAGATACTTTTGCATTTAAAAAAAAACTCAAATCGTTTATTTAATTGAGTAATAATATTTTATTTTATAAAAATAGAGTGTTGGTACTACTGATGTTTTAGCAACCTTATTAGCTGGTGGTGTTGCTGGTGCTGCTTCTGTTTTCGGTAAATATTATATATTTTTCTGTTACATAAATAATATATTCAATTTAAATTTTAAAAAAAGCTAATACTCCTGTTGATGTCATTAAAACCCTCATGCAAGGTTTAGAAGCTCATAAATATAAAAACTCCCTTGACTGCTTCTTCTAAGTCTTAAAGAACGAAGGTGTTAGAGGTTTATATAAGGGTACTCTTCCCAGATTATCAAGAGTCGTCTTAGATGTTGCTATCACTTTCACTCTTTACGAATAAATTACTAAAGCCATTAACTACGTATGGCCCGAAAAGCATTGAAGAAAACAAAATAGGCAAAAATGATTTTAAATATGTCAGAGTTTTCAAATATAAAATAGAATTAGCGACATTTTAATTTATGAATGAAATCTTAATATTTATCAATTTATTTTTTGTGTGTTTTGTGAGCTTTTTAAAAGTATTTCTCATTTCATCTGCTTATTTTTTAGAATTATCTAGGAATATTACTTCTTTAAATTAATTATAATTCATTTTATTCAATATTCAAAATATCAAATAAATTTTTAAACAATAATAAAAAATTGATTCCTTTATTAAAATTTTAAATGTAATGGTATTGAAAATAAATTCAGATTTTTTAGTAAATTTAAGATCTACATGCATATTTAAAATAATCCTTTTTTTTATTTATTTTCTGCAGATATATCACAAAGGCTTTAGTTTTCAACGTATACATATTCCTAAATACATGCAAGCATAAGCTTTGATAAAAATTTCACTTGATAGAAAATTTCAAATATAATCAAAATTAGCTATATTTAGTGATTAAAAAAGTAGAAAAGAAAGAGATTTACAAATAACTTATTCTGCATAACCCTTATTGATTATGAAGATAGATATAACTAAAGATTTTATAAGAGATGCTAGCGCTCATTAAACAAATAAATATTAGAATTAAATGAAGGATGATGAGATTAGCGTGGCATTCAACATATTTACAAATGATATTGTAAAATATATATTATGAGATAATGAGAATATTTAAATCTAATTAGCAATCAAAAAAATTAGGTCTTGAATATAGAAAAAGTATTTCAAACTCTGAAGCAAAATGAAGAAAAATATTTAACTTCTTCTTCTTTTGAGTATTTATTTATCATATTTGAATTTTACAAAAATTTCAATATTTTTATCAAATAAAATCAGAAAAGATGCCTTGACAGAATAAGAAAAAGATGATTTAGATAAAATAGTAAAGTAAAAATAGCTTTTTTTAAATATTGATAATAGAATATTTATTAAACTGAAATAAATTATAATAATAGAGAATCTATAGTTACTTTAAATGGATCTGTGTCTAGTTTAAACAAAAATTTAAAAGAGTAAAAAGGATTTTTAAAGTCAAGAACAACTAAGTAATGAATAATTTAAAAAAAGAAGTAAATAAATATTTTAAAATTATCAAAATAAAAATTATATTTAGTGAGTATGCTCACAAAGAAGTTGTCATCTCTTGTCTTTCTAAGAGATTAAAAGATTTAGCTTAATTCTTTAGCAAATTTTAAAAATATCGTCTTGATTAGAAAGAGAAACTTTAAAAGTAACTATTATAATTACAAAACGTGTGAGGATTCAAATTATTATTTGTAAATTAGACTACTAAATTAAGAATAAACTAAGTAAAAAATGTTTAGAATGAGACCTAAAAGAGAAGATTTAGAGAAAAATTCAGAAAATAATAAAGAAAATCACGGAGTATCAGAACTAGAATAAGACAATTAATTTTTACTTTCTAAATATCATGATGACGAATAAAAAAGACAAAATATTTTAAATAACATTTAAGAAATAGGTGCTATGTTAGATAATCTTTCTAAAGAAGTTGAAGAATAAAAAGAAACTACATAATAAAGTAATCAATTATTATTATCTCTATTTTCAAAATTATTAACATTTAAAATAATTTAATTTGTTCAATTATGCAAAAAAATAAAAATTTTACGAAAAACCTCTCTATTTTATTTCAAATTAATAAAAATTTCTAAACGATATTCATTAAATATTAGGTGGGGTATAAGGCCTTTCAAAACTTAATATTATTTTTAAAAATATTTGAAAGTTTTTTAATTGATAACCTTAGATTAGATAGTTTTGTAAAAATAAACTTATTTTAACTATTTTTTTATATTAATAGTATTATAAAATGCTGAGGACACTTTAAAATTAAGTGAGCAAGCAAACGTAGGTTTAAGAAAAGCAGTAGAGTATAGTAAAGATGTTGGAAAAGCTTGGAGTATCCTCTTTTTTGGCTTAGGAGTCTTTTTATTATTTTATGACTTCATTAAAAGCTGATTTTACTATTAAAATGAAAATATTAATTAATTTAAGTTATTTATTGAGTTTGATTTCTAAATATAAACTCTTCTTTGTTCTAGATAACAAATTTTAGTTATTAAATGCAGTAAATAATAAATAAATAAGTCTAGATAAATTTATTTGTTTGTTATAAAAAATTTATATTGAAAATGGATTAATGATATTGTTTTGATATATCTTTATATTCTTCGTTTAAAGCTAACACTCTGAGATTATTCTTAGATTATTCATAACAAAAAAAAAAGAATGTCATTCTAAAATCACGTGTTGATCAATGACAAGCATTAGTTTTTTACAAAATTAATAAACAATAACTTTTTTATTTAGCTGACTTAAAATAAAAAGTTATTTAATCATTAAATTGAAAAATAATTAATTAAGATACACAAAAATAAAAATTTCAATTTTTTCTTTAGGAAAACAAATATATAGATATGAATATTTTCAGATTTATAGCAGATTTACTTCATTTAACTTCCTTCTTCATTTTGATTTTCAAGATCAGAAAATCAATGAATGTTGTAGGTAATAATTTCATTTTCTCTTTCAATATATGTTTAGTATAATCAAAGAAATACATTTCAATCTTACAACTATTATTATTAACATTCATTTAAATTCTGTCTGTAATCTCACTCATTAATTTATTTAAAATATTTTTAACTAAAAAAGGTTTATCTTACAAGTCAAAAGAATTATATTTAGTTGTAATGATTTTTCTTAATAAGCATTAAATAAATTGAAGAAAAATTTGGATTTGAATTGCAATGCATTTTGATAATCAAACCAAAATTATGATAACGCTTATCATTTTAACATTCAAAAAATAAATATTATAATAAATAAATAGGTATTCCTTCTCAGATATTTGGACTTATTTTTATACTTTGTTTCATTTTACAACACTATAATGAAGATTCTATACATTTCATTGACAGCTTATCTTATTTACATCATTAGATTTAGAAGACCTTATTGCTTAGTAATATTTTATTAAAAATTTCATTTTAATCATCTCTTGTGAAAAAAATTAGACCTACGATTCATAAAATGACTCTTTTCCTCACTTAAAATTCATTTATCCAGGTGAACAAAAAACTAAAAGGTTAAACTTTTAAATAATTTTAATTTTTTATATATTATAAAGGTGCCGCTCTTGTAACCCTAATTTCCCTCGATTACTCTAACATAGGATTATTTGAAATTTGCTGGACATACTCTATTTGGTTAGAGTCTTTAGCTATTCTTCCTTAATTGCACATGATTCAATAAACAAAAGAAGTATGCATGCATTATTTTAGTGTAAAAGGTGTATTTAAAATTTCTATTAATATCAATAGTGTGAAAATATCACAGGACATTACATGGCCTCCCTTGGTTTCTACAGATTTTTCTATATTTTAAATTGGTAATATTTTTAGTAAAAAATAATCAAGTAGGCTAATTAAATTAATATATGAAAATTAGGATATACGTTTATTACTATACTGAAAAAATTTAATGGATTTCTACTCTTGGTGGAATACTCTAAACGGCTCTTTACTCTGACTTTTTATATGTCTATTTAAAAAGGTAATATAATAATAATCTCATAAATTTTACTTATTTTATTTTTGCATAAAAATATAATAGCCAAGGAAGAAAGATTGAAATTTCAGTTTGATATAGCTTTTATCTTGAGTGAAAAACGATAAAATATTTAGCATTAATATATATCAAATATATATTTCAAATATATTAGCTAAATTCAAAATATTTCTAAGTGTTTATATTTTTAAGTAGATAATAGTAAATTAGTTACTGACTTACTTATTAGTTAAAAATATTCATGCTTATTTTCGAATATTATAAATACTCTAATTTATTTGTTTTGGTTTTATTGATCAGAATTTTGAGTTATTTTTTTTTAAATTAAAGTTGAAAAATCCAATCTATTTTATAATAATTATTATTATAATAAAAAATATATTTGTTTAATACTTTTCGTAAATCTTTACGAAAAGTAGAAAACACATCAAATAAAAACTGGTAATTCACAATAAACTAAATCTAAACCATTTATGGAAAAAATATCCTTTGAAAAGTAAGCTATTTCTTAGTATTAATAGAGGGTTATTAAATAAAAATTTTCATAGCATAAATTTTAAAAAAATTTAATAAATTTAGTTTATTTTTTAATACTTTATAGACTTTTTATTTACACCCTCCTATAGAACTATAATTAAAAGGTTTTATTTTGATAATAAATTCAAGTTAATAACAAGAACCATTTCTTGATTACCCAGGAAACTTTGAAACAGTTGAATTAGATTGCATTGGAGAATAAGAAACATAAAAAGAAAATAACTCTTATGATTAGATTTATTCACTATATGAAAATGTACATTAAAATGTTAAAATAGAAAGTAGTTAATCTTTTCAAATACCCTAATCAGAAGACAGAAATAATTACTAAGATTAAAATCTTCGCTTTAAATCAACTATAAGTTGCGACGAATAAAAATGAGTAGATATTGAAAAAATAAAAACCAATTTGTCATCAACTCAAAACTAAACCCTCAATCAAAATTAATAAAATCAATTCAACTAATATCAAATATAAATTGTATCCAATAAGGGAAGCAATTCAGATATAACCACATTTAAATAAAATCAAAGAGATTAGTATAAGTGAAAAATATGAAAGAAATAATTATAAGCTCTTATAATTTTATAAATAATCAAATATAAGTAAAAAAAAACATTAGCAGCAAGTTTATTTCAATTATCTACTGAATTATATTTATGTTTGTATTTAATCTTATTTTTATGTAAAATTTATTAAAAAAATTTTGCAAATTTTGTAGAAAAGTAAGAGTAATTTATTAATTCATTTTTTTTTGTCTCCTTAAAAATATATAAAATATTTTACTGCAAATATTATTTTGTGAATTAAAAATAATTATTTATAAAATATAAGAAAACGAAATTGAAAGAGTAATAATAATAAAAAATATATTGAAATTATTTAATAAATGGTTAAAGTTTTGACTGTTCAATAGTCATTTTATTTTAATTGGCACTCTCGAATAATAAATATTGTTTATATTGTTTGAATAAATCAAATGAAAATATAAAATCAAATTATTATTGGTTTTAATAATTTGAATATTTGTTTGAAAATAAATAAAACAAAAAATTAAGTATGAAATCTATCAGCCTAATGGTTGATTTCAAACAATTCTATTTTGACAATCTTTAGCATTGAAATTTATTAAATTATTATTCAAATTAATTTATTTGCAAATATCATTTAAGAAAAAAGGGATTATTAAAATTTTTTATACTTTATAGCTTATTCAAAAAATCAAACTGAAACAATAGGGATTTCCAAAATTAAGCTTAGAAACCGCTAATAAGAAATGTTGTCTCAAAGTGGATCAAACACAAAATTGCAACAAAACACCACAAACTAGCAAATAAATAGCTCTTAAAATGCCAACATGAATAATTATCACTCAAATAACTTAAATTAGAATTAATTTCAATACGCCCAAAATAATTTTCATTCACAAGATCATTTATTGTAAGGAGAACATATGTTCAATAAAAGCTAATAGTAACAAAGCTCATAAAACAATAGTAATGCTCTTGCTTAACATTTATTGGCATCGTCTTCTATATAAGTGAATAATGGTACAAACAATAAAAAGAGTAGCGTTAAAAATCAAAATCAAGGAACTACTAATTAAGCAGCTAACTACAGTAGTGGGATTGGACAGTCACAAGTGGTTGGCAGAAAAAAGAGTCAGGGGTTACTGCAAAATATAAATAATATGAATGTAAATAATCAAAATCATAATCTTAACTAAATTATTTCATATTAGGAAAGCACATCTGCATCTTCCAATATGGCAAACTAGAACAGTAAACAAAATGAGAAGAACATGTTGGTTGATATTTTGAGTATCAACTAGCAATACCAAAATTAGATTTAACAGCATTAATAGTTTATTTAATAGAAAATGAATAACAACAACAAAGCTAACAACAACTTAAATAATGAAAGTAACCAGCAGTCACCTTTAGAATGTACAAGTGGAAGTAAAAATAGGAATGAAAGTAGCGGTCATGAAGGGTCTAAGGTGTAAAATATAAAACTTAACAATCTGATTAACTAACTTACAAAGCAGTCTTAATTTAATTCTCAATTTTAAGAAGGAGGCTCTCCGTCTAAAGTATCAGATGAGGCTCCCATTTCGAACAGCAAACAGACTAAAAAATGTAAATTTAAAATTTTATACATAAATAATTTAAAATGGTTGTGATAGAGTGAGTGGTGAATCAATTAAAAAAACAGAATCAAATTTAATACAAATGATATGAATTAATTAACTAACTAACTCAATAACAAAAATCCAGAATTTGATGATATATGCAAATATAGTTAACATTTATTCATTGATTTGTAAACACATAGAACATACATACATGCATAAATCAAATAATAATCAAATCTCTTAATTTTTGAAAATAATAATTAAAAAATTAAGAAATTTAATTTATTCTTTTTATTACATTTAAAAAATTGATTAATAATAATAATAGCAAAGCAGTAGCCATAGCAAGCAGCAGGAAATTCGAAAGACAAGCAAAAGAATACCATGCATTCGTACTCTAATTCTTTGACAAATTAAAAGAATAAATCTTCCAGTTGCTCTTCTCAACAGCATTTACTGCAAACTCAATAGATTTAACAAAATATCTCGATTCCTCCTTAAAGTCCAACAGGATTAGCATAAATGATGCAAAAGTAAGAAAGTCCTGATCTTAAATTCGGAAATTAGCAATAATAACAATATAGTGCAGTTTTAGTAAGCAACTGGAATATGGCTAACACTTCTCAAACATCTAGCTAGAATGGGTTTTAGAGCGGAACATAACAAAACTCATCAAACTAGCAAGGATACCTCCAAAATTTTTAACAGTCTCAATTACAATAGACTTCCATCGCTGACCAAATTCATAAAATTATTTGCGGTAATGGCAAGTCAGTAGTATCTACTTCTAATTCTTCATAGCAACAGTAGAATTAATAGCTTAATTAACAGCAAAACAGCTATAATAATATGAAGCAAAATGATTACTACGAAGTTATGACTAAAGTCGATAAAGACAAAAATAAAAAAGGTAGAAATGGATACCAACAAAACAATTAAGCTAGTAGTCCTTAATCACAAGCAAGTGCAACAGCAGCAACAGGTTCTACTATTCTATAAAACAGTAATCACACAAGCAGTATTAACTTTTAGCAAAACAGCGCAAACACTAACTAAAACCACTATGTGAACGCATCTTCTACTAACACAAACCAAATGTATAATAACGTAAATTTAATGAATAGCAACAATGTAAATTAGGGAGGAGCATTTAACAATATAAGCTCTCTAAACAACACAAATAAAATATCATCTATTTAAAAGAAGACTGAAAAAAATAAATCTAAAAAATAATTAACAATAAATACAGCTGAAGTTCATCAAACATATAATTTCCCTCAAAATATGTAAATTCCACATACAACAACCACAACTACAAATAAAAACTAATTATATGCAACAAATGATGAAAATGTCAATCAGATGTAACTTCAGTAACAATTATAAAAGTAAATTCTTTAGCACTCCTCAACCAATGCTGCCTACAATTAATATTTACAATCTTCTTAAGTTTAGCATGACCTCTTGCACAATTCAAAAAGTAATGTAAACCTTCAATCACAGTAACTCTACCTCTAGTAAGGTTAAATTTCTTAGATTTTAAGCTAGCAGCAGCTTTCTCATTAATAATCTTAGTCTCAGCAATCAAATTTGTAGTAATCATCTAACTTGTCATCTTGCAACAGACCTAAAACTGCTAAAAATAGTGCATCATCTTCCTCAAATAAATAAAATTTTATTATAAATTCATCTAAATCAAAATAGCAATCAAATGCAACATCTTCTGCATCTTCATCTATAATGAAATAACTTTCACCAAAATACCAATAACAGCTTATGAAATATGAAGGTATGACTAATGTCCTTCAACAACAATAAGATTAAATTCTAAAAGAAAACTTCTTAAATTAAATAACAGCTAAGTAAAATGAAATAAATGGTATTGAAATCAATCACTAAGAGCCTTTCTTTTTATCTCCTAAACACCCTAAATCTCAACCCCAAAGTACAAAAAATCAGTAAAAATAAACTCACTTTGAATTCCCATTGAACTAATAGAATCAACAAGTGTAGAACTAATAGCAAGTAAATAACTTTTAATCTACTAATTAGCATGATTTGGTAAACTTAAGTCAAACCCTTAACTAATAGAAACAATAATAAAAGTAAAAAAATCTATAAATAAATTAAATACTATTGTAATAGCAATAATAAATCCTTCAAAATTAACAGTAACAATAGTAATAATAATAAATGCATTAGTCTTCGACAATTTCAAATTCTTAGTCATAAAACTCATAAATGCTTACAAATAAAAAATTTTCTTCACGTGAAACTTAAGACTTAAAATCAAATTCTCAGTTAAAATAAAGTAGCACAAGAGATACTTCGATCTAAAAATTATAAAGATCCGATCTAATAAAGATAGTGTAAAGAACATCATAAATTTTAAATTCATATTCTAAATAGAAAGAGTTTTGGATCCAAGAAAAAAGAATGCTCCTAAATGAAGTAAATTAATTAAGAGCAAGATTATAATTCTATGAAGACAATACTAATCTATAGTGAAAAAATTAATCTATTAAAATTTGATTCAAAATAAAAAGATTTAATTTTTTTTCATAAGTAAGTACCAAAAATAATATTAAAAGAAAAACTCGAAAAAAAATGTCGCTTTTCCTTAATATATTTACTTGAAAAAATAATTATTATAATTTATTATTATCAGAAATTATTTTAACATTTTTTTGTATATTTTATTTATAATTAAAAACATATTTTTATATCATATTTTAAAAATTTTCTTAATTCATCTTAATTTAAATTTACATTTAAATAATTCATTCATTTAAATATAATACATATATACATAGTTGTTTTTACTCTAAATATATTCTTCTCAATCAGTAAAAATTTCAAACTCATCAAAAATTAAAATAAATATTTTATAGTAAATTTGATAATTATATGACTAACACTTAGCATACTTATTATATATGTATTGATTATAATATATTTTTTACACTGTTTTTTATATTATTTTAACTATTTTTTATCAAATTAAATTTTTAAAATTAAATATTTACAAGACCTTTTTTAATCAAAATGAAGCACAAAGTTAATTTTCACTTTTTAGAATTATTACCCAGTACATTAAGCTTACCAGAGTTCATTCCTCCAGTTCCTCTTTTAGATTCATTACTTCCTATTAATATAAATTATTTACACTGTTAAATACTATGTTAACAAATATCTAATTACCTCTCCTTGAACCAGCCATAGAAATAAAACCTATTTTGGATTATCTTGAGCTTTGCTGCATTAATTATTGATCTACATAAAAATATTGTTAAATGATTGAATTCTTAAATCAATAAAATACCATTGACTAACTTGTAGGTTTATTTCAATTGATTAGAAAGGCTTTTAATTTCACTCTCTAATCTGTAAATATTTCTTTCGTCAAGCTAAATTTAATTCTTGCACTCTTTTATAATTTCCTTTAGTTCTAATTTGTATTAAATACAATTAGTTGGATTTATTGATTGATTTAAATTTACTTAAATTTTCTTCATTTGCTTCTTAGCTTTTTTCTTAGAAAATCCTTGATTACTCTTAGGATTACTTAGCTTATTCTTGTGATTTGTAGAGTAGCTACTTTTAAGTATTTAGTTTATCATTTAGATCTTTTACTTGCAGTTCTAGTTCTGTTTTTTGTTCTTCTTTTTTCTTTAGATTACTTTCTAACTCTTTTACTTTATTGTCCTACTTACTAATGGTGTCTTTTAAATTATCTTTCGTACTTTGTGATTAATATTGATTAGAAAGCTAATTTTATAGTTCTTCTACTTACACTTGAGAATCTAATTAATTTGAAAATTGTTATTAGCATTATCGCCTATTAAAATGTGTAATTAATAAAAAAATAAATACTTCTTAATTTGTTTTCTAAGTCTTACAGTTTTGCAAATTGGTCTTCGTTTATTTATTTTAATGACTTTAGATCAGCTTCTTTTTAGTTTACACTACTTTTCAATTCTTTAATTATATATTTATTTTTATCTTAAAAAGAGGAAAATAATTTGAATGAATTAATTACTATTAATTTCTTCAACATATTTATTTTCTTAAATTAAATAGCTGTATTTTTATTCTTCTATTTACTTTTAAAGGTTCTAGTAGTTCTATTATACTTCTTCATGTTATAATACATCATTATTCAGTCTGTCTATTTATTCTTGCAAATCATTAATTCTCTCTAATTAAAATAGTAAGATTAAGTTAATCATAGTTGACCAAATAAAATTATACACATTACCATCGCTTTAAGAGTTTATATGATCGATTTCTTATTTTAATCTTATATTTTCATCCTTAAGAAATTCACACTGTTCTAATATTTATTAATCTTTTAGAATATCCTGAGGTTTCTTAACTTAGTTAGAAAAATATTATTAAATAAATTAGATTTAGCGCAAATTTACTTTAGTTTAGTTCGCCTGCCAATTTAAGTATCGAACTGACCTTTTCAAGTTCATTTGAAAGTTCGAAAACACATTGCTGAGATTTAGCAAATTTATCTGATATTTCAACTTAATTTGCTTGAAAATCTTAAATTTTACTCTTTAGCTAATAAAATTAAATAATAAATTATATTAAATATAAAATGTATTTAGTACTATTTTAGTTAGATATCAGTTAAGCAATTAAAAAATTAAAAAAATAAATACATGAGCAATTTCTTAATCCTTGTCATTTATTATTTACTTAATTTATCCATCTCTATAACTTTCAATTAATTCATTCATTTCTTGTTGTATTTCTTCCTCCAATTCACCTTATTCTTTTAACAAATAAAATTTAATTTAATCAGTAAAAATATAATACTAATTTATATTCACACAATTATTTGATTTATTTATTAATTAATAATTACCTTCATAAGAAAGCTTATTTTATTACATCAAAGGATCTATATTTGATTAATTTTCCATTAGGTTTACCAATTTAAATAATACTAAAGACGATTCTTTTAAACTCTCAATATAGTTTTCTATTTTAAGTGCCAATTCCTTCCTATTTTAGTCGCTTTCATCTTTTTTTAGTTTGACTTCATCCTTGGAAAGTATAATTACTTACTGTTTTAGCTTTTACAAGTTTAATTCTAATATATCAGTAGAAGTCTACTAGCTTATTTGCTTAAGTAAACTCTGCAAAGATCGGATTTGCTTGCTGGGTTGTAAACAATCTTGTTCAAACTTTTAAATTGCAAATCCCAAATTGTATTTGGGAGAGTCTAATTTTTGTTGAATTAGAGACAATCCTTTTAAAATAGATTCCATCTTAGTTTTTGATTCTGAAATGATAGTGTTTTGAAATTCATATTTTGAGTTTTTGCTCCTCACAGCAATATCTGTTTTGAGTATAATCTATTATAGAGAATAAAACTATAAAGACTCCATAGATGATTATTGCATTTAGCTCACACAAATTGGACAAAATGGTTGGAAATTTTTATCTAAATATTCTAACTTTTAATGGTCTTTTCCTCTCTTGCATTGAGGAAATGTAATTTATTCGGTATTATTAAAACAAAACTAACTTTAATTAAATAAGGTAGTGCTACCTGTTTCACTCTCGTTACCCCTGTAAGGAGAACCAATAAAATTAGGAATCATTTCTTATCTTGAAAGAATCAAAAATATGGCTAAAATAAGGTTTGTATTTATTTGCCTTGTATCTTTAATTTAATTTAAAGTTTGGTGTTAATTAATTATTTCTTTGTATTCGTTAAAAGTTATATTCTATCAGTCAAACTATAAATTAATAATTGTTAGTAATTGAAAGAGATAACAAAATAACATAGTAAACAAAGGCTTTGAATTACAGAGTGTTCTCTATATTTTTCTAATCATTCAATTTTTATTGATTACTTGATTATCATTAATTATTCAATTTAATCTTTAAATAAATTTACTTGAATTTAGAGATAAAATAATAAATAATAAATTACTCTATAAATAAATTAGTGGTCATATTTAATTTATATAAATAATAATAAACCGTTTTGCACAAGATTCAAATTATTAAAAGTGTGTAAATTGTGTTACTTTATCAATAAAAACTCCGAATTAATAACTATAAATTACTTATTTTGAAGTATTACATTCAATAATTCTGATACATTTGCAAAGCCTAATTTATTGTAAGTATTTGATTAAATTTACTTTGAAATGTATGTATTAATTTATATTAAATAACCAATTTCTTATTTTATTTTTTAAAATGGTTGTATTTACAAAAAACATGCATGGTTTATTCTAATATAACTCGCTTTATGCTTTTTATTCTCAAAAAATTAACAGCTTTTTACTATTAAAGTATTCATAATGCATGAATGAAATTCTTTCAACTGAATAACCTTTTTTAATTATTTCCTTTAAGAATTTTAGAAAGAAAAGATTACACCAATACTGAAATATTATGATGATCAATTGATACTCGCTTTACCATATAAATTATAAATTAATTTAAAAAGATAAATTTATACATATTTACCCTAAATATTAAATTCTCTAGATTATTTTATTTTATCTTTAATTATTTTTTAGTTAAAAAAATTATGTCAACTCTATTACTTTTCCTATAAATATTACGAATTAATTATTACTTTTTATTATCAAAATTACATTAATTCTGATAAATTTTTTATTTCCTTTTTATTTGTTTAATGATTTTTTAAAATTTACTTTACTCATAAAATAGCTTAGAAATTTACAAAATGTTACATTAATAAAAATAATATTTTTATTTCACTAAAAATCCAAATTTATTTGCAATTAATAAAATTTTTTGCAACCAATTGTTAAATAAATATGTACTAGCATTGCGGAGAGGGGTAAATAGAAGGGAATGCATTTTTTTAACCTTTTAAAATATTTAACTTTTTTTCATTTCTTCTAATTTCCTCCAAAAGTAATTTTTTTTGCAATCAAATTTCTTTTAAAAAATTTAAAGTGCTCTGAAATTTATTCCTCTTTAAATTTTATTTTTTGTTTAAATTTTACTCAAACTTAAAAAAAATCTTTAGATCAAAATAAAAAAATATGTTTAACTACCACACAAATGGAAGTTTATAGGGTTTCATTCTATTTCCTGCTCTTTATTTTAATATATTTTATTTTTTGAAATACTATTTTTCTAATATATTTATTGCTTGTAAAAATTCAAAAAACATCAAACCTCCTCATAAATAAAAATCAATAAATAGATATTTAATATTAAAAAGTTGATTAAATAAAAAAGTTAAAACCAAAAAATTTAAAAATAAAAAAATGTCGTAATAGAATAACATTTTTTATAATTTAGAAGATGTATTTATTTATTATATTTTATTATCTTAACAGCTTAAATCTTTTTTAATTTATAAAAGTTTGTCAAGTCTGACTTGTAGGCACACACTCATCTTGACTTATAATTCTTGTAAAACCATCTATTCATTTATTAATTTATTTAATTAATTTTTAATTAAATCTATATTTTGATAAAATGTTCAGATTTTATTAAATGCTTAATAAAATAAACTTATTATTTTTTATTTTGTTCTTGAAAAATAAATTAACAACTTTTTTAAAAAAAGGAATTTTGAAGTTGAAGAAAGATTTCTAATTTAATTGAATTCTTCTTTAAAAAATTGCTCATAAATTTAAAGTTTAAAATTAAATCTAGAGTAAAATTTTATTTAACTCGTAAATTGAATGAATAAGTAAACTAAAATTCAACAATTTCTATATAAAAAAGATATGAAGATATTACTGATAATAACTTAGAGTAAATTTTAAATGACTTGCCTGAATACAAAGAATTAACTAGCCTTTCTTTAAATTTGAAGTAAAAAAAATTAATTTCTAAAAAATATATTTCTTCATTTTTAAAAACTCAAAATAAATTTAATTATGAATATAATTTTTTTTAATAGTGAAAATCCATCTCTTAAATAATAAGGAGCAAAAACTGTTAAGTAGTTTTTAAAAAAGTGCTTAAATGTTACAGAACTCAAGCTTTTACTATCGTAATAATTAAAGTATTCTAATCTATTTTTACTTAATTATAATAAAAATTTTAGCAGCTGCAAACTTTAGAACGAGGGAATATTAGAAATAACAGAAGCTATTATGGAAATGAAAAATATTGAAAAATTAGAACTTGATTTTGCGTAATTAATTAATTAATTAAAATTTTATCTTTATCTCTATCTTTTCTGTTTTGAAGTCAATTAAATTATTTTTTTAAATAATTAAATAATTTTTGTAATTTAAATATTTATATTTAAAAAAGATACAGTAATATTGATGATAATACTGCTATTGCGCTTAGTAATACTATTAAAATTCATAAAAACCTATCTAGCCTAATACTCGAATTGAGGTAAAATATTCATTAAAATTTAATTCAGATATTTTAAAAATAATAATTTAAATTTACTAAAAATATATAAAACTGTCTTTGAGCAAATTTAGTAAAATATTTAAATTGAAAGAAATCGCAAATAAATTTAAATAAAAATTTATTTTTCAAGAATTTTTAATTTTTTAAAATAAAAATTACTCAATAATTTTTATATAATTAATAAATTTAATATTAAAAGTGGAAATCATCTTAAATATGAAGGAGCGTTTGCATTAAGCTAGATAATTTCTAATTGTACTAACCTAACAAAATTGTAAATTTCTTTAGGGTAAATTCAATATTTATTAAACAAATAAGAAATTTAAGTTAACTTTACTTGTTATTTAATTTTTTAATTTATTCAATCAATATTTTAGAAAAAAATAGTTTACAACCTATATTTGTATCTTTAAATAAATTATATTTTAAAAGTGGTAACTAAATTTGTGATGATGGAGCCTCTATTTTAGCACAAGAACTTAGTAATCTCACTGAAATAACATCCCTTGAATTCTATTTATGGTAAAATATAATATTATTTTAGATACTCATAAAGCAATTATAAAATATAAAAAAATAAATTTATAAAAACTTTTAATAATAGGTAAAACCCAATTTCTGACAAAGGTGTATGTTCTATTGCTGAAGGGATAGGAAAATGCAAAAAACTCATAAATTTATCGCTAAGTTTACAGTAAATATCATTTTTATTTATATTTTTCATGATCAAGGTTTAAAAAAGCATATGTTTTGTTGGCTTTTTACTAATAAATTTTAGTTTTTGATTTATTTTTATTAAGCTAAATAGTTTTTAAATAAAGTCATGGGCTTAATCAAGCCTATTATATAAAAATATATTTTCAAAGATATTTACAATTAATTAAAATTAAAATCTTTATTTTTTTGATATATATATTTTTATAATTAGTTAATTGATTTACTTAATCATAATTTTATTAATTTCTCCCTTACTTTATCATATATTAATCAATAATATAATTAAATTATTTTATTTTTTTACTCTTTTATTTATTTGAATTAACTAATTCGTTTAAGAAACAAGAAATTAAGAAAAATTAATTCATACCTAAATTTTTATATTCATTTATAAATATTAGAAAAAACAAAATAAGTGATATAGGAGCCTCTAGTATAGGATAAATATTGAACTAATTTACAGAATTAACAGTTTTGTATTTGTACTTATGGTAAATAGATATTTTAATTCTTTAATTTTTTTATTATTTAAAAAAAACATTATTTGAAAAAACAAATTAATTAAAAATTAATTATTTTATTTATTAATTTTTGCTTAATTTTAATTTTTAAAATAAAGGGAGTGCTAAATTGGTAATTAAGGAGCTGTTTCAATAGGAGAAGGATTAAAGAGTTGCAAAAATTTAACATTATTAGAACTCAGCTTATCGTAATATTATTTTGTAATTTTTGATAATCTGTAGTCAAATCAAAAAATTCTGAGGGTCTTTATTATTTTAAAAAATGAGTTTCTATCTATTTGTTATTAAAAATTTAAATTTGATTAAACTATTTTTTCTTTTATTTAATTCTTGCTTTCTAAAAAATAATAATAAGAATTATTTTTATTTTTAGCTAACTTAATTTAAATTTACTTACATAAATAAATATTTTACAAATTAACAGTGCAGAATTTTTTTTTAGATTGATAATACTTATTACTATTCAATAAATTGATAAAAATTAAAAAATAATAGAATTGAAAATAAAATTTGTAGTATTTTAAAAATAAAATTTTGTTATTAATTTAAAAAGTAAAAATTAAATTGGGGATATAGGTGCTATTAGTATTGGAGAAGGATTGAGCAGTTGTACATAAGTTACCAATTTACTTTTGTATTTATGGTAATTTATTAAAGTTTATATAAAAAAATATCTTTTTAATTATTTAAAAATTACAAATAAATTGAATAATTTTTAAAAATAGGGATAACAAAATCAGTGATGAAGGAGTGTAAGCTGTTGCGATGGGATTAAGCAATCTTAAAAACCTAAACGATTTATAATTTGAGTTAGAGTAAAATAATTTTTCAAGCTATTTTTAAAAAAATATTTTTGTTATTCAATATAATCTAATAGGAAAAATGAAATAAGCGATTTAGGAGCATTAAGTATAGGAAAAGGATTTAGTAAATGCACATAGCTTTAAAAATTGCAGTTTTATATTTGGTAAAATCTAAATTATGATTTATTTTAATAATTAAATTTATTTTTAAAGGACAAATAAAATCGGAGATGAAGGAGCTTGTGCACTTGCTGAAGGAATAAGCGAATGTTAAAATCTCATTAATTTAGATATTAGCTTTGTGTAAGTTTTATCTCTTAAATTGAGAATAATTAATTATACTTAAAAAATATTAAATTAATCATTACCTACTGACCATCTATTTTCTAAGTTAAGATAAAAATTCAATTAATTGTGATAAATTTTAAAAATAATCTTTTCTCATTTACCTTAACATACCTTAATTTAGAAAAAACTAATAATGATATTTTTAAAATTGAAAATGATAAACTGTAAGTTCTTATTAATTCACCTCAAATTATATTAACCCCCAAAATTAAGAAAAATTTTTAAGGTTGTTTATTTATTTTGAAAATAGATGGTAATTATAATTTTTATAAGAATACTTTTAAGGTTTAAAAAATAACTCATATCTTAATTTTTAATTTCAAAAAGTAAAAACTAAATAGGTAATAAAGGAGCATCATGTTTGATTGAAAAGTTAAGTTAATGTACACAACTAACAAACTTAACAATATATTTAGAGTACAAATTACTTCTTATAATTTCATTATTTTAGTTTTTAATATAAATATTTATAAATATTTTTAGTCACTCACTAATTTAAATTTTATTTATGAAAGGGAGAATTTAATTGAAGATCAAGGAGCGCTTGGAATTAGCAAATAGTTAGAAAATTTCAAAAATCTTAAAGAGCTTGAGCTTAACTTAAGGTAAAAAATACATTTACTTATTCAGTATGATAGTTAAATTTTACCCAAATTAAAAAATATAGATACTTAAACTATTTTTTATGAATTCTCTTAAAAACTAATTTTAATAATTTTAATCTCTGTTTTTTAATTAATTTTAAAACTCAATATTACAATTTTAGCAAGATATATTATTTAAAGTATTAAGATAAAGCAAATAACTTATTTTCATTTAGTTTTTATATTAAAGTCAATATTTTTTTTTTAATAAAAATAGGGACAATTAAATTTCTGAATAAGGATATTTAAGTTTAGGAAAATCCCTAAGTAAAATAGCTAAACTTATTACTCTGGTATTGCTTTTTAGGTAAAACTTTAAAAATATATGAAAGTCTTTAAATATTGAAAATAAAAATAGCAAAGATGAAAAATATCTGAAATCTTCTGAAATAGTCAATTGTAAGAATATTAAGATTTTAGATTTAGATCTCAGGTACATGTTTTAATTAAACTAAATAAATTAATTAATAGATTTTTATCATAAAAATTTTCTTGTAGCTGGCTAATTTAGGAAGATAAAATATATCACAAAAGAAAGGCTTTAAAAATTAAGCGATTGGTCAAGCTAAAAATTAAAGGTTTTATTGATTTCGGTGATGTTTGACTTCTCCACACTAAAATAAATAATTTATTTACTGAAAAAAATAAAAATTAGTTAATCTAATTTATTCAGCTTTATTGATAAATATATTGTAAAATTTTATAGACATTTTATCTTAATTGAGACTTTAATTTCTTTTTTAATAATTTCTTTAAGTTTTAGATTTTTTATAAATAAAATAATTATTTAATTTAATTATTTTTTTGCCAAAAAAAGTTCAATTTACAAAGCAATACAAACATATATATATTTTCATACATGCACTACATTAAATTTATAAATTAATTTTATTTAAAATTGTTTTATTTTGAAATAAAGTGAATGGTTTAGTCATTTTTATTTAATAGATCTATCATCATTAATACATACATTTTCATCTGAAAAATAATCGTCACTTTTTGAATTAATAAACGATGACAAATTTTGATTTTTGATTGTGTCTTTAACTACTTTTCTAAACCTTTAAAAATTTATTTCAAGATTTTTAGTATAAATTTAAAGTTTTGCAGATGGAAACCTACTGAGGAATCTCTATGAGCAATTATATTTTTACATCTTTTGTACTGAAGTATAAAATACTGATATTATTATTTTATGAATAATATATATGTAGAAAATAAATTAGCATGCCAATACCAAGTAATAAAATACTTCTGAAATTATTTTACCCATTTAATACTAATCATATTAGTTTCCTATATTGAATTCTAACTAAAGACATATAGATGATAAAAAGTATAAGATAGACAAACTGATAGAGGTGATTTCTACTTTATTCATGAATACTTGTTAGAAAGGCTTGTAGTATATAATTAAAGTAGAATATAAACTCAACACTCCACAGTATACTAAACAGCACATTACAATATGAGTTTTTCCAAAAGAAACCAAGGCTGATAATAAGGTACTTAATAATAATTTTATAAACTACCAATAGAAATACTATCTTTTGTATTCATCATACATAAATCCAAACGATAAAATTATCTTACTTTTTTCTAGCTGCTTCCTGTTTTGGAAAATATATCCAAAAAATATAAGAGGTATAGCAAATACGTAAATAACCAGAGCTGGAATACTAACAGCATACATTAAGCTTCTCCACGACTAATCATTGCAATTTATTGTAGTGTCAATCATTAGATAGCTATCTCTAGAAGTGAGTTGAATACATGTGATCGATTCAATTGAATATTAAATAATGGAGGGTTAAAAAACGAAAATTATGCTATATAAAAAGCTGCTTATCAGTAAAAAATAATAATTCTTTTTTCTTATCTAACTGTAAATTGTAACTAATAATAAAATGAAAGTGTTTAAGATAAGTGGACAGAAAACTGATATCAAAAGCTTGATAAATCCTAAACTTTCACTATTTGGAAAGTATTCTTTAAGAAAACAATCATATGAAACACCATCTGAACTTTGTAAAGGATTGAAAAAATTATATATGCTGCTATGAATAGAAGAATCATACTAATTGAAATCTACGAAGTAATAGGTCAAAAGATACATTTAGAAATTAAAAAGAAGTATTTTCATGTAGACTGAAGCTTATTTTTATCTTACAAAGCTATATCCTATGTAGATTTTTTTCATATAAAAAGAAAGATATTTTCGGTAAATCTATGCTCTCATTCTTTTAAAACTACTTATAATAGTGAAAAAGAACATGAAAAGAGCTAAACAATCAGATAAATAAATATAAAGATTGTTATTTTTAACAGAGCTACATTTAACACACTTGAAGTAGCCTTATTATCCATATGATTCCCCTTCCCAAAACTCTCCTTTAATATCGCATGTTAAACACTAAGCTCCTATGTAACCTTCAGAACACAATTAATTTCCATATCCTGTTCTGCTATCTCCATTACAACTTTTCTAATTTAATTAACAAGAGTATGTATCATTAAATTAAGAATTTTAAGGTCTCCAGAAGTTTTATTTTAGGTAGGAAACATCAGCGTAGCACTTATCAAATGTTTGTTTATCACATACTTAGCAATTGCTATTGGTTTAATCATTATAAGTACCCGAATCACAATATTTGCATTACATTTCATTTTACCTCATATTAAATATTTACTCCATTCCTTTTTCGCATTTTGAATTAGGATGAAAACAAACCCTTCTTGAATTTGATGTGTGATCATATAAGAAATAAAATAAATCAATGAATCCATAAGATGTTTTGCAGTCATATTAAAGAGAATAGCTAGTTAACAAGTAAGGGTAATTTGCGTCAGGTAAATCATTATTCATAAAGTATTATTTAGTGTCATTCTTCAAATAGTTATAAAGGTTTCCAATAGATTAATTTTCATCAAATTCTCTAACAACACATTTTTACTTAAAATTTTTTTCAGCACATTCATACTCTACTCTGAATCTTATTACATATAATAGATTTTTGTATACTGAAGCATTATGTATTTCAACATGAAAGTCTGCATAGGATATTTAATCTTCCATTTTTTTTTAGTGATATTCTGTATTAACTAATTCTGCATTTAATTCATAAATTGAATCAAATTCAAATAAATTACAATTATACATCATCCTATCATCTGGCTAAGATGTACATATAAAATACTACTAGGAAGAAACAGTAGCAGAGTTATTAAAATACTTAATTTTATCATAATCTATTTATTGATATGCTTTATTCCCTAAAAAAGCTCCTCCACCAATTTTACTTTTACAATTTGATATTTTTATCTCATCTGTAATGCTTAAGGTACCAGTGTAAAGAGCTCCGCCAAACATATCACTTTAGCAAGAATCAAATGTTGTATTAGTAAATTGAAGAATACCAAATCCCCAATTTTTGATGCAACCACCAGAGTCTAAACTTTTCATATGACTAAACTGAGAGTTTTTAATGACTGTTTGATGAGTCATATCATTATTTATTAGAAGAAACCTTACATTTAAATTGTTAAAATTAGCAATTATATTTTCTATCTCAATAGAGCAATTATAATTGAACATATTCTTAACGTCATTACTCTAAAATTTCAAAAAATTCGAATACTTCTAATTTTAATAAGTTTTTTCTTATCCTTAATTTTTTTAAATCATACCAAAATTGCAATCTTTCATAATAAATTTCGAAACTTTTAATAGATCATAAAAATTATCATTTAAACTACTTATTGTCTTAATATCTACTGTCAAATCACTTACACTAAAAGCAGTAACTTCAGAAATTTTGCCAAACCCATAGCTCATATTACTATTTTTTATGAACCCACTTTAAATTGCTAAATTTTTGACACTACTAACATTAATTATACGTCCGTATGCTGATAAGTTATCAAATTAAAGCTAATATATAACTAAAGAGTCAAGTAAATTTAATGTTAAGAAATCTTTTGCTCCATCAAATAAAGTTAATGTTTTAATATCAATTAACACATTTCGTAGAATTATTTTTTCAAAGTTGATACTCAAAAATGGACTAAATTAAATTTAATCTACAATAGTAGTATTTTCTAGTGTAAAGGAAATATTAGCATTAGGAGGTCCATTTATTTAAAAAAAAAACTCAGTTTTTTTATATTAAATTCCTTATTCATTAAGCATTTAAATAATTAATTCTGTAGAATTACTTTAGCATAGCAAAAAGCTTACTAAATTTGTGAGAAAAAGAACTAATGTTTTTTTCATTATTTTTAATTACATATTTTTTGATTTAATATTGAATTATCTAAATTGATCTAATCTCATAAAATATCTTAAATTAAATAGACAAAATAAATCAATAGTCAGTCGAATCAATTTTTTTCCACCCATTTGATATAAGATACTTCTAATAATTATTATCAATACTGTAATTTTTTAGTATCACTCAAATTTACATAAACCATTTATGTGCTTAGCAATTATATGGTTGAAAAAATAAAAGCTTTAATTGACGTTAATCCTAGGTTGGTATTATTATACAGGATTTATGTTAAATATAAATAAAATGTTTTTTTTTCAGATATTTTTTTTAACCTAATTAAGAATAATTTCTCTAAAATTATTTATTAATTCATAAATTTACTTTTCTTGCAATTCAAACAATATAATTATATAAATAAAAATATGGAAAAATGTAAATGCATTCACTCAGAAATTAATTTTGAATGAAATGTAAGATGAAAATTTGTCTTTTTTTATATATATTTTGTTATATATTTTTCTTATTTTGAAATAATCCTTTCTCAAATTTAATCAAATAAATTGCAATTATTTTCCTTAAGTTAAATGCATCATTCAATTTTTATTATGTATTGTCCATTCAAATGTTTTCTCATTAAATATATTCATATAAGATTGTATCTATCTCTTTTTATCCACACAATATTAAAATTTTATGATAACAATTCTACTTTTATAAATCAAATAAATTTCAATTAGATTAAGCTTGAAAAGCATACGTTTACAACAAAAAAATTATAAAAGTAAATAAGAAAAGAATTAATTAATATATCTATATTTGAATAGTTAATAATAGATTTATATTATTCTAACTAAGAAATATTGAAATATAATTGGTTGACAGATAGATAGATAAAGTATATATTTCAAAATACTTTTATTGACTAAATTTTAATAGGTATTTACCCTTTTATTATTAATCAAATATTTAAAATAATTAAGACTTTTTAGTTAGAATAAAATTATATATTATAAAATTACAGATAGATACTGCTTTAATTTCCGTGATAATTCATCTATCTCTTTTTAAAATTAAATTATAAAATTAATTTTATTCTGGTTATTGCTCTTTTTTTATTTGAGCTATCATTGCATTGTATTTTATGCTTTTAAATATTTTTTTAATAAATCAAATTATTTTATTAATTCATTTTTATAATTATCTTTATCATTAATACAACCATTTTTATAGTAGAAAAAATTCTAAATTGAATAACAAAGAAGCTACAAATTAATTACGATTTTTAATGGTATTTAAAGAAATCTGGTTAAATTCCTAATATAAGATAAGTTTTATTATAGAAATATTATTAATTTTTATATTTTAATTACTGAATTTATATAAAGAGATGTTCTTTTTAAAGGGTTCTAAAATATACTAAAAATTAAATCCATAGAGATATAACTTTTAATTTTATTAAGGTTAAATAAACATTCACTTAAGCTTCTTATTGTTTTGTTTAATATCAACCATCATATTTTTTACATTCAATTTTAAATTAAGTAAAAATTTCCCATTAAAAAAAAACTATTTACTACATAGCTACTTACTTAAAATTGTTATATTTTATTCAATAGTATCTTATATATTTCCTTATGTTGTTAATACTTTTAATTTTTTTTACATTCATATTTTAATAAATTTTACTTAACAAATTAACCTAATGATCATTATCCAATTCACTCAGTATAAAAAAATAAATACTTTAATTTAATAAATTAATTAAATTATCTGAAATTTAAATTTGTAAAAAATAAAAAGAGTTAAATGTAATAAAATGTTTCTGTTAGCAATTTAGAAGATGTAAATTTTGTTTTTAAAATATAAATTTCAAGAATATACTTAATTCATTTCAAAAAGGTAGCTAAATTTGATTTGAAAACAGTCAGCCATCTTAATATATAATTTAAGTATTAAAGTTTATTTTTTTAACAAACTTTCAAAATCAGTTTATTATTTTAATTTTTGAATGAAAATATTAATTTCTTTAAAATAATTTCAAAGGGAATATTATATTTTAGATAAAGGGATAATTCTACTAAATTCTTATTTATAACAGTGCTAATTAATTCAAACTCTGATATTGAATTTTGAGTAAATTTTAATTAGCTATTTTTAAAATTAAAATTTAAAAATAAGAAATAAAGCAATTAATGGCAATTAGATTGTTTTACTGTTTAAAAATCTCCCAGAATTTAAAAATTTGACAACCTTTTAGTTAAACTTAAAGTAATTTTATATTTATTTATTTATTTAAAATGAATAAAATTATTTGTAAAATAAATAAATCCTTGTTAATAAAATTAGTAATTGCTACATTGATTTATCATATCCTTAAGGAGCAAAAGCACTAAGTGATTTTCTTGAAAAGTGTTAGAATCTAACAAAACTCTAACTCTTGCATAAGTAAAAACTTATTAATATTTTTTATAATAGTTTACTTTGATTTAATAATTTCTAGTGGAAATTAATTTGATAACTAAGGTTTAGCATTAATAATAGGCTCTCTTGTTAAATTAAAAACTATCCAAGATTTATAGATAGACTTAGGGTATAACTTTTTATATTTTAAAAAATATTTAAATATAAAAATTAATTAAAGTTTCTTAAAAATTAATATATTTATTATTCATTAAATTTCAGTTATTCTTTTATCTTAAAATTTAAAATTATTAATAAATAAATTAATAGAGATGTATAACTTGATAACGAAACCGCTTCTTAATTAAGTATTGCTTTAAGCTTTTTTCAGAATTTGGTAAACTTAAAGCTAGATTTAATGTAAAAATAAAATATCTCATAACTCAAAAACAAACTATTTATCTTAAAATTCACATTTTTTAAATTACTCATAAGCTTTCTTATTTTTTGTTTGAATTATAAAAATAATTAATAAATTTTGTTGTAAATAAGAAATTTTAGTTAATGTGAAAAAGTAATATTTTTTATATTTTTAAAAAGACATTGTTCAATTTCTGATGATCAAGTATGCTCTATCAGCGAAGGAATTAGTAATTGTAAAAATCTTTAAAAAATAGACTTTAACTTAGGGTAAATTTGACAAAACAAATTTTACTTAATATAAATTGAAATATTTATTATTTTTATTAATTTTAGCTGAATAATTTAAATTGAAATAAACATTTTTGTTTTTTTAAATTTTAATTATTTCATTTTAAAATATTTTTTATTCTTAGATAAAACTCATTGAGCAAAAAAGGGGTATCTGGAATATAAAAATGGATGATTAATTGCTCTGAGCTTACATAATTGCATTTACATTTGTGGTAAATAAATAATATTGAATAAATTATAATATCAAGTAAAAAATTAACTGTTTTTTACAAAAGGGGGTGTTAATTAGGTGATGAAGAGGCTAATTTGATAGGTGAAGGTTTAAAAAAATGTAAAAACCTAGTTGAATTATTACTTAGTTTGTCGTAATATTTTAATTTACTTCTATTGGTATTTTAGTATACTAAATATAGATTTTTAATGATCACTATTTTTATTTTTTATAATTAAATTTAAAGCAACTTGCTAAATCAATTATTCATATTAAAATAATAAAAAAGAAAAAATAAAATCTAAGACTAAGGTGTCTCTAGCATTGGAATAGGATTGAGCAACTGTACAAAAATTGAAAGTTTGATTTTTTATATATGGTAAATCTTTTGCTTGTTGCTATTTTATAAATTTAATTTAATTTGATAAATTTTTACTTATCAGAATAAAATATTTAATGTCGTTAAATCAATATTTATTGAAATTTAAGGGGAAATTAAATTGGGAATAAAGGCTCATAAACATTAGGGATGGGTTTGAGTAATTTTTAAAATCTGATAAACCTGGAGTGCTCGTTTTAGTAAATTAATTTATTTTTTTCAAAGCAATAATTTTTTTTTAATTTTTATGAATCAAAGCAATTTCTTTTTCAAATTTATGAAAATAAAAATATTTTAAAGTCATTTCATATTAGATTATTTTTAATTTTTTATATTTTTAAAAGATAAAATTAGTTTAATCAAGAAGGAGCTCTTAGCATTTTGTCAGGGATAAAAAATTACACTCAAATTTAAAAATTACAGCTCTATATCGGGTGAATATATAAAAAATAGCTTTTCATTTTATTAACATATTGATTATTATTTAATAGGTCAAGCCATTTTGGTTTACAAGGGGCATCTGAAATAGGAAGATGGTTGTCTAAATGTTAAAATCTATCAACTATTGATTTAAGTTTTGTGTATCTTTATTTATTGATATTTATTAATATAATAAAATCCTTAGCTAAATTTATATATCTATATTTATTTTATATTAAATAGTGAATGTAATATTGGTGATGAAGGAGTTTCTAGCATAGCATGTGGATTGAGTTAATGTCCAAATATTTCAATTATAGAGCTTTATTTAGGGTAATTCGGCAAAGCTATTTCTGTTTTAATTTTTAATTAATTTTATTGATTTATATTAATAATTTTGGTAAATTCATCAATTTATTTCAATATTTAATATAAGGGAAAATAATATTAGCCAAGTCGGAGCTATTGAATTCAGTAAATATATTTAGAAATTAGAAAACGTAAAAGATTTTCTTTTAAGTTTAAGGTAAAATATTATAAAAATATTGTTTTTAATGTAAACTTTGAATTTTTAAAAAGGTGGCTCATATTCTATATAAATTTATTAAAATAACATAAATAAAGAAAGAATCTTAAAACTTAAATTTCTTCGTAAAGCATAATTATTTTTTAAGTTAAGAAAATAGCTAATAAAGTTTATTTTTCAAAAAAATTTTTAAATAAAAAACACTAATATGAATTCAAAGATAAATATTTCTGAAATTTTATCAGACTTTTTGATAGTTTAATTTACAAAATTATTGTATTTATTTCTTTAATTTAATAAAAAATTTAGAGACAATATTATTAGTGAAGAAGGATATTTAAGCATAGGATAATCTTTAAGTAAGCTGACAAATATGCACACTTTAAGATTAAATTTATCGTAAGTAAAATTTAAAATAAAAAATTTTTAATGTTTAAGTAAATATTTAACAGCGATAATGACTATTTTCTGAAATCTAAACATTTGCTAAATTGCTCAAATATTAGAGTTTTGGAGGTGGATGTGAGGTAATACTTTTAAATCAATTTTTTACTATTTTCTCATATTTTATTTTATAATTTAATATAGTTATTGCTCAACTAATAGTTATAAATTATATCATTATAGAAAAGCAAATAAACTGAAAAGATTAGTAAAGTTAAGTATTAAATTATGATTAATGATATAAAATTGATAATAGAATTTATTTTAAATTTATGATTTTTATGTTCAAATTTTTATTATTTTTATTTAAATCATAAACTATAATTAAAGATGTAAAATAAAAATTATTTAAATCTGTTAAAAATTATTCATTTTTAATATTTATCTCTATACCCTCAATAAATATAATATCTTATTATTTACTGTTTTATTATTTTTTGTAATATCAATATCAGATTCACAAAATGTAAACTAAGTTCCTAATAAATGTTATTTTTAGTTAAATATTTATTTATTTTTTCTAATAAAATTAAGTTGGTTTAATTCCTAAAAGAGGAATTTGTAAATTTTCTTTCATAACAAAATTTTAATACTGAATATTCTCATTAATTAATTCCACCCTTTTAATTTTTTACTAAATTTTTCACTCTTGTTAAAAGTAAAAAAAATTCTAAATTAAACCAAAAAGAAGCTAAAAATTATGATCTTTTATGGTATTTAAAGAAATATGGTTAAATTCTTAATAGAAGATAGCTTTTATTATAAAAGTATTTTTATTACTTAGTTAAAGTAAAAATGTATCCTTAAATATTTTCCTAAATCTTACAAAATTTAATTTTACTTTTAATTTTTTAAAGTTAATAAAACAAACATTCAATTAAGCTTCTTATCCTTTTGTTTAATATCAACTGTCATATTTTTACTTTAAATTTTCTATAAAATAAAAATTTCCAAGCACACTATAAAGAAATCTATTTACAACATAGCTACTTACTTAAAATTGTTAAATTTTATATATTAACACTATCTAATATATTTTCTTGCATTACTAATACTTTTAATTTTTTTTACATTTATATTTTACTAAATTTTACTTAATAAATTAACCCAAGGATCATTATCCAATGTTTATAGTTAAAAAAATAATTACTTTAATTTAATAAATACATAATTAATTAATTAATTAAATAAATAATCTAAAATTCAAATTTGTAAAAAATAAAAATGCTGGAATAAAATGTTTCTGTTAGCAATTTAGAAGATGTAAATTTTGTTTTTAAAATATAAATTTCAAGAATATTATATTTATCCATATCAAAAAGTTAGCTAAATTTGATTTGAAAACTGTCAGCCATCTTAATATATAATTAAAGTATTAAAATTTATTTTTTTAACAAACTTTTTTCAAAATAAATAAATATATGTTAAAAATAATAAATTTTTTATTTACTTGATAATAAATTTTGCAGTAAATATGAAATGTTAATGTGAAAAAGTAATATTTTTTTATTTCTTAAAAGAAATTGTTCAATTTCTGATGATCAGATATGCTCTATCAGCGAAGGAATTAGCAACTGTAAAAATCTTTAAAAAATAGACTTTAACTTAGGGTAAATTTGACAAAATAAATTTTACTTAAAAAAATTGAAATATTTAAGATTTTTATGCTTAATATTTTAAATTGAAATAAATAATAAACATTTTTGTTTTTTAAATTTTAATTATTTCACTTTAAATTATTTTTTTATTCTTAGATAAAACTCATTGAGCAAAAAAGGGGTATCTGGCATATAAAAATGGATGATTAATTGCTCAGAGCTTATATAATTACATTTAAATTTATGGTAAATAAATAAAATTATAATATCAACTAAAAAATTAACTGTTTTTTACAAAAGGAGCTGTTAATTAGGTGATGAAGAGGCTAATTTGATAGGTGAAGGTTTAAAAAAATGTAAAAACCTAGTTGAATTATAACTTAGTTTGGCGTAACATTTTAATTTGTTTTTATAGATGTTTTTTGATACTAAATATAGATTTATAATGGTGACTATTTTGATTTTTAAAAATTAAGTTTAAAGCAAATTGATAAATACAATTAATTATTCTTATAAAAAAATAATAATAAAGAAAAAATAAAATCTAAGACTTAGGTGCCTCTAGAATTGGAATAGGATTGAGCAACTGTACAAAAATTGAAAGTTTGAAGTTGTTTATATGGTAAATCTATTGCTTATTGCTATTTTTATAATTTTAATTTAATTTGATAAATTTTTACTTATCAGAACAAAATATTTAAAGTCGTTAAATCAATATTTATTGAAATTTAAGGGGAAATTAAATTGGAAATAAAGGCTCATAAGCATTAGGGATGGGTTTGAGTAATTTTTAAAATCTGATAAACTTGGAGTGCTCGTTTTAGTAAATTAATTTATTTTTTTCAAAGCAAAAATTTTTTAAAATTTTTTATAATCAAAACAATTTCTTTTTCAAATTTATGAAAATAGTTTTAATAAAGATATTTACATTAATCTCAATTCGATTATTTTTAATTTTTTATATTTTTAAAAGACAAAATTTTTTTAATCAAGAAGGAGCTCTTAGCATTTTGTCAGGGATAAAAAATTACACTCAAATTTAAAAATTGCAGTTCTATTTACCGTGAATATATAAAAAAATAGCTTTTAATTTTATTAATGTATTGATTATTATTTAATAGGTCAAGCCAGTTAGGTTTAGAGGGAGCATCTGAAATAGGAAGGTGGATGTCTGAATGCTAAAACCTATCAACTATAAGTTTAAGTTTAGAGTATATTTATTTATTATGTTTATTAATATAATATAATCATTAGCTAAATTTACCTGTATTTATTTTATATTAAATAGTGATTGTAATATTGGCGATGAAGGAGTTTCTAGCATTGCATGTGGATTAAGTTAATGTCCAAATATTTCAATTTTAAAGCTTTATTTAGGGTAATTAGGCAAAGCAATTTAAGCTTTAATTTTTAACTAATTTTATTGAAAAAGATTTTTATTGATTTATTTTAATAATTTTGGTTAATTCCTCAATTTCAATATTAAAATAAAAGGTAAAATAATATTAGCCAAGTCGGAGCTATTGAATTCAGCAAACAAATTTAGAAATTACAAAATACAAAAGATTTTCTTTTAAGTTTAGGGTAAAATACTACAAAAATATTGTTATAAACTTTGAATTTTTATAAAGGTGGCTCATATTCAATACGAATTTATGAAAATAACATAAATAATCTTAAACTTAAATTTCTTCATAAAGCATAAATATACTTATTAAATTTAAATATTTTTTAAGTTAATAAAATAGCAAATAAAGTTTATTTATTTTTTAAAAAAATTTTAAAATAAAAAATACTAATATGAATTCAAAGATAAATATTCTGAAATTTTATCAGACTTTTTTGATAGTTTAATTTACAAAATTATTGTATTTATTTCTTTAATTTAATAAAAAATTTAGAGACAATATTATTAGTGAAGAAGGATATTTAAGCATAGGATAATCTTTAAGTAAGCTGACAAATATGCACACTTTAAGATTAGATTTATCGTAAGAAAAATTAAAAATAAAAATGTTTAATATTTAAGTAAATATATAAAAGTGATAGTGAATATTTTCTGAAATCTAAGCATTTGTTAAATTGCTCAAATATTAGAATTTTGGAGGTGGATGTTAGGTAATACTTTTAAATCAATTTTTTACTATTTTATCATTTTTTATTTTATAATTTAATATAGTTCTTGCTCAAGTAATAGTGAAAAATCATATAATTACAGAAAAGCAAATAAACTGAAAAGATTAGTAAAGTTAAATATTAAATATGATTATTGATATATTGATAATCAAATTTATTTTAAATTTATGAATTTTATGTTCAAATTTTTATTATTTTTATTTAAATCATAAACTATAATTAAAGATGTAAAATAAAAATTATTTAAATCTGTTAAAAATTATTCATTTTTAATATTCATATCTTTACCCTCAATAAAAATAATCTATAATTATTTACTGTTATATTATTTTTTTGAAATATCAATATCAGATTCATAAAATGTAAACTAAGTTCCTCATAAATGTTATTTTTAGTTAAATATTTATTTATAATAATAAAATAAAGTTGGTTTAATTCCTAAAAGAGGAATTTGTAAATCCTCTTTGATAATAAAATCTGAATACTGTATATTCTCATTAATTAAATCCAACCTATTAATTTTTTGCTAAATTTTTCACTCTGGTTAAGGAAAAATATTTTAGGTAAGATAAATTTATTCTATGTAAGAAATTAATGTGAAAATGTATTTGATAAAATAATTTTAAAGTAGGTATTTGAAAAAATATTTTACAAAGAATTATTTTGTAAAAAATTAAAATAATAAAAATCTGATTGCTGAAAGGGTGAGTGAACTGATAACACTTTTTCTGAAATAAAAGTAGGTTAAAATAAAATTTATAATAATATTGTAATATATTACACCTAACTCTGAGTAAGGTCATCAATAATTATCAATCAAGCTAGCGAATAATTTAAACTCATTAAATCAAAATAAAATTAAAGTTTTAAAATTGAGTTAATAAAATCTGAAAAATAATTAGTTTGATCAACAAACATCATCATACAAAAGTTTTTTAATTAATTTTTTTCTTTTTAAGTTGTAAATAACTTATTGGAATTTAATATAATATTCTTTAGAATTAAATAATTTATTGACTTTTTCATTTTGGTCGAATTTAAAAATTATTAACTATCAAAAAATTTGACACTATCTAGATTAATAATTACTAGAAAAAGTTAAGTTAATTAAATTAATATTGAGCGAGATAAGTATTTTGAAAAGATAAGTATACTCAAAATAAATATGGATTAATTTTTAATTCATAACTAAATTTTTTTTTACAAAAATAATATTTTAAAAAAAATACTCAGATTATTTTTAAGGTAATTTTACAAAGAAATGTTTAATTTTCCTTCATTAATAAAGAAAGGATTTTATTTAAAAATATTTCAATTAAATTTAATAATTCATTCTACATCTTAACTTTTTATTAAATACGTATTGTATGATCAGCTACCTAATCTATTTTTGATGTAGGATATTCATAGAATTTATCGCTTTTTAGACTTTGGTTACTCTAAATTAAAATATAAGCTCTTTTCTAGGTTTGCAGTAAGTTAAAATTTGAAACAAATGATTAAGTCAAAATGGTTTGACTTTATATATAAAAATAATATTAGCATAAAAGCAAATAAATACAAAATATTTGAACAACTATCTATCTTCTGTTTGTGTGATAAATTTATACAATTAATTATTTGTGTGATAAAAAAAAATATACAATTATTTATTTATTTAGTTTTGAAAAATATTATTTATGGTAATTAAAAATTGGATGAGCAAAAATTGATAATTAATTAATTTATTAATTTAAAAAAAAAGCTTTTAGAACTTATGAATTCTTGTTTAATTTATTACGGAGAACTAATCTCTGAAGTTGCTTAAGGAAAATCATTTACAGATCCTACTAAAATTGCTTATGTAAATTATTCAGGAAGTACATTAAACTAGTAAGGAGATGTAGCAGCTTGCCTAAGAACTCCTTAGATGAACTTTGTTGAATTAAAGCTATACTTCCCTGGTGTAACATTTTTCGAAGGAATATGTATTAAAGATATTTGCTCTGCAAAAGCTCTGATATCTATCAAGAAAGAATTCGCTTATCTGTTGTCATTAGTATTTTAAACATAAATAACTCCTGATCAATTTGACTTTGTTTAATACCCTGTTGAGAAGCCTTCAACTGATAACTATGGCTTTATAATAATTTCTCTAATTTTAGCTTTCATACTTCTTTTGACTTTAATTTCTTTTTTTATGGTGAATTTTAAGAGTAAAAGTAAAGATAGAAATAAAAGTAACTCAGAATCAAAAGATTCTAACGCTAAAAGTCATTTAATTAATAAAAATCAAATTTAGGACTATTTAAAACTTGAAGATGAGAAGCTAAATGAAGAACTTGAAGGGAATTTAGAAGAAAAAAAAACTCTAAACGAAGGTCAAAAAAAGTTAGAGAATGAAAATGAATCTATTTTTATGCGAATAATTAATTGTTGGAATTTGAAGTCTAATCTTTAAAAAACATTCAATGTAACAGTGAGAAATTCAGACTTAGCTGCTTTTGATTGCATAAGAACTTTAAGTTTCTTGTAAGTTATGTTAGGTCATTGTTTTCTCATATGTATTTCATATTATTCCAATTTTAATGATTTCGATATAGTTCAAAAAGAGCCTTTTACATTGTTTATTTTAGGCTGTTTTTATTCTGTTGATGTTTTCTTTATGCTTGGAGGATTTTTCCTTGCTTATGTTATTGCTGATCCAAAAATTTAACAAAGTTTTAAGGTAAAAAACTTTTTAAAAATGATTATCTCCTACTTTATAGCAATTTTAAATAGATTAAGTAGAATTCTACCTACTTATTTTATAGCTCTTTATGTAATTTGGTAATATTTAAGTCAGATTGGCTAATCTCCTACATGGTCTGAAATTGAGTTCTTTAGTGGATTATGTGACGAAAATAAATTGAAGAAAATGTTATTTATAGATAATCTATATGATGAGCCTATTAGTTGCCTTCCATGGACTTGGTATCTTTCAAATGACATGCAAATGTTTGTATTATCTCTAATATTAATGATTGTTTATGCTAATAACAAAACTGCTGGTAAACTTTTGATATTTAGTGCTTTGGGAGCATTCATAGGATTGGCAATTTATTTATCTTATGACTATGAAATTTTAATAGTTAGTTAGCTAACTCCTATGCTCAATCCTCACTGGAACGATATCTATTTTAAGCCTTGGTGTAGAATTCCCCCTTATCTTTTAGGTTTATTGTTTGGTATATTTTACAAAGAATATCAAATAGAAAAATAATAAAATGACAGTTCTAAAAAAGTATCTTTCCTCATGAAAATATCACATTACATGAGAGAGACCTTTGTAAAATGGATGTCATATTCTTTAGGATTAGCTATAATTTTTTATTTGATATTTGGACCAAGACCATTATAAGTCAATGGAGTTGACTATTGGAACTAAAATACCTAACATTTTGTATATGGTATCAGCAGAGTCCTTTACTCTTTAGCTGTTATACTAGTTTTACTACCTTCTGTGTGCGGTTCTAAAGATTTAATAGTAAAAATAATGAGCTCATCCATATTTTAGTTTATGTCTAAACTTACATTTTAAGGCTACCTTTATCACTATGCAATAGAAACTTACTCCCTCTGGTCATTTTACGATTCAATGTATTTGAGTATATAAAACGTTTTAAACATTTATGTAGCTCAAGTCCCGATTATTTTCTTAATATCTTTCATATTTTATGTGCTAATTGAGCTACCATTTAATAACCTCGCTAACATCTTCTTCAATAGAAATTCAAAAAAGAAATAAATAGAAAAAGAAGAAAACGACAAACAAAAGGCTTAACATTAAGGAATAAATTGAAAGCATTCTAAATATATTTGTTCAAATTAAACCTTTATTTTTTTTGTAAAGATTAACCATAATTTATAAGAAATAATCATCATAAATTATAATTTTTTTCACTATAAGTCACTTTATAAATTCTTCTTTAAAATTGTTTCTGTTTAATTAATGACTAAATATAATTTTCAGTCAAATTTTAAGTAACAAAAATAAAAATTACCGTCTATTCTCTAAAAAAAGGTGATATACAACATGCCGAAAAAATAATAGCTAGACTTTATTTTAAAAAATTTTTATGAGTTTATAAAAAGGAGTGTTAACTTATGAGAAAAGAAATTATTTAGTATATTTACTTATCTATCTTATCTTAGAATATAATTAATTTTCTAAAATTTTAATTTAATATTATGCCAAATAAATTTAAAATTGATAAAAAATAATAATTAAATTTTAATATATTTAGTGTACTAAAATTTTAATAGTTTTATTAAATTGTTTTTTAATAATAACAGATTTATTTTTAATAATGATAATTTAATAATTAAGGATGAATAATATTTAAGATTAAAGAGTATCTAACATAAATGAAATGCTCAATGCATTAACTAATTTGACATAATTACATTTATATTTATGGTAATTTTCTTTTAAAATCTCTTTATTATTTTTAATTTTAAACATAATCTTAACAATTCTTAAACTCATTTTTTAAAAAGGGAGTGCTAAATAGTCGATTAGGGAGCTTATTATATTGGTGAAAGCCTCTAAAACTGTAAAAATTTGATTAGTTTAGAACTGAGCTTGTCGTAAACTATTTAACACCTTTTTATTCAATATTTGTTAAAAATTTAGATTTTTTTAATAAATGTTACTAAATGATTGATTTAATTTTTTACATTAAAATATAAGTAAAAATAATATCGGTGATGAAAGTTGCTCTATCCTAGCAAAAGGATTAAGCAATTGTACTAAAGTGCAAAATTTAATACTTTATTTATGGTAAATATTCTTTAAGAATTACAAATATGGTCTTTTAACTAAATATAAATATGAATTAAAATTATTTTGATAAAAACTGTTGGGTGATTTAATTTTTTATTAAAAAGGTAAAATTAAATTGGTAATCAAGGAGCACAAGCATTAGGAGTCGAATTGAATGATGCTAATAATAGTAAAGTTATTTATTTTTTAAATAATATTAAAAATATTTGTCAACTTTTATCTCAAAATTAAAAAAATCTAATTATTTTATCAAATTCATAAATATTTATTAAATAAAAATAAAATTATTTAAATGATTATTTTAATTCTAATCTGATTTATAAATCTAAAGGTAAAATAAAATAGAAGATTAAGGTCTTATCACTTTAGGAAAATGGTTAAGTAACTGTAGTCAAATTAAATAACTATTGATCTATTTAGGGTAAATTTTAACCAAGTATAATTTATGAACTTTTAAAACAAAATTCTAATTTTATTTTATAGAGCAAACATAATTGGAAGTGAAGGAGCATAATAAATTACTTATGGATTAAGAAATAATTTAGATTTATAAAAATTAGATTTAAGCTATACGTACATTATTTTATTTTACAAGTTTCATTTTTTAATCTTTTTACCAAAATTAATTAAAAATGTGGTGCTCCTTTTTTTTGATTATGATTAATAAATTTCATTAAAAAAAGAAATAATCAGATTGATGATGGGATTATACTAGGTTTGATGTCACTAACAAAAATTGAGGAATTGTTTTTATATTTAGTGTAAAAAATTGTTTAATACTTGAAAAAATTATATTTGCTATAATGTGAAAACTATTATTTGATTAAAAATTTTTCTTTTTAATCATTTTTATTTATATTTTTTAAATTTTATAGAAAAAATAATATTAGCGATAAAGGAGCTGTTAAAATAGCTGAATGCATAGAAAAATTGTAAAGCATCAAAAACTTATAGCTTAGTTTAAGGTAAAATAATGAAAAAATTAAATGGTTTTCATCTGAATACTTTTTTTAATTCTTTTTTTTATTTTATTAATTTTTTAAAAAAATTTAATTAAATTTTAATAAAAAGATAAAACTAAATTTCAGAAAAAGGTTACTTATGTATTGGAGATTCCTTAAGTAAATTAGAAAATTTGTAAACTTTGCAATTGACATTAGGGTAAATAAGAAATTTAAAATATTAAAGATAATCTAGTTTTTAAATAAATAATTTAACCTCAGGAAAAATGAAAAATATTTCAAATCTTAGAGTTTATTAAACTGTAAAAACCTACAAATTTTGAAAATAGATCTTAAGTAATTAAATAATCTTAAAATTATTAATATTTTTTTCATGCTAATGCTAATTAATTGTAATTTATAATTAAATAAATATAATGAAATAGATATTGCAAACCTTATGATATGGTAATATATTACATTACAAAGGCATAAAAAATAAAAAGATTAATTCAACTAGAGATAAAGGGTATTGATGATTGATAACCCATGTTTATAATTTAAAATTTTATATTTTAAATAAAATTATAATATTAAATAAAAAAGCAGTAGCTTTGGTAAATTATTTACTTTGTTGCAAATTTATTTTTTTTTATGAAAAGTCAAAAATTATTTTATTAAATTATTATAAAAAATAAATTAAATATAAGAAAATTTTATTGCTTTAATTTCACAAATTTAAACAAAGATATTAAAATTAAAAAGTATTAATTTTAAATAAATTTACCTTTCAATAATCCTTCAATAATGATAAATGAAGTTGATAAATTTTTTTTTTCAATTGATTTTTTTAGAAAAGGTAAAAAAAATTTACAATACTTTAAAATGTAATGAAGTTACTTTCTATGTTGATTAAAAATATAATAAATAATCACTATATTTTTAAATTTTAACTATAACTAACAAAGATTAGTGATAGATCTAAATATCAATTAATAAATATGAATAAAATAAATTATATTTTTGATCAAATTTGTTTGTCACAACTCTTTTTTAGAAATAAAAAGGGATTAATGATAGGATAATTAAAAATTATTATGAAATAGAGATATATTATATTCTTAAAATTCTATTTTAATCTGAACATAATAAATAGATTAGATTATCTCTTCAAAGACATGGAGATAAATTATTCAATTTTACAATAATTTATTAAATAATTATTTCAAATATGTAAGTAAAAAATTATAAATTTTATTATGAGAATTAGTATCCATAAAAATAAAATAACATTTTTGGAATCATTTATGCGAAATTTAATAAGAATGATTCAATCAATTTGAAATAAGTTAAGCTAAATAATACTTTGCATACAATTTTAAGTAAAAGAATTATTTGATTTATACAAAATTTAGATGTTTATACATAGATTTCAAACACGAAGATAAACATGAATTGCTTTTTTTTACAAACAATAATTTCTTAACTGTAAATTATAAAGAGCATTTTTCAAATTTATTATTGTAATAATTCTTCAAAAACATTGACTCCAGATTGCAAAAGTTTTTTATCATTTGAGCAGGTGGGCAAGTAAAATTTAGCAGCAATTGCAAAATCACAAACGCAACCATGACATTTTTTAATTTTTGAGGAGTCTAAATTCCAAAGGGACTTAATGCACAAGAAATCAGACATTAAATTAACACCAGAAGTTGCTAATATATTAAAATAACTATCAAAAATTAATTTAAAAGAAAATATTTTACAAATAGCACTTGTGCAGTCACCGAAAAGACCTTTAAGATCACCAAAACAAGAAGCAGCAGTAACAATTTCGCAAGAAGTACCTTAATGGATAATCTTTTCAAAGAGATCATATACTTACTCTTTTGAGTTTTTAAACAAATTTTCAATTACTCCAAACTAACTTTCCTTTTAAGCGGATGCTAAAGCAATCAAGACTATGATAAAAATAGCAGCTTTCATTTTTATACTTTTTATTTACTTTTTAATGTTTCCTTAACTGGATTTAAACTTTTTTAATCAATAATAAGAAATAAGCTCTACAATTTAATTATAATTGATGGAATAGAAGGTAATTAAAGAAAGAGTCACAAACAAAAAAAAATTTTCTCTTTGTTTATTGAATCAATCATGAAATTTACTTTGGTATTACTTTAGTTCTTTTAACTCCTTATAAAAGCTAAATTATATTTTCAACAATTTGAATCAATATTCTAAACAAATTAACTTATTTTAATTCTTTAATATTTTAAATAAATTGTTTTAAAAGCTAATAAAAAAAACTTGTTTAATTTATTTTTTTTAACAAATTAATTAAAAAACAAAATTCAAATAGTAAAATAAAAATATATTATTATAATTTTTTATCATTCTCATATTAGAAATTCTATTTGATTAAAATTCAAGTTAATATTTGATATTTATGAGAATCAATAATTTAATTCAGTGTATTTTAGAATATAATTATAATATTCTAACTTTTTGAATGATCTTTTAAGATAAATTTATAAAATTTTTTTTTTTTAAATGTTTTTATTTATTTGATTAATAATTCATAATATAATTCAAATTTAATAACTATTGTAAAAATAACCTTCTAACATAGTTATTTGTATTTTTTTATTATAAATTATTAATTTTAAATAATACTTAATTTGTGATAAAGTTTGTTTTAAAATGACATTAAAATTTTGTTGAATTTTTGATTTATTAATTTTCTTTTTGACAAATATTTTTTATTATTTATTTTGAAAAATTACAAAATATTAATTTAGCTTATAAAAGCTATATTTCATTGTAAAATTAATTGAAATAAATAACAAAAATTCTATTATTATGAAGACTACTTTTTGTAAATATTCCCACTTCTCGCTTGGCTTCAAAATTTTAATATTGAAAAAACTAGTTTTTAGTTTTATTAATGTTTTTAAAGATATAATGTAATTTATCCTTAAGAAAATCCTGCCAATATCCTAGAAATTATTAAAATTTAAAAAATTTTAACCCAAAATATCACACAAAATTTTAAAAGGGAGTGGGTGTTAATTAATAAGAGCTTACAGTATTATGAAATACTACTACTTTAAAAAAGTTTTTGTTACGTAAATATTAATGTTAATTCTAAGGCAAATAAAATTAATTGTTATATAAATATAAACTAGTTTAAATTTATATTAATAAATATGAATTAATTATAAATTAAAATAAAATTAATCTAAACTTTATTTAGATGGGTTCTCATTCACTTTAGAGTATATTTTATTCTTATTTATCCTGCATTTAATAAGAAAGATCGGTTTTTAATTTTGTAGATTGAGCACTAGTTAGCCTATTAAAAAAGCTTTGTCTATTTTTAATAGATTATCTAGACTAAACATTTAATCGATTTGGTGCTATAATCTAGGATGAGTTTTCTTCATTATTTTCTTAGAAAGAACTATTATTATTGCTTACATATTTTTACTAATTTAATTATGCTTCTTTGTTAATTTATTTATCACAATTATCTGTACCATTTAGCAAAATTTTATATGAGCAATCGATTTTTAATTTTGCATAATCTTTTTATGAAGGTTTTATTTTTGATGAAAAAGATCTTTTATTTTAATCCTTTTTAGTTTGATTAAAGAAAATTAAGTCTTAGCTCTTTTATTTTTCTTATGGAGTTTATTATTTTTTTATTTTTGTTGATAATGAATTTCTTTTGAGAGTATGAGATAAAACCTTATCATAATTATTGTGAGGAAAGTAGATTTCATAGATGTTCATTTTATCAAAATTTTCTAACATAATTATATCATTTAGTTGATTTCGATATTAAATATAGGCTTGGCTAATAGATAAATAATTGTTAACATCATCGTTTTAAACTAATAATTTAGAAAAACTTTTTTTATAAGAAGGAACATTAAAATCATCTTAAATTTAATAATTAATATCCTACGTCGAATTTCTATTAAAAGACAAACTATTCTTTTTTTAATATTTTTGTATCTATCTTTAATTATTATCTTGGTCTTGGATGGCCTAAAAATTAATAGCTTAGATAATATTTAACTTATTTTAATCTAAAATATCAGTTTTATCTTTTTGTTATGATTAGTTATTTACTATTTACTAATTACTAATCTAATTAGTAAAATACATTTAATATAAAAGCTAGGTGTCATTAGTCTAAATTAATTTTTTCTAAGTTATACAATTATCATGTAGATTAGGGTTCTTTTTATTAGGCTCTGTTTATTTCTTTTTATCAGGAGAATGAGATTCTTGCTTTTGTTTTATAAAAATTCATTTAAAATAATTAAATAATTTTAGATAAAATACCTATTAGTCAAATTTATTTGAAGATTATGAGAACTCATTCACCTTTTTTATATTTTTTGAACCAAGAGAATTCACTAAACTAAAGGAATCAATAGAATTTTGTGATTGATTTTTATTTTCTTATTTGATAGAAAAAATATCATCTTCATATTCATCTTCATTTTCTTAGCTTGAAATGCTTAAATTGGTTTTTGTCTATTAAAATAAATTTTATTGGCTGTTAGAAAAATTACATTTTTGATTTATAAAGCTGTTATTTTCATTTATAAATTTTAACTATTTTGTCTGCATTTCAGGTAAATAAATCAAAGTTTATTTAGATTTATATGTTTTTCTAATAAATTCAACTCGTTCAGAATTTAAAGTCTAGTACATAAATTAATTTTGAAGCTTTTTTTTATATTATTTTTCAAAAAATTAATATAATAATAATGAATAAAAAGGGTTTGTTTACTTTCTACACATTTGCAGAAAAGTGAATAAAAGGACAGCTGTCTTCACTGTGATTTGTATATTCATTTGATTTGCATATAGTGCAAGTCCTAGAAAACTATGTAGAACCATTTAAAATTATTTGATCTTTAATATAGCAAAATTACTCATAATCTTCCTTGTTTTCTTTGATAATTTTTAAGAATCCTTGTCTATCAATTTTTATTAGAGTTGTGAATTCTAAACTTCTAAATGTTTACTTCCTAGGCCTTCCTGTAAAGAATGAGCCTTCACCTTAAAAATAAAAGATAATATTTAGTTTTTAGCTGAAATTTAAAATAATTAATTAATATTTTGATTACCAAAAAATTGTCCTTGCTTGAGAATTAATTATGATTTTTTGGTTTATTTCTGCTACAAGTTGCTGAATCCTTCAATATAAACTTCAACTGAACCCTTTTCTATGAAGAATATTGAGAATTCTAAATCATTTTTCTAAAATATATTTTCTTCAGGAGTATATTTTTACTCTTAAGCTATTTCTATTGCCTTTAATAAACTTTATTGAGAAAAATTTTATCTGAGTATTGGAGATTCTAAGATGAAAATTTTATTTGCTTCTATTAACAAATTCTCTTTTAAATTATTTGATAATTAATTTATTATCCTTTATTCTTATTTTGTAGATGTAAATTCATTTTCACTCCAGTAATATTCAAGGTAATTTCTAATTTTATGCTATAATATATTGCTTATCCTCCTCTACTTCAAATAATTATTAATTATGTAAATGTTACTTTTTCTAAGCTTTTAAATTTTTTAAATATCTTAAAATATTTAGCCTACCTTTTAATAATAAAAAATAAAATATTTAACACATAAGAATTTAATATCAAAATGATTTTTCGAATAAAATAATTAATTAATAATCAGAATGAAATCTTTACTTTATTTTTTTAGATTATTTTTGAATTAAAAATGATTTATTAAAATAAAAAAATCTAATGTTTGATTGTGTATGGCTGGTTTAAAAGAAAGCTTTTCATTTTGAATTTATTGAGCTTTTTAAATTAAGTATGAAAAAATAATAATCTGTAAAAATGAATATATCAACAAATAAATTGTTTGTGGAACGTTTATTTTACTTCACTGATAGAATACGCAAAGACGCCGCATCCTGATAAGACACAAACGATACTCATAATCTTTTCAGTGAGAGTTTGTGGGAAAATATCCCCGTAACCAACAGTTACAATTGTAGCAGTGTTAAAATAGAAGCTATATATGTATTTTGAAATATTATCCTATTAATTAACATTTTACTAATCTAGCCAAGTATATTATACACCATACATACTCTATAAATTCGATAGCTGAATCCAAATGCATGATAAAAAGTGGATAATATAAATATTTAAAAATAACAAATTCCACATATTCATAATTTAACTCATTTTAGGAGATAAATCAAACCTAATTTCAAGCTTCGATTAGAATTATTGAAATTACCCAAGTCTGAAATAAAATAAAAAGTAGAAAAGAATAATTAATGATTAGTATTAAAATTCTATATCTAAGCTTGAGAATTAATAGCAAATGAGTAAGATAAGTGGAAATAGGGTCAGACAATCTTTTTTCATACCTTTTTAAAAGTGAATTAATTTAGAAGCAAATTAATATTAGTAGAAATTTTACCATTACTTTTGTAGTTTCTTATTATTTCAGCCCTGTTATTTATTAATTTTCCTTTATAAAATCTATTAGTATTAAGTTTTACAAATATGTCTATAAGCAATAATAGGAAAAAAACGATTGCTGTATAAAAAAGGGATGCTTTATTATAAAAATAAAAGCAAATGCATAATGGAATCATAATAAAAAAGAAAGTAATAGAAATTAGCTAAACAGTATCCCAAATCATCATATATTAAGATAACTAATGAATGAAAGTAAATTCTTAAGAATACAATTTATAAAAATAAATACTTATAATATTGATGAGTTGTCATGTTTAGTATGGTTATATGAGCAAATAAGAAAAATATTCAATTAGGCCAAAAAAAGTAAATTTAATATTTTAAAAGATAAAAAATCTTTTATGAAATTTATTTTACTTTTTTATTTTTTTAAATTTCATTATTTTTCTCTTTTAAAATGACTTAGAATAGAAAATTTCGAGCTCTTAAATTATTAATTAGGCAGTTTACTCAAGAGATTTAAATTCTTTTTTTGTAGTTTTAAAAGAAAATTTATGTAAAAAATCAAAATCATTTTTTATATTCAATTTATAATTATTTTTGTTTTTACTGGAATTGATAAATATGAAGATTTTATTTTTGAATTATTTTATTTTTTTTTAACAAATATTATGAACAAATAATTTTTAAAAAAATTAATTGTAAATTACAAATAACAAATAAATTATCCTATATGATATGGTTAATGATTGATTAGTTGATTAATTTAGTTCAGTAAAAGTTAAAGTGCTTTTTTAGTTTTATTTTAATTAATATTATTAGCTTTGATTTTTTTTAGGTTATTGGGTTAATTATTGGTAAATACAAAATATATTATGAAGAAAAGATGAAAAAAATATTGAAAAATAAAAGATTGATTAATTTGAGGTAAAAAAATATAGTTTAAATTAGTATTTTTAAAATCAGGAAAAGATTTATTGATTCATCTATCTAAAAATAGGAAGATTTGTAATCAGCTATTTAATATAGTTAAACAACTGTAAAATTTGTATTTAAAGTGGCTTTTACAGATTGTGTTTATAGATAAGTTATTAAAAGATGATATTAACAAATAAAAGTAATCTTCTTAAAAATAAACGTATTGATTGACTCATAATCTAAATTACATGCACAATATTAAATAATACTTAAAGATTGTAATTGATAGGTATTTTATTAAAAGAAATAAATACACTTATTATTAATATCATATTTACATATAAACAATTTTTTAGCAACTAGATCAAATTTTAATGCCTGTAGATAAAGCTGAGAAGCGTAGACTAAAGAAAATTAGAGAATTCTAAAAAATAGATGAATAAATTCTAAAAGCTGTCCCATATAAAGTCCTTCAAAGCCAAATAACTTAAGATTTAAAAATAGGGTTTTTTAGGCTATTTAGATTCTCTTCGAAAGATGATAAAATAATGATGATATTTGGAACATTAGCAGCTATTGTAAATGGTGGATGCATTCCTCTGTTTAGTTATTTGTATGGAGAAGTGCGTGATGCTATGATTACAGCGATACAAAAAAATAAATCCTAAAACAGCGAAATTACAAATGTTTCAGTTTTCTTTTTGATAATAGCAGCAGTTTGCTTTGTAGCAGCATTCATTTAACAATACTGCTGGGCTGTTGCGGGAACATCACAGTCTATTAAAATAAGAATTGAGTATTATCATTCACTATTTAGATAGGATATGAGTTGGTATTTTAAAGAAGATAAATTGAAATTAGTTAATCGAATCCAGACTGAACTCTTCAGCATAACAGATGGAATAGCTGAAAAGGTTGGCTACTTAATTTTAATTATTTCAATAGGAGTCAGCAGTCTAATACAGAGTTTTCTAACACATATATCGATGTCACTAGTAATGTTAATTCATATTAATATATATCACTTAAAATAGAATTAAGTGATTTCTCATTAGTTGTATCTTTTAAATATCTTGATCATGAATATCAATTTATACATCTCTTTATCTACATGAATAATTACAATGTCAAAAAGGAGATTTAAACAAGAAATTCTATTGATAAATTAATTCAAATACAAATTAAGCATAATTAAACAATTAATTTATTTATTTTCTATTTTATTAATAAGATACTTGTGGTTACTATTCCTTTATTAGCTTATCCTTTTTATCACTATGAAAAAACTGAGAGGCTTATGGAGTAATAGAGACAAGAAGACAAATCCTAAGCAGGAAAAATTTTCGACTAATCAGTTCAGCATATTTAATCTATAAAATCATATAATAAGCAAGACATTATTTTTGAAAAATACGAAGAAGTAAGTTAGAATTGTAAAAAAAATTAATTCATTCTAAAATATAAATAGCACATAATGGAGGCAAAGTCGAAAAATATTAAAAGTGGTATTAAGCTAGGTAAATTTTATATTTCTTTAGATAGTTTTTTTTTAATTGCAATTATTTTAGGAGTTAGTTTAGGAATAACAGTTTTTGCTTTGTTTTTATAGAATGCCTTGATTCTTTTAATTGGATCTTTGATGGTAAAGAATAATTTTAGAAATGCTATGTCAGGAAGGGCAACTGATTTGTCAGACGTTTTAATAGTTTTTATTTGCTTATTAATTTGTGGAATTGTTTTTGGATAATTAAGTCCATTACTAAATATGATCACAAGAGCTAGACATGCTGGTGGGAGAGTATTTTCTACTATAGATGCTATCCAAAATATCAATCCATAAAATAAGATAGGAAAAGAAATAGGAGATCTTAAAGGTGATATATTTATTTATTGATTGTTTAACACTTTATTAAATAACTAATAAAACAAATAATTAGTTTAATTTAATATATTATTTTCTATTTATCTAAAAAGAATTTTAGATTTATTTCAAATTTTCTGGATATTTAATCATACAAAATATTAATTAATTGTTTAAACATTTGATCACAATTTGATAAAACTAAAAATTAATTTAATTTGCTATCAATCTCAAATGCATTATAGAATTATTTGAAATTTTCTGGATATTTTTATCATAGAAATATTAATTAAATATTTAAACATTTCAAACAGATAAAATAATTAATCAAATAGATAAATAAAACAACTAACCAATTTAATTTGGTATTTATCTTAAATGAATTTTAGAATTATTTGAACTTTTTTGGATGTTTTAATCATATAAAATATTAATTAAAAGGTCATATCTAATTTCAGAATGTTACCTTCAAATATAGAGTCAATAATTAATTATATGAATGCTTAGATAATATTTGTTTGGATATTTTGCCAGGAGAGAGAATATTTCTAATTGGGTAGTCGGGAAGCGGAAAAAGCACTTTAGCTAACTTAATCATGAGGTTTTACGATCCTTAGCAAGGCACTATATATTTAGATGGAGAAGATATCAAAGACATCAATCTCAAATGGCTACGTTCTTAATTTGGGTAAACAGTTTTTGATTGAAATAAGTTTTTGTTATAAAATAAAATATAATTTTTAAATATATTAGATACATAGGATAAGAACCAGAAATATTCTTTGGAAGCATTAAGAGTAATTTGCTCATTTCTAAACGGGAAGCATCTTTAGAAGAGTTGTATAATGTACTAGAATAAGTTTATTTATTGAATATTGTGTAAAATTTAGACCTTGGTATAGATTCTGATGTTAAAAATTTGTCAGTTGGAGAGAAACAAAGATTGTGTATTGCTCGTGTACTGTTGAGAAAACCAAAAATATTTATTTTTGATGAACCTATTTCTTCTTAGGATTTTAAAATGGAAAAATAAATACAATAACTAATTGATGAAATAACGAAAAATTATACATCGATAATCATATCTCACTCTTTTAGTAAAATCTAACAATAAGATAAAATTATTATAATGAACAAAGGTAAAATATTGAAGTAAGGAAAGCACTCAGATTTAATTAATGAAGATGGAATATATCTTAACATAGTAATTTTTTTTCATATTTCCAAAATATCATTTTTAATATTCACTCTAATTCAAAAAGATTTAAGAGCGCTAATATATTACTGAAGAAATTGACTACTTTCTGAAACAATAAATAGAAGAACAAATGAAAAAAACACTTGAATTTGAAGAAGTTGAATCCCTTAATAACTAAGATATTGATTCAAATCATTTAAATAAATTTTAAGAAATTAAATTATCAAAAAGCGAATCTGTTAAAAAGCTTGATAAACAAAAAAAACAATTAGAAAGATTAAAAAGCAAAATTTAGTATAACATTGATAAAAAATTTATGAATATTGATTTTGCTTATCAAAATAATGAGTTGCCTCCTGAAAATGTGTTATTTAACTTTGGAGAACATAAAACATTTAGTTAATTTACCAATCATTAAAAAAAGAGAAGAAGCACTCTAATTTAGAGTAACAATTAAGTTTAATTAATCTCAAATAGTGTAAACTAAAAAGATAATTGTGTAGTTAGTAGCTAAGGACAAGTTTCTAAAAAGTCTAATTCTTAGGAATAAAAAAAGGCTTACTTGCTTGATGCTTAAGAAATAGAATTACAATTAATATCAGGTTAAATTGACCATAAAAAAATTTAGTAAATTGAGAGTATATAACAACAACAAAATTCAGTTCTTAGAAAAGAAGAAATAAAAGCAAGCTAGGACATGAACTCTGATTTAAAGTCTCAAACTTCTTAGTTAAATGTGAATGATAGTAAAAAAAGATAAGATATGTACGGTAACGGAAAGCAATGGTTGATAAACTACTAAAATTAAGTTAAGTATAATACATTAACAATTTTTAAACATATCTTAAAAGAAAAAGTGGCTTTGAAAGGAATGATATGGTAAACTATAGGCATATTGATGGCTATTATTCATGGAGCAATTTATCCCTTTAATTGCATAATTATAGCTGATACAATTTATAATGTTTCTAATTACACCCTCAACCCAACTTTGAAAAACTAAAATCTTATTATTTAAAGTCTGATCAAATTTATTTATACAGGAATTACAGGTTTAATTTCTGCTACTCTTATGACTTATTCTTTAAATGTTGCAGGAGAAACGCTTTCTTTCAATCTCAAAAAATATATTTTTAGAAAGACTCTTCACCTACCAGTTTAATGGTTTCTAAAAAAGTAAATTTTTGTTGAATTTTAAATATAAAAGGAGAAATTTTTAGGAAATAATTTTTTTAGAAATGTCAAATACTGTAAATCCTTACATATTATCACCTGATATATAATATCTCATAAGATTTTTTTATTTATTTAATATATTCACCTGCAAATAACAGTTTAAAATGGGGTGGGTGAAAATATAAGAGGAATTACAATATTTGAAATTTTATTTATGGTAAAACTTAACGAATTAATGATGAAATATTTTCTTTTTAGATAAAATAAATTAGGTGCTTTAAACGAGATGATAAATGTGGATACTTAAAAATTAAGTAATTTAGTGAGTACAAAATTAAGTTAATAAGTACAAAATGCATCTTCGGTTATCACTGCACTTATAGTTTCATATCATTTTAATTACAGATTGGCTAATATAATTGCAGTAATATTCCCAATTATATTTATAGCTGGTTTTTTTATTAAAAGAAACAGCAGCAGTGATAGATAAGAAAAGGAGATAACTGACCATAAAGCGAATGAATTTATACAAGATGCAATTTTAAATAGCAAAGCAATTGCAAGTATGGTATATGGACATGAATATCTCCAAGAGTAATTCGCACTTCTTTATGAAGAGTAGCAAAATATGCTAAAGAAAAAAGCCAAGAAATAAGCCCTTTTGTATGCTATTGCTATGTTCATTATTATTTCAAGCTAATCTTGGTTTTTCCTTATTGCTTCTAAAATAGATTTCAATAAATACAATATCAAAGACCTTTTCATTTGTGTCCTGAATATTCTCTATGCCATATTTTCAATTAGTATTTTTAAAAAAATTAATTTTTTTATTTAATGAGTAATATTTAATTTAAATTAGTGGGTAATCTAAGATATTTATCAGATTTTGGTAGTGCATAAACTTCGAGAAAGAGAATTTATCAGCATCTTTTTAAACACAAGAGTGAAGAATAGGTGCATGAAGAAGTTAAAAATGCATATTTGCAAATATAGAAACAAAACTAGTAATGTTAATAAAATAATATGAAAAATGATGCTTAAAATAAGGAAAATGCCTAAAATGGAACTAACCTTCAAATTAAGAAAGAGTTTTCTTTCAAATAATAAAATTATTCAAATGGGAATAGCTAATTAGGAAATATTAAGCTACAAAACGAATTGACAAAGAATATAGATCAAAAATTCTAAAATCAAAATGAAGAAGAGAAAGAGTAAAAGGAAAATCAAATGATGATGAGTTTAGAAAGCTGTGTTTAATTAGAATAAAAAACTGAATAATTAGATAAAGCAAGTAGCCTAGGAAATAACAATATAAAAAAATGCTATTTTGCTAGCAAAACTTCAGAAAGCAATGAATATTATGAAGGAGGCTAAGTTTTAATTGAATTCAAATAAGTCTATTTTAAGTATCCTCACAGAGAAAATTATTCTTTGTACAATGTAAGTTTTCAGATAAGAAAAGGAGAAAAAGTAAGCATTATTGGGGCTTCTGGCAGTGGAAAATCCACTATTTTTGCTCTCTTACTTGGTTTTTTTGAGAACTATCAAGGATAAATTTTCATAAACGGTCAAGACATAAGAATGATGGATTTAGAAGAAATTAGAAGGTAGACTAGGTGGGTTTAGCAAGAACCTTTTATTTTATAAGAAACATTGAAGGAAAATGTTATTCTAGGTTCTGTTTGGAAATAATTTAATTTTAAAAGATTTAAACAGTCTTTAGCAGTTACTTGCAGTGAAGATATCATTCTGAAATGGAAAGAGTAATACTTTTAAGAGTTAATGTATCTTAAGTAGCAACAACTTGATTCATCAATGAACAATTTGCTCAATAAAAAAAATATCAATAATTAATAAAAAAGGCTTTCTAAGTTGAGTAAGAAAATATTTTTCAATGAAGACGATATTAAAAAAAGATAGTAAGATGATTTTGTTAAATCAACCATGGAATACAATTTGTAGGAATTGAGTGGAGGCCAAAAGTAAAAAATTTGTCTTTCTAGAGCTATTTATGCAAGTGGCAATATCTATTTATTCGATAATGCAACTTCATAAATAGATGTAAGAACTGAAAAACAAATATTTAAAAATCTGAAAACAAAATATTTTAAAGATAAGACAATTTTTTAAATATCTCATCGTCTTCAACCGCTTCTGTATTCAACGAAGCTAATGATAATTAATTCTGGCTAGCTCTTAGAATTTAAAAATGTTGTCCAAAAAGATAATCAAAAGAATGTGGTTTTAGAGTGAAGTTCAAATTAATTATGGGTACCTAGAATTTAAAAATGCTGTTCAAGAAGATAACCAATAAAATGAGGTTTTAGAATAAAATTCTTGTTGATTATAAATAATAAAAAAAATTTTCAAGTTAATTTAAGCAAAAAAAATTCTACATAAATTATATAAATTTGTTTTTACTTTTGTTGTTTTGTTAAAACCAAAAAAACTTATTTTTGATAAAAGAATAAGTCAAATATTAAATAAAAATAATATTTCATTTTTGCATTTAATTTTTAATTAATTGAACTAAAGTTATTTCAAACACCTTTTTATATTGATTGTATGGCTTTTCTTGTATAGTTAATTAAGAGATAAAAATTTTAATGAGAATTCATTAGTATTTTTTTCCTTTTAAATTAAGAATAAACTCGATCTATTTATTATTTATTAGTAATTTTCTAAAAAAATTAATTCTTAATTAATTATTTTTGATTTCGCTTAAAAATAAATTAGTCAAATTTTTAGTTTATATAAGAAAGTAGAGTTTCAAATAAAATGACTGATAAAGAGTAAACCTAAGAAGATGAATAAATTAGCAAGGAGACATTGATTTCGCTATTAAAGGATAAATCAAAAGAAATTAAGACCCTCACTACTAAGCTATAAAAATTAGAGGAAAAGTACGTTAAAAACTACAAGGAAACGAAATTATACAAAAAGGATTATGAATCGCTTACTAAATTCCTTAGATAAAATGTATTCGATAAAGACCCTTATTTACTTCCTGCATTTAATATGGGTGAATATGAATATGATAAAATTCATGAGTTGTGGATTAAAAGAGATTAGCATCAGAACTAAACTTTAACAAATCTTCTTTAAGAGCTCAATCAAGAAAAATAAGAAGCTTAAAAGAAATATGAAAAGATGTTAGATGAGGCTTAGAAAAACGCCAAAACTGCAAATCAGAACAGTAATCTAGCAGAAACAATAAAAAAATATGAAAACTAGCTCTATGAACTTAATGAATAGAATTAAAAGCTTGCAGAAGAAATAGTTGAAAGTAATCAAATTATCCAGTAAAAGAGCGATTTGATATCTCAGCTAAGAAAAACTGAAGAGCAATTTTAGCAACTCAAAGCAGAAATGCTTTTGAAAGAGCTGCAAAACAATAGCTAACTAGCAAATTAAAGTAATGTAGATAAGAAAATGGCCAACTCTCAAAAGCTTAATGACTATTTAAAGATTAAAAATGAATTAGAAGTAGCATTAGACAAAAATAGAGTTCTTGAAAACTAACTCGATGAAATGAAATCAGATATTTAAAAATTAAAATAGCAACTCAACACTCCAAAGCAACCTCCCAAACCCGTAGAGATTCCAATAATTAAAAAAACATAAGTGGCTTCTGTAGAGGTTTAAACAGACTTATAATAAATAGTAAATATATTTATTTTTTATTTTTTCAATTTCTTTTAATGAAAATCTTAAAAACTCAATTGCTGCTTGAAAATTAAAACATCTTGATATGTAATTAAGCAAATAAATACAAAACTAATATTTTAGTTAATATCAAATCATTAATTATTTCATCATCTGAATATTCGTTAAAATTTTATGAATTTTTAAAACGTGGCAATTATTGATTGCATTCATTCATTTATTTCATTTTTTCCAAATATTAATTTTAAATTGCTTGTTGATTTGTGTATTCAACAACAAAAGCATAGCTTTAATAAATATTTTTAAAAATTATTCAAAAAATTTTAAAGCTTTTTCATACCAATAAATATTTTATTTTGAAAATAACCTGAATTTTTATTAAAAATAAGTAAATTTCTCTTCAAAATGACATACAAGGATATCATGGATTCCACTCTTTTTCAAATAGTGAACCAAATTCTTAGAATGTTATAGACAAACCTCAGACACCATAAAACCAAGAAAATTATGGTTTTTCAGAAGCTTCATCTCCAAGCATTTAATAATATCAAAATGGAAACTAAAACTCAGATTCAATCAATCATGAGTACTTGAAAAATGTAATCTTAAAATACTTTATTTATCAGGAAGGTAGATATTATAATGAAGCTTCTCTGCTGATGTCTGCTATTATGACTATTCTCAAAATGTCTAAGGAAGACAGAGAAAAAGTATACGCAGCACGCTCAAACGCTACTCTTTGGAATAGCACTAAAAACTTTATTAGCAGTACTTTTACCTTTGGTTAAGGGTAGCAAGATTATGATTACACCAAAAAATGAATGAATCAAGGAAATTTAAATCTAATTAAAAATTTTATTAGAATGATTTAATAAATTATTTTGAAAATATATAAATAAATAAACAAATATATAAAAATTATTAAAATTAAATTTAATGTTGAAAATTCTGATTTATATGAAGCCAGTTAATTAATACATTTTATCCTTTTAATTCTCCTACTTTAGTTGAATAATTAATTGCTAAATCTTCCTTTACTTCCCATATTTTAAGTATTTAGCTAATAAAAATATTTTTAGTATATTATATATTTTATATAATAAATAATTTATTTATTTGTTTTAAGTGTATAATAATTAAATTACGATTGATTAATTTTTTAATACAAAAAATAAAAATATTTTATTGAATTTTTTATAAAATTAAATCAAAAATAGTATGTTTGTAAAATGAGCAATTAGCACTAGCTTGTGCAATAAAATTTTATTGAGCACAAAATTTACTTATTTTTTTATTTAATTATAAGCAATAATTAATTACACTTTTTTAAAAAAAGATTTTATTTTAATTAAATTTGATAAATAATTGATATTATTTCTTAGTAATTTGCAAATTTTTTTTTGAAAGTCTGAAAATTTTTTATGAATTTATGAGTTATAGAGTATCTTTATAACTATCAAAAAAATTTATCAAAATCTTAATGAATTAATCTAGTTATCGATATCTTCTAATGAGTTAAGAGAAAGTATGTGTTTATGGATAATTTCAATTGATGGTATTTATTTGAAAATTAGAATCTTGTAACTAATAATTTGAGTTTAAATAAGTTAATGTTGAAGTTAAACCATTAATTTTTAGTTAACTTGTTTTGAAGTGTAATATTAGGATAAATCTAATCAAGTATGTATTAGATATTTCATAGCTGAAGCAAAATCAGTAATTTGAGATAATTTTACACAATCAAACCGTAATTACTATTAAATGTTGTAATGATAGATTTATTTTTCAGTATAATATTTTAACTAAATTAATATATAAACTAATTTATTTAAAAAATAGTTTAATTTTGTGCAATTATAGAGCTACATATATATTTATTTATTGATTTAGAGATAAAAGAAGAAAAAAAAGGTTTCAGGTTCTATTAATTGGTTTTTGTTCAAATTAACTTTTACAAATTATTTATTTTTAATAAATTTGAATTTGTACTAAAGAAAATTCTTTTAAATTATTTATTTTTAAAATGCAAAGCTCGCTCTTTATTAAAAAATCTTTACATAATGATAAAAAAATTGAAATAAAATTCTTTTGTGTTCAAAATAATTTGCTAACAAAAAATAATTACTTTAATAAATATAAAATGTAATAATATAGAATAAATATCTAACAAATAAAAGCTTATAAAAATAATAACTATTTAATTTTATAAGCTCAACAATATAGAAAAATGAATCAGATAATTTATTTTTTTATATATTTTATAGTGCTCCTTTTCTCTTTTAACCTTTTAGTGTTCTTTAAAACATTTTTAATGTTATATTAAGGAAAGAAATATATGAAGTTTGCTAATTTATCAAATTCCCAATATAAGTTAGATCTATTCCAAATTAATTTGAAGACTCCTTCATCGAATTTCAAAGGTGAATTCAAATTTAACGAGTTACGATTTTTGCTAATACTGTATCTTTTTGCTTAAGCTGTATTTAAAGGTATTAATGAATTTCCTCTGAATATAGTATTTTAGCTTAAATTAGAGTGTCTATATTAATCTTATTGAATATTGTGTTTTACATCTAGTTCTGGAATGCTTTCCAAATAAATTTAGTGTTGATATTAATTTTGTTTTTTAATAACTTATAAACTAGGTAATTAATTACCACTCTTGTTAAATTATGATTAAGGTATAGGATATAGCATTGTCTGGCTTGGATTATGTTCTGATAAATTATTTTAGCTATTATTTAAATGATTGCTAACATTTCTTTCATCTGTATTTTAGGTTGTGAGCTTTTCTTCATTAACTGACTATTTTTTTAATAAATCCATTCTTTCTTAATTTATATTGGAGTCTTATCTTTCAATATTCCTTGCTTACTGCCTCATAATGCTGATATTAGATATAATACTAGATCTTTTAGTACCCAAATTAGACAGTACGTTCTTAATTTAAGATAACACTTCATCATTTGCTTTTTCTTTTGCCTAATTAATTAAATTTCATTTGAATAAAAAAGTGAGAAATTATGTTTAAAAGTTTTAAAATAAAATAATTTGAATTAATGGGACATCTATTAATATTACCTAACTCTCTTATTCTTAAGAATCAGATTATTCTGATTTGGATTCTTCTTTAGAAAATTTAAATTTATTTGTCGAATTTTAATTAGTAGCTTAATTGTTTTATTGTTTAAAAATAGATGTTTCATCATCCTTTATAGGTGAAAGTTGCGATTGAGTAAAGCCAGTTCCTATTTCGATATCATCATTATTAGATAAAATTTATTATGTAGATAATTCTATTATATATTTTTAAGTTTTTTTAGCTCTCCTAGACTAATTTTGTCTTTCTTACTTCTAAAAAATGTTATTTTTTGTGATAAGAAAATAGGGAGATTTAAAAAAATGAGTTTAGTAGCAGTTCATAAAATGATGATCTTTTTATTTACATATTAAACACTAGCTTTTTAATAATTCGATTTATTTATTAAATAAAACCCTTTATTATAGTTCCATGTACTTTTGAAAATCGTATTAATTTTGCTTTAGTATTTCTTAAAATTTTATATTTGATATTTTTATCAGTACAGTTTTTTGTTAACATTTTATCACATATGGCAATTCAGTTTTTGTAAAAAATTCATATTCACCAAATATTTATCCTTCTTTCAAATAACAAACAGATTTTTAATGCAACTGCACTGTTGCACTCTTTTTAAATTTATCTTCTATATTCATATTTTTTGGCCTATTTTTTAAAAGGTAAATATAATAAAAAAAATCAATAAGATAGTTCATAATTTTTATTACTCGTAAATAGAAGAAATGGATTCTAGCGGATGTCCCTCAATAGTTTATAAGATTTCAACTTATATTTTTTAAAAGAAAGAAAAATTTTAATTTGTTTTTTTGATTGTTTATTTGTTACCTCTCCCTGAAAGAATTAAAAAAACAAAATATTCTTAAGTGTTTTTATCAAATATCTAAATATCTTGACCCTCTGCATGACATTCTTCCTCCATTATTTAGTATAAGTTTAAAATTGTTTATGATGATAAATTTTCAAAAAATGGAAATATAGTAGCAATGTTCTTATTCGATTCCATTACTAGTTTATTTCTCATATGAGGACTTAGCTTTTTCAAAGCATCTTTTTCTGCTTCAAACTGAGTTTAAGCTTCTTATTCGTATTACTTTACAACATGTGAATTGATGGCTCTTTACAGCTCTCTAAAAATTGTTTTAATTTAAAAAATACATTTTCATTTAAAAAGAAATAATAATTTACAAATCAATCTTCTTCCTTTTCATATATCTATTTAGTAAATTAAGGTCTTTTTTATAATTTTCTTTAGCAGAATTCATTTCTAATAAGATACCCCTCAAAACCATAAGATTATATGCATAAAATACATAAGAAATAAGCATCCAGAAGGAAGTAAATGCATATTCGTACTGTGAGAACACAGAGCTTGAATAAGAACTGCTCAGTGTGTAAAAAGCCCAAAGTTGAGCTTCTAAATAGTTAGTCCACCAATAAGAATCTGGCTTTTAGATTTTTCCTGAAATTTAATGTGATAAAATATCATAAAATAATGTACTTTATTTCAAATCAATAAATCACCTAAATTAATCCAAGTTTCTTCAATTTATAAAACATGATTTTCAAAATATGCCAATGTTGCATATGAGCATGCCATAAAATGAACTAAAAGAAGAACATACAACAACTGCTTGCAAATTTACATTATATAAGGCTTATGAAGATGTTGAAGAATTAGAAACTCTAACTTACTTAAAATTATGGACATACCTTTGAGTTTAAGGAGAAGTGGTAGATGTAATAAAACATTAATTGCAGCATTTGAAGAAGTCTTTCCTTCGAAAATTAATGGTAATACTTCAAAAAAGAAATATTCTTTGACATATATTCTAAAAATAGTTTTTCTATCAGTGATAAAATCACCCTCATGGTATGTTGCAGTGTTCATTTGCAAAAACATTTCTAATACCCAAGCGGCTATTGCAATTTAATGAAATAAATTATGGTAGTCTTAAAACTCAGCTTAGAAAAATAAAGTCAAAGAAATAGTAAATAAATAAAAGCAATTGTAGCAAGCTATGAGTCCATTGACACAAATTCTTAATTTATTTTCTGGATTGAATAAAGGTAAATTTTCGAAAATGAGAATGATAAATTTTTCTAGTTTTTTTAAAAATTGCAAGAAAATCCAAAGTAAGTTATAAATAGAGCAATATTTTTTGTTTTATGCCATATAAGTATATTTATCTGATAAATCACCTAATAGCTACCGACTTTTTTCTTTCATTTGCTTAAATCTCCCAAATAGTGTAAATTTATTAATGAAATCTACTATATAATTCTTTATTTTTGAATGTAAAAATTCGGATTTCTGAGCAGAAGTTAGTAAACTTTTTTTCTCTCTTTATTTGATGTGCATAGAATGTTTTTTCTACCTATTATGGCTAAAAAGTAATATTAAATTTATGTTAGCTGTATGCAATTATAGAAAGATCATTTATTGCATATACATTCTATTTATAAATTTAGTTTAATTTAAGAATTAACAAAGTTCTACTTAAAATTTTTGATTATGAAAAGAAAAATAAAAAGAATGAGCTTTCTTTCTACTTTTTAACTTTGAGTGGATATAGAAATAATTAAGAATTAATAGTAATAAATAAGAAATTACTAAGCTGATTTTAATGTTTTTATTTGTTATTAGTGTACTTATTTGCTTTAGCTTCTCGACTAAGGAGATGACTACCAGCTTCTGTTCCCTTGATTCTCATTAATTTTAGAGATTTCTGCAAATTCATATTTCTCTTCAGCGCTAATGTGCCACTAATTTTCCTTTTTACTTTCTATCTAATTAAGGCTGCTTATTTTGCTTAGAGCACTCTTATCAACTGTTATTATAAAGAAATGTTTAAATATCATAAAAACCATTTTACTATAAGAATAGCAATAAAAACTTAGAGGTTCTACTCTATTTTAATAAAATATGTTTTAACATAAATTAATGAATCTGTAAAATCTACCAATAAAAGATATATCTGAATGCTGTTATGATTATCGAGATATAGCTTATACCTAGAGTTTTAGTTGAGTAGGTAATCTAGACTAATTATTTTTTGATTCTTAATCATCCTAATCAACCATTAGAGTCGAAGACGGCAGCTTTTAAGCAATATCAAGATATGATCTTTTATTTTAACCAGATAACTTAATTTTTATTTATTTTTCAACTTCTTAAAATCCTCTCATTTTGATTTCTACTTATTAATTTAGCTAGCTAATTAATTAAATTTTTTTAATATTTTTTTAATTGTATTAATTAATATTTGCTGTTTTATAATAATCATCATACATTTTGGTGATAAAAATAATTCAATATGAGGTTTAAATTTAAAAATTGAATTGCTATTTTATTTTGTAATAAAAAAGCTTTACCTTCTTTATTTTTTGTAAGCAAAATATAAATTATCCAGTCTAAAATTTTTTTATTGGCTATTAAAAATCAAATTTTAAAGAAATTTTTCATATTAAAGAAAAAGAATAATATAGTGAGAAATAATTAATTTTATATTTTAAAAATAAATGAAGACCAAAACATTCATTTTTTACTTTATTACTTACAAAAAAAATTTTTACTTAGAAACATGTTGAGTTAAATTTGAAGATTATATTTATACTATAAATACATATCAATAAATTATTTTACTAATAATGGTAATTTGAAAAAGTTATTAAATAAAAATTTAATTAAGATCTACAAAAACTAATTTCAAATAATTGATTTTTTAACTTGTTTAGCACTGTTTTTTTTATCTTTGAGTGATTTTATGTTTTTTAAGACATTTTTGTAATTAAATTAAGGAAAGAAGTAAATGAAATTTTCAATTTTATCAAAATCCCAATATAAATTAGATTCATTCCAAATTTTTTTTGAGTGTTGATTGTTAATTTTCTATTATGAACACTACTAATCGTGGAATTTATTGCAACTTAGTTACCCACTTTATATAGTATTTAATGGGGCAAAACCATTTCCTATACAAATATTATCACAACTTAATTCAGATTTTTTATTTGGATTGTAAATTTGATGGTGAGATTCTATTTCTCTAATACTTTCTAAGTAAGTTAAATGTTTTTAAAATTAACTTTATTTTTTCATGGTTTATTGGCTGTTCATTGATTTCAAGCTTTAATCATGCTTAAGGGAATTCGATGGTTATAATGTTGAATATTAGCTTAATTCAGATGTATTTTTTGAACTACTATTCATATTTAAAATTTTTTCATCTATATTTAGTGTTAATGACTTTTCTTCTTGATATGGTTTTTTTTAATTCTAATCTATTTTATCATGGTTACTGGTTAAGTCTTCTTATTTTTCAAAACTTTTTCTTTGTTATTTTATTAAGCTTATCCTTGTCTTATAACTTTATCTTTTATTAAGTATATTAGAGGGAAAATTCTTAGTTTATTCAAATGTATTTTCACCCTAAATTATATATTTTTTAAATTAAAGATTAATTGATTTAAACGCCTTTAAATAATCAAAATAATTGGATTATTTGAATTTATATAAAAAATTCTTTTTTTTTTTTTGATAAATAAAATAGTTTGTGTTAAAACAATTATTACTTAAATATTTGACTCTTAAGATTCTGATAGCTCTGTTTTAGATTCTTCTTTATTATATTTTTATTTATTATATGTTTTATAAGAGCTATTTTTATTATTTTATAAAAAAATAGATGTGTCTTCTTCAAATACAGGATTTAGCTGTGATTAAAAATGCACAAATTCTTGCTCAACTTTATTGCTATCATTTTCATCTTCTTCACCACTTGAAATTATTTGCTGAGTTGGGATATCAATAATTAATCTTTGACTCTTTTTAACTCCTCTATTGAGAAAATACCTTTCTTAATTTACTGAAAAGTTACTTTTGGTTGCAATAAAGTAAATAGACTTAAATAAATGAGTTTAAGGGCAGCTTATAAAATGATGATCTATTTATTTACAAATTAAGCATTAATTTTTTAGAAGCTCTATTTCTTTATTATAAACAATTTTGGATTTTAGTTCTTAAAATTTTTATAAATCTGCTTAATTTTATTAGATTATCTACTAAAATTTTATGTTTGATATTTTTATTAATAATGTCTTTTGCTAGCATCTTATTACATAAGGATATGAAATATTTGAAAAAAATTCATATTCTCCCAACAAACGTCCTTCTTTCAAAAAACAAATGGATTTTTCATATTATTGAATTTATGATCCCTTATCATATGCATTCATATATTTTAAGCTCCTTTTTTTATTATTTTTAAGAATAGATTAAATTTAATGATTTTTATTTGAATCAGTCTTCTTACTCAAAATTTGATCGAGATAGATTTTGATAATTTCCATCTAACTATTGCAATATTTCAACTTTTACATTAAAAATGTTAATTAAGAAAAAAAGTAATTAAGAAATTATAAGTGAAATCGAAAACCTTTTCCAGAAATGATTAAATAGATGAAATATTCTTGAGAATTTTTATCAAATATTTGTACTTCCTAACCCTCTGAATAACATTCTTCTTCCATTATTTGGTATATATTATATATGGTCTACTAGGATAGATTGTTAAAAATAGAGAATTAGGTAATTATACCCTTGTTTGATTCCATGATCAACTTATTTCTCATATGAGGACTAAGTTTTTACAAAGTTTGTTTTTCTGCTTCAAATTGAGAAGAAATTTCTTATTCATATTGTTTTATCAAGTGAGAGTTGATTGCTCTTTAGAATTCACTAATTATTTAATATAAAAATGTTTATTTAAATTAAATTAAATGATTTAAATACAGATCTATCTTTTTTCTTTTCATAAATCTGTTCAACAAATTCAGGTCTTTTTGATAGTTCTCTTTTGCGGAGTTGATATCTTAAAATATTTTTCCCAAAGTAATTATATTGTAAGCAAAAACCACGCACGATATGAGCATCCAAAAAGATGTAAAAGCGTATTCGTACTTTGTGACGACAGAACTTGAATAAGAATTGCTTAGAGTATAAAAAGCCCAAAGCTATGCTTCAATATAAATAGTCCACCAGCAATAACCAGGACTTTGTATTTTACCTACATAAATCAAAAATTAGTTAAATAATATATATTTAGGAATTTTATTTACCTAAATCAATCCAATTTTCTTGAGTTTGTAATATATTTCTCTCAAAATTACCTAAAGTAGCATATGAACATGCCATCAAATGAACTAATAATAGTATTTGTAGTAGTTATTTGCAGATTTACATTATATAAGGTTTATGCAAATGCTAAAGGATTAGAAATTCTAATTTACTTAAAATTATCGACATTCCTTTCAGTTTTAGAAGAAGAGGAAGATGCAACAAAATGTTTATTGTTGGATTAGATGAAGTTTTTCCTTCAAATAATAAAGGCAACACTTCAAAAATAAAATATTCTTTTACATATATTCTAAAAATAGTTTTTCTATCAGTAATGAAATCACCTTCGTGGTATGTTGCTGTATTCATTTGCAAAACCATTTCGAAAATCCAAGCTGCTATAGCTACATAGTGAAACAAATGTTAAATATCTTATATATCAGCTTTAAAAAACAAAGTCAGAGAAATAGTAAATAAATAAAAGCAATTATAGCAGACTATAAGTGCATTGATCAGAATTCTAATTTTATTTTCTGGGTTGAACAAAGGGATGTTCTAAAATATGATAATTATAAATTTCTCTAATTTTTATAAAAAGAGAGGGAATAAGTATATAAAATAACTTAATATATTTTTTTATTTTTTTTATGAATAAGTAAACATATCTGATAAATCACCAATTAGATGTCTACTTAAATCTTTCATCTATCTAAATCTATATAAAAATGAATAATTCATCAGAAAACTCATTAAGAAAGGCTTCATTTTTTTTTGAATTTATTCAGATTTAAGGACTTAAGTTATTGCTCCATTGTTGGGCTTTTTTTTGAGAACCAAATATTTTTTTGACCTATTTATGTTTAATAAATTAAAGTAAGAAAAAGTGTATAGATTAATTTATTAATATTATTTTTTAATTAATTTATTTATTATTAATTTGTTCTAAAAACACTAAATATAATTGATTAAATTTTGTTATTTTTGCTAAAAGAAAATTCTACTTATTTTAATTAGATAAAAATATCAAACAAAATAGAGAAATAATAGAATAAAACATTTTCTCAAACTAACACTTTTTTAGATAAAATACAAAATGAAAAATACTTTTTTTGTTTTATTGCACTTTTTGATTGTTCACTATTCTTAGTATTCATCTAGCTTATTTTTTTGTCATTAAATAAATTATATTCTAGGTTTTTATTTAATAGAGTTTCTTAAATCTTAACTTTTTTTACTTTTAATTCTTCATCTAAATCACCTTAAATCTACTATGATTAATCTTTATTTTGACCTGAAAACTGCTAAAGACTATCTTCTAATTCTGGTTTATATTTTTGGACTAATGATTAGTTTTATTTTTTGTATTTTAATAGTTTATAAAAAAATAATCACATTAAACAATGAAAATTTAAAAAGTATTTATTTATTTTTGGGAAAGTAATAATAGAAAAATCATCTAGTTAAGTTAAGGATAAAATAATTGTTTTATATTTCATAAATATGTTAAAATAATTTTTAAAATACTTAGACTATCTGATTAAGACTGCTTTTAAAATGATTTATTCTATAATTAAAGTTATTTGAGTGTAGGCTATTTAGAAGTATTGAAGTCTATTTCTAGCTCATCCTATTCAGCTACGATAGCAGAAGAAGGTTATTTTAAAGCTATATCAAGATAAGATCTTATATTTATTCCATGCAACTTTATTTTAATTTCTTTTTCCTCTTATTCTTAAATTCCTCTCATTATTAATATTTACTTATCTGTCTTTGGTATTATTAATTCTACTAAAAAATTTTTCAGTTTTTATTATTTTTTTCTAATTTTGTTTCTTTGGAATGTTGAATATAATTTTTTTAATCATAGCAGAAGATTGATATTTATAAGAAATTTATTTTCTCTATTTTGTTTTTAAATAACAAGCAAAAACTTTTCAATCAATTAGTTCAGAAACATTACATTCTTATTATTTAAATGTTTCATTTATATTTATAATTTTTTGTTCTATTTTTTATTTCAATTGTTCTTTTTTTTACAATGAATTAAAAATCCTTAATATGATGATGGAGACTAACTTTTAAAATATGATGAAAAATTAAAAATTATTTTTTTTTTTTGGTATAATTATAGATTTAAGTAAATTAAAGAAATATATAAATTTAAGTAAAAATATAACAAATTCTAAATACAAAGTTAAATTTTTATTAAAATAAAGATATAAAAAAAAAATCTTTTGTGCACAAAATAATTAGTTAGAAATAAAAACACTAATTTGGATAAATATAATATGGAATAATATTGAGTTGATATTTAACAAATATAAGCTTAGAAAAATAATAATTATTTAATTTTATAAACTAGATTTAGTAGAAAAAATAAGTCAAATAATTTATTTTTTAATATATTTTATAGTGCTTCTTTTCTCTTTTAGCTTTTTGATGTTTTTTAAAACATTTTTAATGTTATATTAAGGAAAGAAATAGATGAAGTTTGCAAATTTATCAAATTCCCAATACAAATTTGATCTATTCCAAATTAATTTGAAGACTGCCTCATCAAATTTCAAAGATGAATTCAAATTTAATGAGTTCCGATGTTTGCTAACACTGTATCTTTTTGCTTAAGCTGTATTTTAAGGTATTAACGAATTTCCTCTAAATAAAGTATTTTAGCTTAAATTAGAGTGTCTATATTAATCTTATTGAATGCTGTGTTTTACGTCTAGCTCTGGAATACTTTCCAAATAAATTTAGTGTTGATATACATTCTATTTTTTAATAACTTATAAACTGGGCACTTAATTAGCACTTTTGTTAAAATGTGATTGAGGAAGTGGTGTGGGGTATAGAATTGTCTAGCTTTGATTATATTCTGATAAGTTATTTTAGCTATTATTGAGATGATTGCTAATGTTTTTTTCATCTGTATTTTAGGTAGTGAACTTTTCTTCATTAACAGACAAATTTCTTATCAAATCTATTTTTTCTTAATGTGCACTGGAATCTTATCTTTCAATATTCCTTCCCTACTGTTTCATAATGCTGATATTAGATTTAGTACTAGATCTTTTAGTACCCAAATTAGACAGTACGTTCTTAATTTAAGATAATACTTCATCGTTTGCTTTTTCTTTTGCCTAATTAATTAAATTTCATTTTAATAATATAGAGAGAAAATTATGTTCAAAATTTAATAAAATAATTTGGATAAATGGGAAAACAAACAAACAAACAAATAAATAAATATTACCTAACTCTCTTATTCTTACGAATCAGATTGTTCTGATTTTGATTCTTCTTTAGAAAATTTAAATTTACTTGCTGGACTTAAATTAGCGCCTTAATTGTTTTATTCTTTAAAAATAGATGTTTCATCGTCCTTTATGTCCTTTATGGCTGAAAGTTGAGATTAAGTAAAGCCAACTCCTATCTCGATATCATCATTGTTAGATATAATTTATTATGTAGATAATTCTATAATAAATTTTTAAATTTTTTTAGCTCTCCTGGAGTGATTTTATCTTTCTTGCTTTTAAGAAAAGTTATTTTTAGTGATAAGAAAATAAGGAGATTTAAAAAAGTGAGTTTAGTAGCAGTTTATAAAATGATGGTCTTTTTATTTACATATTAAACACTAGCTTTTTAATTATTCGATTTATTTATTAAATAAAACCCTTTACTTTAGTTCCATGAACTTTTAAAAATCTTATTAATTTTGCATTAATATTTCTTAAAATTTTATATTTGATATTTTTATCAGCACAGTTTTTTGCTGGCATTTTATCACATATGGCAATTCAGTTTTTGTCAAAAATTCATATTCACCAAATATTTGTCCTTCTTTCAAATAACAAATAGACTTTTAATGTAACTGCATTGTAACACTCTTTTTAAATTTATCTTCAATATTCATATTTTTTGGTCTATTTTGTTTATGGTAAAAATATAAACAAAAATCAATAAGATAGTTCATAATTTTTATTACTCTTAAATAGAAGAAATAGATTCAAGCTCATCTCCCTCAATTGTTTACAAGACTTCAACTTATATTTTAAAAGAGAGAAAATTATTTTTATTTTTGTATGTTTATTTGTTTATTTATTTATTAATTTATTTATTTATATATTTGTTACCTCTTCCTTAAAGTATTAAAAAAACAAAATATTCTTAAGTGTTTTTATCAAATATCTAAATATCTTGACCCTCTGCATGACATTCTTCCTCCATTATTTAGTATAAGTTTAAAATTGTTTATGGTGATAAATTTTCAAAAAATGAAAATTAAGTAGCAATGTTCTTATTTGATTCTATGACTAATTTGTTTCTCATTTGAGGACTTAACTTTTTCAAAGCATCTTTTTCCGCTTCAAACTGAGTTTAAGCTTCCTGTTCGTATTGCTTTACTACATGTGAATTGATGGCTCTTTACAGCTCTCTAAAGATTGTTTTAGTTTAAAAAATACATTTTTATTTTAAAAGAAAATATTATTTACAAATCTATCTTCTTCCTTTTCATATATCTATTTAGTAAATTTAGATCTTTTTTATAATTTTCTTTAGCAGAATTCATTTCTAATAAGATACCCTTCAAAGCCATAAGATTATAGGCAAAAAATACATAAGAAATAAGCATCCAGAAAGAAGTAAAGGCATATTCATATTATGAGAATACAGAGCTTGAATAAGAACTGCTCAATGTATAAAAAGCCCAAAGTTGAGCTTCTAAATAGTTAGTCCACCAATAAGAATCTGGCTTTTAGATTTTTCCTGAAATTTAAAGTAGTAAAAAATCATAAAATAATTTATTTTATTTCAAATCAATAAATCACCTAAATTAATCCAGTTTTCTTCAATTTATAAAACATTATTTTCAAAATAAGCTAGGGTTGCATATGAGCATGTCATAAAATGAACTAGAAGAAGAACATACAGCAACTACTTACAAATTTACATTATATAAGGTTTATGGAGATGCTGAAGTATTAGAAACTCTAACTTACTTAAAATGATGGACATACCTTTAAGTTTAAGGAGAAGTGGTAGATGTAATAAAATATTAATAGTAGCATTTGAAGAAGTCTTTCCTTCGAAAATTAATGGTAATACTTCAAAAAAGAAATATTCTTTGACATATATTCTAAAAATAGTTTTTCTATCAGTGATAAAATCACCCTCATGGTATGTTGCAGTATTCATTTGCAAAAGCATCTCAAATATCCAAGCAACTATAGCTATTTAGTGAAACAAATTATGGTATTCTTCGAACTCAGCTTAGAAAAATAAAGTCAAAGAAATAGTAAATAAATAAAAGCAATTGTAAAAAGCAATGAGTCCATTCACACAAATTCTTAGTTTATTTTCTGGATTGAATAAAGGTAAATTTTCAAAAATGAGAATTACAAATTTTTCTAGCTTTGTTAAAAGCTGCAAAAACATCCAAAGTAAGTTATAAATAGAGGTAAATTTTTTGTTTTATGCAATATAAGTGTATTTATCTGATAAATCGCCTAATAGTGACCGACTTTTTTCTTTCATTTGCTTAAATCTACCAAATAGAGTAAATTTACTAATGAAATCAACTAAATAATTCTTTATTTTTGAATGCATAAATTTGGATTTCTGAGCAGAAGTTAGTATACTTTTTTTCTCTTTTTATTTGATGTGCATAGAATGTTTTTTCTACCTATTATGACTAAAAAATAATATTAAACTTATGTTAGTTGCATGTGATAAAAGAAAGATCATTTATTGCATTTACATTCTATTTAGAAATATAATCATTAACAAAGCTCTACTTAACATTTTGTTAAGTAAAAGAAAAATAAAAAGAATGAACTTCCTTTATTTTTTTAACATTAGTAGATATAGAAATAATTAAGAATTAAAAGTTAATAAATAAATAAGATATTACTAAGCTGATTTTAATGTTTTTATTTGTTATTAGTGCACTTATTTGCTTTAACTTCTCGACTAAGGAGATGACTACCAACTTCTGTTCACTTGATTTTCATTAATTTTAAAGGTGTCTGCAAATTCATTTTTCTCTTTAGTGCCAGCGTGCCATTAATTTGTCGATTAGTCTTCTATCTAATTAATGATGCTTATTTTGCTTAGATCAATTTTATCAACTTTTATTATAAAAAATATGCTTAATCATCAAAAAAAAAATATAAATATGTAAAATAGTTAGAAATATAATCTTATAATATTTTCTCTATTTAAATAAAATAATTTTTAACATAAATTAATGAATGAATCTGTAAAATCTACCAATAAAAGAAATATCAGATTGCTTTTGTGATACCTAGAGTTTTAGTGGAGTAGGTAATTAAGACTAATTATTTTTTGTTTCTTGATCATCCTAATCAACGACTAGAATTGAAGATGGCATCTTTTAAGCAATATCTAGGTAAGATCTTTTATTTTGGCCAGATAACTTAATTTTAATTTATTTTTCAACTTCTTAAAATCCTCTCATTTTTATTTCTACTTATTATCTATCTTAGCTAGCTAGCTAAATAATTAAAAATTTTTATTTTTTTAATTAGAATTTAATTAGTACTTTAATAACCGTATAAATTCTACATATAAAAAATAAAGATAAATAATTTCAGTTTAATTAAAACATAATCAATCCATAACCAATCTCAAATTTAATTTAGAGTTTTCAGCAAGATTATAAAAATAATAAATTATAAAATAGTATATTTGTATTAATCCATTACAAAGCCCATTGATTTAATGAAAAGCTTTCAAAATCTAGTAAAGTGGTATTACTACTTTTTAGAAAGGCATTTATTTTTAAATAATTTTTTTAAAGTATTAAAATATTTATAATATTTAATACATTTAATTTTTTAATTTTAGTTTTTAAAAAATTTTTAACTCCCATTCCAAATATATTTAAAAATTTTAGAATTCATCTTTTGCTCTGATCTTTAACTGAAATATAATATGGTACTTCTTTAAAAAAAAAAAACCATTATTCTAAGAAATCAGATGATTCCATTTCAATTTTTAAGAGTTTAATTGAATATTAATAAAGTTATTTTAATTTATTGATTAATCTAAAAAAAATAGATTTAAAACGAACTTAATTCATATAAATAATACTATTTCAAATAATTTATTTTTTATTTTGCTTAACAGTGTTTTTTTTATCTTTAATTAATTTTGTATTTTTTAAAACATTTTTATAATTAAATTCAGGAAAGAAGTAAATAAAATTAGCAATTTTATCAAAATTCCAGTATAAATTAGATTCATTCCAACATTTTTACAAAAGTTAGCTATTAATTTTCATTTACGAGCATTAATCGTGATTTTTGTTAAAATGTAATTGTCCACTTTATATCGTATTTAATGGTGTCAAAGTGTTTCCTTTTAAAATATTTTCTTAACTCAATTCAGATTTTTTATTTGGATTGTAAATTTAATTATTAGATTCTATTTCTTTAATACTTTCTAAATAAGTTAAATGTTTTTAAAACTAAGTTTATTTTTTTAGTGCCTATTGGCTTGTCACTTGACTCAAGCTTTTATCACGCATAAGTGAGTTTTATTGCTACAAAGATGAACTTTAGCTTAATTCAGTTGGATTTTTTTAACTGCAATTCGTATTTAAAGTCCTTTCATCTATATTTAGTGTTATCGATTTTTCTTCTTAAAAATAATTTCTTTAAATCTAATCTATTTTATCTTGATTACTAGTTAAGTCTTCTAATCTTTCCATGCTATTTCTTTATTATTTTAATAGGCTTATTTTAGATTTAATGCTTTATCTTTTGTTAGTTATATTAGTGGGATTATTCTTAGCTTATTCAAGTATTTTTTCACCCTAAATTATTTTATGAAAATTAAAAATTTTTATTTTTTTTCTAATATCTATCTTTAAATTCTAACATAAAAATCAATTTGGATGATTTGAATTAATATCAAAAGATTTTTACACAGATGGATAAATAAATTCATTTAAATTCTTTATTTTAAAATAATTTTTACTTAAACTTCTTACTCTTGTGGATCAGAAAACTCAGATTTCGATTCTTCTTTTCTGTATTTTGATTTATTATTAGTTTTATAAGTACCATATTTATTGTTTTATAATAAAATAGAGGTCTCTTCTTCTAATACAGGATTTAATTGTGATTAAAAAAAGAAAGGCTCTTATTCTATATTATCATCATAATCATCGTCATCATCATCGCTTGAAATAACTTGTTTGGTTGGGATATTAATTATTAATCGCTGAGATTTTTTACCTCCTCTATTTTTAAAATACCTTTCTTGATTTACTGAAAACCTCTTTTTAATGGCAATAAAATATAGAGATTTAAAAAAATGAGTTTAAGGGCAAGATATGAAATGGTGATCTATTTATTTACATATTAAGCATTAATTTTTTATAAGCTCTATTTCTTTATTGTAAGTAATTTTAGATTTTAGCTCCATAATTTTTTATAAGTCAGATTAATTTTATTTGATTATCTACTAGAATTTTTTACTGGATATTTTTATTAATACTGTTTATTGCTAGCACCTTATTACATATGGATAAGACATGTTTGAAAAGAATTCATATTCGCCCAACAAATTTCCTTCTTTCAAAAAGCAAATTGATTTCTGATATTATTGTATTGAAGAACCTTTATCCTGATTCATATATTTCGAGCTAAATATTTTATTTAAAAATATTAAATTTTAAAAATCTTTGTTTAAATCTTACTCAAAATTTTAATTATCCAGATTTTGGTATTTTTCGTCTAACAATTGTAATATTTCAACTTTAATATTTTAAAAGGTTAATTAAGAAAATATTTTTACTAAAAAAGGAATTCATAAATATGTAAGTTTAAATAGAAGAAGAAGAGTTAATAAAAATGAGTAGTGCTTTATTCACTTTAAAATCTTAAATCATGCATGTTAAAATATTCTTTAAAGTATCAATTGTCAATTATAATATTTTAAATATTTCTCAACAAAAAATCATTTAAATATAAAATTATTTTCTAAAAATTTTAAATTTAGATTGAAAAAAATAGATAAAAATGAATTAGAAAACCTTTTCCAGAAAAGATTAAATAGATGAAGTATTCTTGAGTATTTTTATCAAAAATGTGCACATCCTAACCCTCTGAATAGCATTCTTCTTCTATAATTTGGTATAAATTATATATGGTCTGCTAGGATAAATTGTTAAAGATAGAGAATTAGGAAATTATGCCCTTGCTTGATTCGGTGATCAACTTATTTCTCATATGAGGACTTAGCTTTTTCAGAGTATCTTTTTCTGCTTCAAATTGAGTGGAAGCTTCTTATTCATATTGTTTTATCAAATGAGAGTTGATTACTCTTTGCAATTCTCTTTTTATTTTAAATAAAAATACTTATTTAAAATTAAATTAAGTGATTTAAATACAGATCTATCTTCTTTCTTTTCATAAATCTGTTCAACAGATTCAGGTCTTTTTGATAGTTTTCTTTTGCAGAGTTAATGTCTTAAAATATTTTTCCCAAATTAATTATATTGTAAGCAAAAACTACGTACGATATGAGCATCCAAAAAGAAGTAAAAGCATATTCATACTTTGAGATGACAGAGCTTGAATAAGAATTGCTTAGAGTATAAAATGCCCAAAGTTATGCTTCAATATAAACAGTCCACCAGCAATAACCATTATTTTATATTTTACCTATATAGATAAAAAAGATTCTTTAAATCATTATCATTTTTGATGAATTTGTTTACTTAAATCAATCCAATTTTCTTAAGTTAGCAAAATACTCCTCTCAAAATTGCCTAAAGTAGCATATGAACATGCCATCAAATGAACTAATAGTAGTATTTGTAGTAGCTTCTTGCAGATTTACATTACATGAGGTTTATGCAAATGCTGAAGGATGAGAAATTCTAATTTACTTAATATTATAGACATTCCTTTCAATTTCAGGAGAAGCGGAAGATGCAAGAATATATTTATTGTTGGATTGGTTGAAGTCTTTCCTTCAAATACTAAAGGCAATACTTCAAAAAAGAAATACTCTTTGACATATATTCTAAAAATAGTTTTTCTATCAGTAATGAAATCACCTTCGTGATATGTTGCTGTATTCATTTGCAAAACCATTTCGAAAATCCAAGCTACTATAGCTACATAGTGAAACAAATGCTAATAATCTTATATTTCAGCTTTAAAAAACAAAGTCAGCGAAATAGTAAATAAATAAAAGCAATTATAGCAGACTATAAGTCCGTTAACGAGAATTCTAATTTTATTCTCAGGATTGAACAAAGGGATGTTCTAAAAAATGATTATTACGAATTTCTCTAGACTTTATAAAAGGAGAGGGAATAAATATATTGCTTAGAAAAATATGTTTTTTTATTTATTTTATGAGTAAATAAACTTATCAGATAAATCATTTATTAATTTTCTACTGTGTTCCTTCATGTATCTAAATCTATATAAAAATGTAAATCTTGTCAGAAAGCTCATTAAAAAAGGTTTCATTTTTTTAAGAATGTATTCTGATTTAACGACTTAAGTTATTGCATTCTTTTTCTTCTCTTTGTTGTTTTTGTTGAAATTTACATATTTTTACTTCCTATTTTTGCTTAATAAATAAATAAATAGATAAAAGTAAAAAGTATATTGAATACTAATTAAACGATTAATGTTAATTGTTTTTTTTTATCTTAAAAATCGCTTGATAAAATTAATTAAATTTACAAAAAATAAGTAATTTTTCTAAAAGAAAGAAAATTCTACTAATCATTTTCTTAGCTATAAATATCAAATAAAACTTAATTTTAAGCAAAAATGTAAACATTTCCTAAAAGAAAATGGTTAATTTAAATAAAAAATTTAATAGAATTAAAGTTACTTTTATAGTTTTATTAAGCTTTTTTGTTGTGCAAAATTAAGATTTTTGATAATGCTTACATTTTTGTGATTAAACTAACTACAACCTAGACTTGTGTTTATTAGATCTTATTAAATATTAGTTTGATTTGCTTTTTATTATTTTTATTCTTCATCTATGATGCCATGAATGTTAAACTATTACTATTTATTTTGATCTGGAAACTACTATAGACTATCTACTCTGCATGATTAATATTTATGGACTAATAAATCATTATTTGTTTATTGTATTGCTATTAGCAATAAAAGTAATAATAAAAATATAATCTTATGATCGTAGTATTTATCAAATTAAAAAATATTAATTATTGAGGAAATGATATTAAGAAGTTATCTAATTAATGAATGATTAAACAAATAAAAATAATTTTAAAAAATACTAAAGTTTTCCAAATAAGGTTGCTTTTAAAATGATCTATTCTATTAATATTATTGGAGAGTTGGTAGTTAAGAATTATTTTGGTCTATTTCTAGCTCATCCTATTCAGCTATGATAGCAGATGAGGCTTATTTTTTAGCTACATCAAGATAAGATCTTACATTCATGCCAGGTAGCTTTACTTAAATTTCTTTTTCTTCTTCTTAAATTCCTCTCATTGCTAATATTTATTTATTTATTTACTAATATGTCTCTCTTTAATTTAATTTAATTCTACTTACAATAAATTTCAGAGTTTTTTTTCTTTTTTCTAATTTTGTTTGTTTCTCTTATTACAACTTCAAAACATTTAATAAAACTTAATTAATCTTAGCAAAGTGCAATCAATTACTATAAGCTTCTTTTCTCTATTTTATTTTTAATTGCAGACAAAAGCTTTCAATCGATTCATTCAGAAAATTTTAGATATAATTTTTTTGTTCAATTATTACTTTCATTTGACAAGCATAACATTAATTACATTTTAAAATCACATGAATAGAAAAAAAGATTTTTATTCCTTTGAAACAACAATAATTTAAGATTTTGGCATTCTTACACACACAAACACATAATAATTATTTATTAATTTATGATGAATTAATAAAGAAAATATATTTTTAAAATCATCTTAGTTTGATAGCAGATATCAAGTAATTCATTTTATTGTTTGATTTTTCCATTTAATTGTTTATTATATCATAAGAAAATCCTTAAATTTTTAAAATCTTAAATCCATTATCTTCTAAAAGAGCTGACAAGTCTTCAGAATTGATAAATTTATTCCAATCATGTGTGCCTTTTGGAACTAATTTTGCAATATACTCAGCGCCTAATATAAGTTTTAAGTAAGATTCTCTAGTCTTTTCCATTGTTGATAAGAAAATCATTCCACCAGGCTTAATGTTAATTAATAATAAAAATGAAATTGTGCTATTAGCTTAATATAATTTACTCTAACTAACTGGCTTAATGTAGCAATAAATTACTCTTTGTCCTAAATATGCTCAATAACTTCCATGCATGTTACCAAATCGTACTAAATATTTTGAGAGCTTAATTCCTCTAAAATAAATATGAGATAATTAATATTTATATATATATATATATATTATTTAATCTATTTTATTTACCAGCAGTTCCTAATTTATAATTCAATTTTTACTCTAAAAATTAATCAAGCTTTTTATGATTATTTGCAATCGAAATAGAATTCTCATTTGCATCCAAACCTGTTACATTTGCTCCAAGTCTACATAAGCTCTATTTTTTTAATAAAAATTAAACTAGAAATATAAATAAATAACTAACTAACTAAAATAATTATAATTGTAATTTCTCATTTATCCATAGAGAATGAAATAGTTTTAACTCAATATTTTTATTGAAAAATTGTCATTTGACAAACAATACCAAAATAAGTTTTCATCTGTCAACGATTTTATTGTTTGAATTATTAATTGCAATTTAAATTAGTTTACTTCTGAAAGAAGTCCTCCACCACATCCTACGTCTAAAATCTGCAGATTTTTTAAAGGAAGCTTCAGATGATAGTTCTAATTGTTAAAATCTTTCATAAATTCTTTAATAAAATTAACTCTTGCGAAGTTATATGAATACAAAGGAGCCATTTCACTCCCACTTTTCCACCAATCTTTAATCTGAGAAAAATGATTCATTTCTGATGAATCCACAGAACTGTGGAAGCACCTTTATTTTAAAACTATATTTCTGCTATGTATTAATTTCATACTTGAATTTCCCAACACTTTTTATAAAGCTTTAGCAATCATTTTCTTTTATCTTTTATAATAAATTAGTAAGTATTATCTACTTTATAATTCTTTTGATATTACTGGAAATTTTTAAAGATATTTTTTATATTTAACAAATAACAAGCTATTAAATAAACAAACATCAAAGAAAATTCGATAGAAATCAATTTAACTAAATATTTGAAAGGTAATACTTAAATATAAAATTAATTAATTATTAAAAAAGATTATAAACGAATACATTTTGGTATCAATTTAAATATAAAAATAGCACTAACTAAATTATAATTAATTAATTAATTTATTTATTTATAAGTTTTGATTTTGAATTCAATCACTCATCTATCATAGTATTAAGGTACGAGATCACTAATATATTACTACTGCTTTTCTTAGGTAATATCTATTAAAGATAATTACTAACTTAAAACTAAAATCCTCAATATATCTTGAAATTTTTATTTGATTCCTCTTACAGATTTGTTTAAAATAATACTTTTATTGCTAATTTTATTTAAAATACATGTTTCTGATAAACAAATAAATAAATATTTTAAATTCTTACTAAAGTGAATTCAGTTTAATGCTGGTCAAATAATCCATCAAAAACAAAGCTAAGCCCAAAGAGTACGCTCCTTAATCTGACAACCTTAAATAATTAAAAAAAATAGTTAAAAAAGTATTATTTTAAATAAAAATTCTTGTTACCACAAAGATATATCTAACTATTTTAATTTAAGAAAGTTAACCATATTTTTTGCAAAAGAGATAACTCCTTCATCTTTTATATTATTTTTCCTTTAAATATTTTTTAAATAAAAGAGACTAAATTAAACTTTATTTATTTATTAAATTTAAAAATGAGTAAATCATAAATTAATAAAAATAATTAAATAAATATTAATAAAAATATTCTAGGAATAAATCTTTTAAATAAGTAACTAACTAACTAACTTTAAAGCCTTTTAATTAATTTCCTTAATTTTAAAATCAATTTCAATTCTAAATTAATTAAATTAAAAATTTTTAGAATTATTTAATGAAAGTCACACACACATTGATAGATATAATTTGTATTTAATAGAAGATACCATCTATTTGGTGGTTGATATACTACTTGATGAAGAACAAGAAAATTTAATCAGAGATTAATTGATTATTTTAAATTAATATAATAAATTTTTATAATTTCGATCCATAAATTATTTAAAAGTTAAATTTAATTTTTATTTTTGAAAAGATGAAATAATAAATTTAAATGATTTTTTTGAATGAGATATATTTATATCTTACATTAGATCTAAAGAAAGATTAATAAGCTAAGGTAATTTCTATAAGCCTTTTCCTAACATTGCTATTCCTTTATCACCTATCACATTCCCCCTTTTAATAATTTCTAAAGTTTTCAAAATTTTTCATAAACAAATTACCAAAAATTTAAAGAAACATCTTATAGTAGAGTAAGTTTAGAAAAGGAATTGCTTAATTCCTCCATTGCATCATCTCCTACGTGGTTATCTCTGAAAATTTAGAAAAACAAATTAATGTTATAAAAGCAATAAATAAATTATTATCAAACTCTAAATCTATGACAAGAGTTTATAATTTAGTCATAGAAGTGAAGCCAAACATGAGACCTAAGAAACCTGAATCGTTGATAAGATTTGATCTTTTTTAAAATTAATTTAAAATTTACTCCTTAAATACTTTTGAGGAAATCAAATTACTTTAGATTTAAATCGAAATTAACAAGTTCTGTAAGCTTGATAAATAGTGCTCCCAAACAATCACATCCTGGGTCAGAAATTTAATTGTTTCTATTTTAATAATAGTAATTAATACATTTAATATGATATTTAATATATTTATTTAGCTTTAGAATAATTACTTACCTCAATCTCAATGATAAATAAGTGAGTTGAGGAGTGTAATCAAAGGCTTCATCAAGTTTTTCCCCATTTTTATCCCCTAAGTTATTTCCCCTTTTTAAATATTTAATATAAAAATTGATTTGTGTAAAATTGTAAGATGAATACCATATTTCTAAGTCAAGTTTTATGATTTTTTCACCTATTAACTCTATCAATTCTGGTAATTATGATAAATTGCCTGTCCTTTAAAATTATAATTTTAGTTAATATCAAATATTTTTTTGCAAATATTGTATTTAACTGTAGAGTGATATCTAAACAATCTTCTATCTCTTAGTATTTCTCTAACCTCTACTTAGCTCCTAAATAGTCACTGCAATATATTATTTAATTTTTTGTGATAAAAATGCAAATACTACTCAATCGAATAATTAATACGCTACATAAAGAGAAAGTTTTCTGATTCTTTAATCACTCATTTAACAAGATTGAATCTTCGTAAACTGTAAAAAAAACAAGTAAGAAAATTAAAGAATTTGTTTTAAGATAAAACTTTCTTTGTTAATTATCGTTTTTAATTAAACAAATTTTTAATTATTATTGAATAAGAAATAAATAAATAAGTTTGAATTATCTTCAAAAGTTAGCTAAAATATTTTATCTTTAAAAAATAAACAATAAACTATAAATTATTTTCTGATTTTGATTCAGACTGACTACAAAGAGAATTAATTAATTAATTAAGTAATCTCAAATTTAAAAGAATGGTTTTCACTTTATTTCTTATTTAAAACTATACAAAAGAAAGGCACTTTTTAAAATTGATTTTAAAAGTTTTCTTAATTAATAAAATCATCACAGTTATCTTAAAAGTGAGATGGTATATATTTATAGTTATTTTTAATGACTACTTTATATGAAATATTTAGCTAATAATTTGCATAAAATTTAATTAAAAAACATATAATTAATTAATTTATTTATTTAATTTGAAGGTGTTTTATGAATTTAAAAATTAAAATTAAATGAATTAAATTTTTATAGAAAATATTATTTATTTTTAAAGACATTAACTTTAGACTTTAAGCATTAGTTAGTACAAACTAAACAGGCATTTTGAGTAAAATAAATACAAATGGACAGACATATATAAAAATATGAATTTCTAGGATTAATTTATTTTTGAATTCAAATGAAATCAAAATCTTTGTAGAATGAATAATTGAATGTATTAATGAATGAAGAAAATTCGATTATTTCTTTACTAAATATTTGTAATAAGTTAAAAAGCGTTGTGGTTTTAAAGTAAAAGAAATATCATTTAATTTCTGTTAAGGTATTGTTGGATTGCAGTTCTACATTTATTGATTAGTCATTTATGTTAACTTAAATAGGTGATACGTCTGTCCTAAAAAATAAAATTTTCATTGAATTAAAGTGAGGGAAAAACTTAGATTTGTAGGCAACTTGAGCCCAGCAGCATTAATATGAAAGTCCTAAAATATCTTCATAATTTTAAAATTAATCTATTACGAATTGTTGGTTTTTCACCATTAAATCATTCAAAGATTTTAAGAAATTTTTCTCTTAAATGAATTGTTCATAATGCAAATCAAACCTGCTCTTTTTCAATTTCGTATTTACAAATTCGTTAACATTTTTTAGAACCAAACTCATGTTTTGCAAAGGAATTGTGCTGTAAACCATTTTCCAGTTGAAATTTTTCCATTTTTCTACAAACAAGTCTTCAGGATTCTTTTATTCAATTTCTATTTCGAATCCTCTGTTTTGGTTGGCTTAGTTTTTATTTTAAATATTAGGAAAATCTGTTTTTGTTTCTTCTTTGGCTTCTTCTTCCTCTAAGTCTTGTTTAGATGAAGGCTAGCTTTATTTAGGTTCATCAAGGTTTTTCTTTGAGTTTAATCCTTTTTATTCAGCTTCGTGGTTTTCTAAGCCTAATTTCTTTTTAATCACTCTTTTGGGCCTTTTTTTGGATTATAAACTACTGGAGGACGGTATGTCTTCTTACATTTAATCAGATTTTATTTCTTTCTTAGATTCTTGCTAATTTTTTTATTGAGATTCCTTTTTCTATAATTGAATTTGTTAATTCAAAGCTTAAAGTTACTAGCCTTATCTGTTCAGCTAGGCTTATTACTAGTTCTATGGGGAAGGAATTGGATTTGTATTGGGCACAGTTGTATTATTTCTCATGCAATCTTATCTCTCTTTTAATTATCGGAAATAAGCTCTTAAAATATTTTCACTAAAACTGATTCTGGGGATTCTGCTAAAAATTTCTTGTCTATTAAAAATTTCATAGACAAGTGCATAGTTTTCGCTCATATTATAACTGAGAATGTAATTATAGAGCTAAATTAATTTGACTATGCAAAAAGGTGTATATTATGTTTAAGTGAGGAAGTCCATATCTGTAAAGAGTATAGCAAGTTAGTTTAATTTTTGACAGCTAACTCTACTGATATTTTTAATAAATGGTGATATGTTTTTTAGGATGCACATTAAGTTAAAGTGATGGCAAAGGACGCCAGTAAATTTATTGTTTATCATTGTTTAGGCTAAGCAACTGATTAACAAGTCTGCTAAAGTACCATCAACGATGGGAAAGTTCTTCAAGTTCATATTGAAATCTTTTTTTTTATTTAGCATCTTACTAAAAGCTTAATTGCTTGAAAGTATAGTAAGCAAGCACAAGCTTACATAATATGTGTTATTCACTTTTACGTCATCTAGGGACTTACAAAATTAGTGAATCGAGACTTTAAATAGCCTATAAAGTTTATACTCTGATGAGCAGATATTTTCAAATAATTATGGGCAAAAGTATAACAGCTATTAAAGAATTCCATAATTTTCTTCGCTGAAGTTGATGTCCTTTAATGAGTTAAAAAGCAATGAGTTTTCTGCTCTCAAAGGTTCTTCTAAGAGGTAGAGAATTTTTTCAGCAATCACATTAACAACACCTTGCTAAACACCATTTGTTTCGCTGAATTAATTTAAGTAATTTAAAATTCCATTTTACAGTACTGCTACCACATCTAACTTTCCCCTCTAACTCTCATCAACTTAGTCTTAAAAATAATCGTTCACTTGTTAAAGACCAACATTTACTTCTAAAATAGTGTTAAGAGTTTCGTTTTTCTTTATCATTTAAATTAGATTTTTTTAAAAAATAAACAAAAACATATTCAAAAATATTAGAACAAATAAATTAAATAATTTAAATAGATTTGGAGTAATTATGTAAGAAAAAAAAGATGAATAAAATTACTGGCTAATGACAGAGGATAGCATAAGTGATTTGAGAGCACATGAGGACTATTGCTTTGTTTAATTTTGCTGCTTAATTTTCAAGAAGAGGTGGCTTGTGGCATAACACTTAATATAATACATTAATAAAAAAGAGTCCATTTTGTCTATTTATAGGAGATGTGAGATAAGCGAGCCATGGATTGAGATAGTTCTAGCCATAAAAAGGAACGAAGAGTGTGGATGAAATACAAGAAAGAATAGCTGATAATACCATGAATCTATTTTCATCGTATTTGTTACTGCTGTTTGGGTGAGGTGGAGTTATCTATATAATGTTATTCCATAAAAGCTAGTTATCAATGTGAGCACCTAAACCTGATTAGCTGCTAAAATTTGCTTTTTATTAATTTTTTTAAAAGTAAAATTTTAGTTATGCATGTTTAACTAATTATATAATTCGATGATACCTAATTCAGCCTTTAGAGGCAGAGTGTAAGAGTGATAAAAACACAAAGCTTGTAGTGATTAAATGAGTTTAATTCCTGAAGAAACATGACTCTCTCTTTTTTTGTCTATTTCTTCATCATTTGAAATGTATACAACAAGCTTATTGTGGTGCTGTACTTGTACATTTTTCATTTGATAACTCATTCCTTAATAATCCCAAAAGAACTTTGTTGCTTTTTCCATATTTTCGTAGGCGACTGGTACTATGATAGTGAGTAGTCTCAAACAATTATTGATTACCAAAATGTAATTCTTATCCAATTCTTTTTTTTCTTAAACTGTATCATATAAAAAGTCTATGATAAATTGTAAAATATTTTCAATATTTTCGCAATGCTCATGATAGTATTGTCTAATATCTTCAGGTAAAATGCTTCCTATCCACTCAGCGTGCTAATAAGAAGAGTTCAAAAGCGAATTGAGCTTATTATTTAAATCGATTTAGCTTGGGCATTTTAAAATTGAATTAAATTAATTGCTAATTTCCATGTTTATCTTAACTTAAGCGGTCTTTTCGCCTGCTAGTTAGTTGCCCATTTTATGTCTAATTATTTTTAATAGTTAATAGTATGCTTTCCTGGTTGTTTAGGATGCTGCCCTATGTATTTATGAATGTTTAATCTTACTTTTACACTAAAACTTAAATCTTAAAATTTGAAAATTTTGAAGATGATTGATTATAAATTGTAATATAAACTAATAATTATATCAAACAAGATCTTATTTATTTATTAATTTCTTTATTTAGGTTGAAGTTAATTAATTCTAAAAATAATTTATAGTTGTTGTTTCTGTTTAAAAACTTCTTCCTAAATAAATTAAAAGCATATAAAGTAATTTCTTTTTAATTACAACCAATTCGAGTAAAAAAAAGTAAAGTGTTATTTATATTTTTGATAACAATTAAAGTTATTACACTCGCTCTTCTATTTCGAGTGAATAGAAATAATTAAAGCCTAAATAGTAATAAATGATTTAACCAAATTATCTTATCCCTCTTCCTTCCTTCTTTCTATTTCTTTGTTTCCCTATTATTATGAATGATATCTTTCATACATAATCTTTATTTTTCTTTGTAAAAATCCTTATAATAAATTTTCTGCTAAAAGCTATCTTGTTTTTGAGATAGTAAGATGAGGATTAATTAATTAATTCTAAATTTATTACAAAATAATAGAATTAATTTATTTTTTTCTAAAGTATTTTTTGTGAATTAGTAGAAATATTTGTAAAAATACAACTAAAAATTTAAAATAAATCCTTTCTCCCTCAGCAATTATCAAATTTTTTATTTAAAAGATAATTAATTTAATTTATTTTTTTATTATTAATAAATTTCCAATTTAGGGTTTTTTAGACAAAAAGAGGAAAAATTATTTGAAATTAAATAAATTTTAGAACAAATAAACAATTCAAAAAATTTGAGAAAACTACTAAAAATGCCAGGCATTAATTTGAGAGGGTTTGGGCAAGAATTAAGAAATTATTACTAGCTAAACCTAGCAAAATAATTCTTAGATAAGTCCCTTATCCATGTAAATTTGAAAAGCTACTGAAAAAATATTTTAAATCCTGGAAACTAAGTATCTACCGAATCCACGATTAAGTTTTTAACCAAATAAATTCATTTTCAATGCTTTTCATATTTACCGCGACGAAACCCCTCTTAGATCTAAAGCCAAAATAAATGCTTTAAATAAAAGCAAAAGTAATATGGCATCTCTTCCCATATCTTTAAAAAGATATAAACTCTCTATTAGCGATTAATATATAAAAAGTATTTTTTCAATCATAGGAAAAAAGACGACTTCAGAAAACAAATATTAAGATTAGAACCTAAAAAAATAATTTTTAATTGAGCTATTTATTATTTTAAACAAACAAAAGTAAAAATTAAGATTGAGCTAACATTTTTTAAATTAAACAACAAAAACTAAATTGAGCTACATTTTTTAAATAAAACAAATTAAGATTGAGCTATTATTTTTATGGAATGGAAAAAATTTTAAATAAAAAAAAACAAAAAATAAATAAATAAATAAATAAATTAAAAAAAAATCAAATAAAAATAAAAAATTAGATAAAAAATAAAAATAAAAAATTAATGAAAAGAAAAATAAATTAAAATTAAAATAAAAAATAATTAAAATAAATGAATAAAAATAAATTAAAATAAGAAGAAAAAAATCAAGTTAAGCTAAAAGTAATGAAAGCAGCGCTAAATTTTATTTTAAATTTTATAATTTCTGCAAATTAAATTTGATTTTTTTTAATTATGTTTTAATAAGAAGCGAATAGTAATCAATTTAATAATTATTTTTTATGAGATTTCAAAGTATATTTTTTTATGTCTATTAATTAATTTGTTAATTTTTTAATCAATAAACAAATTGATTTGTTTTTTTGGAATAATTATTGAATTTGATAAATTTTTGAATCAATCAATCATCTATATTTTAAAGAACAAACTACAAATAAATAAATACAAATAATTATTATAAAAATGAAGTTAGTTGATTACGGTAGTGATAGTGAGGGCGAAGAATCATAGGAGTAGGAATAGAATTAATAAAATGATTAAAAGAATATATAAAAAGAGAAAGATTAAAGCATTGACTCTGCTAAAGGGGAAAATAATGAAGCGAAATAATGTGAAGAAGGAGGGAAATAAATTGATGAAACAAAAAAGAAAATTACAATTAAGTATAAAGACCTTCCAAAATTTTTAAACCCGACTATTCATAAAGAAAAAGATGATAAAAAGGATTTATGGAAGCCAAAATCTATTTAGGAGATACAAAACGAAAGAAAGAAAAGAATGGAAGATTTATCAGAAACAAATGATAAAAAATCAAAGTTTACAAAAGTAATGAGACTCCCTTCTCCCAAGCGCTAATTATAAAATGATGAAGTTAGTAGCTTTTAGCTTAAGAAATAGGTTGATGATAAACCTGTTTTACCTCCTTACATAAACCCAGAAAATTTGTTTAATAAAGATATTGACGAGGTAATTTATTTATATTCATTTCAAGTAAATACTAATTTATTTACTTCTATATTATAAAAAGGGACTAGTTGAATAGTACGATCAAGATGATATTTACATAAACAAGAGATATTAAAATATATAATCTAACAATGATGCTGAATCAAGAGAGGCTAAATTTGCTAATAATAGACAGATGAATGAAGATGAATTAAAATATCTCGATTCAGATAATACAAATATTACTAGTGCTAAGATATCAGAAATATCAAGAGAGCAATTAATAGGCGACTCAAATTGGTTGCTTAATTATTAAAAGTAATAGTAATAGAATATCATAAAATCTGGATATCATCTTAACTCACAAGTAGACAAAACACAAAAATCTAAAAACTAATTAAATGCTTTGGCTGTCGACGCCATCGCTAACCAAGATAACTTAGACTACGAAAGATCTGAGCAAATTAAAAATGCAAAAAGAAAGAGAGATAGATATGGTTGGTGAAATTTATAATTAAAACTTTATATAACTTTAAATTAAATAATTAACTTTAAATTAATTAATATTTTAATCCTATGACTATCTGTCTATTTGTATGTTTTTCAAATATGAACATTAAAATTGAGCAAGCAAAATAATTTAAAATTGTTAATTTTAATTTAAATTAAAAATATTTTGAGTGTTTAATAATATTTAAAAATAATAAACTAACTTATGAATATTTAATAAGAAAAAATTTACTTGTTTAAAATTATCTTACTTTCAGAACTTAAAGAAATTAATTTAAATTGAATGGGTTTAAATGGTTGAAAAAACAATTACACGACATACAAAATGAGTAATTTTATGACATTTTTATTATATTTGAAGTATTTATTGAGTAGTAAGTAAATTTATGGTAATTAATTTGTTAATAGTTTATTTTTATTTAGCAAATAGATTTTTTAATCCTTGATTTATTTATTTATTTTTTTATTTTTTTGAGAAATTGGTTTTTAAATTATATTTATTTATTTGTTTGTTTGTTTATTGATAGAGAGAGTATTTTTATTTTTTGAACAAATATTAATCTTGTTCTAATTGTTAATCTTTTATTTGATATTATTAATTACAGATAAAAAGCTGAATCAATTTGTTTATTTATTTATTTATTCATTCATTCATTCATTGATTAATTCATTTACATATTGTTCATTCAGATTTCTTCAAGAATTTTTTCTGGACCCCGGAAACCAAACAATTGTAAAAATCAAGAACTTTTGATTCTTTATAGTCCTTTTAAAATAGAAAAGATTAGAATTGATTAAAATATCTAATAAAAATAAAGAAATAATTTACAGTGTAAGATTTTTTAATTTTTCCATTGTCGATAATAACTTTTTCATCTTTTTGCTTGATAGTAGTGTTTTCGTCGACAATAAGAGAATATTTGGAAGTTTTTTTGATAGGATCCAAAACGTTTATGGTCAAGTATTTTTCGTCTTCTTATATTTAAACTAATTTACTAAATTTGAGGACCTTCCACTGCTTTTCTTAAAGCATTTTCTCATAGATGACTTTTGATGAGTTTTAATAGCTCGGACTTTTATCTTTTTATGGAAAGTAGTCATGAATATCATCTGATCTTTTTGATTATTTTTTCTTTTATGCAGCTTAATCTTCAATTATTTAGTCTTGCTTATCTGCATCATTAATTACATTAAGAGGAGGCGCTGTTTGCTTTTTAACTCCCTTTCTTACATATGTTTCTTCTGTTTAGGGAGGATCCTAATTATATAAATTTTGCCAATCAATTCCCTCAAAAAAGGGGTGAGATTTCAGATTCTTATAACTTTCAATAATATCTTATTTTTATAAATTGCTATGAACAAAAACACCACCTAATCTTTAATCTGGCTAAAGAACTAATAATTTTTATATTATATCCTGAGCTACCACTGGAATCTATTATAATAAAACAATTATTATAAAAGAAAATTTTATTTTTTATTTTTGAGAATATATGTTGAGATTTTTGCAAATATACATTCATTCATTCATTCATTCTTATTATATATGGATTGATGGATATATTTTTTGCTTACACTATAATAAAAATAGATTATTTGATTAATCATTGTAACACAAATAATAAATATATCATCATTAAAATTTATTTATTTATTTACCTTTGGAAGCATTTCATAATTGCAGTTTAAGATTCTTTGCTTAAGCTAATCGTAAGAAATGTATTTTTAGTGGAATGGAGTTTTGTCGGTGAACATTTAATAAATAATACAGCCAAGTGCCCATAAATCACCGTTCATATCACACTTTTATTCAAGCAACATTTCTGGACTTAAGTAGCTTTATTTATTTATTATTTGTTTATATATAAAAACTGGATAATGAATTTGTTTACTCATTTGTTCCGCAAAATGTTGTAAGTCTCTTCCTGTTTACTGGAAGTGGGGAAGCTATGCATTAAATATTTTAATCGAATTCAGAGGGTTGCTCTGATTATAGATTTTATATCTGTTCCTCATCGTATTTGAAGAATCCAGAGTCTTTATCTTATTGTTTTACATTTTATTAAATTTCTGGGTTGATTTCGCTTTCTAGTTGCTAACCTTCTTAAATGATTCCCTTCTTAATCAAATTTTGCTTCTTTATTTCATTTTTCTTTGTGATGTCGGATTTTAATTGTTCGGGTACTAAATTGGAACAAAAATCATTAAGGGTACCAAAATCGATTAACTGCAAATGTTTATTTTATGAAATGACCATATTCTCAGGCTTTATTATATTTAATTTTAGATATTAGCATAATCAAATATAGTTAATTAATTATGTACTTTAAAATCACGATGGGCAAGGCCTTAGAGGTGCAAATATTCTAATATTAGAACCATTTCTGCAACATAAAACTAGATTGTTTTGAAAGAGAGACTTCCGTTACCTGTTAAGTTAAATCAGATATGAAACAAATTTATATTTTTATATATGAAAAGTAAGTTGAGCTCTTGGATTAATTTAATCTACTTTGAATTTTATAAATTAATTCTAAGCTAATTAATATTTTTTAGCCAGAGAGCTTATCTTCATCGAGTTTAATAAATAAATAAATCAATCAATTAAATCAATTAATGAATGAATGGAGTTAATTCAATTTCATATTAATTACTGTTAAATCTCAAAAACTGCTCAAAGGGACCACCTGAAGCGAAATCCATTACGAAAAAGAAGCAACCTTGAAAAGAGAAGCATTGGTGCATTTTGGGAATTCCTGGAAAATCAAAGAACAACTACAATTTTTCCATAAAAATTTAATGGCTCTTCATCTCCTAATTATTTCAAAAATATTTGTTCATATTTCTAAATGTTTAAGATATTTTTTATTTTATTTACCTATTAAAGCAGCTGTGTTTTAATTCTTTTTATAGCGTAAAGCTTATTATTAAGATCTGTATTCTTTTTAGCTTTATAAACTTTCCCAAATGAACCCTATCCTATCTCCATAATGATTTTATACTCATCTAAAGGACTCTCTTGATTAAATATAAAAAATAATTAGCACGCATTTCTTAATTTTACATTTAAACTCATGAAATTTTATTTGAACTAAAATAATTCTCTATCTACAGCTTATGTAGATAAATAACAAAAATAGGGAAAAAATGATTTTCTGATCATAATTTAAATCTCATCAAATAAACTAGCTGGTAAATGTAATGTGTTTTTTATCTTTGATTTGACAAGAAAATCAACATAAAAAATTACATTTTTGATTTAATTATTTATCGGCTGAGCTGAAACTAGTTTTTTACTAAGAAGAAGATTGTTAATCTTCCTGATTTGTTAGTTTTTTTGGTGTGTTTTCTACTTAAGACATGCTCCTTATTGCCTTATTTATTTTAATTATCTAATTTTTTCTCTTACTTATGAGTATTTTTTTATAAAAAAGATTATGATAATTTTTTTTGGTTGATTTTGGGTTATATTAATAATGAATGTTTGTTTGTTTGTTTGTTTGTATAAATATCAATTAATGCATGAATTTAATATATAGTGAAGATGATTAATTAAATAAGTATAAGCTAACTATATAAAAAAAATGTATTAATGTGCGTATGTGTGTGAGATTTCAATCACCAAACATTAAATTAATAAAAAATTAAATTAGAATGAAAGACAAGCAAGCAAGCTATTTAATAAAGTAAAGATTTGTTAGTAAGCAAATAGAAAAAAAGACTAGTTATTGGTTTATTACTAATTTATTATTTAATCTAACTAATTTAAAGATCTAGATCAAAGATTCAACGAAGGTAACCTGAAAAATCATGTTCGCTTTACTTACTTAAATTAGTAACAAAGTTTATTAGCTAACTAAAAATATCTCATTCATTTTCTCAATCAATTCTTTTATATGCCAATTTATTAATGAAAAGAAGACTCATTAATTAATTTTTAAAGGGCCAGCTCATATTTAAATCAAAAAATCTTGAATATAAATAATAAATTTTCAAATACTTTATTAAAATAAATATGCTGTATTTATTCATTCCCATATTTAATTATTTGCTTAATATTTATTTATTTAACTTACAGCGTCATCTACATCATCTTTTTTTAATTTTTAAAAATTCTCTCATACAAAAATTTTTTCTATTTATTTCCTATTTTTTATCAACTTCCCACTTAAGTTATTTCGTTTCTCATTTGAATATTTTTTGTCATCTCACTTTTTTGACATGAGTTTAATTTCGATGATTGCGTGCGTAGAAGCATGATTGAAATAGATCATTCAGTTTATTAAATATCTATTCCATAAAACATCGAATTCAATTGATTTGACTTAATTAAATATACTTATATACATTATTTATTAATTTATTTATACTTCTAAAGTATTCACTATTTTGAGCATTAAAATAATCAACTAAACATATTCAAGCTTATTCAATTTATTTTTTTTTACTGGGCTTGAAATGAATTTGTTTTACTATCCTCGAATACTTTAGTTTTTACTGCATATAATATTTTCAGTTTGTTTATAAGATGTTAAACATTTTATTTAACCTTGAGGTTATATCTATTTTCAGAGTAATATTAAAGATATTTCTTATATAAACTAGAAATAGAAATTTTGAAGATCAACTTAGCAAACAAATTCAAAATTCAATTTTCCTTTTCTTTTCGAAAAAATTTCTTTTCAATTTAATAAAAAAAAACAACCAAACAAATAAATATTCTTTGATTTTTCTAATTTAAACGAATACACATTCATTAAAACTAATATTCATACTTTAATATAAATTTTCTCGATTGTGCGCCAATAGTTTAATCAAAAAATTTTACAGAAGTAAAAACAAATTTTTTTTTATTAAGATTAAAATATTCCAAAAAATAATATTTTACTTTTAACAAAATATTTTTATATATAATTAGATTTTGTAATAAATAAAATTCTAAAGTAAATCTGATTGTCTATTGCTTAAATAAAACCTTTAAATTAATAACTCATATCTAATCAAATAAATATCTTTGGCTTAACTTGCTTATTATATTTTTACCTTAGGATATATCTCAAAAGTCGTGATTCCATTACACTAATTTTATATCTTAGCTTCATATATATTAACAATCCCACTAATATTCACTAAATATTTTTTTGTTAGAATAAATTTAGACTTTGTAATCTCATGTTATTGAAAATAAATTTAGGCTTTAATTATATAATGAAACACCAAAAACAAACTACTAAATTTAAGGAAGTTCAAAATTTTGTGATTGTTTGTTGATCTTTAATGTAAAAATAATCCTAAAATAAAAATAAATTCCTAAAACCCAGTTTATAATTTCATAATAAAAAAAAATATTGATAAATTATAGAGCTAGATTTAACTTAAAATTAATATTAAAAAGTAATTTTTTTTTTTAATTTATTTTAAGAGTCAAAATTTATTTAGATAAAACCAACAGAAATAAAAATTCTTTCAAAAAATCATATTTAAATATAAAACCAAAATTTACAAATCAAGAAGTAAGTAAATTCAACAAGAAGAGTTTAGTTGCAGTTTTTAATAAAATATATTTAAATATTCTGATTTAATTAGTATTTATTGATAATTAACTTTAAACGAGATTTGAGATAGTAAAATAATCAATCTCCTTCTTATTAAAATTTAGTTATTTATTACATAATTCACATTATAAATGCTTTCTTTGAATAGTAATAAATAATACTATTATATAATTATCTAAATCAGCTTTAACTTTTAAAAAATAATATTTTAGTAAATAATTCTTATTTTTTTAATCGTCCATCCTTGATTTACAACCCAAAAATCACAAAATTTAAAATTGAACTATTATTTATTTACTAATAACTAAATCAGTTATGACTATGGATAAAACACCTTTTTGTTTTTGATAAAATAAATTCTAAATTTTATCTTTTTCTATAAATAATTAATTTTTATTTATTTGCAAATTATTTATTCATCTTTTTAAATCATAACTTGATTTTAGTTTATTTAATCTTGATATTTTTTGTTTAAACTATTTTACTTATTTAAGGTGAAATATTATTTATTTATTAATTTTATCAAAATTTTTTACATAAAAACATACATAATTTGTTTACATTAATTCAAGAAACAATTAAAAATTTTACTATTTAAGCAAATAAATAAATTTTAATTAAAGATTTATAAATTAATTTTTATTTGGCAAATGCTTATTATTTTAATTTGAAAAAATTAATATTTTCTATAAACTGTTACTAACACTCATTAATACTAAAAAATACCTTAAAAAATCCAAAAAATTTAAGTTAAATTTTCAATTTAATTTGCATTTATTATTTTTAAAAATGAAATTCATTATTTTCCTTTGTTTTTAAAGAATTCTGTTTGTTTATAAATATTAAATTTATTAACAAGTAAAAATGACATTTTTTGTTTATTTTTGAAGAATAAGATTGTTTTTTTAATCAATTATTAAAAAATTAAAATGAAAAATGCTAGTCATATCATATTAAATCAACTAATTTTTATGATTGATTGATTTATTTATGTTTGGCTTGTAAAAAATTGCGAAAATAAATACAAATTATTTAAAAATGTTATTTAATAAATTTACATCTATTTTTTTTATTTGAAACACAAACAAGTATTTAGCGTAATAATTCTGATTTCATTTATTTTAATTTGAGAAGGAAAATTTTAAGGTAGGAATTTGAAATTGAAGAATATCTTAATTAATTAATTAATATTTTTGTAAAATTTAAAAAAAGAAAATTTTTGATAAATTTATTCAATTAATCAATATTATTTTAGTTAGTTAATTAGTTTGTTGTAAAAATGAATAGTTTAAAAAAGATACTGGCCGTTTTGTGCCTCACTTTGTCTATTATACATTGTGGATTAATATCGCCAACTAAGCCAGAGAATGTTATTTCATTAGAGCTTAAAAGAGTTTAAGTTGACCCTTGGACTAAAGCAAGCACAATTTCAGACTCTGCATGCTATAGGGATAAAGATTCAGATTACGTTCATGAATATGATATTCGTAATATTTAAATACTCATTTTCAATAATTTAGCTAGCGAAAAAAATAGGATTGCAATTAGAAGTATTTAATAATTTTAATTGTAAAATTAGAAAGGCCAGATTATTGCAAAAACGTCAAGTCCTATGTTAAAATTATGAGTTAATGCATTTTTATGACAACTGCTTATTAGGTAGATCTTAAGTTTAATACAAAGGATGCAACCCCATTTAAAATGGTTTTGGATTTAAGAACTCCTTGGAGCTGGATTAAAAGTCCTAGCTGCAAGTTATACGAAAGAAGTGGTAAACCTCTTGACCAAGATTGCTCTTATCCATCAAAAGTGAAAGGAGTTAAAAATGACGCTAAATTTAACAAAACGTTCAATTGCGAAGGAAATTGTAAAGTATACGAAGATAAATGCGCCGAGATAGACTTAGTTTAGGAAGGTCTTTCTGTGCTGTAAATAAAATTAATTTTTTATTCAATAAGAATTAGTTTAGCTGATTATTTAATTTTTAATTAAAGTGGCAATTTCATTAGCACTAGTGTTAAGTTAAGTGATACAGGTTTCAAGTAGTCAGTTAAGGGATTTAAATTAGTCTAAGCAACAGGTTTATCAGGCTAGTCATTATTATTAGGCGATGGAGTTTTAGGTTTAGGAAAATAGCATACTGGAAAAGCAGACGATGATGATGAAGAAGATTCTTCTATGAACTCAAATTACGATGAAGATGAAGAGGAAGAAGAAGAAGAAGATTCTTCAGATGATAACAATAGCAATTCAAAGAAATACACATTTTTTGAGCATGGTAAATTAATTTTATTAGTAAAATAGCAAATAAATAGTTAAATTTATTTATTTTATAATTAGGAACTGATTTATGGAGTGCAATTGATAGAGTAAACGGAAAAATTAATGCTAACGTGTTTGCTTTGTATTTAGCTGAACATGACTCAATTAAACCTTAAGTAAAAAATTAATTAATTTTTATAAATGGCTCACAAAATTAAGATACAACTAATATCTAAATTATTTTTTTAGTTTTTAATTTAAATTTTTTTAAATAAAGTTATTAATTGGAAGCAACTCAGCGAAATATGTAGATTTAATTTATTAGCCTGAAAAACATCCCTTAAAGTGGATTCCACTCCCTATCTTAAAATATGACACATAAGAAGAATTGGCAAGAACTTACTTTTAATGGAGAATTCCTGTTAGACAAATCGTGTTTAGATATGGATTAGTTACAGAAAAACAAGATGACAAAACTGAATAAGTTGTTGGATTTTAAAATAGAACTTCAATTCTTTTAAACAAAGAAACAGAAGCTTAATTAAGTTTGCAAACTTCAGCAATGATTTTGCCTGAGTCAATGATGGATAATATCCTTGACAAGCTCAATTAAATTTATGGAATGAAGTGTTCGATTTCTACAAACTTCTTGAAATATGTTTAATGCTTTAATTTAGATAAACAATTAGATGTCTCTTAATTAGCTGTCACTATACATGTTGGATATGGAATAGTAATTTATATTTTGAATATTTTATAATTATTTTAAAAATTATCAAATAAAAAAGGACAATGAGTAGCTAATTAATGTTGATCCTAACAACTTACTTTTGGGTTGCAAAAAGAATAAAAATTCAAAATATGATTGCTACTTCAATTTCTAACTCAGTTAAGATGATTAAATCATTTTTGGTGACTCAGTAATGCGCGAGAGCTTTTGGGTTTTCGATGTTAATGGCAGAAAAATCGGATTAGCTCCTGCTAAGTCAAATTATAACGAAAAAAGTTTCTGGAAAGATATTAAAGGGATTATTGCTGATGTTGAAGATGTAATCAGAGGAGATATAATTTTCTTGCTGAGATTCTTCATTGTTTTAGTGATTTTATCAACAATCTTATTCCTTTTTGTCAACTGGAAGAAGATTTATCTAATAATTTAAAGAAGACTTAGATATAAAAACATAGTTGATCCATCTGAACTAGCTAATCTTGACCTAGATAAAAGAGATATGGTTATAAAATATGGATAAACTGATGACTAAGATATCACAGACTAAATACAAGAATTGGAATAAAATGAATCATTTGATGCTCTCTGAACAGTTAATTACATTACTATCTAATACTTTCAATCTATCTATCTTCAACAAAATGAATTAATTAATTAGTTAATCTTAAATTTATTAATTTAAGATTATCATCATTTTTAAATTTTGATCTCTTCCTTCATAATAGTTTAATTGCTAATATGAATGCTTTATTTTGCATATTCATATATTTTTAGTATTTTTCATTAAATTAATTAATAATATTTCATTTTCATTAACTTTTTTCATCAAGCTTAATTTAAAATATAAATATCAAATAAATAAATCATGTTTGTTTGTTTTTTTGGGTATTCTGAAATTGTTATTGCTCAGATATGCGTATATATTTTATCAAAAAATTGATAAAAAAAATGGTAATATAAAGCTTCATCACATAACCATTGACGAAAGAAATAACAAACTTAGCATTTTTTATTTTTTAATTTTTTAAGCTAATATTTTTGAGCGATGATTTATTAAAAATTAGATATTAGAAATCCATAATAAATTAATTAGGTTTATCCTGATTAATTTATTGACTGATTAGAATTTTATTGGATAAACTCTTTGATAATAAGTTTTTTGATAAAATAAATAGAAAAGCTAGATAAGGAGCGAGAGAATGATAAATATTTAGATGATATAAATTTTATAATTTTGAAGTAAAGAAAATAGTTTTTAAATGGAAAATTTACATCTAAATAAAAATGAAATAGAAAAAGCAACAACAAAAATATTAATTTATTTATATTTATCGCAAATAATTAAATATATTTATATTTATTTTTCATTGAGATATTTGAATTACATTGGATTGATTATTATCCAAAAGATTTTCTTCTAATTGACTAAGTTTACTAGAATTTCTTATTTTTCTTTGTATTGTGCTTTCATCAATATTTTCATTTAATTTAGACTTTTAGGTAGTATTTTCATTTTTTAATATTTAGTTTCCTTATTCTTCCAACTCTTTTAGTGATCTCAAATCTCTAAGATATTATCCTTTAGTTTTATAATTCCAAAAACATGTCAATATGAATAATAAAAGTGTGATTGGACTTATCACTGCTAAAACATATTGAACGCAGATCCCAAGAGAGGGTATACAGAATTCGCTACTTGAACAGCATTCGCTGCAGCTGCAACATGTTGTTCCTGCTTAGCACTAGTATTCAACTCCATTTGTTGTGCAACAGTATTCAGTTTAACTAGCGTCATCTCCAAGTACAAAGACTCCCAAATAAGCTATTACAAGTAATATTATAGTAAGTTTTGATGAAGTATGCAAAATCATTATTTTAAATCTATTCCTCTATATTAATATATATTTATTAATGCTTTGACTATTTTTACTATAATGCTAAAAATAAAAGTATTTATTTACTTACCTTAGAACCTAACTAATTGTTTTTATATTTTGCTATCTTTATATCAAAATATTAACATTATTTTTATAATACTATTTAATTTCTAAAGATTTCCCAAACAAACTTTGATTTATGGCTGTAATTAATTCTCGTATAGATTGAATTAAATTTAATCTTTCAGCATAAAAATTTATTTTATTTTGTTTTTTAGGAGTATGTATGTATACACATTCTTTTTAACATAACTTGATTTGTTAATAAAATATTTCTATCTAATTAAATTCTATTTAGAGTTTAAATTAATTTATTTATTTAGCAAATCCACTAAAAAAATATTTATTTGTTTGCATTTAAAATGAAATTATCTAAATAATGATTTAAAATAAATTAATAAATGAATAATTTTAAAATTAGATTAAAATTTGTTTTAAAAAATGATAATGAAAAGTGGTCTTTTTATAAAAAAAAGTATTTATTAATTTAGTTAGTTAGTTACTTACTTAGTTTTATATTTATTTATAACGTATATATTTTGGATTGTTTATGCAAACATAATTAAAATAAATTAAAAAGATATTCAAATTAGAACTAATTTATATAAATAGGTTTAATAAGCTGTCAATAATTCTAAATAGATTTGACATTCCTTAACATTTGATTTGATTGGCAAAATTAAAAATAGGCAAGAAATGTTTAAAAAAATAGTTTCGAATTTGAAGCCTTTTGTTTTTTCTATAACAGCTGTTGGGGGTTCATTCGTAAGTTATTACTCCTACTTAGCATATCTCAATAGAAAGCAATTCTAAGATTAAAAAGAAAATGATGAATTATATAAAGATACTACAAGAGAAACCAATGAGTACTTCGGTCTTTCTTGGGGATATAAAGCAGATTACTTAGTAATTATTAAAAATAAATATCTAATTCTTTTCAAAAAATCTATTTAAATCTAAGTTTTAAGCATTTCTACTTTCATTTATGATTATTTTCTAAAATAAACAAATAAATAAATGATACTTAGCAGTATGTGTTTGTAGCTTTTATTTCGTAAATAATTTAAAAGGTGAAGGAAAAAATTGATTCAGGAGATATTTTTTTTATAAAATATGATTGTGATGAATGCTTATCTCTTAAACAAATGATTTGGTGCAATTTACTTTAGACTTACAAGTAAGATTAAGAATATGACTCTATAGGATTTGCATACAGAGACTCAAATGGCCTTTATATTATTTCTAACCAGTTTGGAGTAACTAAGGTAACTAACTGATTTACAAATCTATCTTTAAACTTTAAAAAAGAATTTAAAAAAATGAAAAAGGTAATGGAGTATGCAGACTTTTTGTCATAACCATTTTTATCAGAACTTTCTGTCAGAAAATTAATTACAAAAGATTAAACAAGAGCCGATTCTAGAGCTTTCTTCCAGAGTGTAAAGGCTCACTTTAAAAAGCTGAACCAAGCAGATAAGCCAGAAATTAAAGAGTAAATAAAATAAATTTCTTAGGTGTAAATAAATTTCTTTAACTTACTTACTTTTTAATTAGATCAAGTGAAGAATTTGCTATAAATTACTTAAAATCTATAAATATTCTGCAAGATTAAGTTGTGTAAGAGAATTTAAAACCATACATTAGTGAGTACGATAAAGCAAATCCCTTTTTCTTAAAGCCTCGCTTTTCATTTGATAATAAGATAATTATTCGTTCTGCAACAAATAAATAGCTTAACAGCAGCAACTTATTTACATCAACAGCTTCGTTTAATAAATGAAATAAATAACTTTAGTACTAAAAAATTAATAACTAAGTTGATTTATTTCCATTCTTTAAACTAAATTTATATATTCTTTCTTTCTTTTAAAATAAATTTAATTAATTCTTTAACCATTCAGGCTTTAAAAAGAGTTAGTTTTAGAATTATTTATTAATAATAAATTAATTACAATCAAAATAAATATAAATATAAACAACCTATTCTATTTATAATTTGTTAAAATTTTGTATAAATAAATAATTAATTAATTAATTAATTTAGTCAAGCACTAAGCTTATAATTTACAAGTCTTAAAATTTTTTAGCATTTCTTTCTATTGGTTTTCAAGCTAAATATCATGTTATATCTAAAATTATATTTCAACAAAAGATTATTAATATATATTAAAAAACCTCTGTTTAATTAATATTTATTTTTTACTTTAAACTTAATTCAAAAGATCTCAAAGTTGGCAGTTCTTGTATAACTTTAGATATTTTTTAAGCTCCTTCATCACTTATGTTAGTATTTCTTTAATAAAAATAAAATAATTAACTTGACATAAAAATTATTTGTTATTTACTTTAATGTCATTACAAAATTTTTTAGGACTTTGCATTTAGAAATACCTTTTGTTAAATATGAAACTCCATCATCTTCAATTTAGTTGTAACTAAACACAAAAAACAAAATCAATATTTTTTTAATCATGAAAAACATAAATAAATAAATAAAAATTAAACTAAATAAATAAATAATTACTCTAAATTTAAGACGAAGGATTGTAAATTTTTGCACAAACCAATTGCCTATCCTATATTAGCAATGCCATATTTGCTAATTTGATTATATCTAATTATTAAAAATATAAATAAATTTATTAATTTGAAATGTAAAAGCCAATTTTGCTTTGTTTGTTTATACTTTAAAAAATTTACTTTGATAAATTACATATTTTTAGAATAAATTTTAAGTATTTTTGTTATTTTCTTTAATTTTAATTAAATTATGACAATATTTTTTAATTAAGTTTATTTTATTTTTAAATTTTGAAAGTAAATTAATTAGCTGAAATAAATAAATAATATAATACACAATATTTAGAGCAAAAGAAGTCAAATTGAGGCATTAAGCTATTCCTTCACCGATTTTTAATGCTCCATCATCACCGATTAAATTTTTTCTATTTTAAAAGTAAAGATTAAAATTTAAATTAAATAAATTATTCATTAAAGATACTCAAGATTAAGGGAGAAGGCTAATAAATTCAATTATTATCCAAGAGTCTCTCCTAATTTAATTGCTCCAGCAACAGTTATTAAATTATAGCTTTACTTATTAAGTTTGAGTTAAAACATATTTTAAATGTTTATTGAATAAAATACCTTAAATTTAAATCAAATTTAGTCACTAATTGACTTTCATTTATAGATTTTACTAATTTCTTGACATTTCTATCATTTATACGACTATAACTATAATTTATTTATTTAAGCAAATAAATAGTTAATTATATAATTGTTAATAATGATGCAAAAAATAAATATACCTCCAATTTAAATTGTATTAAGTGTAATTCTAGCAATCGTTGTTATACCTTGTTATATTAAAAATTAATTTTAATGAGGATAAATTTATTAGTAGTTTTCAAAACAAACTTTTTTACTTATTTTTAAATGTCGGAGAGGAAAAACATCTTCCCATTTTGAGTGAATTAATTATAAGTTAATTTGAATTATTTAAAACCTATTTCCTTTAGAAAAAATATTTAATTTGAGAAGTTGAAAAGCTTTTTACTTTTTGGTGAACTTTTTTTCTCTTAGAAAAGCAAAAAATCAAAATAATTAATTATAAAATTTTGTTTGCTTGCTTGCTTGACTTTATTAATTCTTAATTTTAAAAAAGAATTAAATTTACTCGTTTTGATTACAAATATCAAATCTTAACCACATAAAATTTATTTAAGCAAAAACTCCACTTTTTTATATTATTTAAGTTTTCATTTTTGTACTATTTTTAGAAAATCAGCTTAATCTTTGCATTTATAGTACTGCTTTTTAATTAAAAACTATCATTTTCAAATTGATAAACCGCAAAATAAATACAAAGGTTGTCATAAAGATACTTCATTAAATTTATTATAATATCTAAATAGAAAAATAAATACGCATTCTTAAACTTAAATATTATTAAAAATATAATATAGATAATAAAATAAGTCAATTTAAAAAGTAGAATTAAAGATTAATTTTGCAAAAAAAATAAATGAATTTATAAAAGATATTTTTAAATTAAGTAAGTCAATCATTCAAAAGCAAAATTTATTTGGAAATTTTGGAGCAATAGAAGATATTTCTTTTTATATAATTTAAACAATTTTGTAAAAAAAGAAAGAAATATTTAGACTATTATTTATTTGATTGAATTGCAAATAAATAAATAAATTTTTTATTACAAATCACACAGAAAAATCAAGATTAATACTAGAAGTCATATAGATTAATTAGTTAAAAATCATTAATGTATGATCATTTACCATTTTGCAAGAATATTTACTATTCAAATAGATTAAAATTAATAAACATTTATTAAAAATTCATTTACAAATTATTATATATATATTAATGTATTTTTATTTTTGAATATTTAAATAGTATAGAATTTTTTTGGATTATAAAAAAATTATGGATAATAATTAAGAGAAAATTGATCTTTTTAATAAATTGAATTACAAATTAGTAAGCTTGTGTTTGAAAGCATTAATTTAAAAAAGAGTTATCTAATTACACTAACTAGCTAAAAAATATGTAAATTAATTTCTGCCTAATTAAATAATCAGATTTTAAAATCCAAACAAAATTTAAAAGAAAAGAGAAGAAATTTATTTCTGATTTATAAAAAACAATTTTATAAAATTAATTATTCCATAAATAAGAAAGTCTTCAAAATATTCAAATAATTTGATAAACATTTTATTTAGAAATTAACTTTTAATTAGGAATTACAGTTTAAAACTTTTTTTCTATAAATCAATATAAAAAAATTTTTAATCTTGTTAACAATCAAAGTATTCAACTTATTAATTTCTGGTATTCAATAGTCAAATATCTTTTTGGGGAGAAAAATTTATATTTAAAAAGTTGTTTTGATTTGTAGCGATAAGTTTTCTTCTTAATATTCAATTTATTAATTGACCACTTTTTTATTGCATTAAAAAATATAAATCTATTTTCTTGATTAAAAAATGTAAAAATAAATAAATGAAATTTAAAATATTATAAATAAATAAATTTGTTCTATTTGATAAAATGTATATTTATTTATTAACTATATTATTTTTGAAATATTTGTCATGAAGCCTAAATGAATGATATTTATAATTTACCATATTCTAATTTACCCTCTTTATTTATATATTGCAATCCTATCTTATAATATTAATTTAATTAGAAAATAAAAAATAATACATTTCATTTTAATAAATACAATTATAAATTTTATATACTAGAGCCTAAATTAAATTCATAAATTTGAAGTAAAATTTTAAGAGAATACTTTTCATTTCTTTTATAAAAATAATAATATAATTTTTTAGTTAAATTTTATCTATTTTTAATTAAACAAACTAATTAAACTAAATTCAGTTTTTTATATTTTTAATTCATTAATAGAATTTTTAAATAAATAATAGTTAATTATAAATTCATTTTACTCAAATTTTGTTGTCCTTGCTTTTCTATTTGTGAAATACGATTTACAATATTTATTTAATAAATGTTTATTACTTTTAATTGTAAACATATAAAATATCAATACAAATGACTAGTACAATAAATAAATTTAATTTGTTTAAATTATGCTTATTTATTCTATTTTATTTAATAGAAAATAAGTGAAATTATTTTGATTATTCCATAAATTACGAATAAAATAAATGTATGCATATAAAAACATCATTTATATATAAACTTTAATTAGATAGAGCGATGATTTACTTTAGTTAAATACCTAATTTGTTACATGCAGTAATTAAATAGTTAATTGATTAGATATTGGAAAGTAATGTAATGTAATTTTTATATATTTTACATAATAGGTAGCTTTATTAATGATAAAGAATAAGAAAGTTAGATAATGTAAATAAATAATAATAATAAGATAAAATGACTAATATAAATTATATAAATTTATAAATAGATTTATTGACTGATTGATTGATCTATGAATTATTTATGAATCAATTATGATAATTTTGTTTTAATCTAAACTGGTTTTTTCATCTTTTTGATTTTAGTTAGTTATTTTTATTTATTGTTATGTTGTTAAGTCAATCAATCAATATTATTGTATTCAAATACATTTTATCACAAATTAATTAGTAAGTTAAATATAGGTTTTTTTTATGTATTTATTTATATAATATCTTTCAAAAATCAGCTCTATTTACTATTAATTTACTGTTGGTTGATTACTAATTAATTAACAAAATAATTTACTTACTTACTAATCAACTAACTAACTAACTAATTAACTAATTAATTAATTAAGGTCTAGCTATTTAATTAGCTAGCTAAATAAATACCTTGTATTAGTAGCTTAGATGACTGATTTCTAGCAAAATAAGCATTTTTATAAATTTATTTGTTTATTTATTTCTTAATCACTACCTATTTGGAGGCAATCCCATACCACATTGTGGGAATGGAGCTTCTTATTTACCTTTTAATTTATATAATTCTTCATCTTTTAATGTTATTTCTTTCTTGACTTTTTCGTTTTGATCGTTTAATCCTTTTTTCTATTTATTTTAAAAAAATTATTTTAAAAATATTTTTTATTTATTTATTCATTACTTCTCTACACATAAAATCGTATTCTTTGAAGAAATCTTTCTTGCTGAGATTTTCAGTGAGTTTTTGATTTGATTATTGAATTGATTCAACCTAAATTTAATACAAGAAAAAATGGTTTTGATTTAAATAAAAAATGATTAGAATTTTTACTTCTTATTGTAATTGTTTTTCTGTTTCTTCTAAGTTCTATATTTACTGCTCTAACTATTCTTTTGTTTCTGCATAATAATCAATTTAGTGCTTTCTTGCTTCCAAATCATTCATTTAGCTTTTTAATCTGTTTTATTCTTCTTTCATAGAATCAAGTCTCTTTTATAATTCTTAGTTTTGAAGTGACAAGAGAGGACCATTAATTGGTGCAACTTAATCTGAATACTGAGAAGTGTTAATTTTTAACTCAGAATTCTATTATCTCAAATCATCTCCCCTATTGTTTAAATAAAATTAAGTAGATGTGAAATTATTTATTAATCACAAAAAAAAATTCAAGATAATTTAATAATTAAAAAAATTTTCTTAATTTGTTAATTTTGAAATTAACAAAAATTTGTATTTTAATAATTAATTTTTATGTCAACTTTTTTAGTATTCTTAACGATTTAATATAATTTATATGTTTAATTTATTTATTTATTACTTTCTTTTTTCATCTTCAACCTTAGCTTTGTAATCATAAATTTCGTCAATCAGGTCACTGAATATTTGCTGATTCTATTTGATTATAAAATAATTTATAAAATTTCTTCAAATATTTCAATTTTAAATCAAAATTTTCATTTTTAATTAAAAAAGAAAGCATTTTCAGCTTTAATTTTAAAGCAGCAATATCTTTTTCATAAATTATATTTGCTGATTATTTCAAAATGCTATCACTCATTTAGTTAGTTAATTTTTATATTTAATCTTGCTTGTTTGTATGTTTGATATATTTGTTGTTTAAATATGTGAATAATTTAAGTACCTTTTAGTTAAATAATTTGAGGTCATTTATATTTTTTGTTTTTTCAAAACTGTAAAACGCTTCTAACAAGCTTTCTAAATGGCTATATTATCTGTTTAATTTTTCATTTTCGTATTGAAGTGAGGCATCAATTTCTTCTATCCTTCTTTCAGGTGAAATAACTCTCGAATTTCCTAATGTATTCTGGGTTGAAGATGTTTAAGAATACACAGAGCTTCCATTTTGATTAATATTATATCCGTTTTGCACATTTTATTAGTGATAAACAACTTAAGGAGTTGTATTTGATTATGCTAATTAAATAAACTGAGGCTATTATTATGGAATTTGCTTTTGTACATAAGAACCGTTTTATTAAAAAGACTGCTAATTTTAAAGCTGAGGAGAGCCCATCTACTAAATTTATTATTAAGGAGGCAATTACTGTTAATAAGGTATTCTAACCTATTAACCATTTTTTATATCATAAGGAATTCCTCCATTCTATTATTATTTTATCATCATATATTGTTGCTAATTTGGTGGCTAAGGTGGCATCTATGCATAAGCTTGGCCAGGAGCCATCATCTACTGTTAGGGAATCTACTAAAAATTTCTTTGGAACATTCTCTATTTCAACTCCTATTTTATTATTTGTTTGTTTTTTACTTTTTACTTAAGATATTCTTTGAAAAAGTTAATCCTCCCCTCCTTTGTTTTTTTGTTACTTCTTTCCTTTTTTGCTTGGCTTTACTAAATATCTATTAAATTTTATATTAATCAAACTTTCTTTATTATTTGTTATATTTTACAAATTTTTTTATAATTGAATGTATATTGCTTGTTAGCTTGCTTTTTTATGCATCCACTCAATTTAAGCTGCTATATGCAAACACTATTAATAAGATTCGAAAGTGCATACATATATATTCACTGAAAAAAATAAAAATATTGCACTTTTTCATTAACTAACTCATTTATTGAATCCTTCTTTCCTTCCTGCTTGCTTTTTTGCTTGCTTTTTAATAGAGAAATTAATATTATTGTTAATAGCTTAATACAATTTTAAATAATTTTGAAAAATCGTGTTGAAATAATTTAAAATTTATTACAAAAGTAGATAAACAAGCATGTAAATCTATCAAAATTTATGTAAATATATAAAAATAGCAAACAAAAATATGAGCTTTAAATTCATTTCATAAATTATCAAAAATAGATAAATCGATAATAATTTAATTATTTTTTTTTTTTTTTGGTTTAAATTTGAAAAATAATTTGTAAGTTTTTTTAAATCAACTCAATTAATTAATTAATTTTTAAAATTTTAAATATGTTTGTTTAAAACTTTAGATGCATGCTATCTATCTATTTGCCTGCCAAAATCAATCTTTATCTATGAGATTTTATTTAAGTAAAATAAAAATGAGTTACTAAATATTATTTTATTGAATAAACTTTAAAAAGAATACAAATTTAATGATACATCTAAGTAAAATCATACATACATACATTATAAAATATTTAATAAAATTTGATTTATATAAATATGATTAGTATTATTGATTATAATTAAATAAGTTTTTATATTTAGGATTACTTAAAATTAATACTGCTGTAATAAAAACACTTAATATCCCAAACACATTATTCATTATAATAAACTTAATTTATTGTTAATTTTAAAACCTTGATATATTGATTGTATTTATAAGGAGATATATTTAAATTCAAATTAGTTTCACTTTAATACAGCTATAATAAATAATAAATTTGTCAATATTTTTTATTTTCATTCTGTTAAATATAAACAAAATTAATTTAGTTAGTTTTACAATTAATTTTTTGTTTTTTTTTATTGGGTGAAATTTTGTAATTTTGAATTGATAAATTGTTGTCTATCATATATATGATTAGTTAGTTAGTTAGTTAGTTAGTTAGTTAGTTAGTTAGTTAGTTAGTTAGATAACCATGTGAAGTAATTTTATAATAAAAAATTAATTATCTTGAAATTTAAATAATAATATAAAATTGAATATTATAATTGAATCAAATGATTGAAGAGAAATATTAAAAAAATGACTAAAATATGTAAGTAACTTCATCGATATTTAGTTAATATAAAATTTGTTTCATAAAATTAATTGAAATGTTTAGTTAAAATTTCAAGATAAGTAAGCAGCAAGTATCAATAATATCTTCAAATAAACTTTATTTTTATTATACATATGATAAAATCAAAATTTAATTTTAACTATTACATTATTTCAAATAATATAATTAAAATTATTAAAATAACTTTCAAAAATATTACTAAACAGAAAGGCTTTAGGTACAAATATAAATTAAAACAAACTTATTTTAAATTATAAATCAAGTAATTTTTCTTTTTAAACTATTGTATTAAAATATCCGTTTAAATATGCCTTTACTGCTTATTATACATACTAATATCTCAATAAAAATAAATTAATATTTTTATTAATCAAAGAGGTAGCTAAAAGTAATAGGTCTTATTCAAACATATTATTTTTTACTAAAAAACTACCTCAATTAATTAATGACAATATATAGATGGTATTTTATTTATTTTTAAAAAATTTCAATATTTTATTTTGATTTAATATTAAGAATTTAAAAAAATCGTTTTTAAGAATAAAATAACTATTTCACATATAAAATGACGACACTGGTTATTAAATTTTTTAGTTTAAAATAATAAAATAAATACCTCAAACCATATTTTCAATTTTGTTTTTATTTTTTACTACGAAGTATAGATAAAATAAGATAATTTACTTTGTTTTGAGAATGTTATATCCAACTTAAATGTTATGTTTTAAGATATTTTTAATTTGATTTGATATAAATTCTAGAACTATTCGATAATTTCTAAAATTAATAAATGCTGAACAAAATTTAAGATTAGAAGAATATAAAAATTACATTCTATTCTCAACTTTGAATAGAAAGAAAGAAAGATAATTAATTAATTAAATGGCAATATAAAATTTTTAAAATAATTTTTAATTAATACTAAAAAATTTTAAATTATTTAGATTAAGTTGTTAGTTAGATAGATAGACTTAAGTAAATGAAAAAGTAGAGAACACTTAATTATTACAGATTATAAATTTGGTATATCTGGTTTTAATTTGTTTGATAAAAAATAATTATACAAATAAACAAACAACCAATCTGATCTTTAAATCTGATAAATTGATTAAATAAAGTGAATTGGATTAGATATTAAATAGTTAATAGATAGTACGTAGAATCAATAAATAAATAATAATTTATTTGGCAGATATTAATAAAGTTAAATATTTTTTGAATAAAACAAACAATAAGAATAACTCATTTTAGCAAATATCATATCATATCAATAAATCAATCAATATATAGAGAATCTTTAATAATTACTTAAATATATTTCAGGCATTAAAAATACACAAAAAATTGTTAAAAAAGAAATAGAAGAAAGACAACAAACAAAGCAAGCAAAAATTAATAGATCAATTTTTAAATAAAATGGAAGTAGAAAAGGGTAAATAAGGAGAAACAAATCAGGATTAAGAGAAAAAAAATGAAAATTTAGTAAGCAAATAGGATTAAAGCAACAACTAAAATAAGTGGCATTCTTTGAGGAAATATCTCAATAACTAATTTCCTTGCAATAATAAGGATTTATTTGATTCTGAAAAAGAGGAATTAACATAGAAGTTTGACGAATAAGTCAAAAATATTTTTAATGAGAGAGATTTAAATAATGAATTTACATCTTTAGGCAGAAAGCGTTCTAAACTGCAATTGCTTTATGGCATAAATAATTAAGTAAAACAGCGCTTTTAAGAAACAATGTTCTATTTGGCTATTGAAGAATAGTATATGAAGTTAGAACCTCTTATTGCGTATCCTTTCAATAGTAATTCTACACTCAATTGGTAGCCTTTCTGGAACTTGGTTCTTAAAATGATATTCAAAAACGATCTTTAGAACACAAATCTCCAAGAAGCAGTTCTTCCAGAAACTATCAACTTCCTCTAAGTCATCAAGAAAATTCGCCAAAAATTTGATGATAGTTCTATTTAAGAAGTTTACGACTTGTACAAAAAGCTGGTAAAATAGAAAATTAATTTAAAGCATGTTGTATTAGAAGAAATATTTATTATTCTACTAAAGCTTCATCTATTCCTCATCTTAATCATATAGCTAGTTTATAAGCATTTGATGTTTCCTAGCATGAAAAATTAACACTTATTTAGAATCATAGCAGTTATTTTAAATATTTTTGTTGCGTTTTACAAGATAGATGCAAAGAATAAAGCTAGATTTTAATTTAAAAATAAACAACAAAAACTTTCTTTTATTAACCAATTTTATTTTTTAAAAATAAATAAATTAAAGCGATTATCAAATAGCGGATAACTCTCGTTGCTTTTAGTGAGATACTTTTTAAAAATATCTAGGAATACTCCTAAAGAATTATATTAGTAAATATTCTAAGAGTTCACTCTCTAATTAAGTTACGATTAGCCTATCAGAAACAGATTAGTTATGCTCACCATCCTCTATAATTTAGCAAAGTACGTTATTTCTAAAAGCAAACAATTTTTAATTTATTTTTCCAATCATTGAGTGAATAAATCTCCATAAGGAGATAACAAAACAAACAAACAAAAAAAGAAAAGATCAAATTTTTTTATTTTTTAAATCAATAATAATTAGCTTTGACCAATACAATAAAAAAATAAAGAATTAATGAATTAATTTAGCAATATTTTATTAATGAAAACAATAAATTTATAAAAAGAGCTCATCCATAGCTAGATTGGGAGAATTAGTATGATTAAATTTTCACATTTATCTCTAGATACTATATACAAAGAATGCCTTTAGGTTTTACTTACTATTAGCCTTAGTAAAAATTGTACTATCTTTCTATATACAATCCATAGACTTTGATTATGAGTCTTTTGATAGCTTTGATAGCACCTGAGACTGAAAAGGAAAAGCATGAAAAAATATGGAAAAATATTCATAGACTTTTCAATCTGATAAAGCAATATTTACATCCTAATTACGATAATACTCCGACAATTAAATTCCTCTTTTAGCAATTCTAATAATTTGTATCAACTTTCATATGGACTCACGGCGAGTAGCAAAAATAAATCAATAACTTAGAGAAATAAAAGGCCAAATTAGAAAGAAAGATTAAGATTTTAAATGCTGCTTAAAAGTAAGACGAGTAGCTAGTTTCTTAGCAAGGACTACCTGGAGATGAGCAAGATGAATTGAAAGATCAAAATATAGATACTGAGTTGTTAAATGAAGATGAAGGTGGAAACATGTAAATGGAAAAGGGTATGGACTAGTTTAAGTCATAGGCTATGGATTACGAAGGAAATGATAATCCTCAAATGCAAAATATTCAAGCTAGAGTTGAAGAGGATGAAGTAGATGATGAAGATGAAAACGAAGATTCAGATGATGAGCAAGAAAAATTCGATAAGTTTGTAAACGAGTTCTCTGAAAAAGCTTAAAATGAGCAAGCAGAAGAAGTAGAAAAATATCAAAAAAAGCTACAAACAGTTATTGAAAAGTTGAAGTAAAAAAATTAAAAAGTAAATTTAGGCAAAATAGATTTGAACAAATTATTTAAAATTAAAATAGTGTAAAAAAGTAATTTGCCTTCGATAATGCTTGCAAATAGTAGTTTGAATCTATTATTGAAGCTAATTTAATTAACATATTGGGAATAAACGACCAGAGTGGCAACATTCTCCCTTAAATTTGCAAAGATTTGTGTTATTTTAATCCTAGCAAATTCATTCCAATCATCTTGGACAATATTTATGAGGCTTTCGAAAAACCTGATATGAATTACTCAACTGCAATCAGTGTTTTAACTTCAATAATTATCCCTATGGTAGACAGAACTAACTACAAGTAAGGTCTCTATCAAATCCCAACTCTAATGAAGAAAGTCCTTGATATTTTCAACACCAGCAATTTCTAGTTATCAGTAAAAATGTGGAAGTAATAAAACAAATTTAATTTAATTTATTGGGTAATTTATTCATTAATGAAATTTTAATAGGTTATTCGATTAGATTTTCCAAGTTGTTCCTATTTACAACGTAGATGATTTGCAAGAAGCCTACATGGAAAAAAACCCTGGAAAATCATATAGCGATTTCTATCAAGATTTAAACAAAGTAAACATAAAAAACATTATAATCTAAACAAAATCATATAATAAATTATTAAATAAATCAAAGGATGAAGAAATAAACATGATAACATTTTATGAGTAGCTCCATGATGTTACCTATAACATATTCTAAAAGTTCTTAAGCATCTTTGAGCATATTGACATGCCCAGATCTAAAAATACTAGAGGATTTAGAGCAGCTGTGATATCTGTTCTAAATTTCTTCACATCAATAGCGTTTTCAACATCTAAAAAGCTATTTAAGCAAGTAATTCATTCGATTTTCACAAATTATGCTAAATCCTTTTTGCTTTTTCAAAACCTAATTTGAAATGAATATTTTTAATAAATAATTCTTAAAATGTTATTTTTCAAATTAAAATTTTTAATAAAATTTCTTAATTTTGAAGAAATTTTTAAATTGAGTTTTTAAAAAATTAAAACATTTTTTATATAAATTAATATTTTTTTATCTTAAAAATTAATTAAATAAAGTTGTGGTCTCATGCATTCTAATGCATCACAGATAGATAACAGCTTCATGCATCTAAATTTTATAGCTACTTAATACACTCATTCACTTTACGTGATCCTTAATTAGTTTTATAAAGCATGATTCCTTACTTATTTGATCACATCTTGATAAAGAGAGAAAATCCTGATTTGACAGAAATAGAAAAGCAGCCTCTTTACTATTTATTATAGCAATAGCCAAACAAGGACCATATTCTCTCTTATCAAATCGAGAGTATAAACTCTAATTCACTATTCTGGTATCTAAACTTGCTTGAAGATACCATATTCTTTGGCAGATAAGAGATCTTAAAATACAAAACAGAAATCGAAACAATTATTTTCCTTTGCTTTGTTCATACAGAAACCGAATTTTCTAAAAAGGCTTGCCAGTTGCTTTAAAAAATATTCCATTCTCTTATTACTTTTTACCCTTCAGGTAATTTTCAATAATAAATTTTTCCAGATATAATTTTTTTTGTCATAAAATGCTAATTTTCTTACTAATAAAATCGTTAATTATTTAGAAATGTTTATTTGGAGCGAAAATGAAATTGAAGATGATCTTAATTTTAAGGAAATGTACCATAGATACATTGGCTAGAGCAGTAAGAAGAAATTCAGTATGAAATGGCACGAACCTACTGCTGTTGAGGTTGAATACTCAAAGGAGTTATTCTTTAGAATATATAATCCTATTCTAAATCATTTCAATAACAATCATTTCAAGAATTTAGAACCTATTGATGTTGACAATAATTTCACATAGATACTCGACGCAACTATGCATGCTCCAGATGATGCTCCCAGAAGTCTTAAAACAGAATTATAGAGGTAAATATAATTAATTATCTCATTAAAACATTTTTAGTTAACAAAAATTTTAATAAAAGGTCTATCATGTTGCTTTTCCATCTTTATAGCTCAATAGCTACAAGACTAAAATGGGGAATTGATGAATAAGATGGAATATACAAAAAATTTAGTTCTACATTCTGTCTTCCTGAGTATGATAATATAAATAGTGAAATGATAGATTTTAGTGAAAATATGATCAATTTCATGATAAAAAATAATCTATTTTACGACAGCAATGTTGCTTAAGTTTATCTATCTCTGATATTATTTATTTTAGGAAATGATGACTAAACTGGTTACATTAATGGTATCAAAAATAAGCTCAAAGAATTAAAGAATTAAAATTCAAATCCTTATAGATCATATCAAGGATATCCAAGATTTGTAGAAGTTACTTCAGTTACAACACAATTCAACACTAAAGTTATTTTATATACTTTTGACACTAAATTGAATGACAAACATTCCAAATTGCTTAAGCCACTTCTATTTTTGATACTCCACCCTTACTAAAAGGTAATCTTTTATATTGATTTTATCTAATACTCATTTACTTTTATCAAATAGATTAGTGAAAAATCTATCAATAGCTATTTGATGATGGCTGATCTGCTCAAAAATAAAAGTTATTATATTCAAAGCTTGAAAACATTCTGCTCGTAATAAAGATTTATTTTAATAAAATTAATTAATTTTGAATTATTTAGATTCTTACAGGCCAAATTGAGCAAAAAGAGCAATGATTTCTTCCCTAAAGTAATTGAAGAATGCAAAGAAAAGGATCCAAAGCTAGTTCCTATGCTTAGCACATATTAGGACAGAACTATTTCTTCGTTAATAGTTTTGAATTTTGTTGCAAAGAAATTCGATTAAGATTATGCTTTCGTAGTGGATACTTTGATGTCAATTGTAGAATCTTACAATATCTTTTTATCTAAAGACTTAAAAGATAAGATAATTGATATTCCATTAAATTAACTAATGCACTTAGTAACTAAACTCAAAAAGTTGGATATCGCTTACAATTAACCAATTTAAAAGCTGGGAATTTACAAGGAAAAAAGCTAGGTTCTCTAGGAAATTCTATAGCAAGACAGTAATTTTTATGATTTTTTTTATTTGTGGATAAATAAAAATAATTTTAATAAAAAATTAGATAAAGAAAGAACTCACTAATTATAAGGAGAGCAAAAGATGCTTTAAATAAAGGCACTGATTAAGTAGCTCTATGATAGATGCTTGTTAAATCTAGAAGACCCTACTGTCTTCTCCAAAGAAAAGATTTTTATGATCATAATCGCAATGAAAACTGCAAACTTTACAGATGCCAACGACGAAAGATTTAAAAAAATATTAGAAAATGCAATTAATTTCACTAATTATGACAATCTTCATTCTCGTAATATAGGCAGAGCAATGCTTTTTAAGTGCATTCGTACACTCAAAAACCAGTACAAAAAAAGGGAAGAAAAAATTACAATCGAAGACGATTATGTTAAAGATTAAAATAAGCCTCTTGAAGAATTAAGTGCATATTTCTTGTTTAAAAAGGAAGATATTGAAGATAATTTCTATACAAATAGACATCAAGACTTTATCCTCTACAAAAAATCTACAACGTAAAATATTAACAAAATTTTGAAAAATATCTTTTTCATCCAGCACTTAATTTAATATTGAAAATAATTTTATGAATATAAATAAAAAATTTTGTTAAATAATATAAAATTTATTTATATCAACAAATAAACAAAAATATTAAAATAAATTTAAAGAAAAATTTTTAGAAATTTACTTTAAAAAAAAACAAACAAACAAAAAAAAATAATGTTGATTTGGCTCATTCTAATTTGCGCGAATTTGTTTAATACCTAGCTTTTAAACTTATTTTTAAAATATTAGAATTGAAAAAAAACATTTAATTTTTACAATCTTAAAATTCATAAGAAAATTTCATTAATTATTACAATATCAAATTTAAATAAAAATTTAATTTTAGAACTAAAATTAAAACAAATGTTTAATTATTACAATATCAAAACCAAATAAAAACTTAATTTTAGAACTAGAAATTTAAAATTAAAATAAATATTAAATTATTAATAAATGGAAACCAAATAAACTCTTTATTACAGAATTAGAAATTTAAAATAATAATGAAATATAGATTTAATAAAAATATAATAATTGATAATTTCAATTATTATTCAAAAAAATAAAGTCTTTAATAACAATTTTATATGCAAAAAAAATTTAATTAAATTTGATTACTTATTTAATTTTAATTAATATTAAAATAGATATTTAGAACATAAGAAGGATATTATTTTTTACTAAAAATTTTCTGATAAAGAATTTTTGAATACCTTCCTTGAGCATATTCTGAATGATATTACGACACATACTATGGCTGAATAATCTCTAAAGCCTAAAAATATTTTCAACACTGCAGATTTGATATTCTAATAAGAATTTGTGAAGGTAAATTTGATTTCTTTGTTTGCTAAAAATATATTTTAATAATTATTTAATTATTTAACTTTAGAATTTCAAGAAAAAGAATTTCTTTAGCGATGGGCCATCATTTTTCCATATGAAACTTCTTAAAAAGATATTTGGTTTACTTGGTATGCAATTTTTCGAAGTTGCCAAGGTTCATTTAGAGAAATATAAGAATGACTACTCAACTCTTGAAGGATCTACTATCATGAATGTACTCACTTTCAGTTGTTTACTAGGTATTTTCTAAATAGAATAAGACGCTACTGAATAAGAGAAAGAAGAGACTTATAAGTATTTAATGGAGATAGTTATCGACAGAGCATACTAACTTAACTTAGAATAATTTGCTTATTTCATGAAATACTTAGAGACAGTGATTGAAAGTATATCTTTTAGAGAATCTTAGAGAATTCTTGATGACATCTATAAATCTCCTAAACTAGGTAATTAGTAGGATCCTAAGTACTAACGTTATCTTTATACAAAGCTCCTCTAACTAAATAAATTCAACATAAAAAATTAAGAAATCTTGGAAGGGTTAATTAATGAATTAAAAACTGTTAATCCTTTGTCTATTCAATAACTTCCTATATACAATCTAGTTCACAACGCTGTTTGGTCGTAATTTTAAAATACATTTAAAAATTCAAAGAAAAAATTAAATATTTTTTATACATAATAAATATAGTTATCATTAGATTTCGATTGACTTTAACTTCTGTAAAAAGTACAACATAATTAAAGATATTGACTAATTAGTAGAACAAGGAAGGTTGAGAAAAATTGACTCATTCCAAGCTATTAGGATTAATCCTCAAATAAATTAAATTTATGATTTCATTCTAAACCAATTAAACTCAGAAGATCCTGAGGTGAAGAAGAAATATTACCGTCTTGTAAAAGTCTTTTCATCGATTTTCAAAGAAGATCATCTCTTCAAAACAGAAATCTATAATTCAATGAAAAGCCTTTTCCCTTACTTCATAGAATTCAAAGTAATAATATTAAAAGCTCATTAAAAAAAATTATTTTAATGTCTTTTTATTCTTTTATTTAGGAAGAAGATATTGCTGATGCCTAACTTGTTTAAGAATTTTGGTCTAATTTGATCTTCCTATCGATTCCACTTTATAACAAAGAAACAGTATTAGAATTGCTAGAATTATGCTACAAAAACTTTAAAAACACTAACTGGAGAATTCGTTAGAGAGCTCTTCTATTCAATCAGGTAATTATTTATTTTCATCCCTCTTGATAATATTTAATCTTAAATTAATATTCAACAGTTTATTGCCTTTTTCAACTTGTATAGAATTGGCGATTTTAACTATATTGACCCTCTTTTGGAACTTATGAACGACGAGCAAAAGCAGAACAAATCTATTGCTTAAAAGGTACTTTCCTTAGTTATCAAAACTCTACCTGTAGAGTAAGTAGGAGGATTTGTAGAAAGAATGTAAAAAATGGCAGTAAGCGAAGACAAGAACTAAAAAATCATAGCAGTTTATTGTCTAATGAGTGTATTACTTTCTTATCCACATGAAATTAAGGAATGGACTGAAAATGCTATTAGGACAATTCTTAAAAATAAAAACATATCACCAGATACATTGACTCTTCTCAAAGAATTTGGAGCTGCTTTCTTAAGAAATGCTTTACACAACAAAGTAGAAAGTAAGCTAAAACTACCTGAAGACTTAATAATTAGACTTGAAGAAATATCTAGACCACATAACTACTTTGCTTGAATAAATTATTCTAAATAATTTTTAAATAATACAAACAAATATTTAAATATAAAATATTCAAAATACTCTTTTAATATTTTTTTATATTAATTTTGTAAAGAGGAGGAACAAAATTTATAAATTGTTTTTAAATAACTTTATTTTAAATAGTCAATTAATAAATCCATCAATCAATAAAAATTTATATTATCGTTTATTTTTATCTTTTTTATTTCCTAAATTACTCATTTAATATTTTTTTAAAATAAATTTCTGATAAAAACATAAATTTATAAATTGATTTTAATAATTTTATTTAACAAAGTTAATCAATTATATTTTTTAATGCTTTTCTTTATTAATTTTGCTATGAGTAAAATAATACTTATAAATTGTTTTTAAGCAATTTCTTTTATTTTAATTGTTTAATCAATAAAAAAATAATATATTCTCATTTATTTTTATCTTTTTTACATTTTAAATTACTCTTTTAATGTTTTTCTTTATTAATTTTGTTATCAGTAAAACAAAATTTATAAATTGTTTTTAAACAATTTATTATATTTTACTTGTTTAATCAATAAATAAATAATACATTATCATTTTTTGTTATCTGTTTTATTTCTTAAATTACACCCTTTTAATATCTTTTTTGTATTAATCTTATTATGAAGAGAAACAAAATATATTAATTTTTTTAAAATAATTTTATTTTACATATTATTTAATCAATCAATAAATAATAACATTATCATCTTTTTTTATCTTAAATTACCATTTCAATATCTTTTTTGTGTTAATCTTTTTATGAGGAAAAATTTATAAATTATTTTTAAATAATTTTATTTTTACACATTTAATCAATCAATAATACATTTACATCTTTTTTTATCTATTTTTTTTTCTTAAATTACACTTTTAATATCTTTTTTTGTTAATATTGTTATGAGGAAAAATTTATAAATTATTTTTTAACAATTTTATTTTAAACAGTTAATCAATCAATAATACTTTATCGTTTATCTTTATCTTTTATATTTTTTAAATACAAGTAAAATTATAACAATAAATTATTTGAACTTCTTTTTTTTAATGATTATTTTGATTAATTTTATAAAAACTATTTTAAATAAGATTAGAAATAATTTTTAGTAAAATATTATAGAAATTGCTAATGAGGAGTTAAATTTTATTTAAAAAGGAATTAATTGTTAAAAATTTAAATGGATATATTGATTGAATGTAATATTTTATATATACTTATGTTTGTATGAATGTGAAGCTATCTCTTCTACTTCAAAATTTTGATAATTCTTTCATTCATTTTTACTTGTTAAATTTTTGTTGTTAGATATGAAAAGATTAAAAAAATGAATGAAATAATAAATAGTTAGTAAAGATACTCAAAAATAATAAATTGTTAAATAAAAATTTTCAATAGTGATTTATTTGAAATAAAGAGCTGATTCAGTCAATCAATTAATCAATAAATAAATCAATATCTGGATAAAGAAATATTTTGAATTTAAAACGAAATAAAATAACTAATTATACAACAATAAATTAAATTATTATTATGACTGAATTAGGTTAATTTAAAACAGGTCCTGATGGCAGACCTAGATTTTTAGATTCTAATGACAATTCATACGAGCAGGTAAATAAAATATATTTACAAAATTATGTGGCTCTGCAAAGTAGGACTAAAAGCTAACTAGCTAGCTAGATTATATATTAAATAGAATTCTTGAAAAGTGATTAAGACATATTGCAAATAATGAAACAAATTATATCTAAATTAAGCAAAAACATGATATTATTATTCATTTTTTAAGGATTAATAAAGATTTTCTATGAATGTCAATAATAAAATATGTTTTTATTTTAAAATTAGCTAAAACTTGAAAATAGCTTTAAAAAATCTAAATTAATTCATTTTTTGATATGAAATAGAATGATATTACTGGGAATAGAAGCTATCGTGAAGAAAATAACTATAACCATCAATAGGCTAATTAGGGAATAAGACCCGAAGATTTAGAATTAATGGAAATGGAATAATCATAAGACGAAATTAGCGTGTAAGAATCACATAAAAAAGGTCTTATGAATTCGTACGCAATAGGTTTTGAGAGAAAACTTATTTAGTTGCAAAATTAACAATTGAAAACAAGCAAAATTAATTCTAACTATAACATTTTCGACAATGCAAATGGATAATAGTAAATGGACCAAATGCAAGATTAAATATAGCAGACATAGAATTTAAATCTTCAATCAAATATTAATAATCGTGCAGATTTCATCAAAATTTCAACTCTCGATGAAAAGGCAAAAATCTACTCTCCCAACAAAGGACTTGCTCATTATGAGAAGAAAGGTCCCGAAGTTTAATTCAGACTAGACGAAGGTCGTCCTGTTAAATTTTTCTAGTCAAATTAATACTTAGAATATGAAATATCAGACGAAGCTATTGAAGTAAATTAAAAATCCATTCAAATCATATTTATTATATAATAATTGTCAATATCCAAAAAGGTTATTTCAAACTGCTCGGGTCATGTTACTTTTGTCTCTATTACCGGATTGAAAAAAACTGGAAAGACATTTTTGATGAACTAAATAATAGAAGCTTCAAATAATCCTAATTATCAAAAAGTATAAACAAACCTTTGTTGATTTATTTATTGATTTATTTTTCCATTTTAATCAAATTTTGAATAATTTAGCTTAGACAAGAAGAAGGAGTTATTATATGGTCATAGCCCCTTTATAATACTTTAAACAGTTCATGGATATTTTTCATAGGTATTTATTTATTTATTTTATATAATTGTATTAATTTAAAATTAAAATAAAAGATACATGTTTAGACCTTGAAAGACGTGACTAGCTCGAGCTATATTATATTACTATGCTCATTTCAAGTGCTTCTATTAATAATACAGTTGGATAATTGAAAGAAGAGTCACTGCTCTGCTTCAATCCTCTTCTCAAAATAAGAGATATTATTAAAATGGAAAATGAACATGAAGTTTCAACTGCAATCAACTTTTTCCCATCAATGATTCTTACTCTTAGAGATTTTTCGTTTAATTAATTAAAATAATAATCATCTTAACTAAAATATTTTGATGACTTTTTATTTGATGAAATCACTTATTTAAAGGCAACAAAGGAATAAAAAAAAGTAATTAATTTTATATGAAAGAATTTTTTTATTTAAGTTATTTTTTAATATGATCTTAAATATAAAAAAAGACTAGACAAAGAATTTTAAAATACTTCAAATCAAGAAAATTGATAGCTGTAAATTATCCTGTTGATGATTAATAAATGATAAGCTAACTTGAAAATTTGGAACAAGAACAGCTTAATGAAGAGTTTGTTAGAGATTTATATTTCTTAAGAAAGACACTCCTTAGTAGTACTAATGTCAAAGAATATAATGGTGTCTTTTTTAATGCTACTATGTTTTTGTCATTCATAAACAGCTTCTTGGAAGATATTAAAGACAAGAAAAAACTTGATATTCAAAAGGCTTTTAGTGTCTTACTTGACAACGAATTTATTCATGAATATAATTAATGTGTTGAGTTGTACTTCTAAATTCTAGGAGAATAATTTTAAGACATTGAATTTAAATCTATCGAAGAACTTTAGCGTTCTTTACTTATAGCTAGAGAAAATGCAACTGAAAGGTAATAAATAAATAAATTATATTTTAAAGAATTATATTCTAAATTAATCTAAAAAACATACATAGATTCTACAACTTAAGAGCCCATGATTCACCTGAAGCAGAGGAGAAGTTTGATAAACATTATAGATAATTACTTGAAGTTATATAGGAGAAAGAAAGAAAACTTATACAAGTTAATAGCGATGTTTCTGGAGAAATGATGGATTAAACTGTCTAAGAATTTAATCAAAAAATAATGTAAAACCCTAAATCTAATTAGAAATTCAGCACTAATGATGTTAAGGAAATAGAAAAAAAATTCACAGAACAATTATAATTTTTCAATACAAAATTGCTTGGTTAAGGTGAATAATACAAGTTAGTAGGAAAAATAGCAGGTATAATACAAAATGCTTTAATTGACTCTGTCAACAAAGAAATTTAGGAATTAGAAATAATGCACAAAAATGATATTGATAAAGAAAATAAAGAAATACAAAGAATCAAAGATTTAATTTCGAAAGGAGAAAAAGAAACTAATGAGCATATTTAGAATATTAATAAAATAAGCACAGATATAAATGAAATAACCAACAACATTAAAAAAATACAATCCCAAAAGATTCCAGCAGTAAATAAATAATATTTATTTTTTTTGTTTTTAAATTTTAATTAATTTTATTATAAATATAGCTTGAAAAGGAAATACAAACAATAGTTAAATAAAAAGAAGCACTCAAAATTGAATGTGATGCTAATAAAAAAAAGGCTTCTACCAAGTGTGGCTGCTTAAAAAACGATTTAACAAAATACGAAATCAAACCTCCTAACACCTTACCTTCATAAGGTTAATAATAACCCCGTTGATATCTTAATAAATAAATAATTATAGATATTTTTCTAAGATAAATTAATAAATAAATAAATTTATTTATTTTCCATGTTTATTTACTCAAATATATTTATTCTTTCTTTCTTATTATGTGTCTCAAATTTTAGATCAAATTCATAAAAAAAAATTGCATTCTTATTAAGGTCTATTTGTTCAAAATTTTATTTTTAATTTTAAAAGTTAATTTTATGCAACAATTATAAATAAATAGTTTTTTAAAAACCTAATCCTCAATAATTAATTATGGGGTTTAGTTAATAATTTATTAATAAAATTATAAGTATAATTTAAATAAAAAATTGTAATCATCAGTTTGATGATAAACATCAATAAATAATTTGAATTGTACCAAAAAAACTGACCCAATCGAGAAAAAAATATTTAATTTTACTAATACAAATATTGGTATTGGTGAAACTCTAAAATTTACAAATTATTTAATGTTTTATCCTATTACCATATCACTAAAAACATTAGATATAAGTAAAGTAGTAACCTTTTACTTACTAAACTGGACTATAAATTTACCATATAGTTTACTTTAAAAATAAAGTAATAAAATTCAAATTTAGGAGTTAAATAAATAAATATCTATCATTCAATAAATGAATAAAGGAAAAAACATTAATAAAAACCCTTGATTAATTTTGAATAAATAATTTTTAAATATCCATCAAATAAAAATTTAAATATTAGTTTGAATAAATTTAAAAACAAATAAATTTTTTTGTATTTAAAAAAGAATAGTTAAGAGTATTAAAAGTATTCTTTTTTTTCTAATAATTTATATTTTGAATACAATAAAATTTTTGGATTTACTGCTATCTATCTGCATAAACAATGGTAACTAAAAGAGATAAAGATTATATCTCTACTGAAAAAAAGATACAATGTAAAAAATTTTTAAATTTATAATGAATTAAATTTGTTTTGATGAAAAAATATTTTTAATTAATAAGTAGGAAATTAATTATCAAAATTTATAATTTAATAAATATCGAACAAAAGTTCAAGGCTTTTAATAAAAATAAGAAAGTAATCTTAAAGAAGGATATATGTATAAAATATAATAAAGTCTAGTATAAAACTAATACACAAATGAAGTTAAAACTGAAAGAAGTTTTCCTAAACCAATAGAAATGTTCAATTAATAAAGAATATATTAAAGTAATAGTTTTGGATAATTATTTTTTAGTAATCAATTAAAAAAAAATAATGACTAATCTGATAGGATTAAATCTAGTAATAATACCTAGTAAGAGATTGATTTGTAACATGAAGCACAGAATATTGATCGCAACCATGTAATAGATGATATTGAGAGTCATTCATAAAGTAAATGGATTAGCTAAAGAAATATAAACCATTCTATCGGCTAATTTAAGTCTGAAAATTATATAAGCTATTAGATTTAGCATCTCTAAAGTTAGATAATAAAACCTAACAAGGAAATGTAACAGAGAGTTAAAATATTTTATAAATCTTGTGAATTAAACAGATAATTTTGGGAGATATTTGGAATTTAGAATAATAAGTAGAAAAGATAAAATAATTAACAAATTAGTAGAGAATTAGTATAAACATAAAATTATGAAAAATAAAGGACTATTCTAAAAGAAGTTAATGAAAAAAATAGGACTGTTCTAGAAGTTTATGAAAATAAAGACAAAGTCTTAGTAAAAACTAGAATTTATAAAGAATGTGACATATTTATAACCAAAAAGATTCTTTATTCAGACCTAAAAAAAAAAGACTCCTTTGAAATAAGGTTTAATAAGGAAATAAAAATATTAGAGTAATTAAATAATAACAATAGCGAAATCACAGTTGAATATAAAGGTTCAACAAAACCTAAAGAATAATTAAATTATAACAATAGCGAAATCACAACAGATGAATCTAAATGTCCAAATCCTAAACTTAATGAATCAAAAGATACTTAACCTCTCACATATGAGATAAATATGGTTTCAGGGATGAAGAATTTGTATAACATAAAATAATAATATGAAATAAGCAAAAAATATGATGATTATGTCATTTTGCTGGAATATGCTTTCTTTTAATTACTGTCTAAATTGAATGAAATGCATTTCTAGGAATAAATAGCTCACTCAGATATAAAGCCCTAAAATATTATTTTAGGATACGATTATAATTTTTACTTTATTGATTTCGGAGGTTCGATTAATTTGAAAGACTAAAATGAAATCCAACAATATTTAAGTACTTATACTAAAATTTATAACTATGATTACTTCCTTAAAATGCAAAAATATGATGATTGGACAATTTAAAGAATTATTGATTGTGAGACTATACAACTATTATTAACATTCTTTAATATGATTGATATAAAAGACAAAGGATATAATATGCTAAGAATTAATGGAGATACAGAAAAATTTAAGTAAATTTTAGAGCCTGAATTTGAGGAATTCGCAGATATGCTAATAAAATATTTTAATTATATTGTTAAAAAATAAAATAATAAAAATACTCAAATTCCCTAAAATTAATATCACTTAATATCTAACTTGGAGGGAAGATTTGAGAAAATAATGAATAATTAAAGAGATATTCTCTATAATGAACAAACTAATATTTATGAGCTCAAATTTATCAATAAGTTTAGCATTTAAATAATAGAATATATTTTAGAAACTACCCCTAACTGTTCTTTTGATATGACAAACGATACATTAGTAGATTTATAATTTAACGATGACTAAGATTATAGTAAAAGAAAGTATTTGGATTTGTTTCCAAAATTTTGTAGCTTTTTCAAATTGAAACAGTAGAATATTTTATATTTAGCTTTAACAAACCGTAAATTCTATTAAAAGGCTTAATTTTTAAGCAATATAATTGATTGTTTGTCTTAAAAAGAGAAGGCGGTGATGGAATATGATAGAGAATTAATGTTTTAAGTTATCAACCTAAATAAGTGTCAAGCAATTCACATTTGCTTTAATTAATCTGAAATTTGGTTTGAAAATAAATAAAAAAATAAATAAATGATATTTAAAATCTAGAATATTTCTTCATAAAAATCCAATAGTATATTTTAAATTTAATTAGAATTCCAAGATAAACAAGGAATTCAAAGTATTCTCGAGAATATATAAAATCAAGTTTATCAACAGTAATTTTTAACTAAGATTATAATATCAATTGACCAAAAATTAGTAAATTGTTTCTTAAATGAGTTTGATAAATTAAATTCATCTTGTGAAAATTCTAACACTTAGCTATATATTTAAATAAAGGCAGATAATGAATAATATTTTTCTTCTTCTTACTTTTAATTTCTATCTTCAGAATGCCAGCTTAAGTTCATTTTAAATCTTTAATCAATTTCTGATTTGAAATTTTAAGAGATAGACACTATTATAAATAAAGATATTTCAAATTCGATATTATTTTTGACTCTTTATAAAATCAATGAAAATTAAAAATATACAAACTAAAAATACAGTGAAATTTGTAATGCAAAAAATTCAATAATTTTAAAAAATAATCACTTAACAACTCATAAATTAAACTAAAAATTAATAGACCTTATCTTCGAAATACAAACATAATCAGAAAGCGACAAATTGCAATCATAATAAGAAAGCTACAAATTGCAATCATAATCAGAAAGCGACAAATTGAAAAAATAACCAGAAAGAGACGAATAGCAAACATAATCAAAAGAAAGTGAAAATGCAAATAAATAAAAAAAAGAAGAAATTATTTAAGGCTATTGCTCCACTTCATAAAAAACATAAAATATGCTTTAAAAAACTTTTGAATTTGAATAAAACCTGCTTTTGTATAAAATTTCTTTTGTAGATCATAGAGAGAATCTTGAAATTGAATACAATGATAAGTTATTTTAGAAAGTTTGTATTTACAATTAAAATGAAAAATATGTAATTAAAGATTTTAACACAACTATATATTTCAAAATTGAAGAATCTTAAGCAAAGTAATTAGAAGGATTTGAAAAAGATTAGTTAGATAATTTAATTTAATCATAAAAAAGTGAATTAAGTTGCTTAAATTTTAAACTAACTTGTAATTAAAAATTTAACTTTTTAAATTATAACTTAATAACAAAGGAATAATTTTAATTGATCGTTAAGTAAGTCCAATTTAAGAAAAATGGCATCTTGAGATTTAAGTTTTACAAAAATAAATTCAAGTTTGAAGATTTTTTTGAGATGTTGACTGAAGTGATGAAACTTAATAAGTTTTAACTACTTTCGTTTTAGCTGTTGTTAGCTGAAATATCTTTTGATAACATTTCTTAGATAGAAAAAATTTTTGAGCTTCTTTAAGATAAAGGAATCAACTATACTGTAAATTTGTAAAGCTGTCACATAAAAACAATAGCTGACATCTAGAAAATTGAGTTTTGTTTTAATTATTAGAGTTTTCTGTTTGATTTAAAATAAGAAAAAATAAAAATAATTCCAAACATTACTTACAGTTAACCAAAATTAGATCTTTGCATTTAAAAATTAGGAGAACAATTAAAAATTTAAAACTCCAATCTGAAATTCTATCAAGTTGAAGTAGAAAAAAAGCAATATCAAGTAAGCTAAAATTTAGAATAAACAATAAATTATACTCCAAAAATAAATAAATAGCAAAATGACATAGTCCTCAAATTAATTTTATCAATTTTTTTGATTTCTTAATATATTTCTTCTATTTTTATTGATAATTAAAGCAATCGTTATTCTCAGTTGTGGTTTCTTGCTAATTTTACTGATTTTGCTGTCTTTATTCTGTATCTATTTCCAATATTATTTTTTAAGCAAAACTTTGATGAAATCTCATAAAATAATTTATTTAATTTATTATTTTCTAGCTCATAACAAAAAATGTTTTTGATAATTTCGCTTGAAGTTTTACTTTTGCTTACATTTAAATATTACAAGCATGATTTTTGCTAAACCATATATCTAGCTCTTAACTCTATAATAAAGATAGCTACATTTAAATTCTGCCAACCTTTAATATTTTCAATAAAGATGTCTTAAATAAATTCATTGATATAGATTATAAAAAATAGAGACAAATTTTATTTATGCATCTATATTCTCTCAAAATTAGTATTACTGATGATCATAACTAAAGGTACATGAAATAATTAAAATAAATAGAAATTAAACTATATATGAAGTATAATAAATATCTTTCAACAATCTTTTAGTTATCATATTAATTTAAAAATATAATTGCTTGTTTTCCTGTATAGTTAGTTATATTGCCCATAAATATTAATTATTTGTTGTAAAAATTAGAGACAAAATTTATCTATTCATCTATCTATATTCTCTCAAAATTAGTATTACTGACAATCATAACTAAAGTTACATGAAATAATTAAAATAAATAGAAATTAAATTATTAATAAATCATAATCATTATCTTACTAAAATCTTCTAGTTATAAAATTAATTTAAAAATTTAATTACTTATTTTCCTAAATAGTTAAATTACTCATAAATATTAATTATTTGCGATTTTAGTTTGAATATTAATTTAAAAGTAGTTGCTTAAATAGTTTTCTTGCTTTATAATTTTTAGTTCTTTGTGAGCATATTATATATATAAATTTTTTGATTAGCAACCTTTTAAGAAACCTTTTTTTATTTAAGAAAATTTATTTTTTTAATTATAAAAAAGAAAAATAACTCTAAAATTAATTTTAAATTATTATTAGTTTGATTTTTTCTATTAAATAAAAGAAATAATAATGTATTAATATCATTCATGAATAATTCTAAGAAGCCTAGCTTTCATTTAAATATTTATTTTAAACAGCTAAATGAAAGAATAAACAAAATAATAATTATTCTTGCTTTGTTAAAAATTTTTGGTATCTTTTTTATTAATATAAAATCACAATCAAATTAATATTTAAATTAATTTACCTAGATTATTAAGATTTAAGATTATTTCATTAAAAAATATGTTAATTTAGAGTATTTTTTTAATTATATATTGTTTTTATTATCCAATAATTAAAAATACAATTAATTAATTCTTTTGAATCGGAGTATTTATTTTAAAATATTTAAAATTTTTGGTAACAAACAAATTGAAAAGTTAAAAAAAGGGAAAAATTATTGAATTAAGTGTTTGCAACTATGTTTATATGTATTTGTATGTATATATATATGTATATATGTATAATAATAATAAGAAGAAGAAATAAAACAAATCAGCCTTTTTGCATACTCATCCGAATCTGATAGATGACTAAATAGATATTATGAAACTTATAACAAATGTTTCATATATAAAAGGTTAAGTTAATATCTATCTATCTGGTCATTTAATTACTTAAATAAGAATGTTTGTGTTTACAATTAGTTTAGCTAATTAACTTATTTATATATTTATTTATCTATCTATCTATATCTGAAAGATCTGAAAGAATAGTGGATTGTTGGTTAGTTGGTGGTTGGATTTTTATGAAAAGGAAGGATATAAGTAAAATGAAATTGAATTAAATTGATTGATTGATTATATATTGAGCAATTAATTATCCATGATTATTTAATACCAATATGAATTTTATAATATACTTTATTTATTGATGGATTTTACTAAAATTTGCTTATAATTTCTAGCTTCATGCACTAACGGAATGATCTTTTAAATATATATTTTGTTTAAATTTCTTCTAAGTCATCTGCTTACTCATTGATGTAATAAATGTTGCTATTATGGTGGGATTTGCTGCTATTGAGATTATTTATTTATTGATGAATTTTCTTTAGTTGAATATTCGGGTCTTTTCTCATTAACAAGATCAGCTTTTTTGGCATTATTAAACGAGCTAATTGCTATTATTATATTTTATTAATTTATATTTCAATTTGCATTATTTAATTAATTTTTATATAATTACCATCATTCATGGCATTTGTATCCAAAAGAAGTCCTCTAGGAATCTTATTATCAGGGCACTGACCTTTAAGCTTTACTATAGTTTCTGACTCTTATCTAATTTTTATTTTTAAAAGAATTTATTAAAGTTGAATTATTCTTTGTTTGCTTATTTGTTTGTTACCTTAATATTTTTTACATTTTCATCATCTTAGAAACGAACTTAATTTTGCTTCTTAGTACATCTTTTTTTATATTAATTTAAAGCTTTTTTCAATAAAAAAATAATAAATAAAAATTACTAGCAGCTCCTTCTTTTTTAGTTTTTTCTTTAGTTTCTTTTTATTTATTTGACAAAGTTTAAATTTATTTAATTTCAGAGGGATCTAACTCACCATCTGAGTTTTCGTCTTCTTCTTCTTGTCTAAGTATTACATATAGCATTTCAGAGATTTTTTCTGAAACAAAAGGAATACTCCATGTGAAAATATCCATGAAATGTGGTAATAAATAAGGGTGTTGAGTATAGTTAAATTGTTAGATATTTAAAGTATTGTTTTCAAATTTAATAACGGCACCTTTATTATTATACACATCACAGTAATTAGGAGCACTAAATATAGTTATAACAACTGGGAAATCACTTCCTCCATTCCAACGATGCATTTTATATCCATCTAGTTAGGCTTCATGTGCACGAATAATTGAAATCAAGTTGTTGCTTTCTAAAAAGCGTCTTACTGCGTCATTACCGTAGAAATAACTGCAACCACGGACATCATTCTATCTGTATACATGTTCACAAATACCATCTTCGTTATCAACTGGATCACTCCACAACATATCGCAGAAAAGACCTTATCTTGGAGGTTCTTTAAATCTATCAAGCTTTTTGATATCTTCAATCTAATCATTTTATATAATATATTTATTTTAATATGGCATATTTGCTATCTTTCTTGCTTTTTTTCTTTATATTTTGGCTAATATTAAGATATAAATTTTTTTATTTCTTTTCAGGTATTAATTATTCCTATTTTATTTTTGTTTGGAATAGCTTTATGTGTATATGTGCTGTTTAAATTTATTTTTGCTTTTTATTTTCTAGCTATTTAGGTAGATTTAATGTTAATTTATGGTGCAAAAAATTTGAGAGAAAATATAAAGAAAATTTTTAATGTGAACAAATTTTATTCTTACTGTTTTTAAATCAGGAGAGATACCACCGTGAAGTGCTAAGAACTTTCCATTTACAATACAAGATAAAGGCATTAGATCGAAAGAATCCATGAATATATCATATATTTCCTAATCAAATTTGTTCTTACCTTTTAAAAATAATTAAATAATAATTAAAATTTAAGAATTTTAGCAAGTTGTTTTTGTTTTTTACATTCGTCTCTAAAATTAAAAAATGAAGTCATTTATCTGCATTCGTGATTTCCTCTCAAAAAATAAACAGTTTCAGGATAATTAATCTAATTTATTTATTAATTAAATAATTTAAATAATAGTTTAATATCAAATACTAAGCTAAATCGAAATCTTTTTTTCATTTTCAATATTGAAATTTTGTTTCAATTTGAAGATTTTATTTAAAGAACAAACGTGAATATTTAAACTAAATTTTCTTATTCAAAAATTCATGCCTAGTACATAAATAAATATATAAATCTTTTTATTGTTGTTTTTTGTTAGCTTATCAAGTTATGTGATTGATTGTTCAGTTTGCAAATAAATAATCATTTGTTTGTTTATTACCTTAATTGCATAAAGAAGTATAAGAACTTCAATAGAAAATGATCCTCTATCAACAAAATCACCTAAAAACAAGTATTTAGTATTATCAGGATTGCCACCGACTTCTAAAATTTTTAGCAAATCGTAAAACTATCTAAATTTTATTACAATAAATAAATTTTTTAAAAAAATCTCTCTTTTTAAATCTCTTTCTCTAAAGATCCTTCATAAAGCTAATGTTTTTAACAATATTTAAGATGTTTTTGAACTACATTTCATAGTCTTTTACTACTTTTACTTGCTTTTCTGATTAAAACTTAATTGTTTACAGCTTTAAATTCTTGCATAAAACTTTAAATTGAATTATTTTAAATTTGAATAAATTTGTTAATTTATGTCAAAGGGCAAGCTAAATGAGCTGCTCGTGTTTATAACTACTGCTTTATTGTTTGGTTTTAGAGGAGAGATAAATATTTTGCTTTTTGAAGAAGAGGATTTAAAAGATTACCCATGAATATCACCTACTACAGTTAAAGGGTCTTATAAATTGAGTAGATTATTTTCGTTTCCTAAAAATTTTATGAATAAATTGTTAAGAGAATTATCTAAGTGGCTAATGAAAAAAAAGTACTCATGATTTTATTGCAGTCTGCTACTAATCTGACTAGATCTTCCTTCTCTATTCTTCCTTCCTTTGAAAGATGATCTTTAATTATTTTCCAATCTGGCTTATCTAATAAAAAGAATAAAAAAATTAGGTCTAATCTATAAAAATGTGCATAAAGCTAAATGATTTGCTCTTGCAACTCATAATTTCCTTTATTATGGTTTGTTTAGCATCAACTGCATTTCAAATAAATTTTTAATCTGCTTGTATTTTATCCCTCTTTATCTGGACAAAGACTTTTAAAAAATAGTTTAGTTTCAAACCTAAACAATTAAACAAACAAACTATCTTTCTATCCTGCTTAGTCAAAAACCTTTTTAAAATAATTAATCCTTGACAGCTCCATTAACTTAACTTAAAATAAATAGATTTATATTAGACCATATTTTGGATATCAAATTTCGTGCCATCAGCATTAAATTCTATCGATTTAGAAATAATGCTGGAATTATTCTCTGCTTTTTTATTTTTGAAATGCAGCTAACAAACAATAAAAAAGAAATAAACAAATAAGAGTTGAAGGAGTAGTTTTAATGAATTCTAATATATTACTACTGTTCTTGTTAGGCCATATTAAACTTCTTGATAGAGGACGGTGAGGAGGAGGTCTGACACTCTTTATGTGTCTGTCATTCATAGGGTCACTTAAAGGATCCATTCTCACACTATCTATTTCTCTACTTAAAATTTATGGGATTATGCTTTGTTAATTAGCTTTGAGTTTTTTTTCAATCTTAATTATTATTTTCTTAATTCCTATTATTTTTTATTGCCTTTTTTATTTGATTTTTTATTTAATTTTTCTTTCTCTTCTGTTTTTATATGAATTATACGCATTAATTTATTAGTTTTTTTTGTTTATTTATTTGCTTGCTTTATTGATTTATTGATTGATTGATTATGTGAGTGTTATGTTTATCAAACAATACTGCTTTCTTGGTTTATTAGCAAATAATTTATTCTTTTGATACTTTTTAATGACCCTTTTCAATTTTTTCTTTTTTGATTATTTTTGGTGTATCAAATAAGCAAGGAAACTAACAAATTTACGAATCACGCAATCATTATTCTTTAAAAAGTGAAACAAAAAACCTCTTTTGCTTTATTTATATTAATAAATTCTTTTTCTTAGGCAAATTCAAGATTTATTTTGAATTAAATTGAATCGCCATTTAAAGGCATAAATACTTTACAATGCGAAAACCATTTCACTCACTTGCGAATCTTCATTCTTAGAGAGAAAAATATACGATTGAAAAGAAAATAGATTCATTTAGATATTTATCAACGTTAATATATTTATTATCACAAACTAAGCTTTTTGTACTGACAATTCTAAATTTTCATTTTCTTTTCAAAAATTTTTGAGCGATGACAAAAATTTTCGATATAAAATTATAAAGGTTTTTTCAAGATTTTAGGAAAAAAACGAATTTAAAAATAGTAATTTTTTAAGCTGTTTAAATAAAAAGTGATTTTATTTACTCTTATTTTAATCGTTCTATATTTTAAGAGAATTTTCTTAAGTTTACTAAATACAACTAAATTCATTCATCTCAGCTTACATATATTATATATAGACAGTATAAATCTTTTTTTTTTTCTTCAAGATATTTTTCTTACATTGAAATTTTCTTACAAATTTTTAAAAACTAGAAAAACAAACAAATTTTTTTAAAAAAGCTTGAATTTGATTGAATTAACTATTTTTATATCTTAAAATAACTCGAACATAATAATTAAGCGTTAAAGAATCCAAATAAATCTTTTCGCTTATTAATTAGCTTCTCAGCTTATTCTTACTGAGTGATATTTTAAAAATCTGATAGAAGACATCTCTCAAATTTGTAAATATTTTCAAATTTATTAAAAATAATTTAAATTTTTTATTTTGTTAGCTGATAAAAGCGACGATAATTCAAACAGCCTTAATCGTATCATTATTATAATTACTGGAAAATTAATTAATTTTTTTTTGTTTTAAATCTTTCTTTCTTTGCTTTTTGAATGAGAAAAATATTAAAAAATAATCTTTCTCATTCATTTTTCAAATAAAAAAATTAATTTGTAATAGAGCAAAAAATAAATTTTTCATTTACTAAAAAGATATTTTTTATTATGAAAATACCTAAAAAAAAATAAAGATAATAATAATAAATAAGATTTTTGCTTTTCTTAATTAAATAAAAGAAAGTTTTAGTAATAAATTTAAAGAAGATAAAAATATTGCTTTAATTTACTTTGATTTATTACCATACAAATAATTTTGTTACAATATGTAAAATTTTACAATCTATTTAAATTACTTACATTTCTTACACTTCAAAAAAAATAAATAAATAAAATTTGTTGATTCATTTTTCAATCAAATTTTTGCAAGATGCAATAAATAAATCAAAAGCTTGTTTTTATTTATCTCTAAGAATCATTCTAAAATATCTCAATACAATTTTACTTCTTCACTTTAAAGTCTTCATCGTTTAGAAAATTTATTTCATTTTCAGAAAAATTTTATTAAGATGTTGAATTCTATTTTTTAGGCATTTAAGTCAAGGAATTCTACAAATCTGCTTTATTTGGAGATTTTTTACTTTGCCTTTATGGATATTATTCTTTGAACTCTTAGCTATGAGAATTTTTTTTTGTATTTTAGAATTCAGCTGCATTACTTTAGCTCCTTTTTTAGCTTTCGTTTGTATATGATTTATCTCTTTTGGTTCTATAGTTTTTTATATAGAACTATAGCTGCTAAGTTTGCTCTTCTATAATTTCTTGCTTAATTTCTTTTTGAGCTATGTAATCGCTGCTTAACGTATTTAAGCAAGTAATTTAATTTTGTTATTAAATCTATATAAGAGGTTTGAGTGGTCTTCCCTTAGAAGAGCTTCTTTTATATATATTTCCTATTCCAGATGGAGTTGCAGGTCTTGAATTATAAGGAACTGAAGCTGTAGTTTTAGGTCTTCCAGTATGAGAGCTGACTGTTGCATAATTGCTTGTTTATGTTTAATAGTTTTCCTTCATTACAGATCCATCTGCTTGAAATTACGATTAATTGAATGCGTTAAATTATTTTGAAGCTTTTCTTTCTATACTGTAATTCTCTTCTTCAGTTAAAAAATTTATATTATTTTTTATAATTTCTTTTGCCAATGTAGTCTTTTCATACGGACTCATGCTTCTGCTATTTGAATTCTATTTATTTTTTGAAGTTGTTTTCTTATATCATTAAAAATAATTTTAAGTACATTAAAGTTATTAAAGTTGCTAAAAGTAGCATTCATGGCAGGATTCAGCATCATATTTTAGTTGTGCATTTTTTCAAATAAACAAGATACATTTTCTATAGCATTTAATATTTCCTATTAATCAATATCATCATTAATATTTATTTAGTACTTAATTTAAAAATTTTTCAATAAACTTTTACCTTTTTTCTAGTTTATAACGACTAGTTTTCGATACAAGGAACAAATTGTCTCATAAAATTTAAAAAGTTATGTGATAAAGTGAGCTGATTCTGATTAATCCTTTTCATTTCCTTATACATATCCTCAGTATTTTTTTTACTAGTTTTTTCATTCTATAAGCTAATGATATGGGAATAATCAGCTTTCTTCATCAACTCTAGTTTGACTGTATCAATTAAATCAGCAACTTTGTTTTGTATGATATCATATCTTTAAATTTATTCTCTAAAATATTAAAATTTTCAATAAATCTTTCATTATAATTATAAAACCACTAAAAATCAATCTATTTTTGCTTTATTTTTTCAAATAAAGATATTTACAAAATAATCCATTTTACATTTTTTCTTAAAAATTAATTATGCTGTTTATTTTAAATTATTTCATTAATTTATACTAAAATTCAGAATCATAAATCATAAAATTTATTTTCAAAGATAAAATATTCTAGCTAACTTTTTCAAGATTATTCAAAATTTTTATTTTATTTTATTTATTAGAAAAATACAAGGAATAAATTTTAAATAAAAATATTTGATAAATAAAATAAATGATCTCAATCAGAAAATATTTATTGTGCATAGTTGAAATTCAAGAAATGTATAATATTTATTAGATTTATTTTTATTTCATAAATTTATGCTAAATTCAGAATCATAAATCAAAAAATTTATTTTCAAAGATAAAATATTCTAGCTAACTTTTTCAAGATTATTCAAAATTATTTTTTTATTTTATTTATTAGAAAAATACAAAGAATAAATTTTAAATAAAAATATTTGATAAATAAAATAAATGATCTCAATCAGAAAATATTTATTGTGCATAGCTGAAATGCTATAAATTTTTTATATTTAATAGAATGATTTTAAAAAAATAAATAAAATTAATTACTTTATTTCCTCCTTGATTAGTGGAAATAGCTAGGATTTAGATGAGGAGAATATTATTTTATTATTTTCTTCATATTTTTTTTCAAATTATTTCATATTTTATTGGTGTTCTTAATTTATTTAAATTAATACATTTTCAAATACTGATTTCTGTAGAAAAGATTCTTCCATTTATTACTCTAATTTTTTAAGCTCCATTTTTTCGCATTTAAATAAGAGAGATTCATCGATTTTATTCATAAAATCTTCAAAAATCTTTAGTTTTTAAACACATTATTCAGTTTCTTTTTTACTGGTTTTAACGATAGGGATTAAATGCTCGTAAATATGCTTTATATGAGTTTAATGCACAAACTAAGCTGACCACTATTTAAACTCCTAATTATAAAAAAAATAGATTAAATAATATTATTTTTAATTTGACATACTTCATATTCGTTTTTATCAACTTTTTGATTCAATTTAGTCCTAGTATCGCTGATAAGCTATTCCATATTAACAATTTTTAAAGTATTTTGCTCTCTAAATTTTTCAAACTAGACAACAAATTTTTTGTGCAAATTTTCAGCCTTTTAGCTGTATTCTAACGACTAAGCTTTTGTTTCGTATTAATTTGAAATAATTTTTAATATTTCCTCCTTTGACTTGTTTAGCATAATTTCTGATTGCTCTGAAAAGTATTTCTTATTTACAATTTATTCCATTGTTTAATCTAGGGTTTGCATCTTTTCTAACAAATACTTAACACTGTCTTTATCAGCTAGCAGACTCAAGCTATTACTAAAGTTTGTTAAGCTATTTTAAAATTATTAAATTCTTCGTTAATTTCTTTAATTTAATTTGTAAATTTAGATACCTAATTTTTATTTAGTCATTTAAGTGCTTAATTTCTTATTTAGATGGCTTTTAATCCAAATCAGCACTCAATTTACTTGTATTTTATTCTAGTAAAAGTATCTTTGCAGCTTATTATTCAATTCGTGTAGTGGCGCTAGTTAATTTAGTTTTTACTTCTTTAACTATTTCTAATTTTGCATCTACCTTATCTTCGATTTAATTTAATATAGACAATGGCTCCAACACAGCTGAAGTACAATACACTTTTTCGTATAATTTCTCAAATTAATTAGAATTTAAATCTACATTTTCCTTGATAAACTTTTCTTTAATCTCTTAAATGATTGGATTCGGATTGAAATTGTTTATTTTTATAATTGGCTAAATTGAATTTAAAGCTTAAGTTTGCTAATCTAATATTTAAATTAGTAAAATTGAAAACTCCTATTGCTATTTTAGCTTATTTTCTATTTCATCAATCCTTTAATCAAAACTCTTCGTATTTTCGTTGCTCTTTATTTGGATTTTAGTGCCATTTTCATTTTCTTAATTAATCATTTTAGTAGGAAATTGAAAATTCCAAATATATTTTAAGCTACTTTTGTTGTATAAATGTTATGAAAGTTAATAATTGAATGGAATTGTTTCTTTTCAAGCTATTACTGGTAAATATTAATCTAATAAAATCTAAATTTTAGAGTATTACAATTAAAAACATGATTATATTCATAAACACAAATTCAATCATATTTTCTTTTGTGGCTATAAATTAAAAATATAATTAATATTATTTGTTGGAAACAAGTATTCAGTAAGCATTCATTATTCTATTCTTAAACAAAAATCTTTCTAATCCTTAAATTCCAATAGAAACTTTAGTATTTCTATAAATACTAATAAAAATGTTTCATTTTAATAAATTATTAATTTGATTGAATTAAAAAAAAATAAATTAACATTTTTCATTAAAAAAAATAAAAATTTTTTTTATTTAAGAATCAAAAAGAATTTTTTAAAAACTTTAGAGATAACCACTAATATATTTCTTTTTTATTTCTCTATTTTTTTTTTATGGATCATAAAATTTAAAACAACAAATAAATGTAAAAATATTTGGATAAAATTATTTGTAAAATATTTAAAATTAATTGTTTCAAACTATTTATTTATTTTTAAAATTTATTAAATAATTTATCAATTTAAATAGAATTGTTACAGAATTGAATTTTTGATGACTTTGTTAGAATAATTATCATTTTATATTCAATTCACAATATTTTTAAAAAATATCCTTAAAAATGTAGATTTATATAATTTTTTGCAATGGTTCAAAAACTAATAAATGAATTTAAGATACCTTAGGATTGATTATTCAGTAAAATTAGCAAAATTTTAGTTAATTTTTCTTGCTTAGTTAAGTTTGCTCTTAAAAAAATATCATTGTATTTTTCAATATATATTATTAAATTAAATTTCTATGGATGTTATTTTTATAATTTAAATCCTTACTCAGAGCAAACTGTTTAATATCTTATTATTTATAGTATAATAATTAGTAATTAAAAATAGCATTAAACGCTTTGGCTTTTATAATAAATTATTAAAAGCTCTTAAAACTTATATTTTTTTGAGAAAACTACTTTAAAACACTCATTTTAACTAATTCATTATAGCTAATTCCATAATTTATTGAAAACACTACTAATTTTTAATCTGATATTGCAAAATTTTAGGAAATAATAATGAATTTTCAAAGTTATCAGCCACAATAACCATATGATAATTATTAAAGAAATAATTCAAGAGGGAACTCTTTTATTCTTAGAAATTCAGGACAGAATATTTTGGGAAATAGAAACAATAATTTTAATCCACCTTAAACTGATTTTAGTAAAATGTATGACAGCAATCCTATGGCTAAGCAGAATTTTATGAATCATTAATAAAAATAAGTTGATTTCAATCAAAGATAGTAGTAATATAATAGCAATATCATAAATTAATCAAATGATATAAGAGCTTAAGAACTAAATTTGCGAAATATAGACAGATTAAATAAAATAAATAGCGAGATACTTAGAAAATAATACATAGATTAAATGAATGATGTCAAAAATGCATAAAATAACTTGCATGCTCCAAAATCTAATGGCTTTAGGCAAAATGAATCATAGCAATCTTTTCATACTGCTTAAAACTAATAGCCTATATCACCTCCAAAAAGATAAATATATTCCTCTGGATAACCAAATTATTAAGAACAGTAAGAAACATAAGATAAAATAAACTAACTATTGTATTAGCCTAATTAATATATACCTTAGCCATATATTCCACAGTTTAATTCTTATCAATAAATACCAAGAAACTTTGAATACCCATTTTATAAAAGAGAATTAGAAGATTACGAAGACAATATAAAACCTGTAAAATAAATTGGAACAGTAATATAAAAATAAAATGAATTAATGGCATAACTTATTAATAAACTTGGCTAAAATAATACTGCCCCTCCACCTAATTAATTTGATTATCAAAAAAGACAATTTGATGAATATGATAGATTTATGAAACTTCACTAAAATTTAATAGATCTTAAGTATTAGCCTTAGGTCTAATAAGTTTAAAATCCCTAACCAGATTCTAATAATAACATGATGGTTTAAATGATGTACCAGTAATAAATGATGCAAGCTCTAATGTATGCATAGCTTTTGAGAAATCAAGATAAGTAATTAAAACAAACATCATTTTTATATTGTTTGATTAGCTTTTAAATAAACATTTAATTAGGTCTTCAAAAGAAACTTTAAAATTAAATTAAATTAATGAAACAATTCTATTTTAAAGAAAGTTTTATTTTACAAATAAATTAAAAATAATTTACAATTTTATGATTAAATTTTTAATAGAAATGATGCCAATAAACAGTAGTAGTCTGTCTTAGATTTATTGAAGTAGTAAAGAAAGGAGGATAATCTTGAACGAATGATAAAATAACTTATAATGTAAAAAGGTGGAAATCTTGAAGAACTTTAAAAAAAGCTAGATGATTTAGCTGGCAGGTAGCCATAGAAGGCTGTTAAATAAAAAAAGCCTGTTATTGAAAGCGATGATGAAGATGATGATGACGAAGATGAAAATGATGATGATGATGAAGACGATGATGATGAAGAAGAATTAGATGAAGCCAAAAAAGCTGAATTGGAAAAATAAAGAAAAGCATAGCTATTAAAAGGAGCAATATAAAAGGTAAAGAAGGTTTGGAATATGAGCAGATTTGCTTTTTTGTTTCTTGGAAATATCAGGGAAAGAGAAAACGAAAGAAGAATAACAGCTTAATAAGGTTTATCTTAAATGTTACAAACTTCTATAAAAGAAGGTTTACTTTGGGTTTTAGTAGCAGCCGAAAAGGGTTTTTCGATAATAAGATAAAAACCAAAAGACGATTTGGATATTATAAATAATGTAACTAAGCTAAAATCTACTTAATTAGAGAGTAGGATAGATAATATTTGCAATATAACTCAATTAATTATAGAAGGTTTGATTGAAAATATTGATATAATTCCAGATAGTATTTCCAAATATTCTGCTATTTTCTTCTAAGAAAAATCCTATCTTCCAGATGGTAATTTTATCATAAAACTTTTAATTATTTACCATTATTTAATAAATAAATAAATAAATAATAATTAAAACAGGACTTATTTCATAGTTTGAAATCGATAGATTAGAATTTAATTAGACATATGGATATATTAGGAATGTTAATAATGAATAAAAATTAATGCTTACAGGTGTTTATTTATTAATCAAAGTTATAATTAATGCAGCCCTTGCTCATCCTTGGTAATTTTAGTAAAAAGATCTTAAACTTAAAGATGATTAGATAACAAAAACCAAATTGCTTATTGTTTGTTCTATTCTTTATCATATTTTTATGGAATACATAAAAAAAACTATAAATCCCATTCAAAATAACACAATGAATATTCCATAGAAGTATAAACCTCAACCTTTGCAATAAACGCTAGTTCATGAATTAGGGAATAAAAATTAACCTGAAAATGGGACAAGATATAATATTGTTACAGGACTTATTGATTACAATAGTCTTTCTACAATTTGGACTCAAAAAGGAGATTGGAGGAATGATATGGTTGAAAAAATCAAATTGTTATTATAAAAAGTTGTTGATAATGCGAATCTCTATGACCAGTAAGTTGAAGCAATGGAGAAGTAAGAATTCATAAAGTAAGCACAACAAGACCAGTTGTTGCTTCCTCCTCATATTAGAAAAACAAATTTTGCATAGTAATTCAATTAAGTTCCACCAAACAATAGTAATAATACTAATCAAAATAATCAGAATAACAATTCAACAGTTGATAACAATAATTAAGCTAATAGCTGATCGATTTAAAAAAGTTAGAAAAATAATTGGCTTGCTGGAATTTTAATTATTAAATAAATGTTTACTAAAATTAATAATTCAAAATTTTAAAAGTTAATAAATTTTTTAGATAGATTATTACCATAATTTGGCAAACATCTAATAAAATTTTATATATTTTATATTATTCTTTAGATTATTTACATTATTTTTTACAAAATGTTATTTGCAAATATTTCCAAGTATAATTATCCTTTGGAATTTATTCATAGAATATTTATAATAATTTTAATCAATCTTATTGCTTAAAAAAATATTTCAGGAATTGATGGAGGGATGCAGAGATAAAAAGGGAGATATTTATTTATTTATTTATTTATTTATTAGTGAAGAAAGAAAAATAAATATTAATAGAAATTTTGTCTTTTATCCTTAGTGAGGTTTTTAAATCCATTAATGTCTTTTAATAATTTATTTTTTCCATATTTTAATCTACCAATTTTCACTTCATCTGACTTAATAATGGTTCTGATATTTCTCTTATTATTTACATATCTGATATTAAATCTTATGCTACTTTTAAATTTATGAATAACATAAAAATTCAAGATAATATTGTAAAATAGAATAATATCTCCTTACTTCATTAGTTTAATTTTGGTATTTTCTACAAAGAATTTGTTAAGGAAAAGTCCAAGTAAATAAAAACTACTTTCATATCTTAAATTTAAATGCTAATCTAAAAATATAAAATTACTAAATATGCCAGCTGTTCTTTAAGATCATTTTTAATCTTCTTTTTAATATTTGATCTTCGCCTTCTCTAAGTTAATGGATAGAATTAATGGAATCAAACTTTTAAAATAAGTGGTTTGGTACGTACCTTGCAATTTATGTAGCTGAAATAATCTTTGTATTATTACCAATAATAATATTATAGCTAAGTTAACTTTCTAGGGATATTTTATGAAGCACATAGTTCTTACCTTTTATCGTTGGAATTTCAAAGACTCTCTTTACTTTAACGACTAAAAATATTCTTTTATTTTATTCCACTGAGTTAGTATTTACACTATCCCTTTCATTAGTATTTGCTATCTTAATAAAGTAAGTAGCCTTTTATAAAATTTGAAAATATGATTTTTAATTGCCAATAGCTAGCAAAGAATAAATAGCTGTTGAAATTAGAAATAGCAATTAAGTTGAATTTAGAAAAAGCAAAGAATATTAATTAGGTAGGGATCAGCAAGTAAATTTCATCAAAAAATAGCAAATAAAATGAAAATAGGAACAGTCTATTAAGGAAATCAAACATTAACAATCAGCGCAATTCATGAAATAGTAATCAAAAATTTTCAAGAAATAATAATTAAAATATTTCAAGAAATGGTTTATCAGTTGAATTTAGAAAAAGCAATTAAACTGAATTAAGAAATAACAAATCAAGCAAATTTAGAATATGCAATCAAAGTAACCAAATTTAAGATTAATGACGAATTAATTTAGGCTAAGTAAAGAAAACTAATAAGTGACAAATAATAATAAGTAATTTATAATAAATGTCGAAAATCTTATGTAATAAAAATACGGATAAAAAGAAATAAAATAATTAATTGCAATATTTTAATTAAATTATTTTTACAAAATCATTTTAAAGTGTGTATTTTACAAATTTATTTTAATATCTGCCTATCATTTTAGTTAATTTGAATAAAAAGAATATATTTGAAAAACAATTACTCAAAAATATTGTTTTTTTATGGTTTAAAAAAATTTTTTTGGCAGCATAATATCTTAAAAACTATTTAAAGCTTATTTTTAATCTTACTATAAATATTTTAAGATAAAACAAATATTATTTGATTGATTTTCGCCTTCTTACTTCTTTCGATATTGCCTTTTAATAAAATGTTTTTTTTAAGCTTTATCCTTTCATTTATAAGATTTTATTAACTAAAATAAATTTTTTCGTTTCTTTTTGTTATAAAAGTTAAGTAATGTTTTTTTCAGTAAGCTAACATTTTCTAACTTTAAAAACGTAAAAAAAATTTAATTAGCTAACTTTTACTCAAAAATCTTTATTAATTCCAAATATCCTAATCTCACCTTGCTAAATATTAACTCATTTATATTGAAATAAGAAAAAATATTAAATTGAATAAGATTATAATTGCTTAAGGGGGGGGGGGTACGAAAAAAAAGTTTTTTTTTAGGTAGCATAGTAAGGTCAATTTTATAATTTTTTAGAATTAAAAATAATTAAAAAACTTTCAAAAAAAAGATGTTAGGCAAAAAATAAAAACTTTAAATATTTTTTTAATAGAAAAAAGGTAGTAAAAACTAAAAAAGTTTAGCAGATATTCAAAACATGCTCTAAAATTAGCAAAAAATGATCGAAACAATAGATAAAAAGCTTGATAAACTTGATAAACTTGATCAACTTGATAAACTTGATAAACTTGATATTATTGATACTCTTTTAGTTTAGCAAACAGAAACTAATAAAAAGCTCGATAAATTGATCGAAATATTGTCAAATGTACATCAAAGATAAGAGGATCACATTTAACAAAATTGAAGAAATATCTACAAAAAAATTTCTAAAAAACCTAAATATATGTTATAACAATTAACCTAAAAATGTCGCTAATCTATTCAAATATAAACAAAATCGATTTTATGAAAATCAATTGCTGCTATAGATTTATTAAGTAAATTTTTTAACATTTTTAAACAAATATTTCAAAAAATATATTTTAAATAAACTTTTTAATAAATAGAAGATGCAAAACTTTAACAACCGTATTGATGCAAATGTCTTTTATAATTTAAGATTTACTAGTTGCTTTAGATTGATTCATTGAATAAATATTAGAAAAATACCTATATACAACTTTAACTTAAAAAAATAGTTCATAAAATCAACCTTAATTGTGCTTTTTATAATTATAAAACAGAAACTTATTCATAAAGAGATTTAATCTTGAGCAAATAGTTTCTTATTTCTACTTATTCGCAATTTGAAAGTTCACTTCCGCCAACAAGATCGAAGCAGTAGATATCTCAGATGGATCTATAATTATCATATATAAACTTTAATCACTTAATCAAAAAATAATATTATTAATTAAATTTGTTTACTAGAATTTGTGTTACTTACTTACTTAATACTTTAAAATATAATTTTTTTAATTTACCTTTGCTTATTCAATGTTTTTAATGAATTATTCCATTTTAATTTACTATTTTTTATGGCTTTAATATACATTTTTCTAATTATTTACATATTGATCTGTTAATTCTCTCTTCTATGAGTTTAGTAGTATTGCTAATATTTTTGAGTTATATATATTATTCTGATTATTATTTCATTTTTATAGATAATTTCATTTGATTTTAAATAAATTTTTTATATTTTTATCACGATAGTTGATGAAAATAGTAAATAAATATTTCAATAAATTAAGTAATACAACAAATAAATAAAATACAGATCATAAGCGTTATGAAAATTAGTATCTTAGAATTATTCTCAAAAATTGCTTGAAATTTATATTGTAAATCACTATCCTTTTTATTGTATGCTATTACTTTTAAGACTTCCTTGATCAACATTATTATGTTAGTCTTAAGTATGATCTGACTGAGCAGATATTTATTTTTTAGATTTTAAATATTGAATAATTTTTATTATTGATTACTTAAAAAAAATGATTATTTCTCTAATTTGGCGAAGAAGAACTTATATAAAGAAACTTAATATCAGCACAGATGTAAATATAATAGACAAAATTCTCTTATCTTTTAAATAAGTTAAACCTAACATAAGACCAAGCTAAAGAGTCGTCAATGTTATACTCTCTAAGATTTATTTTTATTTAAACTAAGAAATTTTTTTTAAATAGCATCTTGATATAAAGAAGACAACAAATTTAATGATTTGTAAAGAAATAAGAATGAATATTTAATCTTAGTAGTTCTCATAGAAAAAAGCTATTACAACAGTAAAGATAATTCTTTCTAGAAGGAATAAGAAAAAACATTTTAGCAATATTTTGCTAAAAGGATAATTTAAAGTAACTTCTCCTTTATCAGTGGCACTTTTCTTAAACTGACTCTAATTGTGTTGTCTAATATCAGTTTCGTTTTTAGCATCTATAATTTAGATATCTAACTATTTTGTATTAAGTTCACTTCTATTTGTTGAATTCAAAACAAAGCTATCAATAATCTTATCATTATATTATACGTTTATTTCTTTATCTGCTAGCTATTGTTAAGCTGAATTATTTGGTTTAATTGGCTAAATCATTGGACTTTCAAAATCACTTTAGGCATCTTAATTTCTTTTGAATAGACTGGAGTTTCGTTGCCTAGATTCTACATCAGTAAGAGCATCTATAAATTATAAATCTTGCTGCTTTTAATTTAATTCACTTGCATTACTAGAATTCAAAGAAAAGCTATCTAACAATTTATTTTTCATTAAAGCGTTCGTTTACTAATTTAACAGCTATTCAGGCGAATTATTAGTTTCATGATATTTTTAAATGGGGCTTTCAGTTTCAGTTTTCTAATACTCTTATAAAAGCGCTTAGTTTTATTATTAATGCTCTTATTTTTTATAATCTTAATCAACTTATTTTGTTTATTCTTCTTTTTTTTATGATGTTTCATTGATTTTATTTTCATTTTTCTAATCATGTTCAGTTCCATTAAAAGAAGCTGAGAAATTTAAATCTTCCATCACCTTCTAATAGATGTTTTCTTTTCCATTCTTTGAATGAGGGCTACTATCATGTGTTTTATCTTCTCCTTTGTTTTAAATTTTATTCTAAAGCTGTTTATTAATAACCATTCTCCTTAAATCTACTTTCTCTGTCTTCTTTATTAGGTTTTTAATGGATTAATTTTCTTCATGCTTTAGATTTCTTGAATCATCTGTTTCTCTATGAGGTGATGCTTAAAGCTAAGAATCTTCTATTTTTATTGGATTTTGTTTTGAAAAGATGATTTGTGTTTCTCCTTTTTCTTAAAATACAAATTTTCAATATTATTTGCTTAATATTTAATAAATAATTTACTGTCTTTACTGGGATCTTAATATTACTACTTATCTTCATCAATTTCTGAAACTAAAAAAGAATAATAATAAATTATCAATTAATATTAAATTCAATAATACCTGTTTATTGTTAATCGAACATGCTTTATTCTTAATATTTTACAAGTATGAGTATATTCCTGATAGTAACTGCTTTTAAAATAATAAATATTAAAAAACCTAATATTAATTAAGCCTTAGCTGATGAGTTATAATCGAAAAAGGATATACAAGCAAATAAATTAATCAATAGCTCTTATATAGCAAAAAAATTGATAAAAGTAGTGATTAATAGCAAGCTTTAATAATAAAACTTTTTCTTTAAATTTCTAACGAAGTAGTGTATTTCTTAAACAAGATTAATAGTACCTATTATTACCATTATCACAATAGTATTAGTAAAAAAATAAGGACTTTTCTATTCAACTAAAAATTTAGGGTTTATATTAACATTTTACTCTACTTCGAAATCAACCTTAGAAATCTAGTAGTTAAATAGGTTGTAAATTTGAAGAGATCTTAAAATGGTATCGACTTCAAGAGGGAAGTAATAGTTGATAAACCTAAAATAGCTTAGTGTTTAATAAGTGTAAATTAAAACAGCTAATTTGAAAAGCCTCTTTTTTAAGAATACTACTCTAAAAAGCTACTTTGATATGGCAATGATATGTAGAGTAAGAATTGCAAATATCACTTAACTAGATAAGTAATCATATTAACAAATTTCATCTAAGTAATCTGTAGATTAATCAGGAGATAAGCATATGTTTACATACTATTTTGATGTTTAAAGTAGTTATCTGTTTCCTACACATTAACCACAAGAAGTATAACTTTCATCATAACACTTTGAACATGTTCTGTGACACTAAAAGATGTCTAAAAATAAAAAATTAATTAATTTAAAAAAAAAATTTTTAATTACCTGATTTAGCTAATTTTGATTCCGAAGGGTAGGGAATACACTTATTGATAATCTCATTAAATATAAACCCTTTATCACATGATGTACAATAATCCTCCTGATATTTACAGGTTAAACAGTTTGAAGAGCATTGTTTGCACATTTTTTGATTGAAAGAGAAGAACTGATTAGTAGGACAAAGTTAACATTAACCATTTTCATCTAATGTATAAAGATCTGAGCATAAAGTACAAACTTTTTGGGAGTTTTAATCTAAAGCTAAGCATCCTTGCATAGCATCGCTTTAATCAATGCACTAATTTTCAGATAAAAACTAATTGCTTAAGCATTAGGTGCAAAAATCTGGTGAATTCACACAAGCAAGGCAATCAGATGAACAAGGCTAGCATTGATTAGATTAATCCATATAGTACCCTATTTAACATTAATAGCAAGTATCTTAATAGCAAATTCTGCACCCAAGCATAGTCTGATAGCATTAATCGCTTTCATAGCATGTATTACCGATTAATATATAATCTAAACTACATTTAGTGCATTAGTTTTAACCAGGACCAGTACATTAGCTACATTTTCCATAGCACTCAAGGCATTAACCTTCAGATTAATAATATCCTAAAGGGCAACCGCTCAAACAAACCTAATTATAAGATATTTGAAATTATTTTAATACACTTAAGTCAAAAAAATTAATAATCAAAAATAATAAAAAAAAGCAAATAATTGCTTTATTAATTTTAATAACCAATTTTTTAGTTTAGCTAGCTAGATGTTGTGTGGATTTAAATATAATTTTTTTTAATTAATAGTAAATGCTTACTCTGTTTGGATTTTTGATGAATCCATTAGGACAGCTATCAACAAGATTCCCTTGATAGAGGGCTTAGTTGCCTTCTATTTAAACTGAGCAATCTTCACCTCCTTAGCCATCTATGCAAATGCAAACGCCCTTTTTTATATAAATTAAATTTAATTAAATGAGCAAATTAAGTATAAGATTTACATCTATGCAAAATCCTTTTTGACTACAGCTATTAGGGCAAAATTTTTTGAAGAAACAATAAGGTTAAAATCTAGTTGGGCATTATATATATCCTTGATTTTCTTCATTAGATATTTAAATCATTTAACCAGGATATTTACAGATGTATTGCTACCCTGTTATTGTGCTAATTTGCAGTGTCCCATCATTTAAACAAATAGTCTTGTAACATCTTGTGTTTCTATTAAGTTTTTAAATTGTTGATTAGATTTCATTTAATTCGTTATTTTATTTTTTTGTTTATAAATTTTATTTTAATTTAATTTTTGTTTGTATTCTATTAAAATTTGTGATTGAAAATGTGTTTTTTAAAATTAGTGTGAATTTATAGAATTTTTATGGAAATTTGTTTTTTTGACTTAAAAATTATTAAATTTAATAATTTTTTATTGATTTTTCTTGATTCGAAAAATTGCTAAAAAGTGATTCAAATATTTGATTGATTAATTAATAATTATTTAAAAAAATGTAACTTTTATTAATAATTGTAATTTTTTATAATCTAATTCATTAATTTACCCGTAAGCACTTAAAAATGGATTTGAAATTGTACTTTTTTGATAGCTTGATCTTATACATTTAGATAAAGGACTATACTATTCTCCTGTATACTAAATTGGATCAACATTTGTTAGTGTACAATATTACGTGTCTTAGATTTCAAAAGATTAACAAGTTTCAAGATCTGTCTCTTTTGAAGGCAACATAGCTTTTCCATGTCCATTAACATCACAATCGAATGTCCTATTATTTGAGGCATAATTAAATTCTTCAAATTAAATACTTGGGTCTAAACACGTATTTTGTATAAATGAGCAACCTTAATTCAAACCCCATCCCGAGAATTTTACAAGATTATCATTAACTTCTAAATAATAACCAATATCTCTAAGCATAGCAGTGGTAAATTAACTGAAGTCACTCTCTAAGTTAAAAATATAAGGATTCATCACTTCATCAAAAATAGCTAATCTAGTCCAATGATTACTCAAATCCTAAAATATATTTTTTAAATTCTATGTAAATTACATGTGAAAATAAAAATACTTTCTCTAATGGCATTCCAGATATTTATTGACAAGAAAAATGCCTTTAAAATAGTCTATTGACATTATCTGTCTATAACAAGTAATAATCTACTCCGTTTATTTGATCTTAATCTAGAGCTTAAATAAACCAATCTCCAAAAGCTTAATTAGTTTTTGGATCAATCCATTGATTAATTGAACTAAATGAGAATCCAAGCACATGAATCAATTCATGAGATAAGACATTCTAGAACATATATCCATATTTTTATATGTATTTATCATTAATATAAGCTGAATTAATGCTGATTCTTCCCATTGTAGGCATTTGATCAAATTAACAACTTACTTTAAATTAATTTTTGAAAAAAATATGTTATTTTTATTTATTTATTTTTTGATTATTTTTAATCTTACTTGCATTTGCAACCATGGTTGTGGTATCGTTGTAGAAAGATACTACCATTATAAATAAATCAGCATCATTAACGCTGTTTGGGCTAACTACCATATCACTGTAAGGAATATCATAGCACAAATCAGTTGTAGGTTCAATAGTTATTGGGCTTTACCTACTATTAACTTTTACTAAGGATGAAATAAATAGCTTAGCTGCTTCGCATACATTTTTGACTAGAGTTTTTTCTTGTTGAGTTAGTGTACTGTTGTTATCGATTAGTGAATAATCATAAGCTATTCTTAATTTTTAAGGTGCTTGCTGAATACTTCTTTTTTATATCTAATCTGAATCTCCTTAATATACATTTTTTAGTGAATTTGAATTCGATTCATTCAAATATTAATGTTTATAACTAGCCTCGTTATGCAATTAGCTACGAACTGTATAAAATAAGGAGCTATACAAAAGTATTTTAAGCATTAAAATGCTCATATCGATTTTCATTTACTAGTAGAACTAACTTATATGTTTTGTTTTTTTTCTCCTCTATTTTAATTATCTTTTTTAATATCTCTAATATATTATTAAAAGCATAAAGGTAATCAATCTCTAATAATTAAGTTGAAATGTATTAATTAAATGATCTTTACAAACACTGCAAGAACGAACATATTTACTTTATTTTAAACTTTTTATGTGTTTTGCTAAAAAACAGATTTTATAAGATAGATTGCAATTTTTAAAAAAAGACTATAATTCATTTAAACACTCAAAAAACAAAAAAAAATTGTAAAAATAAAAATTAAACACTAAAAAATATAAAATTGTTGATTTTTAATTTCCTCTTTACTCAAAAATGTTACTTAGTTCTAAAATTCAATGTAACTTAATAAATTAATCAAGTAAAATATCTAACCATTTTTTAATAAAACAGAAAGTATTTTTAAATCATTTGTTTTTTAGATGGTTCAAGCAAGCATGAATGAAAAAGAATAATAAAAATTATATAACTAATAAAATACATTAATTAAATTTTACAATAATCTCAAAAAATATTATTATTATTTTGATAGCCTTAACTATTTTCATACGTTGTATAATAACTATTATTGTTATTGTTTTATTTGACGTTATTATAACTGGAGTTTTTTTTAGAATCAAATGCACTATAATTTGAAAGGAAATTTTTATTTTCGCTTTTAATAAGCTCCATTTCATCTTTAAGCTCTTAGATTTAACTAATGAGATCTGTGTATATTTCATTCCATTACTGTTTTAACAATTTATATTTATTTTACTTTTCGTACAGTTTATCTTTGTAAATATTTAATTTATTTTTCAGATAAATATTTTCAGATTCGAGGTCTTTCAGTTTGGAAAGATCATTTTACCAGTCAACTACTTTTGTATTTATTTTAGTCAGCTGTTCTCTGAAGGTATTTTCTTTTTGAATTATTATTCTGTCTTTTTCCTCAAGCTCACTTCTTAAAGACTCTATTTCTAAAATAAATTGGTCTCTTTCTTATGAGCTCATAGAGTAATCTCTATTATTGCTATTTTAAAGATACTCATTTGTTTTTTTGAGTTTTTCAATGTTTTTCCTTAGACTACTAATTTCTAATTCAGCAAGATCGCCCTTTTCCTTTAAAATACTTTTTAACTCCTCTAAGTTCTTTTTGAGTTGCTCATTTTAGAAGAATATTTCTGAATTACTTTGGCTGCTTGTCATTATTTAAGCTGATAATTATTAATTTTTTTCATTCAGTAGGCGGTTTTCTTATTCAATAAAGTTATATTTCTCTTGCAAGCTTTTCAATTAAATTTAAGCCTCTTTATCATGTATTGCTTCCTCCTAAAAATTATAAAGCTTTTATAAAGACTCTCTAGCAATTTTTTGTTATTCATTCAATTCTTGCATTAATTTAATTTCATTCTCTTAGTAATTTTTAATCTTATTATGCAACTATTCTAAGATGCCTTCAATTTCCTCTTATTTTCTTATTTGTTTAGACAAAGATTTTTTATCTTTCTATTCTTCCTTTACTAATTCCTTCATCAGCTTTATTTTTTTCTTTTAAATTTCAATTTATTCTTCCATATCCATAATTTTTGTTTTCAAATCCACTTTTTCTCTATATAACTTTTAAATAGATGTTATCCTTCCTCTTGAAGCACTCCTATTTTTTGTCACAATTCTATCAGAAGGAGAAGAATCTTTATTTTGCAGCTAGTATTTTTAATTTCAAGTATTAATTTTTATTTGATTAGACTCTAAAATAAAATGACTTACAATACTTCCTTTCTTCATCGTCTGTAAATTTTTCTTTGACTTAGATAGGGAGCATTCTCTTTATATTCTAGATTAATTTATAGTACTATTGTTGTTAGAATTGCTTGCAAGAATTTTATTCCTTCCTTTTGATCTGCTTTAGGGTTATTGTCTGTAAACCTAACCATTCATTTATCTATTTTCTTTATTCTTTCTTGAATGAGAACGTTCTGAAGCATTATTGCTGCTTTAAGAAATAAATTAATTAACTCTATCATATCTATCGACAGATAAGCTTGAACTATTTGATGATGAGTTAGAAAATTATCTTAATAAATTCCTAGCTCTACTTTCCAAAGATTGCATATTAAACTAATTACTAATATTTGATACTTAATTTATTCAAATTCAAAAAATTATTGGTTGATTTTTATATCTATTAATGATATTTCAATAATTTAACAAGACCTTATCAAATTTTGAAGGTAACATAATTGATATTCAAAATTTAATCAAAAAAATAAAAAAGTATTAACAGATTTTGAATATTATATCATTTTTTAATAATATTTATAAAAGCTATAACATTTGTTTAACTTTTTATTATTCAAAATTTATAAATAATGTTTTATTTATTTTTTTAAATAATCAAAGCGAAATGTTTTATCCTCAAAAATAAAAGAATTTTGTAAAAATTAAATATTTATTAGAATAATTTTATTTTCAATAAATCTATTTAATGTAAATTAATTTTATTAAAATAATAAATAAAAGAATAAATAAATAAATATCTTATTATTTTAAATGTTAATTTTGAGAAAAAGGTATCAAAACTTACAAATGATGATTGTTACTATTTTGAATAAGTAAGATAAATTTAGATTATTTAGAATACTAAAATTTAATCAATAAATTAAATCTATAAATAAATATATCTTACTTTTTTCATATAAATATGTAATTAGGCTAAGTATTTTCTAAGCTTTTTTTTGATATAAAAAAAATAAAATTATGCATTTTCAAAACACTGAATTAATTAAATAATAAATAGAACCACACTATATTACCAAATTAAATTAAAGGTACAAATAAAAAAATAGTTATAGGATATTACTTTCATTAATAATCAAAAGTAATCCAAATAATTAATTATTTATTACCAATAGATAGATGTTAATAAAAAATTTATGTATGATTTTAATAATTGTAAAAATTAGTATTGACATTTCTTAATTAATTAGCATGATATCAATTAAAAATAAATTATGAATTGCTTTATTGCTAGTATTTTTTTTTTTATATGATAATATGGAATTTTGTATAAACAGAGAAGTAATTTTATTGATAATATTATAAACTATAAAGAAGCAGTTAGAAGCATATTTATATAAAGTATTTTTAAATTTTAATGAAAACAGTAAATAAATCTATGAAGACCTATAAAAACCAATTTTATCTATAATGTATTGTTTGTTTGTTTGTTCTTTAAATTTAAGTAAGTAGTAGAGTCAATAAATATGGAGTAAATTAGCTAATTTCAAGATTAACTAGGGGTAATTATTTACTAAGGTTTCTACTCTTCTTCGTATTCTAATGTCTGAAGAAATTTTTAATCACTAGAGTTATTAACTACATTAGCAGGTATTTGAAGTACAAATTTATATTTAGTAACACCATCTTCTACAACTGTGGTTTAATTCAGTAACAAGTTAACCTTTTAAACGATTTATTGATTATCACCCCATTAAAATAGAATTTATGGAGACTATACATTAGAATTAGAATAAGCTAATAGCTTTTAAAGTTTTTGGCATCCTGCAGTAGTCCCTTAACCATTCTAAGTTTAAAAAAGAAAGTAATTGCCTTAGCTATCTTATGAATTTTAGATCTGAACTTAAGAATTGAAGCAGCAATAATCCAAGTTAGAAGCTGCTAGCTACTTAACACATTCTTCAGTGTTTTTAGCAGTTGCAACAATGTTCCAGTCACTCATTTAAGTTCTGTCGTGAAGAGGAGAGCAATAGTAAAGGTTGAGTAAAATTAAAATATAAGTTAATTGCTTCATTTTAACAAACTATAGATTTTGTTTAATAAATATTTGTTTGGTTTAATTTATTTACACACAAATTAGAAGCTATGAAATCTATATTTATTATGAAGAGTAAAGCTAAAAAAATAATAAGTAAAATAAGTAATAAAAATACAAACAAACATGATTGGTCCACCCCATTTACATATATAAATATATATTAAATTTAACCAATCAGACAAACAAAATATACTAACTATAAAAAATTAGCTAACTAAATACTTAAAATATTACCTAAATTTCTATTTTATAGAAAAATTTTAGATAAATCGATCTATTTTAGTTTTCGATATTTTAGAATTTAAAAGCAAGCAAATTTCTTTTACTTAAATCTTTTTGTTACATTATTGTCAAACAAAAATTCCTATTTTATTAATAAAACCTAATTCTAAGAAAAATAAAAGAACAAATTTATTTGTCATAATTTAAAAATAGCATCATCTTAATTTAACATATATCTATATAAATCCAATTTAATGAATTCTCTCTTATTCTTTTACATTAAAATACTATAAAAAATTAATTATTTATCATATCAATCTTTAAATAAATAGAATATTTTTAGACTCCTTTTTCTTCCTTTATTACAAAATTATTTCTTTTATTTAGAGCTTTTTACATATATTTACTTTGATATAAAAAAAGTATTAAATTACTTAAAAGTAATTACATGCATTAACTAAAAATTATATTTTTTACATTACTTAAAATAATTTATTTTACTTTACAAGTTAATATTTCAATGTTGCTGCATGGTGTATGTATTATGTAAAAATACTAATACTAGATATTATTGTATAGCATTTTCAACAAAATAAATTAAGTTAAATAAAAAACATTTCTATTTTCAAAATTATCATAAAAGAAATGAAGCAAGTAATTTATTTTTAATGTTTTTATATTGTTAAGAGATTAGTTTAAGAGATTTTATTCTTGAAAAATTATTAATGAATATCAGTTAAAAAAATAAAATGAGAGATATAAAACACAATGTCAAATATGGCTACCTGTTCATCTTTTGTTTATAAGATAAAAAAATTAGCACTCATATTTTCTAAAATATTAAATAAATATTTATTTTAAGATAATTAATTAATTAAAATAAGAAAAATAAGTGTAAAATAAATCAATAAATAAAATAAATTTACTTACTAATTAATTATTTATTAATGCTTATTTTTTTATATTTATTTTAATGTATTCTAGTTATTTAAATAGACTTTAATTTATTTTACAATTAATAAATTATTAATATTATTATTCTCAAGGAATATGTTTTCAAAATTTTATAAGAGAGTTTTTTTTTTATTTTTTTTGGGGTTGGGGTTGGGGTTGGGGTTGGGGGGGGGGTTGGGGTTGGGGTTGGGGTTGGGGTTGGGGTTGGGGTTGGGGTTGGGGTTGGGGTTGGGGTTGGGGTTGGGGTTGGGGTTGGGGTTGGGGTTGGGGTTGGGGTTGGGGTTGGGGTTGGGGTTGGGGTTGGGGTTGGGGTTGGGGTTGGGGTTGGGGTTGGGGTTGGGGTTGGGGTTGGGGTTGGGGTTGGGGTTGGGGTTGGGGTTGGGGTTGGGGTTGGGGTTGGGGTTGGGGTTGGGGTTGGGGTTGGGGTTGGGGTTGGGGTTGGGGTTGGGGTTGGGGTTGGGGTTGGGGTTGGGGTTGGGGTTGGGGTTGGGGTTGGGGTTGGGGTTGGGGTTGGGGTTGGGGTTGGGGTTGGGGTTGGGGTTGGGGTTGGGGTTGGGGTTGGGGTTGGGGTTGGGGTTGGGGTTGGGGTTGGGGT